TTGAGACTGATGATTTAGGTTCTGTTTTGGTTTCAAATTTAAAAAAGTTCAAAATTTAAAAAATAAAATTTTAAAGGTGGACTTTTCTGCCCTGCCCGCCGAATTGATTATACTTTTTTGGGAGGTTTTGACAGAGTTTGATGATGCGAGTTTAAGGGTTTTTAGGCGAAATGATTGTCTTTAGAGGTTTTTTATGGAAGTGGTTGACTGAGGATTCTTCGGGCATTTTTTGTTATTTTCTTTTGATTATATTAACCTTGGTGGAAACTGATATTCTGATTATGCGTCACAAAAATCTTGATTTCATCTCTTGGCATATGTCCATTCTTGTAGAATTTTTAAGATTATGCCAACTTTATTATAATCATTTTTACAACAAAATCTTTTTACCACTAGAACCTTTTGCTAAATTTAAACGGCTGTGGTCACCCGAATGTCCTTTCGCCTAGAACAGTGTGAGTTGACCGTGATTGCGTGGCGCTTGTAACGGTTTTGTGTAAACTTGTTATTGGGTTCAAGTATTGCTTATCCGCAACCTCATCAACGTCGCCGACCTCGAGAGTCGTTTTTTCCGTTTTCACAGATTTGCGAGAAGGTTTTTGTAGCGAGTCCCATCAACTTTGTTCCACTATTTAAAGACTCGGGCCGGTGGTTGTGTTTATTCGTAATCGGTCGGCTTCTGTCATATTGGAAAAGTTTTTTTTCTCCAGCCTATTTATAGAATTATGAATGGAATTCACCTAATTCTTTGTTTTTGCTGAGAACGGTCCGAACTTTTGTGTAAAACTTTCTTCGGACAAAGCGAACCTCCGCCACGGTGTAAACTTGCCGTGGAACGGCCGAAACAAAAAACAGTTTGAGAGCAGAAGGAAATTAATGTGTTCGAGTGCGCGATCAGCTGTTTTAGGCAACAACTCCGCTCCGACCACCGAAAACACGTGTGATGGTGGAGAAGGAGGTGGGCGACAATGCAAATAAGGCATTTCGAGAGCGCTACTGTAACATATGCTAATCAGCTGCGACAAAACCGCCGGGAATCGGCGACCGTGTGAAGTGTGGCCTTTGTGTGGTCCCAACTTTTGGCTTTGATTGTACCGAAGAGTATTGTAATGTCATTCGGCAGTGTTAGGTTAATATTGTAATAAAGTTTGCGGTTTGAGTTGAAGTAGTATTAGGAATGTTAACTGACTTTAAAGGGAATTTTGCGTTTTCTTACTGTAAAACTACTTTTTTGTACATATAGTTGTGTTTAACGTGTTATTCTAATGGGTTAACGCGAGTGTTTGATGAATTATCTATGATATCGGAATGTGTTATATCATGTTTGTTTATTATACTGTAGGTTTGAGTCTATTTCTGTTTTATCCTAACGTGTTTAGATGTTATGTTTAGTCGGTTTTACAACGAAAATACATAATTTATTACCTTGTTCAGTTAAATTTAACAATTGAAGATATTTTAAGTGATCAAAATTTTATTTTTTTAAATTTTTTAAAAATATTTTTTTCTTTTATTGTTTTTGAAGTGCCATTTTGTCTGTAATCGTTTCCAAACATTTAAAAACATATAAGTCATTTTATTTTCAAATATCTAATTTTGGCGGCTACAGGTGTCAACGTTGCGGACAGTTAATAAAATCGTCTTAGAGGCGAGGGCAGATGGTTTGGAACCGAGGGGGTACCTTTGATGGATTCTTCCACTCTTTTTTCGTCCCTCCCTCATTCACATTCATTTCCAGAAACCGCGAATTATTTGCAGGCATAAAAAAGGATGGGCGACGCGGCCTTAACGACTTTAGCCTTATAGCCAGCCGGTCGAAACCGCAACCGGGTTTGGGTTCCTTTTTCAGGGACCTTGTAATTCGAATTTCGTCGCGTTTTTTTTTATTTCCTCGCCTGATTTCCAACATGTGCGTGATCTTTATCGAGTTTACGGCTGCGGTTTCGCTGGCTTCCAAACCGAGGGGCCTGGTGTCAAAAGCCCGCGCCGATCTTAAGTGCTGTTTTATTTGGACATTCGGAGTTTGATGGGCCAATGAAGGGTTTATTTAACGAGTGCGCGACTCACCTGTGTCATAACCTGGCCAAGACGTGCGGTTTCAAGTTGTCGAGGGTGGATGTTGCAAGATGAGTGTAGAATGCGTACGTTGTGGTTATATAAGGTTATATCATTCTTAATTTATTGCTTACGAACTTAATTTGCATATACTTCGGTTAATTTTGGGGATTCATAACTTGGTGAATGATATGATATTAATTTACAAACGAGCTTTTTGTTACTCACCTTTAGAATTTGTGATTTGTCTGATTTTTTGGGCTATACAACATTAAAATCTGTCATAATTACTGTTGATAGAAGTTTCATACTTACAGAATATAGAAAACCATCTCTTCTGTATCAGAAGTGACAGATATGTGTAAACCACATGCTCCAACTCCTGGTACCATCGTTTTGTAACTTATTTTGTGTGTTTTATCAATCCAAAATCAAAAACAATATTTTGTTTTGGGGGCCCAAACTTTCGAACGTGATGTAATCCCAAAAAGCGGTTACTGTAATCTTGGCCCGTCCTTTTGTTTAAACTCTGTCTCACTTTTTGGTTTACAGTCCCGAATTCCATGTTACAACAGAAGGTTCGTCGAGTGGCTTGGGATTCGAAACCTTGGGTATAGGCATCTGAATCTTGTGGTCATACGAATTCTGTATTACTATAGGATTCAGATGAGTATGCTTAAGTTTTGAAACGTAGTAAAGGGACAAGGTCTTTAGAAATGTTGATATCTTGTAGGTATAAGGGCAGAACCATAATAAGCGTTGAAAATTTGAAGGTGTGATAGTACGAAAGGTCTAGAATCCAGTACAAATAAGGATTTAAGATTTCATACCAGACTTTACAAGCAAAAACCGTATACGCATTCCCTCCCTTCCCCCTAGGGCTTCGATTTGGGTGCGAATGTACCCCAAACGGAAGCTAACAAACCCTCGTTTCCACACCGGCTTTGTGACGGAGTTGTGTTTACCTGGGATGTGAATTTGCATTCGAAGGCCTACAATACTGTTTTTCGTTCAGATTCAGAAGCCCCGTCGGGCCGCGGTTTGTGGCATCATAACAAATGGCTATTTGAAGGTATAAAGTGCATGTAAACGGAAGTACGACCGAGCTTACGTTGCTTATTACCAAAATTAGGGTTGGGAAATGGGATTGCTGATTTGATGCAAGCAAATTGGTTTTCGGATGGGTATGGTATTTTGGGGGTGTTTGAGGTAGTGGGGTTGAGAATTTGATAGAAATGGCATTTTTGTATTGTCTTTGTCTAATTTTAAAATTTTTAATTTTTTTGATAGTATTGGTTTAAATACTGTTTATTTTTCGTATTTTATAAATCAGTAGCATAATATTTTTAAAAATTTCATAAAATCATTTTCAAAAGCTATCTATCACAATATCCGTCCAATATGGGGATAGATACGAAGACTATAGCACTTTTTATGGATATGAAAATCCGGTCATTTGACTGAGTTCATCGGCCGCTCACTTTTTGGCCAGTTTTTGTACGATCCGGTCCTGGTACAAAACTCGTCTCCCCAATGTTTTAGACTGTGTAAACCAGGGAGAGTCTTTCCGTCGGTCGGTTCGTGTCGGATTTCGCTGTTGCGATCGGTTTCGCGTGATGATCTTGGTCAAGATATCATTTTTACTCTATTATAATTACGCGCTTTAGGCCTGTCACTTGTGGGTTGAGGTTGCTTTTGTCACTTTTTGGTTTGGGGACAAGTTGAAGATGGGGTAAAGGTTGGGTTTGTTACTGTATTATGGCTGAAAGTTGGGTTACAGTAATGACTTTTGAGAGCCATGGGGTCGGTTAGAATATTCTTGTCATTACTGGGTTAGTTTGTTGTTTTGTGGGGTTTGTGGTGTTAGTTATAACTTGTTATGTTATGTTAGGTTTGCATACAATAGGGCAACGTTTTGTCATCATTTTGTCATTCTATGAGTATGCCTTGTCCTAGTAGTACTAGCTTAAAACTTAAACTGTCCCAAAAGATACCACTCACAACAAAATGCTACTTTCAGCCATTACCACTCAAATAACATTACTTTTGAAATTCATAACCCTAATTACCATGTTCTTAAATCCACTACCGCCTTCTCGCCATAATTCGCAATTTGTTTATTGGAGCGGTACAGTAATTAATCCTGTTCGCGTACTGTAACAGGGTCAACCCGAAAACCAGTCGATTATTGTACCATTTCGGATTTTGCAAATTCCCGCCCTTAAGGCTGTTCGAAGCCACTTGGCGTCGTCTTCGCGCCCCCCTAAACCCCGCCCTCGACTTCGTTTTGACTTACCTCTAACTCGGCTCGTTTTTTACCAAAAGCTGGTCGGATTATTATTATGGAAGCGCGCTTTACTCACCATATCCACAACTTATTGTTGCAATTGCGGTTATAATTGTGGTTGCCGCTTTCTTAAGTTTTAATTGACAGGTTGCTGCAGGGTGTGGATGGAAGTGTGAGGAGATATTGCGATGACAAATGGGGTTTGACGAGGTGTTTGATGAGTAGTATGAAGTCAAATGAAGTTTAGTGATACTAGGGTTTATAAGGTTTAGTTTTGCTATATTTAGGTATTGAATACTACTTTGTATAAAGGCTTAACATATAAAGCTTGCAACAATTTCATATGTTAGCCTTTTGTTTAGCATTTACTAACTCAGATCGCCACCATCGAGAATTTCAAAAATTTTTTAGAATTTTGTTTCTTCAAGATTGTCATAAGCTCCTTAATTTGTGTTAATTTACGCGATCTGCCGTTTACATCGTCTGTCATACCACTTAAAACCATTAATATCCTGAAATTCAGACGAAGCACGGTCGGCCAATAACCCGCTAGCCAATCTCCACCATCCCAACCAGGATCCTCTCCCAAAACCAACCGGTCATCATTCTGGATCAGACGGATCTAGTTGACCGCCTGGCTGCCGCGACGTCGCTGCAGATGCAGGCTCATTTGCGTGCCGTTCTCGACGTCACCAACGCCAGTATGGCAATGAATGGCGGAGAAACGGAGTCGAAACAGCTTCTGAACGGGATCAGTTCGCGGCTACAGGACATCGACACCAAACTCTCGTTTGTCGTCGAACTTTTGTCGAATCGAGCCGGTCAACAAGCGGTCGAGAACGCGGCCCAATCCCTGAACATTCCAGTCAGTAAGGTCGTGGGGAATCACCAGTTCGAAGGGAATCAGATGAACATTGCCGCCGTTATGAGCACGTTGAACAACTTGGCACAGGTGGGTTTGAGTTCAAAGTTGGAGTTATTTACTGTGGTTTAAGTGTAGTTACTATCTTTTTTAACGTAAGTAAGATGTATAAGTTTTTAAAGCTTTTATTTGATTAGTTGTGGAGAGCTTTTTTCCATTTTTACTGTATTGCGAGACATTACGAAGGAACAGATCAGTTAGCGCTATTACCTTCCCATAGTTAAGACATAGTGTTTGGAAAGCAGTTTTAGTACGAGCAGTACTTAAATCTTTTCCCTTTAAACGTCCTTAATAACACGGAAATACATTTGGGGAGTTAATTCACTAATGGCATCAGCACACGTTGTTAATCTTTTGTCTGGACCCAAAGTGCACAACTTTTTAGGTTTGACCAATTATCGACCAGTAGGGTCATGGTTGGATCACTTGAACGCCAAGTGGCCAGGGGAGTGGCTAATCCGGTTTTTTGTCAAATTATGATTTTATTACGATTCTTTGGCTTAAATTATAGGATTTTAGTACTACTTTATGCCGAAACAGTACTCTTCACTTACTTTCTGATCACCTCACTATAGCGACAAAAGACCCTCTTTTAAAGCCTCACTATACCCCTTGGTATGTTTTCTAAGACCAGCTTCATTCGTAATGGCGAGCCAGTCTGTAACCTTTAATCCCCCAAACCAATTTAATTATTATTTGCAAGATTAAACACTTTGAGGAATCCCACCTCCACCATGACGAGCAGTATATTATCTTGCAATCAAACCAATAGCGGATTAGCATAATTAATTAAACTCACATCACTGTTATCAGATGATGTTGTTCTTAGAATTTTTTATATCATATCATGTTATGACGATCGTTTTGTGAAATTCAAGACATGACATTCTATTGTGCACGTACATGATAAAACAGTACTGGGGATTGGGCGTTGTTTGAATGGGGAATGTCTTCCTGTTTCCAAATAGGTATCAATTGAGGAAAATACTTGTTTATGCTAGTAAGCTTACTGTAGAAGACCAATGTTAAGATGGGCAATACTAATAATATCAAAAATCAATAAGTTTGAGACCAACCATCTAAACCCCAATAAATAATGTCACAATTTCAGAATCAATCCCCCAAGATGACGTTCCCACCCATGTTCATCAAGAACGAGAACAGTCTGTTAGGATCACCTCAGGAAGGCCAAAGCAGCGTGGCCCAATCCCTCTTCGGCGACAATCTAGCCTTCACCAACCTCTTGGCCGCCTGTCAGGAGCGACCCGCCCTCTGTATGGCCTTGGCCAACAACAGTATGGCCCAGAACCTTCAGACCAACAGTTCGTCTCCAGGCTCCACCGATGCTCCAGCGGCTTCACCGTCGGCTTCGACACCGAAAGCCGAGAATGGCGGGGTCAAGAGCGAAGAAGCGGCATCGTACGGCGAAGGCATGGAGGAAGACAACGAATTTGACGAGTTCGACGATGAACGAGAATCTCCCACCAACGCCTCCAACATCTCTGCCTTAGGACATTTGTTACAGCAGTCGGCCAAAGAACAACAAGCCAACGGAGAATGGCCGTCTGGAGCGGACAGTGCAGCAGCGATGGCAGTGGAGAGCAAGTTCCCTGAGGGCGCAGTACGCAGAGCGGCCGAGAAGGCAGCACGGAGTTTCCAAAGCACACAACCAAAGGTGAGTACAGTTAACGGCTATTATAATATGAAAAGTTTTGTCAGATTTAAAATCTGGTACAGTTTTTTGCCCTTTAGTATTATTCTTTTGGGTTCCACATAAACTTCATTAACCTTCCTTAACATTTTGAAATTGTACCCAAAACTCGAAAACTTGGGAAAACACCAAAGTTAACAAGTTCAAAAGTTTGCGCTACCCCACGATTACGGTAATAAAAGGCAGCACTTGAGAGTTGTGTCTCAGGTAATCGGATCCCCGTTTCTCGGGCTTGAAAGCCTCGAGGCAAAGAAAACCCTGAAACCATTTGGAAGCAGGGCCTGGGAACTTCTTCAGTTACTGATCCCAATCCCATATCTCTGAACCCCCCAAACAATTACAGAAATTCGAACCGCACGCGTAACAAAAGACGAAACCGAAACCTCGAAATGAACTTCGAAATCAGTTTCGAACGAAATTTAAATGCACTTTTAAAACATTTTATTTAAAATTTTTTAAAAAATCCAAATGTAAGGTTTTGAATCGAAAAATTGGGCGCTAGGACAAATGCGGTTTTTGGACATTTGCGGATCTGCGGTTTTTAGACACTTGCGGATTTTGGACATTTTCGGATTTTTTAAAAGTTTTTTTTTTATTTTTTAGTTAGTTTAGTTGTAGTATGGTACTAAATTGTACTAAAGTTTAAATTGGTGAGGTTTTAACATAACAGTACCTTTTTGGGCTTTTATTACCATTCAGTACCAAAAAATATAAAACAGTACCAATTTAAAATTTAGTACTATTTAGCACTAAAACATATTAAAACAGTACCAATTGAAACTTTAGTACCATTTAGTACCATAATACAACTAAATTAACTAAAAAATAAAAAAAACCCCTTTAAAAATCCGCAAATGTCCAAAAACCGCATTTGTCCTAGCGCCAAAAATTGAAGTTTTGATATCTAAAATAAAGTTATTGTTGACATTGCTTTTGTTCCAGGTCTTCGCATGGCAGATTCTGCGTGAATCCATTACGGACGATGAGCTACGCAACATTCAGATCTCGCTACGGACGTTTCACGGTGAAAGTGCGCAACATCTGTTGTCCAGGCAATTGCCCAAGGTAAAAACGGCAAAATCTCATTTTTTTAACATTAAACATTTTTCAAAATTCAATTTAACTTTAAGTGACTATCTTATTTTTCAACAAAAACTTGTCCATTTTCTTAATTTTATACCTAAAACAACATTCTTTCAAGCCTAAAATAACATGTTTTTTAGGTTTTCCTGTCAAAACCTAACTTTTTGGTTTCAGATCCGACTGGTCGTTGAATCAACGATGAGCTACTTCAAATGGGATCAGTTGAGCGACGAGATGCAGCTGAGCAAAGCCAAGTTGTTGTTGTCGCATCTCAAAAACAATGCCAAAGTGAGGAATTGGACGTTGAGAGAAGGTCGCCCTAACCGGTGAGTTCAATAATCTTGTTTACGATACGTCATTTCGAGAGTCTGTATGTGTTTACAGTCTTAATAGTATTACTACAGTCTTATCGGTGTATTTTGAGATATACTGATTATGGTATTAAAATGGTAGTGGTTGAACTTACAGTCTTAGTGTTACTGCCGACTTGACTTCTATATCTAGACAGCTTTTATAGTTCAACTTCTGTTTATAGCTGTGGAAGACTGTTTACCTTATTAAGAAGTAGATATCTAACCAAGTACTATATTATAGTAGCTTTCTATCCAAAAGATTAATTAAAAGTGCATTTCCAAATTTCAAAATTCGAGTTTTTGGGATCCAAATTAAAGGGACAGTTCAGAATCCCACATCTAGTGAGCTGAGCGAATTACAAGTCGGTCGCAGTTATTTGTCGCTAATAACCGTCGTATGTTCGCGAAAAGACGTACGGTAGAGTAAAAAACCGGAGAGTGAAACTGCAAAAAAGACTTGACCGGACCAATCAAATTAGAATACCACGACTTAATGGGTCCGATTCACTTTCTAATCTGCTTATTATTGAGTTTGAACTACAATGAGTGGATTCGAAAGTAATTACCACGCCCGACCTTCAGGCCATTTCGGGGGATTGCACTTTAGGGTTGAGTAAAGTTATTCAAATTTCAAGATATTAGGGTTACAGACGAGGTAATTGATTGTCTTTTAGTCTTGAGATCATAATTTCGTCGTACAGTATATTATAGGACTTTCTAATGCTTAACTTATATCTAAATCGACATTCACTCTCTATTCCAATATGATATCACATAAAACAAACAACTACATAACTAACTAAACTACCTTATCTAAATACTCAAATTCCAGAACCCAAAACAATCAGAACGCCGAGAACATTTGGAAACGATACGCCGCTCTACTTGGCCCAGGAGGCTTGGCCGCGGTCCAGTTGTTCGGCAAACAGCCGGGCCTAGCCACTAGTCCACCAACGACCCAGTCGGACTTTGGCAAGTCTTCTTAAGACAACCGGTTATCACACTCGAGATTACAAAATACTGAGCCCACTTGATGATAATACCTATGGTAATACCTAAATCGTGACTTGCTACATCGACCAGTCAACATTTTTTAGCCTGTTACAACCTCGGCTACGTCCAGTTAACAAAGACGGTGAACATAATTGGCTGTACCCTCCAAAAATTGGTCGAAGAACAACAAATGTGGCCCGGTAACTAGCCAGCCGGTTGTTTTTAATTCCTTTCGTTCTTATCTATCTATCTCTTATCCGAACAAATCTGAGTTGCTTTAAACTAATTACTGGATATGTTTTGAAAGTTGATACGGGTCTTATGTAATCCTATTTTTTAATGGACATTAACCCTTCGTGTGCCTTCATTACTGTTTACAGTCACAATACTTAATTTACATTTTTCAAAAGTATTTAGTTACTTTTACATTTTAAATCTTTTTAGTACAATATGTAGTGATACAGTTACAAAAGTTATGTTTAGTAACAATGTAACTGTACTGTAACATAATATAATAGAAATGTTACTGTTAAACCACCAAAAACCATTTTAATGCTTCTGAAGGCCGCGGAAAGAAAGCTGTTTCCTCTCGTAGAATGTTTTCTGCACATATCGAATTGTAACTCCTCTCGATATACCCTGATCGTCTGATATTGTTCCGAACTTTTACATTTCTATGTTCCTGCTTGTACCGTAACCTTTGCCTACTATAATATTGTTCTTAAACTTTTAAAACTCATTTTAAACCATTTTCTCACAGTATCTTGTTCTTACATGATCTTATCTTGTTCTATGATCGTATGTTGTTCTTACATTATCGTATCTTGTTCGTATCTTCTACTATACCGTTGTTCTCCCGGTTGTGGGCCGGTAGTCCGCCCGAGCCAGTCCAGTGCAATCTTAATCCTCCTCTCGACTTTCATTCACCAAAAGATTTTATTAATTAACAATCAATTCCACTCGCAATTCCAAAGATGGTGTTAGGTTTCCTCTTACTGTAATGTACATTCATATTCCCATTAATCAGAATCACAAAAACACATTTTAAAACGAATTCTTGCATCTAATAAAGAATAATTCTCTAGTTCGGGTCGGTTATTCATGAGCTAAACGAAACGTGCTTGATTGCTGATGTTACTGTAGGTACATGGAGATCATGCATACGATTGTTAGAGTCCTTAGGTAATGATGGTTTAATAATTCATGGCTTTTGGATTATGATATCAGAAATGGTATTTGATTTTGTATCAATAACAGTGATTCCTGTTAATGAAGCCTTGAAAAGAAAGTATCAGAGACTGACTTCAGAATCCGCTACATCTACCTTAAGTTGAAACATAGCGTTCAGCAGCCTCTGTAGGGGCTATGTTATCAGAAACCGCCTTCATAATCCTCTCAAACAACAATAACATGAAACTTTTGCTTCAGAGCCCATTCAAACATCATTCCGTCACAACATGGCTCCAGAATCCTTTTAAAACCAATAACATTCCTCCAGAATCCTTCCGAAAGTCAACAAAACGCAGAATCCTCACTCCAGAATACCTAACTAATTCTCTGTCTCCAGAATCCCCACCCCGTACCGTAGCCACATTTCATTGTGTAATATTATTTACCAGCCGGTTGGTTGTTGACAACCCCAAACCCCGTTTATTGAATTATAATTGCCCTTGCGTTTATCCCGAAATCAGCCCAATTTACTTCAAAAAACCGTCATAACCACCGTGGTAAACGAGGCAGAGTCCTTTATTTACGCTGGACAATAAGAGCGAAGAATAATAATTGTTTTTGGAGCGACAAAAACCCCCAAAACGAAGGGCGACTCCACCAATGAGAAGAGGTTACGGTACAAACTGTTTACAGGCAACCATCTCGGTACGGTAGGGGCTGAACGCCAAATGGTGTAGGGTGTGGTGAAACCGAGATTGTGAAATCATTCCTTTTTGTTATATTTACTAATTGAAGTTTTGGTAAACAGGTGAAATAAAAGTAAGTGTGATAATTGCAAATCGATATTTATTTGTGACATTTCGTCTTCTTTATCAGTTGTGGCATTTTGTGTTTGCATTTGTCTAAAACATTGCAACAAAAACCTTACGTTGAGCAACTACCAGACATATTAGTTGGTAAAACATCGCAATCTAGTTGTTCACAACAACAAACATCATTTTGTATAGCCTGAGAACCAATAGTTGACTAACACAACTCTTTTAAAACATTGTGAACTCACCTACAATAAATATATCTCTTCTTTTGTAATTGAATAATTATGCTTCTGAACCCATCTTTATAACTTGTTAGTCAGGTTAGAATTGATTTCCTCTAAAACCTCTAGCTTAACTTCCAAAACCCTCTGCTTGGCCGCTGTGTGTGCAAACGTTACTGTTATTTCCGCTTGATTCGAAGAGTTTCCAATCAAACTCTTGTATTACCCAAGTGCTTATACCACTCGAGAAAACTGTACCGTAGTTTCATTGTTCTACCTGACCACAAACGCTTTTTTGTCAAACAGGTGCACGAAGAAGTTAAGAGCGTGTGTGTTGTTAGCATAGCCTTTAATAACTCTTGGCCGGGCACTTGTGCCTCCTCGAGAGGTTCATAAAACAAACTTCGATCAAGAAGACAATCGCTTTTCGCGCTTCGCAGCCCCCGACAAGTAATAAATAATAACCTGATGATTTCGCTTCCGCTTCGCACGCACAAACCCCCATTTCCATTAGGCGGCGCTTTACAATAATATACAACCATTTCCGCACCACAAAGCAGATCCATAAACTTTGTAAACTCGGACCAAAATCCAACAAAAGCGTAATTGCCCTGCGGAGATCAAGGTTTAACCAGGTTAGAGTTTGACCAAACACTGACAGAAAGTCACGGTGGGCTTCACAAAGCTACCATAATCAGAAGTTTTAAGGTCACAAAGCATTCTACATAAAGATATTGGATTCTAGCACAAGATATACCACAACACGCTAACATATTTTACTACATACAACTTTTAATACTTATACTAGCAAGACGGATAATAAAATCTTTAAACAAACAGTAAAAAAAGCCTACAGTAAAAAAAGCCTACCTTAACAAAAAAACATCAATGGAAAACAAATACCAGCCGGTTAAAACAACACTATTACAGCCATGCCAATCTCAAACAAAGTTAAAAATAATTTTTATTATAAGAAATTTACAACATTATATTATTACAGTATGATTGAGCAGTTAAAGTTCGGAGTGAGATTCAGTGGACTCGTTAGCACAAAGAGCATTTGGACGATCATAGCAAATCATCTTCTGAAAAACTTTTATAAATAGCAGTTATTTTTGAATTATACAGAAAGAAACCGTTTTTCCAACAAACATGACAATATAGATTATATTTAAAAAACCAAAGGAAAGCTTTCATATAATTTCAAATTTTACATAGACACTTGAATATAAACTTACAACAACATCTTGCTTGAACCGCCCTTGGTAGAACCACTCCTCCAGAATGTCCTCGTTGACTTCAAGAACATGTTCACAGTCAAACTTTAGTCTAGCTGCTTCAATTGGAGGTTCATCCCATAAGTTCATTGGAATGTCAGAAGTAATCTAAAAACGGCAGATTTACAGAATATTTCAAGGTATTATCGAGTATGTACTAATGTAAATTATAAGATAGCGTAAGTTAATATCCCAATGTGAGTCATAAAACCTTATAAAAACAATGGAGATTGATAAATATAATCTTTCAAGCACAAAGGAAGAACCTTACTTTAGTCCCTTGATCGGCCAATTGCTTCAATTTGCCAATAAATTCGCTTTGAGTCTTTTGAAAACGGTCTACTCCATACTTATCACGGTGAACATTGAACTTCATCATACGCTCACAAAAGTTCTCAATCATGTCCAAAAATACTCCTTCTTGAACTCCTTGTGAGGCCTACAACGACAGGACTGCCACTTAACAAAAAATACTCATCTATAAGTTACAAACGGTTACAAAAAAATTTTAAACCTTCTAAAAGGCGTCCCGATTAAATTAAAACTTTAAAAATGTCAGTAAATAATACCTAAAAAACAAATATAACTTACAAATTTTTTGGATAACTTCTCTGATTCTTCTTGGAACTCCTTGACAGCAACTCTACATGATTCACACCTGGTGGGCAACAAAACATCACCTTCTTTTATCTCTTTCATAGGAAAATTCGCTGACACTGGCACCAGGCATACCAAAAACAAGAAGAATATACTATTGCTGAGGCTGAATCCGCCTTTCATCGTTCTCGTCGTTCTCACGCTCCGTTCTACCTTCCTCAACTTCCTCGTCTTCGGAACGCTCGTTTGAGTTGGGCTGCTGTTCGTCCGCCACGTGATTAGTTTGCTGCAAATTATGCAAATTTGAGTTTCTTAAAACTAAACTTTCAATTGATATTCGAATAATATTTTTAAAAAACCTTATAAAACGTTCTAATCTGTTCAAAATGAGTGAAACGTACCAAGATCCGTGCCCGTTTTCTGAGGTAAAAGTGCCATTGCAACAAAAGTTGATCTTCGACAAACTTGGCATTACTTGATAGCACCATTGCTTCACGAAACTCTGGGTTTTGAAGATTCTCCAACATTGATAAGCACTGAGGGAATTTGAGGCATCTGAACAGTAATGTAGTGTTATAAAATGTTTCACTTGAATAATCTAAACAACAACAAAAATAAAGAAAAACGACTTACTTCGCATATTCAGGGCGTTTCCAGTACAACAAGTATTTTAAGTAATTCAAAAAGTATTGTTCCTTAAAAAATCCACGCTGTGCTATGTCTAAAAAGGTCTTATCAGTTCTCTGCTTTGCATTTCTTTTCTCAATAAGAAAAACAACAACACCAAAAAAATAAGAGTAAAACAAATTAAATCTTATTATAAAATCCGTAAACCTTACACGTAATATAATGCGGGTTAGCCAATGATTGTACGAACTCGCATTCAATCTCAAATCTTCTCTGACTCTCTTCTGAAGATTCTTCTCGTGGTTCTGCCAAGTTGGGGTTCAAAGAAAAGTTACCCAAAGAACCCAAGTGATTTGAACCTGAACACAAACTTTGTTAATTTAACTTTGACTTACTTCTCGGATCCAGTTTGAAGGCGTTGACCTGAATTCAGGTCACTGAAGCAGTCGAGTTCAAAATGGAAAACCAAAGTTAGATAAAGCTTCGCAAAAAGAAATAAAACAATTACGCGCAGTCTGCGACCTACACTTTGAAGCTTGCACTGCGTTGTTTATACGAGGAAACGATAATTTGTCGAACAAATTTCTGTGAAAAATAAAGGGCAAGACGAAATACTGGAATATTTTATTTGTCAAAAACATCAACGAACCACTTTACTATAAAAATATATACACTTTCCAAAAATAGTTGACACTAATATCCGTTGGCATCTGGAGCTCGCATTTTAACTTCCCAATCGTACTTCTCCTTGACGTCCTTGATTCCAGCTTGTTGCCAAGCTTCTTCCATCTTTCTCCAAATTTGTTCGTAGTTAATCTTGTCGTCGCTGGTCAGACACGAGATGTAGGTATACAAGGCTGAATATTGTGATGGACAGCCATTGAAGAGGGTCTGGTCGGTGATGGACTGTCTTTTGGCTGAGGCCACCATATCAGGAGGACAGTTCTCCCATGGCAGTTTGGCTGTTGTCATATCGACCAGTAGGAATACGAGGGCTTCGACGTCGTGGCGGGCTTCTACTGACCCTGAAGAAGTAGGAATATTAGTAATATTTGCCAAGATCTTATCATCATAATTTATGTTATTTTAAGAAGAATAACTTGTTTTTGGATTAAACAATGCACAGCTTATAGTTCAGCCAAACACTAGCTTGAAATAAGCCCTTTCTCAATCTGATACTAAACATTACCTCCATTGTGATGTTGCATTGGAGCGTACAGCTGAGGACCAGCCCATTTGACTGTAGCATTCAGCTTAATTTTGGCCGGATCAACTCTAACACTGCTCAGATCGCTGAGGTAGATAGATTTGGTGTGGACGTCAAATTTGATGACATTTGGATCCATACGACGCAACAAGTAGTTCAGGTTGTGGACAACGTCGATTGCCTAAAACAAGTAGTATTTTGTGAATAACGTAAAGTCATACAAATAATTTAAACAATCCATTCTAACCAACATAATACTCAAAAATGTAAAACCTTACTTTAGAGATATGGTAAGCCACTCTGACAGCCGTACCCACAGTGAACTTTCCCTCAGACATTGCTCCCAAACACTGATTCAGCGACGGTCCTGGTCGGAATCTGGAGACAAAGTAGATGATCTTCTGGTACCGTGCCCCATGCATGAATTGGACGAAATGATCGCAGGCATTGGCATGAATAACAGCCTGAAGGAAGCCGGCTTCGGATCTGACTAAAGACAATAGGTTCTTCTCAGAATCCACCTTCACGATGTAACCATCGCCTTCCTGGCTGATTGCATTGTACGTTAAGCCTAGTACAGGATGGGACTGAGCTAATTCTGTCAACTTGTACTTTCCTGCCAGAATGGTACCAATAGGAAGTTGGTCTACTTTGGCTGAAATTAGATTTTTATATTATGTTTGGAAAAAAAACCTTTTGGAAATTTAAAAACTAAAATACTAGAAAAGATAGTAAAAGTACCTTCGTTCTTGTTGTTGCCTCCTTCGGCGTTAGCGTTGTTGTTAACAGGCATCCTTTATTGTTCTGAAAACGACCGGTCACAAAGGTTATCACAATATGTAAAAAGCAACCTGATTTTGTTTCAAAATAAAAAAAACAAAATGATGGAATTATGCAGTTTTTATATTGAAAAAAAAATAGTTTAAGCATTCGCAGAAATAATAATTTTAAAAAAATTTATTTCAAAATATTTGAGAGACGCAAACTTTTGGCGTAGTGTTGCAAGCGTCTTTTGTACTGTAAGACACAAAATATCTTTACACCTTTTCGAAAGTTTTTTTACTAATTTGCTTTACTGATAAGTCACCTTCTGTATAACCGTGGTAACTGCTATCTCATACTATTCACTTTCTTGTATATAACACCTTTTATCGTATAACATGTGCTTGTTGAACACACAACTCATTAAAATTTAAAAAACGATCATAAAACTTTATTGAAGCTCTAATAACATTTACAGGTACATATGACGTTGAGATCACGGGTTGTAGCATTGTCTGTAGCATCTGTCCTTGGAAGCACAACAGTAGTCTTTGATCTCATTCTCTGAGCCATGCCTTGTCGTACAGTCGAGTAAGGCCAGCTGGGTTACGTTGTAGAAGTGTTCGACTAATCCTGTGTCTGAAATTTAAATTTTGAAAAACTTTAGCTGATAAAAACATGTTAAACAAGGCTTTCGGTCTAAAAGTCCATAGAACCTAAATATGTATTCTTGCCTTTTCTATTTAATTTTTGACCTTTTTAGCTAACGCGCCACTTAAAAAAATTTCGTACTTTTGTTTCTCAAAGACAGGTCTATTATTTTTAGTTTTTTAATCTCAAACCGGAGCATCTGATTCTCATCGTACGGTCCCACGCCCATTATTTGCGCTACTGTTAACGTGCAATAACGAGATATAAAACTATTACTGATGGTCAATAGCAAAATAATAGTACTCGTTGAATGACCAATATTATAAAGGTTACTGTAACTCTCCCAGACGCTTTCAAAAACTGAACTCTATTTGGTCAAAGCTTATTTTGAATGGTACTATGGAATCACCTTACTCCCTCATGAAATTCTACGCACTTTTAAACGTAAAATTTACTGAAAGTGTACAGTAAGCTTTTTCTACAGTATACCCAGCTAAAACATTTATAACAATATTTAAGTAGACTTACCATTGTTGTAGAACGTTCCCTTTAAGCACGGCCAATGTTTCCCAACGTACGTGCACTCCTTCACAATGGCGTCAGAAGTCTGCTGAATACATGTTGCCAGCGCTTCCTTTGCTTCATCCACCTTATCCTTCATCAACTCTCTCCACTCGTCGAATATAGGGTAGATGCCTAAACTCCGCTTCTGAAACCTTCCGTTGGTCTTCATCCTCAAAAGATACTGATAGTACGGTTGACGGGGCAGTGATAAGACACCATCGTTCGTGCTTAGCGTGTATACATCTTCACTCTCACCAATGTTAACCACAACAAACATCAATAGGAAAAAGAAGGTACACTTGACCATGGTGACAACAATGGCACGTCACAGAATGAAGCCCCGAGGCTATTGAGGCAGCTTTTATTCCAAATCAAGTAAGTACCGCCCATTCCAAGTGCAGTATAATACTAATTAGCTATGCACTGTTGGTATAAACAAGTTTAATTACCTAAACGGTCAGTTTATTTTCAGCATCTGACGTTAATTCCAGAGACGTTTAGACTTTGTGTGAATTAGTATAAACATGGTAATCTATTAACTGTTACTTTTGCTAGCTAATTGGCCTTGTTATGACAAGTACAGTCTCATATTCTTACAGTTCTCCGTTCAGAGCTTCTCACGGTAAGACAACAGCGTGTTCCTTTTAGACATAACATAAAGAATATATTAACCTTGCCTATTTTAAAAATAATGCTCATTAATAAGTAAATATTTAATCTCAAACAGACGATAAAAGCATTCTTTTTTGTCTGCTTGAGGTATTTACATGTAACTTTTTACTGCTAGCATAAAAATGTCCATGTATACTTGAAGATACGACAAATATACTTGTCTATCCATCCTCAAACCCACTACTCTTGGCATACAATACCATAAATAAACAACTATTCTTAATTAGTATAAATTCGTTTATTTAAAAGCCATAGACAACAATAAAAAACCTTCCAAGATGTCAAAGAGATCGAGTAACCGAGAATAACAATATAATACGTATGATTATTATGAAATGTCAAACACCAGCTTGAGATATGCATCAACGATATATATGTTGACGTAAAGAATATATAGGAATTCATCACCGGCTTTATTAATAAATACCCAATACATAAAGACAACTAGTTGATTCGCAAAATTGATATTGATTTGGCGAGACTTTTTAAGCTATTATATAAGAATAAACTACTACAACATCAGATTACCCCACTCTTTTCCAATTCCCCTGCTGTTACAGCAAAATGCAAAAATAAATCAGTCTTAAAGTCCTCTATCAACAAAAAATATTACCCATTCAGATCCCAAAAACAGATCCAAAACCCTTACTAAAGTTGCCTGCCTCAACATTCTCAGTTAGGACCGAGCATAGCTAAACGAAACTGAATTTTTAGCCGGATTCTGAGCCGACCGACTAAACATAGGTCCAGTAGGCTCCACTGGAGCAGTGACAGAATAAGTAGACGCCATAAAAGAGTTATAAGCTCCACTGAATGTTGGATACTCAGGAGGGTTGTACAAAGCCGGAAAGGTTGGTGTATACTGCTGCTTTACTGGATATGGTTGATAAGGAACTGTGGGTTGGGTGGGAGCATACTGTTCATTCTGCCCGTACTGCGACGTCGGTACGTACGGTGACTCTCGTTGATTCTGACCGTACTGTGGATTCTGTCCATACTGATAACTGCCACCACATTGAAGATTCTGTTGAGCAAGTTGTCCATATTGTACAGTAGTTTGGCCATACGCTGGATTCTGACCGTACTGTGTACTTTGCTTACTTTGTAAAGACGACACATACGGGGCTTTCAGCGTTGTAGAATTGTACGTTGATGTATGTAGGTACACAGAAGGCTTGATTAGCGCAATAGGTTGAACCTTCACTGAATACGGTCTTCGCAGATTGACAGGATTACTCATGTTTTGAACTCCAGCATACGACACAGGCGGAGCAAACGTCGGGGGAGGTGGCACGGGAACCAAACTGTTCACCATCTGACGGAGATACGTATCCCGTAACTGAAAATAGAAGTAATAGCTTACTTTAAATTCCTCTTAAGGTTTAAAAACAAGGTATTATGACGCAGAAACAAGAGTAAATTTAATTTGTTCCTTAGTGAAAATCAAAACCAACTTAAACATTTTACCATTGGCAATTGCTGATATTGCTATAAAACAAAAGAAAAAATACCAAGTAACGACAAAACGTTAAGATAAACCTAAAGATAATCAAAAACCCTTACCTCCATCATTAAAAACCCTAGAACATTGTGCCCTTGGTGAATAATCGGAAACTCTATGCTACTGAAGCACTGAAGATTGGTTGGCATCTGAATCAACTTGTTCTGAGTCTCCAACCACCGCATGAAAACAAATTGTGAAGAACCGGAAGTAAAAAACCTGTCCCCGTTGTAGGTATTGACCAGCACTTTCCTGTCCGTTTCCATCAACTTTTTCCTCAAAAGCGGGTTCTGATCAAACTTAGCTTTGATGGCATCGTAAAGAACAGCGGGAGCACGACGATTCTTCCATTCGTCAATCTGAGGTTGTCCAACCCTTCTCGACTTTACAAAACTTCGCACTTTCAACCTGATCATATGCGGGTCGACTTTTTCCAATTTCAAAGAACTCGCTGCTCTTCTGTCCAACAATTCGCACAGCTTCGTGAACTAAAACAATATAATTAAAAACAAACGTCAGAAAGACACAAAAACATTACAAACAAAAGTACTGAAACCCATTTATCTTATTACCTATAAAATTACAACTTAAATTATCATAAAGAACAGAACCAAACTAAAACAATATAGCTCACCTGATAATAATGCTCGACTGACGTAAACCACTGGCCATTCAAAAAGAAGTCACTCTAAAACAAGGTACTATACGACTCAAATTTTAAAATTGCAATTCATGCTAAAAACACCAAAATCTATAAGAATCCAAACAAAAAACAAGTTGACAATTTTACCTTGCTTATCATGGTCATGTAGGAGCGTTGTCCATGAAAAGCAATGACATTGCCCTTCTTCAAACTGTACTCTGTGAACGGCTTTTGCATCTGGAAGAGGCTTATTATAGACAAGTTGTAACTTTACACAAAAAACGAGAAAAAAATATTTTTGGCAATTTTAAATCACGAAACTCGGGTCTGTGGGCCCTTCTCACACGAGATCGAAAGATTAAACAAGGTTAATATAATGAATAAACTTTCTTTTCGAGAATTGTTGTTAATTATTACCTGATTTCACTAATCTATGGACAATTCATCAGAATCAGAATTTTAGTGGCTTCACGCTATCTCACACGTTACCACCACCAAGGCCCCGAAACGAAAACATTTCCCGCGCAAGAAGCTTTTGATTTGGTTTTTTTAGAGAAAATAATTTGGTCCGATAATATTCTGTCTGATTTTTTCATTGGTTTTCGGTTGGCGTCAACTGATTTTCTGTAATTTTCTGAAAGAAAAAGTAATATTTTAGATCAGTTTGTTATATTTTTTTCGATATTTTCAATGTTAAACTTGGGTTTTTGCAGGTAATGGCACCGCCAAAACGTAGTCGAGTATCGACCCCTCCACCTCAACTTGACAGAAGCCACTTGGCTCGACATGCCAGACCCACTTTCTCGTCCAATGCCAAAGCTGCTAAACCATCTGGAAGAAAAACGGCTCCAGCTAGGAACGTTGTTGTTAATGTAACAGTCAATACTAAGACGGAGAACTCGGAGACTGCTAATTCAAGATCTAACAGTTCAGTGGGTTTTTCAAATTCTGGTGGTTCTACATCAAGATCAGTTACTGTTGGTGCCCCTAGGTCAAGATCAAGAGGTGCTGTCGCTTCTTCTTCAAGAAATACAAATGCCTCAACTTCTACACGTTCAATTGCGTCTACATCAGCTTCAGAATTGTCTTCAATTCCACTGAATGCTGCTTTTGTCTCTCCAAACGATACTCAAGTTGGGGTAAGAACAGCTCATCGTGGTCTTGCAAACATTCACAGTAATATGAATGTACTGAGAAACACTACTGTAATTCGAAGACAAGTATCAAAAAGAAGGATGCCTACTAGCCTGGAAGCTTCAAACTCGTCTGATCTATCTAACACCTCATCTATAAGTTCGAGCAGCTCCAGTTCTACATCAAGTTCATCAACATCAAGTGCGATGTCAACTAGTGACAGTTCAATCAGTTCTGTGCAAATCGACAGTCCAAGCAGCAGCTTCTTGGTGTTACCTCGGCAAAACTATTTGGCAAGTGCGGATATGAGAAGTGTTATTGATGGTCTTTCGGCTGATGAAATCATGGAAGCCGTACGAGCTGAAGAGGCCTTGGAAAGGCAGAGACGTCAGATTCAGGAGGATGAACAGTTGGCTCGGCGACTTGGAGCTGGTGGTGTGTTATACCAGGATGCCTTGTCTATGATTAGACTTCCGCCACCTCAGTCATCTGCAGTTACTACTAATGCTGAGCTTGCGCAATTTTCATTGGACGATACGAAAGACTACGGTAAGTGTTATTAGTTTTTTTTTCTGTTTTAGCTAATAATATCAAAGATTTTTTCGGAAGTTTCATTCTTGTTTGTGTTTAGACTTAAACTGCAGTCAATGATTTTCTTTTGAAGGGATTAAGTTTGTGGTACAAGAACGATACCTATAATTATAGTTTTAATCAGTTATCATTTGATACCGGATTATTTTTCAGATACAAGCTGTCTGATCTGTTTCGACCGTCCAAACAATCCAGTTCAATGTCGATTCTGCAAACAATGTGTGGGTTGTCGGATGTGTGTCAAGAGATGGTACGATGCTGCTGATTCGAAGCATACCTGTCCATTGTGTCGTCATGTCTGGCATTCTTTTGGAGCTACCAGTGTTCAACCTTGCTAGTAACATCGTGTACAAATAAAATTAACGTTTCTTTTATGTTAGCCTCTTTGTATTGTAAAGTTATGTTGTTTTACTGTATAGTAGTTTTCTGTTTTACCCTGCTGTACAGTAACACAACCCTTCTCAGCGTAATACAAATTACGTGTATCTTATTCAAGTACCATGAAGTTATTGTACCTCAATTTTATTGTATTTTTGAGTATTTTGTGTACTATTCACTTCCACTCATGTTTCTACGGGTTTACCATAGTAAACGGGTAACTTATATTTGGAAAATAAAGTGTTTTGTACTCTGTTTTTGGTTTATATATTGACATTGTTGCTTTAAATCTTTGATATTCTTTTAAAGTTATTGCATTCAAAGTAACGTTACCTTCAATTTCAAGTTTTTAGAATGTGGTGAATTAGGTTGTTTTTACAAGTTGCAAATCAAAATGATGTACAAATGACGTTATGATAAGTGTAATTTATCATACGTACGATAATCAAACACGCCTGTCTTTAGCTGACATATCAGGATTCCTTGGATGATACTACGTTTTGTGTCGTAGTGATATCAGTTACATCTAAAAAACAGACCCGTGATAAGAAAAGTCTATCCATCCTCGTCTTCTGTAGTTGACGCAATATCCGTTTTGGTTGGTATCAGAAATGGCAGCCGTACGTATGGGATCGTACTTGAAATCGCATAAGACGCATTTCCGGGTTTGGTGTCGCTTAAGCGGAGAAACTTGGAAAGACACGTTAATCCTCATCCGGAGTTGTCTACACGGGCTTACAACCGCTATAATTGTAAGGGTTGGAGATACGAAGCTTCATTTCGGCCGGCGATGCGTCTTTTGCTCGTATCGCTGCCATTTCTGCTTGGCTTCATCGTGCTACAGGTGTACGCAAATGTGGTCAAGATTGCACATTTGCAACCCAATGATCCGAACATCATGCACGAGCCGCACGTGCTCAAGATGTGTGCGTCTGATCTGAAGGAGAGGGCGATCTTGCCTAAAGATATCAACTTTCAGTGAGTTATGACGATTTATATTGATGCTTTGGAGATTACGGTAAAAAAATGTATACTAATGCTTTTTGTTATAGGATCTACACCATGGAGTCGTGTAATCGGTTTTCTGGTGTTGAACATGCAGCGTACCTACATTACCTGAAGAATGCTAGTGTCTACTTTGGACCTGGATGTAACAATGGTAAGCTTAATGCTATTTTATGTATTTTCTGACATCTAAACTTATGTATTAAATTCTTAAAAGTCGAAAAATGATACTGTAGTTTAATTTTTCGTAACATCTATTTATAAAATTACCGTAACCCACTTTTCAGAAATGTTGGTAATTGCCCGTCTTGCTTCACGGTGGAACGTACCAATTGTAGCCCACTTGTCTGGTGACGACGCACTGTCCGACCGGTCGGTATTTGATACTCTTGGCTCCGTAGCCTTGACGTCAGCTACTGAAATGGCTCGTGCTACATTGACGTATCTTCAGTTGTATGGGTGGAAACAAGTTGGTCTAGTTAAAGCTAGTGTCAACTTTGACAGATTGAGTTTACATTCGCTGAAGAATCTTTTGAAAGATCATGATATTGATGTGAACATCGAGATTGAATTGGATCCATTCATGACTCCAGATGAAATCATTGCTACTGGCAAACTGAAGCAGCTTAGAAACAAGGCTAGAGGTAAAATACGATGAATTTTGCTTTGTCATCAGATCATATATGTAATAAGCTATTATAAAAATATTTAAAGGGAAATATCTATGATAAACAACTTGAGATACCTAAAGTATTGTTTTAGTGATTATCGTGGAAATGGGTATGGATCTGCACACAAGTAGGGCCTTCATGGTCGCTGCCCATCGTTCCGGAATGAAGACCAATGATTTCGTGTATATTATCCCGTGGCTTGCTCACGTAAGTCTGAATTTCAACATAGACTTAGCACCGTTAATCACTAATACTGCAAAACTTACTAGGATGACGTTTTTAACTTATCAGAATTGTGCACAGTAGAGATTTGAAGTTTTCTTTCAAAATGTCGAACCAGGATATAAAACAGCATAATATGGCGCTAGGACAAATGCGGTTTTTAGACACTTGAGGATCTTCGGTTTTTGGACATTTGCGGATTTTTTAAAGGGGTTTTTTAATTTTTTAGTTAATTTAGTTGTATTATGGTACTAAATTGTACTAAAGTTTGAATTGGTACGGTTTTAACATAACAGTACCTTTTTGGGCTTTTAGTACTATTTAGGACCAAAAATATAAAAACAGTACCGATTAAAAATTTAGTACTATTTAACATTAAGAAATATTAAGACAGTGCCAATTAAAACTTTAGTACCATTTAGTACCATACTACAACTAAACTAAATAAAAATTAAAAAAACCCCTTTAAAAAATCCGCAAGTGTCCAAAAACCGCATTTGTCCTAGCGCCCATAATATCTATCTTGATTGTGAAATCATAAACATTTTTCTTATTACAGTACTCTTAACCCATTTTAGATGCACGACCACTACCCATGGGAAGCCAACAACATAGACAAGAACGAAGTCAGATTAGCGTACGACGAAACCATTGTCATCACAGCTCATGGTTATGATAAAAAGTTTATTGAGGACTTTGAGCATCGTTTCTCCCAATTGACCGGTATCATAAGTAGTCACTATGCCACTTTGTCGTATCTCTCTTTGTACGATGCACTGTTCTTGTATGGGCTGGCAGTACGAGATGCGTATGATGAAACCAAGAATGCCTCCATCTTTTTGGACGGTGGCTTGATCTGGAAGAAGATGACAGTACGACAGTTCATAGGAGTATCTGGTCAAGTACTCATGAACAACAAAGGAGTACGAGTGCCGAGTTATGCCACGTACTATGTTGTTAATGGTACGATGAGGATTGTGGTTGAATTGACGGCACGATTGATGGACAAAGCTAAATGTGCCATAGCTGAGAACGATTGTTCCGAGCACGTAGCTCACGAGGTCATGCCTCATTACTGGAGCACGTACGATGGAGTTATGCCTCCAGAGATGCCAAAGTGTGGATTCGATGGAGGTCTATGTGATTACACGCCGTTCTTTGCTGGAGCTGGTGCTGTCGTGTTCTTGGCCGTCGCTATACCTCTGGGTTACTTTATCTACATCAAAGAGTAAGTGGTCTATATTTACCTACATTAATACCTAAATGACAGGTTTTTTAAAAAAGGCACTGTATATATTGTAAAATATCCATAATACATTAATGTAACCACAAACGACTATAAATCTTGATTTCAGGAAAGAACGTATGTTATACGACATGACATGGCGTATCCCGAGAGAACAAGTCCGCCTTCTGGAGCACGGTACCAATTCCAGAAGTGAGAGCTCTATTGGCAAATCAGTAACCAGTGGTTCTGTCAGTGGTTCTATAGGTTCTAGAGCCAATTCGAGGTTAAGTGCTAAACAGGCCGTGGCCAATGGAGTACGATGTGCTTACAAGAGATACCAACAAACTCGCAACATCAACTTCCCCAAGGCTGATTTGTCTCGTCTGAAGGAGCTGAAGCTGATTGAAAACGAGAATCTGAACAAATTTTATGGAATCTGCTTCAATCAACAGAATGAGTTTGTGGTACTCTGGGTTTTGTGTCAACGGGGAAGCTTGGAGGTAAGGTTTGGGTTATATAGAGGGTTTATATGGATGTTCTAAAGGGTTTCATGACATTATAAAACATTTTTATATAGATTATGTAATATTAGGTTAGCCCAAAGTAGTAGGACGTAATAGATTATATAAATTCTGATGTTTCAGGACGTTTTATTCAACGAAGAACTCAAAATCAGTCGAAATTTCCAAGTTTCCTTTGCCAAAGATGTTGTTAAGGTAAGTAAATCAATAGTTTATTTAAAACTCCATATGAAATAACTTTCCCCTTTTTCTTACCGACCTTAAACACGATGTAAAATAGCCTCAAAGACAATATAACACCTCATTATAAGTCTAGAAAACCATATAAAACACCTCGTTTTAGGGTCTTGGCTTCATTCACACCTCTCTAATCAAATACCACGGCTTCCTGTGCCTCCAGAATTGTTTGGTCGATTCAAATTGGAATGTCAAACTGACAAACTTTGTAACGGAAGAAGTAATTGCTGATAAACTTCGCCATAACGAGCTGAAGTACTTCACGATAAAGCCTCCGGTGTCGAAGAAGAAGAAGGGAAAGAAGGAGAAGGAAGTGGTGGAGAAGGGCAGTGACGAGAGTGAGAATGAGGCTACAGATGAGAGCGACAACATTCTGGAACAACAACAACGCAGTATGTTGGAGAAGAGCGACAAGAACGCTACTAAAAGTGGGTTTTAAGGTTTAGATGGAAAAGAATAAAAAATTTGGAAATAGTTTTGTCTTAACACGAAAACATGACTATTAAGGAAAATTCAAGAGGTGACCTTACCTTTTTTGGTACTTTCATATGATATATGATCATGTTTAATATAATGATTTCAGAATACATTCAACAAGCTCCAGAGATCATTAGGGAACTTATTACCACCAAATACCTGCCGCCTGGCTCACAATCCGCTGATATGTACAGTTTGGGTATGGTACTATACCAAGTCTTGTTCAAATTGGAGCCTTTCCACGAAAAGAACTTGAGTCCTAACAGTAAGTCGCTTACTATATAACAATATACGTTAATCCGTTCATTTTTTGTTAAATTTTTAAAACTGTATGGTACAGCACGAGTACTATACTAAAAGAGCAAGTCATAGTTAAAAGCTTTTTGCACAATCATACGACTGTTATTCTCAAAATGACAATTCCAGAGTTAATGGAGATGATAGCAATGGCCAACGATGACGATCAAATTCTTCGCCCGTCGTTCCCCAACCAACAGAATCTGAGCACTGATGAAGCTTACAACCTGCAGTTACTGTCAGCCATCGAAGCTTGTTGGCTGGAGATCCCTGAGATGAGGCCAAACATCAAGAGAATGAAGTCCATGGTCAACAGTAACCTCAAATCCACCGCCAGCGGCACACTGGTCGATCAGATGATGAAAATGATGGAGGATGTAAGTCTTTGATTAACCATTTCATACCTATGATGTAGCCTCTTACATATACTTTTTAGTCTAGTCGATAAGTACTATTATATGTTATGAAAAATAATATGTTACAGTATACCACAAACTTGGAACAACTTGTAAAAGACCGAACAGCCATGTTGGAAGATGCGCAACAACAAGCTGACCGACTATTGAAGAACATGTTGCCACCGTAAGTTTTGTGAAATTGTTTTACCTGAATTATAAGAGCCTTTCAGCATACGGTATTTTGAAGTATTTTTACCAAAATTTTAAAGTTTTTTTGGTCTCAAAACAATTCCTTCGACACAAGTGTTTAAAATATTGTTTTAGATCGATAGCCGAAGACCTGAAAGTAGGTAAGCCGGTGATTCCTCAACTGTATCAGAACTCTACCGTGTTATTCTCTGACATCAGAGGATTCACCAGAATCTCGTCGACGTCGACGCCACTTCAGATTGTCACATTCTTGAATGACATGTTCTCTGGCTTCGATGCCATTATTGCTAAACACGATGCCTACAAGGTCGAGACTGTGAGTTATTTTAATTTGACATATATTGTTTTAGATCGGAGATGCCTACATGATCGTATCTGGAGTACCAAAAGAGAACGGTAATGCTCATGTCTACCATATTGCCGAAATCGCGTTGAAAATGAGAACGGTAAGTATAGTTTTTGAAAACGTATAGTGTGAAGTAACCTTCGAATACTATGTCTTTATAATACATCTTATAAAACCACGTTTTGATACAATCTTGTTTTAGTTTGTGTCCAACTTCAAATTGGCCCACAAACCAGAAGAGGTGATGATGGTCAGAATCGGTTTCCACAGTGGGTCTGTAGCCGCTGGAGTAGTTGGATTGGCAGCGCCACGGTACTGTCTATTCGGTGATACTGTAAATATGGCTAGTCGAATGGAGTCCACTGGCCTGGCCAACAAGATCCAGACGAGTGAAGCATCATTCAATCTGCTACGCTGCTTCTACCAGAATTATCTACTGGTCGAGAGAGGCAAAGTCGAAGTTAAAGTAAGGTATTACTCTAATAATTTGGTTTTTTTGTGTTTGGTCCAAAAGTTTATAGAATCTCTTTAAAGTTTTGACAATGCTTTTCTATTGCCAGCTACTTTTTGACCAATGATATTGCAATACTGATTTCAATTATTAAATATTTTTTCAGGGCAAGGGCGAGTGTACCACTTGGTTCCTGGAAGGAAAGAAGAAGTAGACCATTTATATCATACATACAGAATCTCGGTGACGGACACTACCTACATGTAACAAAGTATCTTTCGCATTTTATCAGTTTTAGAAATAAAGGATTGGGTAATTATTGATTTGAATTTTGTCCTATATGCAACGTATTTTACCTTTTTGCTGCTTGATAAAACTTTACTTTGACTTTACTACTAAAAGTTGATGGTATTATGTTGTTTTTTAGTTTTATATATTTTCTTTACCACTTAGACTTTGTTTATCTCTTTGGTAGTACATCACATGATTTACATTATTTTATTTACTAATCTTCACCGTCTATCAACCACCACCCCTACCGTACCCCACTTGAACCTGGCTATGTTTTGACTGAATAATATGATTAAGAAATGGCTGTTACTTTACTTTTCGACGGTACTATGTAGGTCGATTAGGCGGCCTTAGCGCCTGAAAAAACGGCCATAATTGGGATCTCTGTTGATTAGGCGGATTAGCGACAGGAAGCGGCCGCTTAGGCGGGCTGTCTCCCGAGCCAAGCCCGAGCAGTCATTGCCAGTGATTGTGATGACCATGCCAGGTCCTCCGCTCCTTTCGCTGGCAATTGTGGTCGCAATCGCCAAGGCAAATGTGGTCAGAATCGCTCATCTTCAGCCGAACGACCCAACCATCATTCACGAGCCGAACGTGCTCAAAATGTGCTCACAAGACTTGAAGGAGAGGAACATTCTGCCCAGTGAGATCAACTTTCAGTAAGTTATTTTACAGTTTTTAGTAATACATTTCATTTTCATTAATTGCTATAGTAAATCTAACAGGAAAGGCGCCAAACAATGATAAGCAAAAAGCACTTGGTGAAACGAGACTATTCTACAAACTTTTTGACCTAGCTATTATCATTGAAACATAAGCATACTTTTCTTATCTTAATGCTGTCTCAGTAAGCCGTAACTTACGGCATAACTTCATTTTATTACTTATAAAACAAACCAACTACCAGAGCCACTCCACTAACCCTACTGTAACATATACCCCAACCATTATCCCCGAAACTGATCTTTGTCTGTTTTTTTAAAATTTTTAACCTTTTACTGGCTTATCCCCTATTACTGTACCCTCACAAAACTACTCCAGTAGTAAAAGAAAAGATAAAGGATTAAGATCGTACAACAGGAAATCACAAGATAAAACTTACAGTAACCCTTTCAGAGTGTTCACCATGGAGTCATGTAATCGCTATTCGGGAGTCGAGAATGCCGCATACTTGCACTATCTTCGAAATGCCAGCATCTACTTTGGGCCTGGCTGTAATAACGGTAAGATAAGGCATGGATAATATGAGTTATATTACACTAGAGAAAAGATAAAACTAGATAAAGGCGTAAAAACATATGTAAAACAAACTTCAGCATTCCTACGACTAAACATAGCACCATAAAAATTGAACTTACCACAGAAAGTGCACAAAAACATTTATAATTCTAGAAATGCTGGTAATCGGACGACTTGTCTCAAGATGGAACGTTCCTATTATAGCCCATTTGTCTGGTGATGATGCTCTCTCTGATCGTACTGTGTTCGACACACTTGGCTCAGTAGCCTTGACTTCAGCCACAGAAATGGCCAGAGCTACATTAACATACCTAAAGTTATATGGATGGAAACAAGTCGGTCTGATCAAAGCTAGTGTCAACTTTGACAGACTGAGTTTACATTCGTTGAAGAATCTTTTAAAAGATCATGATATCGATGTGAACATCGAGATTGAATTGGATCCATTCATGACTCCAGATGAAATCATTGCTACTGGCAAACTGAAGCAGCTCAGGAACAAGGCTAGAGGTAAAATAATATAAATTGAAAGGTTTTCTTGTTTAAAACACACCTAAAAACAACTCAAAAATTTAAAACAGATACATACAACATGTTTTTAGTTATCATTGTCGAAATGGGCATGGATCTTCACACAAGTCGATCAGTTATGGTCGCTGCTCATCGATCTGGAATGAAGACAACAGATTATGTCTATATTATCCCTTGGTTGGCTCATGTAAGTTTATATAAAACTTTTCCGATCACAATTATGTTTGTTGTCTATAGATCCTAAACAAAAAAACCTTATCTTTTAGGTGACAGATTTTTTAGAAAATTTGACATTTTTCTAGACAAATCTTGGACAGATTTTTGTCTTCGGCTGAAAAAAACAAAAAATAATAATTTTTGGCCAATTTATTGAAAGAATATCAAAGTAATTATATAAATTTACAGTTACACGACCATTACCCATGGGAAGCCAGCAATATCGACAAGAATGAGGTCCGGGTGGCCTTCGAAGACGCCATCGTGATCACGGCTCATGGTTACGACAAGAAATTCGTCGAAGAGTTCGAAGTTCGGTTCTCCAAAGTTACAGGAATTATCAGTAGTTATGTAAGAGGTTTTTACTAACTGTTTTTGAGAATACTTTTCAGATATTAACTATAAAACAGGTTATATTGTACATAAGAAAAATATTGTTGATCTCGGGATTTTTAGCCTAATTTTTTTCGTCTCACAGGGAAAGTGTCAAAAGGTGTACCTAACGCCCAGACATGTGATATAGCTCAGAAAAATTCTGTGATCGTCCTGATTAAGAAGACACTTTCCTTGTCATAAATAGAAAAAATAAAGTTTATGAAGTATTAGAAAATGGTTTTTAGCAAATTTAATTCATGTTTTAGTACGCCACATTGTCTTACGCTGCTTTGTACGATGCTCTGTTCTTGTACGGTCTGGCTCTGCGCGATGCCTACGATGAGACCCGAAACGCTTCCATCTACATGAATGGAGCTTTGGTTTGGCGGAAAATGTGTGGAAGACAGTTCATTGGAAGTACTGGCCAAGTACTAATGAACAACAAGGCTGTTCGAGTACCAAGTTACGCGACATACTATGTAAAGAATGGTTCAGTACGAATTGTGGTTGAATTGACAGCACGATTAAGCGAGAAGTCAAAATGTCAGGCTTCTGAAAACGACTGTTCTGAACACGTAGCTCATGAAGTTATGCCACATTACTGGGGATCGTACGATGGCTCCATGCCTGCAGACATGCCAAAGTGTGGATTTGATGGAAGCTTATGTGATTACACGATTGTGTTTGTTGTTTGCGGCTTCTTAGGATTCTTGGCTATTGCGATTCCATTGGGTTACTTTATCTACAAGAAGGAGAAGGAAAGACTACTTTATGATATGACGTGGAGAATACCTAGAGAACAAGTTCGATTGTTGGAGGGAAATGCTGGTGGAGTAAGTTTTGTAACTAAACGTTAACTTTTTGTTTTCTACAAAGTCAATGCATTTTATTTTTAAAAAATTTTTTAGCGTTCGGAATCTTCGATTGGAAGGTCGACAATTGGTGGATCTTCAGCTGGAGGAAGTATTGGGTCAAGGATCAATAACAGACTGAGTGCCAAGCAAGCTATTGCCAATGGTGTACGATGTGCTTACAAAAGATATCAACAGACTAGGAACATCAGTTTTCCTAAGGCTGATCTGTCCAGGTTGAAGGAGGTAGGTTTTACAACTTTAAGACAAGTATACTGATGTTTTATCACTTAAAAACCAGAAAATTGATGTAATATTTTATGTGATTTTTACATTTTTAGCTAAAACTTGTTGAGAACGACAACTTGAACAAGTTCTACGGAATGTGCTTTAACCAGCAGAACGAAGTCGTCGTACTGTGGTTGCTATGTCAACGTGGGAGCTTGGAGGTAAGAGCTAATCTTGTAAATCAACCTCTAGATTAGTTATCTTCTTTGGAAAGTGTTCAAAATAGTGTAAAATAACATTAAAGTTGAAGCAACATACATAAATGACTACAGTATTGTACTTCAGGACGTCCTATTCAATGAAGAACTCAAAATCAGCAGAAACTTTCAAATTTCTTTTGCCAAAGATGTTGTTAAAGGGCTCCACTTTCTTCATCAATCAGTCCTAAAGTACCATGGTATGTTGTGTCTACAGAATTGTCTGGTGGATTCCAATTGGACTGTCAAGTTGACAAACTTTGTGACAGAAGAAGTGATTGGTGACAAGTTGAGACACAACGAACTCAAGCTGATGGTGATGAAGATCAAGAAGCCGAAGAAGACAAAGGGCGGAAAAGAAAAGGCAAATGGAAAAGAAAAGGACACAGAATCGTCATCATCTTCTGAAGAAGACACTGAGTCCAAGGCCATGCATCAGAAGGCCATGAGCAAGAGTAAGTTAATATAAATGATTGAAGTAGTATAATCTCTAAAAATTGAGTTATTTTCTTAAAAAATTTAAACATAATTTTGTCATAACACGAAAATCAAGTAAAATTCAAGAAGGAACATTACTTTTTGATAATTATATTTGATAATATTGTCATGACTAATATTGTGATTTTAGAATACATTCAACAAGCTCCAGAAGTCATCCGTGAGATAATAACAACAAAATTCATTCCTCCAGGCACTCCACCAGCTGATATGTACAGTTTGGGTATGGTACTGTACCAAATTTTGTTCAAGATGGAACCGTTCCATGAAAGAAGTCAATCTTCTAATAGTAAGTGACTAATCACTGTTTTATGACTTTACCTATTTTTTTAGGTTTTGCAGAAATTTCCTGTCGTAACCTAAATCAACTTAAATTTTGTTTTTAGAGATCATGGAGATGATTGCCATGGCCAACGATGACGATCGTATCATCAGGCCAACGTTCCCGAATCAGCAGAATCTTCCACCAGAGGAAACTTACAACCTCCAACTGTTATCAGCTATCGAAGCTTGTTGGTTGGAGATTCCTGAGATGAGGCCTACCATCAAGAGGATGAAGACCATGGTTAACAGTAATCTAAAGAGCACATCAAGTGGTACACTGGTCGACCAGATGATGAAAATGATGGAGGATGTACGTTAATGTTAATGATTTCTAAATTGAAGTTTAATAATATTTTTAAGGTTAACACGACTTTAAAAGTGAAATTTTTAATGAAAATTAAAACCTCGTATTTTACAGTATACTACAAACTTGGAACAGCTGGTAAAAGACAGAACAATTATGTTAGAAGATGCTCAACTGCAAGCAGACAGGTTGTTGAAGAACATGTTGCCACCGTATGTTTTTAAGTCTGATATTTACTCACCATAGATATAATATAATTTAAAAAATGTGTTTTTTAGGAAAAAAATATTAATATCTTGGGCGCAGCTTGCGTAAATATAAGTTGCAGAAACTTTATACGACCAAAAGTTTCCTGATCCAAAATATTGTTTTAGATCGATAGCCGAAGATCTGAAAGTAGGAAAGCCAGTGATTCCTCAGCTGTATCAGAACTCTACCGTGTTGTTCTCTGACATCAGAGGATTCACCAGAATCTCGTCGACGTCGACGCCACTTCAGATTGTTACATTCTTGAATGACATGTTCTCCGGCTTCGATGCCATCATTGCTAAACATGATGCCTACAAGGTCGAGACTGTGAGTTATTTTAAAAAGTTTTATTTGGTTTCTTACTTTTTTTGTCTATAACTATTCTTTGACTTATATTGTTGTAGATTGGAGATGCCTACATGATTGTGTCTGGGGTACCAAAAGAGAACGGCAATGCGCACGTTATGCACATTGCCGAGATTGCTTTGAAGATGAGAACGGTAAGTTGTTTTTTAGTTATTTTTACTGTTATAACTCATTTGTTCACTTATAAATCTGTATTTTCTTATCTTAGGTTTTGATATTGTTTTAGTTCGTGTCTAACTTCAAATTGGCTCACAAGCCGGAAGAGTTAATGATGGTGAGAATCGGATTTCACAGTGGATCTGTAGCCGCTGGAGTAGTTGGATTGGCAGCGCCACGGTACTGTCTGTTCGGTGATACTGTAAACATGGCTAGTCGAATGGAGTCTACCGGCATGGCTAACAAGATTCAGGTTTGTTTTTTTTTGTTTTATGGTGTAGAGTAAGATAAATTGCGTAACCTACGGTAGCCGATTGTCGAAAAAGTATAAGAAACTAATAAAGATACGGGCAGGGACGTCGTTTGGGGGGGGTGATTCGGGGTGACTCCCCCCCAGAGCCAATCCGAAAAAAAAATCCACAGGTAGGTCTCCACTCCCTGTGGGTTTAATTGCATGCGAAATATTTATACGAATTTGTAACGCTATTTGTATTGGCATGGTAACACTTATTGTTTTCAGATCAGTGAAGCTGCGTGTAATTTGATTCGCTGCTTCTACCAGTACTTTATACTGACGGAGCGAGGGAAAGTGGAGATAAAAGTAGGTTATTCGAATATTAAAATGTATATGTTGAGGTTATTGACCTTGCCATTTTATTACTATGACTTATTAGAGTAATATAGAGCTAGAAATGATTTGAGCTAATGTCAAAGGCTTATCATTTTAAGTTCAGAAAAACCATTTCATGTAATTTTAATGTTAATATAACATCAACTGGTCGATTTTTTGACGTATTCAATGTTTTTTTATGACAAACATGGTTTATTGAAGTAATATAGGGTTGAAGTACCTATAGGAAGAAATTTATTGGAGTAATTTCAGGGCAAAGGCGAGTGCACTACCTACTTCCTCGAGGGCAAAGAGATGCACGGCCGCAAAAAATGAAATCTATATTAATATCGTACTATAACATGGCATGCGAGATGTATGTGCACATATATTACGTTACGCTGCATTGTAAATGGCTTCAATATTGTTTTCTTTTCGAATTTTGTCATTTCGGAATGTTTTGATGTCTTAGCGATGTTTAGGTAATATTTTATTTTTATAGTTATCTTTCTGGCTTTGAAGGATAAGAATATGTTGAGGTAAGTCGTGTTTACACTGTCTTCATAGAGTAATACTATATTTTTTGAATATTTTGATTCATATTGTACATAACCTTTTACTATGGCTACAAGTAGAGAGTTGACTACAGCTATGGAGACATAGCCATGATCAAACTTCTACAAATCTCATACTGTACAACTCTTTTGATTATGTTGTCTATGCATAACTGATATACGACTCTGAGCGTATCATTGAACGGTGATGGATACAGGATACAGAAGTCGATCTTATCTCGAATTAGCGAAGCCGGTGGCGGTCTTTTTGAATAAAAATAAAGCGTTGGAAGAAAGTGTTTTGCGCTCAAGTCATCCCAATTTAAGATTCGTGTCAATCAACGTTCGGTTGCCATAACATTTCTTGTTTCCAATGTTAACGTTTCCTATTTTTTCAGTTTTTTGGTTTTTATGGCATAAGTTTTCTTAAAATTGTTTGTTTGACAAGGTTGTTATTACAATCAGTAATAACTGTTTTTGTTTTGAGTGAGGATATTCTTACTTCTTCGTAATTCTAAGAAGAAATGGCAGAAATTAGTGGTTCTTGGTTCATTTAGAATAAGATGAAAAGAACATTGTAGTAGCTATTGGAACGGGGTCAGAAAGTGGCAAAAGAAACCATTTTTGCATGTACTGTTTGAAATTGTTTAAAACTTCGCTATGGCTTTTTAGGTTAATTTTTGTTTTACCTTACAATTAGCCTAGCTTTTTTTAAAATGTTACTGTAGCTACTAAATGCTAAACATCAGATATACAAACTTTTATCTCCAGTTTGCCTTATGACGTAACATATTGATATCGATTTGAATTTTTTAAAGAAGGTCGAGATTAACTTTTGAATACTTTCTTTTGTCATCGTATCTCAATACATCTTTAAATCTATCGCAGTAGTGTTTCTAAATCGCTGCTTTCGTAACCTCAGTAGTTTGATCCTGATTTTTCAAAAAAGTTGATCCTGGTTTGTTATTGTAATATTCAAAATCGTGTGTCACTGTAGTATTCCGAGCTCTCTGTTGTGTCATAGTCGATCTTATTGTAAGTCGATTATCGCGCCGACCTTGCTGGTGATTTATGTATTTACTGTTGTATTGAGTTCGAAGGGAGGGTGCGATGTGATTACATAACGTGGAATCCATTAATATTCGGACACTAAGGTCACTATAATAAATTTCAGGTGGTTTTTATGACTTCTTTGTTGGGGTAAAAGAAGGATTCTGGGATTTGGAGGGGTGACGTACGTCTTGGAGAGGTATTCCTAGTTTTATGGTAGAGTTTGGGGGCATAAAGGGTTTTATATTTTGGTTATACATAGGATTAGGTGGTTGTATGTCTAACGGGTAGATTTGAAAGGGGGCTTAGTAAGGCCTAAGATACTTTGAAGGGACCGGTCTGGTACTTGTGGGCCCGAGGGCTGGGGGTCAAGCCAAAGTCCGGCCCGTGAGCTGAAACCGGTTTCTTTACAGTTCGGCTAGCGAGTAACTTTGGCTAAGGAAAAATCGAGAAAGCTTTTTTATTTTTTGAGATCAACAGGAGAGAGAACAAATTTGACATTTTTCAATATAATTTTGAAAAAAATATGAGTTTAAACTCATATGTGACAATATATATGTTCACCAGTGTACTCTGACATTCACTCACCCCTCTACTAGTATATAATGACATCTATTAGATCGCCTCCGTCTTTAGCCTTTTCCAAGACGACCACCTGGAGAACAGCCTCCATAAAGGTTAACGATCTTCTCGAAGTCATGAAACAACAACACCTGCGGGCTTGATAAGACGAACAGTTGAGATTAATGTTATCAATTTATAACACATTTTCGCTTTTCATTTTGAAAAAGCTGAGATTTGCATGGCAATGAGAGGCTTTTTGAGTCAAGTGGAATAGTAAAGCGCTGAATAGTAATATAACTCTAACAATACGGCTTCTGTTTCATAGTACAGTAGGGTTTGGGGCTGCGTAAGGGGATGGGTTTGGGTTACGGATTAAAGTTTTTGTTTTAAAAAGTAAAAATTTAAAAAATTTTTTGAAAACATTAGTTTTTTCATCAATAAAAGGCCTATTGTTTCTAGCAAAACTTTTCATACCTAAAATATTGTTTTCTAACTAGTTAACACTAAAAGTCTTGTAAAATATCACTAAAGAAAAGCATAACCACCTTCTGAATGACCGATATTACCCATGCCTCCAGTATCGGATATTACTTTCTCAACCATTTTTCTCATAAAATTCCCAAGCTATGTTAACAACATGTCCTTTCATGGACCTTCCCACTTATAATTGGGCTGATTTTCCCCTTTTGCCCGAGGGCTTCGAAATTCAAGCTGCGCGCACTTCCAAAAACGAAAAGGAAAGAAACGCTTTAGGTATTCATGAGAGTATTTATGGGATGAAAAGTTTGGCCGAATCGAAAAGCCGACCTTTTCCTTCGCTTTTGTGGCCAAATCACTTATACGGCTTTGGGTGAGGAGGGGTGGGAGTGGGCAAAGCTGGCTGGTCTTATAAGGGGGTTGTTTGGTAAACCTGGCGGTAAGGTTGGGCGGGGAGATTTTGTCTTGGATTTTTTTTGTAAATAATTATTGGTAAGGAGCATGTTAAATCTTTCAAAAATTTTTAGAGTCTGCCCTTTCCTTCAGGCATTTTAAATTGTAAGTTTTTTTAAAAGGTACAGAACTCTTGTACAACAAATCTCTTGAGAATTTTAAAATCGTTTGTTAAAGAAGAGTTTTGTTATACAGGCATATTTTTTCAAAACAAGGCCAGATCACTTATACAGCCTTGTTTTATGGCCATTTGATCTTTTTTGTTTACAATATTCTGTCTTGTCCTTTTATGACACGTTTCTCAGCCCATAATCCGTTTTTACCTCTCTATCGACAAATAAGGTCATATCGGATATCAAGAGGTATAAACGGGCCGAGGTCAAGAATATTAACGGAAGTCGTTAGTCATGCCTCGGTAATTACTTTGAGCGTTTTGGCTGATAAAACAATGTTCGTTTATAGAAAGGAACGTTAGTTTATTGAGAAGGAACGTTCTTATTTATGGGAAGAACGTTGGTTTTTTTTTTAATTTTTCGAATTATTCAAAGTTATCAGTTCTAAAAGGGATCATCTATCTTGTGATAGCAATCAGTGTTAAGAGCAGTCTGCTATCAAAAGGTTTGGTAAGGTTAATGATAGTTCTCGGAAAGTGTTAATAATACTGTTAATGATCATTATTGGGCGGTTGGGTTCAACTTTTAATCAAAAAAAATTTTATTTTTTTGCATTTCACCCAATTTTAACTATTTTTAGTACTAGTCTAAATTTTTTCTCAAAACAAGTGGTTACTTTTATTGCAGTACATTCTTCTATTTTTAAAATTAGCTATACAATTACCAGCCGTCTCGCCCGCAAGGTTTATATATTTTATTTGCTCTGAAAAGAATAATAAAAACGTGCGCAATTAGAATGTAAACGCCTAAGGGGATTAGGCCAAATCAAAACAATTGAAGCATCGGATGACGTTTAATTGGGCTGTCAGCGTTCGGCCTAATTTCTCCATGAATTGTGTCAGTTTTATGAAATTATGTTTACAGAGGCTAAACGGTCTATTAAGGATGTGCGCGAGAGTATAGGTCTGTTATGATGTGTAATGTAAGCCTATAAGAGTTGTTAGGTTTTGTACTGTAACATTATATTGTAATAGGTATGTATGTCTTTCTTTAAGTTTTAAAAAACTCAGTTTGTAAATGTCATTTTCAAAATGTAATTGTAAGCCCAATTTGTAAAATGTTATTTTCCAAGTCCCAAAGTGTTTTCCGGAGGGATTTAAAAGCGTTCACAGTCTTTTTTGACAACATTTACAGCCGTTTTGGAGAGATAATGGGGTTAAGGGCCGGCCTAAATTTTAACGTTACTTTTATTTTACTAATGTTATTGACGTTTCCTTGAGGGTTTAGTACTAAAAAAGGAGAGGGTTGAAGCTTTAAATTTTAAGATTTCTGAAGTTTTTTTTTGTTACCATATTTATATATACATCATCGCTTATTAAAGTTTTATTCTAAAAGTTGTAAGTTTACTTCTTTTTATCTTTTTGTACTTTTATCTCTCTGAACCTAGAATTTAAGGTCATCATTTTGTTTTTCAAAGATTTTATGATCTCTTTGAAAAAATATAAAACAATATATTTTGCTAGGCTTAGGTTCAACTTCGAAGCATTTGAAAAACAATTTGAAGACGGAAGAATCTCGCGCATTTATAAGTTTAAACTGCTTGTTATTTCACAAATATTTGTCTCTGATTCGATTACAACGGCTTCAAATATTACGAGATAGATGTGATTACTATAGTCTTTTGAGGTTGTAGCACACCGTATTTTTTTGAGGTTGTGGCATATTGTATTCTTTTGGGTTTGCAGCTTGATTTTAATAATATTACAGTTTGAGACGTTTGGTTACAGCATAGCTTCAAATTTGAATACTGTAATATTCTGGGTTTACTTTTAGCACTTTTTTGGTTAAACTTGGTACAGTGTGATTTTATTTTTATTTACAGTATATTTTTTGGCTTTATTTTTTACATTTATACAGCCTTCATTTACAATATAGAGCAAAAAATCATATACTGAGCTAACATACAACAACATACTTTATTACAGTAAACTTGTTTACATTACCTTTTTGAACATATAAGACTAATCAAATTACAGTACCCTCTAATAGTTTTTCCTTCAAATCGTAATAGAATTATATTAATTTTCTTATGATTGAAATCGAGGGATGTGTCAATGAACTGACATGTTTTTGTCGCCTCCCATCTGTTTTATTCTACGTCCGGAGACTATATTCGAGGCCCAAATCCGGTTCTTAAGGGAGTCACTCGTATCAATGCCTCATCGATCTCAAAGATGATATTGTGTTTGTGTTGGGGGAGGGGGCTTGCAAATATGTTTAGATTTTAAAAAATTTTATGAAATTTTTATGAATTTTTAAACAAAATTTTTGGGTTTTTGGTACTAATAGGTGGTGATCAAGGCGGGTGGTTTCGACCTAGAGGTTAATTTTTTTGCTTACAGAGGGATTTAAAAATATATTTTTTGAAAATTTTATTTTTCTATGAATTTTTGGTGATATGATCTTTATATTTTTAAAATTATACGGTGAAACCTTTTAGTACGACCCTCGATAGTGTGACACTCTTCTTATAATGAGTTTTTTGATCGCCCTTCGTAATATATGTAGGTAGTGTGACATACTGTTTGTAAAGCCAGTTTTAACCAGCACCTTCTGTGTCATACAATTATAAAAAGGTTTGACTGTCTATTACTTTACTTTTCTTAAACTGTTTGTAAATACTTGAGCTACCTTTTTCTTACTTTTTATTAATTTTTAAACATTTTTTACTTTTCAAACTTTTTTTCCTACTTTTTAAACTGTCTTCGATGAGTTTCCTTTATTAATCAGCTTCCGCCCAACTTGATAGACGACCGCGCATTTTTTAATCAGCCTCGTTAACTGATATCCGATACCGATCCATCATTTTCCTTCCCATTTCCCTCAATTTTTCGACTATTTTGGTGTTGCTTTCAGTTTGGACGGCCCCAGGGTCCCTATGGAAGAAGTTGGCCGTGGCGTGCCTTGAACCGGCACTACTACAATATATTCGAATACAGGTGGGTGGGCTTACGATTTTTGTAAATTTTTGATAATTTAAATTTTAAAATTTAATTTTTTGAAATTTTTAAATAATTATATTTTCGAAAATTAGAATTTTTAAGTTTAAAAATATATATAAAAAGCATATTTTTAAAATTTAAAATTTCTAATTTGGGCTGAGCTCAGTTTTTATTTTAAAAATTTAAAAACCGAGTTCAAAGAGTTTGTATGAAAGAGAAGAGTAGTAAGTGCAATTGGTTTTCTCTTTTCAAAATGTTTTATGATTTTCCGGTACAGTGATTGCAAAAAAACGCTCGACCCGGAGGGAAACAAGTCCTCGACTACCCAAGCACTCAGATTTGCCTCAACAAATCCCCTAACGTCGCTTCGGTGGACTTTCCTTTCCGACCACAGATCGATTACTCATTTTTGACTACAGTCACTGGTTTGTTCCTCGACATCTACTACCGAATTGTCATTGTTTCTACTTCTGATACTATATTTTTAACTTTTCAACATTTTCTACTGTTAAGGTTGGAAGTTCAGATCATTTAACTTCTTGATAGTACAATTTTGAACTGAAGATAGGACTTAAAATCTTTTGGCTTTATATTCTTAATTCTGCAGTAGTCTTTACAGAATCTACATTACCTTAAACAACATTGACTACAACAAAGCTACAAACATCAACTTTAACTCAGTTTCTCGACTTTTAAGCCAAACCTTTGACACCACACATTCCCAATGTCGACGGGCTTCCTGCGTCGCTGTAAGTTTCGATTTTCAATGGTTTATCGGATTACTATGAGAATTCGATACTACGGTATGTCGGCGTTGATTCTCTATCTTAATCGGATTCTATTCTCGACAGAACGGTCCGTTTTCGGGCCGTTTGTTGCCTATATTATCCTTCATTCTCTCTGCTTATATTATTCTTTACAAGTTCTACAAAAGGCCACCAGTTGCAGTGGCTGACATTCCCTGAGGCGGTGTGACAAATGACTTGTTTTTCCATCTTTTTCACGTCCAAAACTTTATACTCCTAAGGGGGATTAGGGCAGAGATTGCAATTGACTTTCTTGATAAGCCTTTGGAGGGGTTTCGGGCAAAGTTTTGGTTTATTTGCATACGGTTTTGTACGGGTTTTTGAGAGTTTTTACAGTTTTTTGTAATATTTTGAGCTAGCTTTTTGTTACTTTTGCTTGTTTTTGAATTACAGTGAGTTTGTCTTGGAGTTTAATAACTTTAAAATAGTATCACCTAATAATAAAAGTAATAATAAAAACTAAATTTCAATGTTTCATAAGCCAAACTATACTTTTTGTAAGCAAATATACACTTTTATGTACCAAAACCCCTCCAAATCTCCTCCCAAACCCTAGTACGATTCAGTTATGTCTTATACGTTAAGTCGCTAGCCTCGAGCAACAAGTCATCGTCAATTCTCGCGTCTCCTGGTGAATCTTTTGTTTTTGGAAGGACTTTGCTGGACATTAGCCTAGCCCTTTTTCGTAGCTTTTTTGGAACTCCCGCTTTGGTATTGTTCCCCTGAGGGCCCGACTCGATTGTTGCACGCTGTCCGAGCGGAAGCAACTTCGAGGCTTCTTTAAGGTGAATGACGGCACATTGTACGGTGTCTTTGAATACAATTACTATTTTTATTCAGGCACGGTCATAGGGTTTGACAGTAGGATAGGAAAGAGCGGCTTTGTATCGGGAGGGGGGTCTATTGTTCTACATGGATACGATGTTGGGCACTAGGGTAAGGTTTTGGGCAAATTCTAAGGAGGTGGCTTTAGGTTGAACGGATACTTCTTTATTGTTAGATTCAAAGAAAAGGATAGCATTGAAATTTTTAAATTTTTAACAATATTGTTATAGACTAAAAGTTCAAAAATTTGTCTTTAAAGCGTCTTCTGATTCAATAGCATGGTGGTGACTTTGTGCCACCAACGTCTTTATAGCCTCAGAATCCTTCCTGCGCTTCCTGTCTGACGAAACAGACTTGGATGACGCTAGGGTTTGTTTGAAGAGAAACCAAAATCCATCTGGATTCCTCTTAAGGCCAAGCCTCCCGACCTTCGAGATCACTCCAGGCGGTGTTGAATTGCGCGAAACAAACAAAACCCTTTCGTCATTCTTCAACAGAATCGACAGGTCCAAACCGGTGAGATCCGACGCGCGAAGGAGGGGTCGATTTACAGCGCGCGGATCAGCGTCAAGGGGGGGGATTGGCCATGGATTAGGTAGCTTCTCCTAATTACGTTTCGCTTTGATCTGGCCGTGATCATGAGTAATTGTGGTTGGGGTTGGTTATGAACTGGGGACCTTGAACGACTTTTAATTGGCAGGGCATGACCGAGTTTATATAATAGGTCATGGCTAATTTTGTATAGATAGCCCTACCTAATTTGTATCGATAGGTTATTGTTGACAAATTGGAGTTAATAACGTATGTGTATGTATAAGCGTTGTAGCAGAAATACCGCTTGTTATTTCAAAAAGTATTTTTGAGGTTTAGGTATAAGTATATAGTAAAACATGGTAAATTTTTACATCTTTAAGCCTGCCGTGACTTAAATACGAGTCCCAAATTGCCGTGTCGTTTGTATGGCAAAGACAAGTCGCGCTTACAAAGGCACCAAGGCCGTGGCTTGTTATGATTAGACACTTGAGACTTCCATTCGCGCCTCCTCCCCCTCCCCTTTGCGGATTTGCCGCACTAATTTCTTTTGTCATTTTTCATGCAAAATTCTTTTACTGATCGAAAAGTTGAGCGAAAGTTTCCAAAAATTTCATTTTCCTCTTCTGACTCCCTCAGGGCGCGCAATTAAAGAAGGTTGCGCAATCCCCCCCCGTCTCCCCCTACAAAAACGGTTTAATTATTTTTAATACAAACTGTTTTCACATCATAACAGGAGTAATTGCTGGCTGTAATCCTGTTAGGTTTAGATGATTGTAATCATGTTAAGTTGGGGCACTGTAATGATGTTATTTTAGGCTTATAGTAGTCATTGCTTTGTAATGAGGTTGGTCTTAAACCAATTACAATCTCTGTCAGGCTGCTTCTTGTACTTTGAATTCCCTGTTGATTTGTTGTCCCTAGAATAACATGTTCGAAAATGACATGTTCTTAGAGATATGTAAGTGCGTTTTCTGAAAGCTATGTCTCATATTATAGCCTATCCATTAAGGCGCTAATCCAACGTAAAAGGTGAAATCGCTTTTAGTTTTTTTTAAATCTAGTCATCTTAAAAAGACTCATGTTTTGCTTTGGAGTAAGATGTTGCGACATATTACTGTCGTACGAGTAATTCTTACTTGTATATGTCCCAATATGGCATGTATAATATTTTTTGGTCGACTTTTTCCTTCAAATCTTAAATACTGTCTTTGCATTATAAGTCCTTTTGCATTGCATTAGCTCCTCCATACATTACCCTCTCTATAAGTGTGTCGAATGTACGCGAGTGTATGTAAGTATGTGCTAATCCCTCATCCGTGACTAACCCAATCCAAGTATGTGACTGCAATTTGTCGTCAATCCGGATCCGATCGGTTCGCATTAATAAGTGGGCACCTCATTAGCGCGCTCCTTATTTTCTCGGCATTCGGGCCACATCCGGAGGCCAAATTGAAAGCCTTCGAATTCTTTGCGTGGGGACAGCTTTTCAAGCCTCCCGGTCGGCGGTTTAACTCAATTTGGGCCGCATTTGCATATTCCTGGACATCCAATTTTACTCGTCCGAAAATGGGTCATTCCGCGACAGAAAAGTTTGTCGCGTAGAGATAGAGGATCTTGGGGATGGCATGGAGACCGTGGTGCTTAGATAGGAGATCTCGGAATGTCATGTCTTGGTGGAGAGAGCAACTTCGTAAATGTCATATCATACCAATGAGTGTCTAGTATAATGTCCCCCATCCCATGATCCTATCGTCTTCCGTATCTGACAACTCGGCTGTGGTGTCTTTGGTCGTTTTGTTTATTCGCCTCTTCCAAAAACTCGCTGTTTATTCGATTATTTGTAATAGATAAAGCGAGAGAATAGATGAAGGGTTGTTTTTGACCGTGCCTTCAAGGTTTAAAGCCCGCTGGTCAACAAATTCCAGTAGTTTTTACGTAAGAGCGATTTGTTATTAACAAGTGGTGGACTTAGTTTATGATCAATATCATTACTTATATCATTAGTTATATGGATTTGATTAAGGGGGAGTTGTAGTAAAATGAAGATGTTATATAAGTTGAATCAAAAGTAGCGGGAGACTTTTCATTTATTTTTCAACTAAAAAGTGTCCCACTACTTTTGGTTCAACCAATGTAGCTTTCTTTATATTATTATTGGTCACAATTGTTATGAGTTTAGTCTTTAAATTAAACTGTAGGCTTCACTTTATACCTTTTTTGACGTTTTACTGCAAGATTTACAAGTTTCATCTGTCAATACACTTTGCGATGTTATCCTTCCCTGCCCAATCTTGCATCCTCAATGTCATACAATCCCCGACCCATTCTTGTTACACATTCAACGTACTTTCTTAAACATTAACCGTGCATATTACATTTTCAGTGTCTCGTCGACGACGCCCCAAAGCTCGCCGTGCCGTGTGTCGGAACGTTCTGGATTCGGAAGACGACGTGTCGATCGTCTCTTTCAAACCCAAGAAGGAAGGTGTGATGCAGAAGCTCTCCCACTGGCTAGGTGATCATCTGAGGAAGGGTAAGAAGGAGGGCGACACGAAACGACCGGTCGTTTCCGTCCCTACTGAATGTGCCAGTCTACCTCGACCCAATGACATACGTGTGTACAATAATCAACGGCCATTGCTGGGAAGTGCCAGGGAGGTGAAGCGGAGGGTGAGTGTTGTGTTACCTTTTAGTGTTTGATGTTTTTTGTTTTGGAAAAAGTCAATTTTGATAAGTAAAATGATGTTTATTTAGTGTTTTTTGCAATAATAGAGTTTGTAGTCAATATTGTTGATTTCATAAGTCATTTTCGTATACATACTTTGTTCGTTAGTTTAGACAAAAAATCCTTCAATTTATGCAAATTTAGTCTTTTTAGCCTCGGGTATTACTTTCCGAACAAATACAGATTAATTTCATGAATAATAACTTGTTATTATTGACTGCTTAATACGTATTCGCATATTTTAAAGATAATTGTATACTAAATAGTACCAAATTATATTGCCATAACAAACTACATAGCACAATATCGCAATATCTGCCGTACAAAATAATAAGTAAATACACAGTAACGTCCCCAAATAAAAGTAATTCTTGCAGGCAGTATGTACGAACCCGTGGTTTGCGCCAGAAGACGACCTGAACTCGTCCTTCTTCTCAGACGGCCTAGACACATCATATTGCTCTACCCTCTCTCGACTGACTAAAGACGAAGCCCTAAGGATTAACACGATGGCTGGATCGGCCTGCAGTTCAGGATACGCCAGTCAAGATAGTAGTCCAGAGTGTTCGGTTCATCAGCCCAGCTGGCAGCCGTCTACTCAGCTACAACGTCGAGGGAATCTGGTGGACAAAGCCGTAGAGTGTGGGTATCAAGAAGTAGACAGTGGCATCAGAACCCCCACGGTAGAAGGTGACTACGACCACATTTATCACGAGCTAGATACGAAGCCATCTCCCCAATTCCATTCCTACATGAGTTTCTTGTCCAACCACCCTGACCTCCGTGCCATCGATTCTTGTTATTCTGGATCAGTTGAACTGGCCTGCTCCTCCATGGCTTCGGATTCTAGGCCAGAATCTCCCATCTATGCCATTCCATACAGTTCGGCCGCCGAGTCCCGATGTGGTTCTATTGAGTACGCCGACGACTCCGATGGCTACATGGAGCTGATGCAGCGACAGGAAGAGATGACGGTGGGGCCGAGTTACAGTAAGCTGAACCGGTATCCGGGATCGGCCTTTAGTCCAGTCAGGCCCGAGCCCAGGTTTCACGCTCCGCCACCCCCGCCGGCCGAGCCTACGACTTGTTTGGATATGTTAGACAAACAAATCGCCGACTTGAAGGTAAGATTAATACCTATATTAATATATGTGGGGAAGAAGTGGACATTAATATATTGATATAACATATTAAAAGTTTGTTACCTATAATCGTGACAGAAAACATATAACTATGCTCTCTGATGCTTATACTAAAGTTATAGCTATATATAATATATACGTTAATATATGTAAATTAAACTGAGAATTTCAGCAAAAAACCGAACTGGTCAGCCGACTGGTCGAATCAGCCAAAGAACGTCGCGAACTGCGTGGCTGTGCTCGATTACTGTGCATGGAACACATCCAACAACTGCGTAACATGCGATGGTATGTTGAGAATGGATTCGAACTCAAATTGTAACTTCTATTCTCACCTGCCATTAATGTTATCGAAAGCATCTACACCCAAATAAGCGCAACGGTTACAATATAATAATAGATATAATGATACGAAGAACATGTAAAATAAGGTAGTTGTAGAATGTAACGATTGTTATATTGTGTAGAATGACATGTTAACACTATAAGGTTGTGAAAGACGTAGTAATGGATAAAAGTTTATATATTATGTTATAATGTCACCACTGTGCTTATTGTACGATGCTAAATCGAGCCCGGTATCACTTTGACCAGCGCTTTAATACTTACCGTATAGTATATTTAAAACTGCCGTGATCTGTAAAAAGCAAATAAACTTAAACATGACATCTGATTCTTACTTTACATTGAATATCTAAACATACAACAGTTGAATCGATGGAATACCCAACAAATTAAAATTTTTCTAAAGCTGACTCTAAAGACAATTTTATACCAAATTTCCATATAAAATAAAATAAACTGATATTAATATCAGTATACCAACAAAAACTTTAGTTACTAAATAACATTTATCAGTTTGTACAACGCAACAACAATCTATGACATAGACATGGCTAGAGTTACAAGAGCAAGGCGTTTCTCGAGATTCGTCGGAGGTTGAGGTCGAGGACGTTGTCTGAAGGTGTCCAGCCACAACGACTTTGTAGCCGGATCTACACAACAAAACACGTATTCACGTTTGGGGCCGGACAGTTTAAAGCCGTTTCGAATAGTTGAGCCGGTCAGAACATCTGAAAATAGGCATGTTAATATATTACAGTAGGTTAGGTTTAAATTTTCATATAGTTTATGTTTGTTTTGTCATCATGCTAACTTTTTTTTAGCAAAAACAGATTAGAGATGTATTTTATAAAAAAACACAAAAGATAATAAAAGCTCCAGTAAACTAAATATTACACATAACAAACAGCTACCAACCTTTTCCATCAGGCAGATCCACAACATTTGTACATTGTAATGACATTCTTTCCTTGAATATCAATGAATTCTTCTTTAGCACGTCCTTCTTGCATATCACAATCGATTGGTCGAACATGTATACATGAACAGTTTTCGACCATTGCACCATGTTGTTCACCACGGCCTTACATTGCAACTCCCCGCTTATTAGAATCCTGTGGTTGTTGTCGATCAAATCTGGGCCCTAAAAGATGTGAATTTAGTATATGAAAGCAGACAAATCTTATAATGTAGCTTTAGTCATAGTGTTTTTGAAAATTTAGGTAAGAAAAGCTAAATATTTACTTAAAAATGAACCTAAAACAACACTTTCGACGTTTAAAAGTCAAAAAAACACTGTCGCAAACAAAAAACTATAATAATAAGAAGCTGCCAAACCATGTCATACTCAAACCACAATAATTACACCAATATAACACTGTAAACTTACCCTGAATCCATGAACGTTCTTCTGCCACAGCACGATCTTCTGAATCGCGTCAATCCTCCGTTTTGCATCATTTACATGTGAAGCCATTGCTTTCATAGTACGATGAGCTTGCTCTAGAGGATACCTGTCAGGATGGGTAGCTGGTGTCGCTTTCAGAAGTTCGTACAACTGTAGAGGATACCTACATATCCTTTGAACAGGTGTCAACAAGAATCCCTCCAGAGATAATTTGGCCATTCCTCGAAGTAAACGACATGCCTGCAAGAATTCCACTGTAAATTGGTTCGGAAACAAAGTTTTGTCTTTATTTTATTTTTTCAATGTAATTATTAAAATCGCATCCTGCGCCCTCGTATAACATGACCCTTTCTTCTAAAAAACAATATCTCTGTAAAAAAATAAATTTTGAGCTTTTTTGGCCGAGTTATCGTTCTTCAGTGTCTTTACTATTACTCTACAGATATTCAAACCTCAATAATGTAATTTATTCTACTTTAACATCAATTTCCCCCAAAACCAACCTCAAAGAAGTGGTGATATTGTGGTTGTCGCTCCAGCTGTTCCAATTCATTGCAACTGATGGGTCGATTGTTGCAATACTCAGTGTAAGTCGCAAAGTTGTGACTCTGAACAAAAGTAATTAGTTTCCGACACAACCAACTCACATTCCGCAAGAAAGCGTTAGCGACACACGAACTCTCGGGCGCCTTCTGATTGAACGCGATCTCGAGGTCTCGAAGCAGCTTGTGATGTAACAATGAGATCTGTTCGATGTTGGAGAATATTTTCCGAATTCTTTCTTCATCGAACATTTCTTTCCGGCGACGACATTGTTCCACAAACCCCTGAAAACATTGTTTTCCTTTAAAAATGCGGTTTTTTGTTCTGTGAATGTTGTTTTAGGCAATAATTGGTTGGAAAGATGGTTATTCAATGGAATTTTTAAAAAACTAATTGATAATATAACTAAAAACACATTTTTGAATCTAAAATTTGGTAAAATTAAGAAAGGATAATACCAATAAAACGAAGAAATAAAGGTAAACATACATGAACAAGATTGTCCAGAAGCTTTACATAATCTCTTTCAGTGTCCATCAACTCTTCGACCACTCTCCTCCTCAAAATCCTCATCTGCTTTGGGTATTCATCGACTGTGGCATCAATGTTGCTGAGATCACTTAACCTGTCCATCTGGCACTTCCTTACTCTAACATAATTCGATGGAAACCATCCCACTTTACCATTACACGATCCATACCACATCCTGGAGTTTGACGTTGAATCCAAAACTGTAACCACATCTCCCAATTGAAATGGCAGTTCTTCCGTCAGCATGGCTACATGATCCCAAAGAGCTTCTGCCAACAGAAGGCCAGCGTTCTCTTCGTGCACGCTACTGATACTGCTACTAGTGGTGGCACTGGAGTTGCTGTGGGTGGAACTTCTGATTCCGGAGTCGTGAGAGCTTCGACCGGCTTCTGAATCGATACTGAATCTGTCAGCACGACTCAGATGGGTTTTTTCATCTTCTGAATCGTCGACGTTGGCAATTCTGATTGGAATCTGATGCAAAGGCTGAGATCGTGCTCGTCGTTCGCGGACTTGGTGAGCATAACTTCTGACTAAAGTGCGAGGTGGGTACTGTTGAGGGGATTGTTGATACTGAAATTGGTACAACTATAGTCAGGTGGGTGTCTTTTGGAGCTAAAACTTTGTCAATTAGGTATAAAACAAACGCAAAATTAGTTGCAAGCCTTTTTATTACCTTGTTGTAGCTATTTATTTATTTGTAAAAAAAACTTGATTAGCTGAAACTGTAAAATAATATACTGTTGTAAAATAACAGTATTACCTATTAAACTTTACTTACAATATTCTGGCTGGGGTACTTTAACGGTCGCTGAACCGGCGTTATACCAGCACGTCTCTTGAGCATGTTCAACCTCTCCTCGGCTTCGATATCATCACTGTCGGAGCACTGCAAAACGAAATAAAATGGTTGGGTTTCGGTCCGATTAAACTGACCCCAAAATGCAACCTAATCTACCCCTGAACAATGCGGTTTTCGCAACAAAATGAGGGAAAAAGTTTAAGCTGTGAAGTGAGCGAAGAGCAGAGCCACCGACGGCCATGATCTATTAGCTCGCAAAAAATGACTGATGGAGGTTAAGACGCAAGAACCGCAGGTCGGGAGAACAACAGGGACATTGCGCATGACTACACTAGAGACAGCCGCCTCCGGACAGGACTTATAAAGAAACTTCATGGTCAGCGTTATGAAGAGCTGGAGGAAGTGTGAGTGGCTACGATGGGAAGCAGGCTTCGTACGTTTGGTAACAAGTTGTCATATGATTATAAGGCTAGTCTCATCATGGATTCTTAAGGCCTTGAGGGTATGAAAATGGATAATCTGATAAAAGAAGCTCAAAACAGATACGACAATGGAGATACGATTTTAAAGTTTTCAAAGTAATTTTCAGTTTCAAGATACTTTTAGACATAACAACGAAGTATAATATATCCAGCTTATTAAAAAAACATCACTTTTAAATGGCATTCAAACTAACCAGAGCACAGTAACAGTCGTAGTTGCTGAAATTGCTAAAATACGACGGTGACCTCCACATTCTGGTGACAATGTAAACCATAAAACCCGACAATTACCGTACTGTAAACAAGCGCAGTCTCAAAATGACAATTATGTAATAGTCAAATCGCTTAAATACCAACTTGTAATAAGCAAGTAAAGACGGTATTTAAATTCTTAAAAACAGTCACCAAACATCACTGTAGGGTACTATGGTAATATGTTTACAGAGTGGCAGTACTAGCTATAAACTACGGTCTTACTGTAGTATACAGAGTCTTACTGTAGTTTAAAATGTAGAATATATTATAGTAGTTCCCGTATCTAGCAATATCATACGGTTATCGTTCCGTATAGAAGCTCCTTTTAAAGACAATGTCGTATACTTATAGCTGTTTTATAGGTATAAAATATTACGTAGAAGAATAGAATGAATGTCTCCAAAGATATCAACGATCCCAAAATTAAATTCCTCAAAGATGTTTAAGACTTACAAGAAGTCAAAAAGTAATTAAGGAGATAATGATAGTCATACGATCTTATACGATCAACTTTAAGAGGTGAAGCGACAAGTCAGAAGTTGTTTTGCGCGGTTTCAATTTCAATATACTTGACTAGGTTATCTTCAACTGTGAGTTTTAATAGGTATGGTACAGTCATTAGTAGCGATCTCTGACCTAAATTTATGCTAGGAATACGATACTATCATGTAATGATAATAATAAGCTTGAGGACTACACCGCAGGTACAAAATAGCTATATATATTGTTGGTGAAAGTAAAAAGACAATATTAAAAATGAAAAGATCATAAAATAAGCTAACAAACCTTCTAAAACAATATAAATCACAAAACCGACTAAAAACCCCATTCCCACCTTGTTTTCGGCTTCAGAATCGGCCGAACCTCGTCGTGCCCCACCCTGATGCACTTGGATGACACAGTTCGAGTTTGTCGCCCGTTGCCTGACGATACAGTAGAAGGGCGGCGAGTGACAATCGTTGGTCCTGAGATTGTGCATTTCGATTAAATGCGACAGCGCGAACGGTCCTCGCGCTTCGTTGCGGTCTACTGGGACCTGAGGCAAACCGGGCGGGATGTTCAAACAAAAACTCAGCGAAATTAAGAGCAGGGGGGAGAGTGCCTTCTGGAGTTAGGAGAGCACGGTAGCGAATGCCTTCTGGAGTTGGTAGAGTACGGTAGAGAGTGCCTTCTAGAGTTGGGATTGAACGGTAGATAATGACTTCTGAATTTTTGATAGCAAGTGGACAATGCCTTATGAAGTGCAAGTAAAACGGTAGATATTGGCTTCAGAACCCTTTGTATCAGCTAGTTTGGCTATCTTTCAGAAACGTACTGTCAATATAATAAAAGCTCCACGTCATTCCTTCACAACCCTTTCTTCAATACCTCCAGAATCTTGGGTATCTTAAGTTGAGCCAGTAGAAATAAACTTCAATCGAAACTACCCGCCATATCTTCTGAATTCATACGAAAATGCGACGAATGCCTTGAGAAGGAACGACAGCTAATCCCTCATCTGACCCCACTTTCACCGATCCCTTTAATGCCCACTTAAAAATATTCTGTCTTGACTTCACAATTACGAGGATTCTGGAATCGAAGAAGATTCAAAGAACGTTTGTGGATTCAGGAAGAGATTCAGAAGGCAAAAGCCGAATTCTGAGGATTCTGGAGGATCCTCTCGCTTTAATAAGACTAATTCAGACTTAAATGACTTAACCAAGATCGCCGTAGAGTTTTGTAATTTGAAGATGGTCAATATAAAGAGATCTTGAGGGATGGATTCAGGATGAGAGGTATACAAAAATTATGTAAAAAAGGAAAAAATCGTAATATATTCCCGAATAAATACCTACTACAATATACAAAACAAAACTTAAGACCTAATAAAACATAAAGTTTACGTAAAATATGCGTTTACTATGCCATATATAAGAGCATAAAATGTAGAAAAAGTGCTATAAAATTATATTACCCTACAAAAGTGAACTCTACAAAGGTTTACCAGTCCCTTATGGGTCATAACGACAAATCGGGGTCATGAAATAACAAAAAATAACTCACGGTAGCTTCAATATGACAGACTGAAAGCACGGTAATCCTTGTTTACAAATAGCTAAGACCATGTTATTTACTACGACAGTTGTAATATTATTGACTAACATATGACAGGCACTTTTGTTACATATACAAGTTTTTCAAAATTTTTCATTTTTTGCGGTTTTTAAAATTTTTTTTTCAAATAGGTTTGAAAGCAAAAACAGCTTCTAAATTTAACGCAGTAATGCATAATCCTATGTAAACGATACATCACCATGAGTTGAAGACAAACAAAAGATCAGGAATTCAAGAGGTAGGTTGCGTTAAGTAAAAGTACGTATCGCGATGTTGTTAAAGACGGCTGACGTACAATCTATTCTTTGTAAAATACGGCAAACCAAATAGTATGTTTTTGTTAAAAGGGGCTCTTAAATGAAAGGTAAGACAATATGGTACTGTTTTTCAATAACTATATGATTTCTAAGCACAAGGAAGAAGAAATAACTTCAAAAAAGGTAAACGTAAAAATAATGATCTTACATTGTTCATCACATTGATGTAGACCCTATTCTATACAACCTAATATCATATAAAATAGTTAAAAACCTACCCCGTATAAACTGCCATTATTGAAAGCCTCTACCAGACTAGACCGTCTTCTCATCGCGTTTGTATCGACATTGATCTGAAACAAACTACAATATTAACAATTTTAAAAGATACTACAATATTTCTGAAATTATTATTCAAATCCTAAAGTTTTGGGATGACTTAACCTATGATCAGACTTTAAAACCATCAAGCTAGACTTTCTTCCTTTAGGTTGGTCAAAAAGTACATAGAATTGGCTTAACGGCCTTTTCTGATCATGGTAGCCATGTTTAATTAAAAGTTAAAACTTGTAGGAGCTGCATAGTAAAACACCCCCTTTTCAAAAACATCATCTTTTATCAAACCCCACACTGACCCCCGTGGACGACGTGCACGGTGCTGCCAGAAGCGAGGGAAACGTGCGACTGGAGGCAGCAATCAGAACGGGATCAAAGGCTCGCGGCGATGAATCCTGAAGAAGATGTAGAGCAATTATAGAAACTCACGTCAAACAATGGAAGCTCGACGGAAAAGTCGGTAGACTGGACCGTGCCTGGCAGTCCATACGTCCGCATTAATTGGTCTGAAAAGGAGAATATTATAACGACCATCTAACGGTCTGATGAACAAGGATAATATATAAGAGAAACGTGTAAAAACCGTTGGGTCGTCGTTACTTTTACCTTTTATAACCTTGAAAAGTTCAAGAAGGCTATGTTAATATAAGTTAATACTTATTAAAACTTAAAAAAGCTAGGTTAATATTCATTTGCTACAACTTGACTATGATAATATACAAAAGGTGACCTCGTTTTCTTTTCAAACCCAACAAATTCAAAAAAATTCAAAACAAAGCCGGGTTTCAATTTGTAAAGCCATTGAACTTGTAAGTCATTGGAACTGACAGTAACTGTTTGTCTAAGCGATGAACCTTGAACATCGCTGCCGTTTACCCATTCAAATTCAAATAAAACTGCCCTGCTTCGAAAAACTGTACTTTCTTACAAAAAAAGTAGTTTTATCTAAACACCTACTACAATATAAAATATATTTTTAATTCAAAAAAGTGCACTTTTTAAAAATCTTCCTTGACAAACTTTATTTTTTTACAAAAAAGTCGTTTTGTTACCCAAAAAGTGTCCTTGTTACAATAAAAACCGCAGTAAAACAAGAAATCGGTTATCATAATCAGTTCGGAAAAAGTAGCGAACAATGTCGGGAATGTAAAAGGTTACCTTGTTTACAAATAAAATGACAAAATCGCCCCAGGGTCTGGATAAAAAAATAGGTTTGGATGAGTTTTTTGGGGAAAAGTTGCAGCTGTTAGTAATCTGAGTACAATCAATTCATTATAACACTTTGAAAAGGTTTTTCACAACTCAAAAAAAGATTATAAAGTTAAAAATTTTTCAAAAAATGGGTTTTTATATAGTAAAGTAAAGGTAAAATGCTTGTTTTTACATTTATAACATCCTCAATATAACATTCTAATTCTCCTCCCCCCACTACTACAAAACCCCATGTTACTACTGTTTAAACTCATCAGTAAGACCCTGCTTAAATATATAACCTTTGTACTCATGTACCATACGAAACCTTAACGCGACGTGACAATAACCATAAAATTAAGGAAAACAATAACAATGGGAAGGAATTATAATAATTTGAGTAAACCTGACCGCCGACTCAAGAAATACCTTTTGTCCGTCACAGAATCCCGAAGTGAAGAGATTCTCGAGAAGGAGATCCCGCTACAAGGAGTTGTGGTAACTTTTAACCCGGTCAAATTGTTTGTTGCACTTTTCTTTAGTCTAAAGAATTTGAAAATTGTAAAAAACCGAGCAATTCGTTACACAATAGTTTTACTGTCTTAAGGATACTGTTGGTTTAAAGGTTAATGAACTCCAAAAACAGCTCATTCAAAGCAAACTACGTGTAATTGGGTATAGTATGGTGGCTAAATAAAGTCATCTACTCTTACTATAATAAAAAAAAGTTTTACTATGATGTCATTTGACTCTAAACGCCTCAGTAAAAGTACAACCTAATCGGATCAAACCAATTTTAATGCAAATATTCCCAATTTCCTTCTTACTACAACTCCACACACAAAACAAAACACAAAAAAGTCGTTTTTACTACAAAATATACTATGAATTCACGTTCTAACAAATAATACCAGTCAAACTACAATTTCAATCTTCATATTAAAAAAAATTTAAATATCAAGGTCAGAAAGTAAATAATCAGCTAAAATACGTAAATTGATGTAACCATCAATATTCCATAACCCAAAACATAATCCAAGCAAGAACACTGAAGATATTACTAATAAAAGGCTCGTTAAAGCTATTAAAGTATACCTTTACTAGGTATTACGCTAGCGATCAAGAAGGCTTATGGTGTTTTGACAGTGTGATCACACAGTAAACAGACCGTAATTACTTGAGCAAAAGACAGTAAACTGTATACAAAACGAGCCTCCAAAAGTAGGTAATGGCTATATGCTACGTTTTACCGTAGTAATGAGGTAATAGGTCAAGTAAATGGCTTGTAGTCATTATGGCAAGCAAGTTTACAGTAAGTTTATGTATGCAGGCTGTACAAAGTACTAAAATATAGTTTAATAGTCTTTTAGTCATTACAAATGAAAGATTGTTTAAGTCCATATCTAAAGAAAACCTGTTTATACTTTACCTGACCCAATAATCATTAAAAGTAATCTCTAAACCTTGATCCAAAAAGAAAATAAAGTCATTTTTATGCCACTATGTTTGACAACAAAGATGCAAAAAAAAGTGTCAAACCCTCAAACTTTGCAACTATAAATGCAACGAATCCAAAAACAAAAAGCGATGAGAATTTAATAACAAAGCCTGGGAAAACCGTTATTAAACTGTTGGTTTAGAGGTCCATATATATATTGAACAAAAAACTATAACACAATATAAAAAGAACCTTTATATAAAGAGAGACCTCACACCTAAAACAATAACCTTATATACTAACTAGGAAGACCTCGTAGATGACTAAACAATCACTTCATCATAATTTTTAAAAATTTAAAAAGATAAAAAAAATATTTTTCTAAATTAAACTACCCTCCGCTACGTTACAAAGCGGTTGCTAAAGACGAATTTAGCACGGAAACGCTGTGAAAACAAACAAATTTCACAAAAACGGAATGCGTGACGTAGAAGAAGCAACTGCAAAAACATTTGGTGATATACCGACGTTACAACTAGCTACAGCAATGAAAAAGGTACACAAAAAGCTATTTTTTAAGTTTTTATATGATATACTATTATCACATAATATCTTGAAAAAATGCTTTTGAAATAAAAATAGCACTCCAGTCCAGACCGTCCCAAAAATTTTAAAACTCAAAAACGACTTATTTTATGGACAGTTTTCCAAATAAAACTGACCATTAATTATAAATGGAACCATTCACACAAAAAAAAACCACACCCAGAAGACTTTTTATCAATAAAACGTGATTTCTACTGACTATTACAACATCTACACCCAACACTATTTATGCCATTACTTTTCAAGTAAAAACCTTTAACACCCAGTAAAACTTTTAACACACAGTAACTCCACGCATTATCCACCCTCAACGCCTAATGAACGCTGTTTACAAAACGACGGAAAGCTGTTGTAAACAAGGAAAACTTGGAGGTCAGCGGAATCCGGCTTCCGTCGAGAAGTCAAATCGCTCTTTCTCCCGGAAGCCGCCTTCTGAAGGTGAATATAATTCGTTTTTCGGGTGCTCCGTTCTTTGCCTCAGGGCCCCGGAACACTATCACCCCCTATCACCGAAAACGGGTTTCCACAAGCCAGTTTCTTTGTTTTTATGACATTAAAACTACCTCACCGCGCTCCCATACCTCCGACCACTGGAGCAGTAGATTAGGGGGATTAAGTCGCGAGAAAAGTAAAAGTTTGGGTTTCAATTAACGCTTATCACCCCGCCAGCCCTGATATCCGTAACGTTTTCGGATGTGTTTTATGGGTTTTGTCAGAAGATGAAGTTTTCAGAGCTTGAATGAAGTTAACCTACCTTAACTTTTAGTTTTAAACTTTTTGGTCAATAAATAAATAGAAAACCAAAAAAAAGGAATATTGGCTTAAAATAAATAGTGTTACGCCTTTTTCCAAAGCTTAAATTCAACACCATTTTTGACCTCTAAACTAATGTTATTTTAGACCAAACCATCAAAAACATCAATATTTTTTCGAAAATCAGCAAAATGATTCGAAAAAAGTGAAAACAATCGACTGTAGCTCGGTTTACAGCAATTACTTTGCAACAATTAATCATTTTGGTCGTATAACGTTACAATTTACGACATTTTTGAAACCAACTGATGACGTTTTATGTGATTTATAATATAAAACATGATTTTGAAATCTAAAGCATACAAAAATGGCTAGAAAGAGTCAATAAGAACTAAAACATAGCACTTTGTGAATTATAAACAAGCTAATCAAGTATATAAACCTATTTATTGTCAGTCAATATCACCACATGCTCCTAGACAATAATTAACCCTATATTAAGAGCCACTAATTATAAACTACTAATTAACTCACCGAAACTCTCGCCATTCAAACTGGACGGCCTTGGAGCAGTCCAATCTCGGTACATCGCCGGAGGTGATAAAGCTCGAAAACGATTGAATTCCGAGAGTTGTGTCCATTTCCCTCTCACTTTAGGATACTCGAGATACAACAACTGACGTTATCCATTCATTTTTTCAGCTCAAAAAACGAATCAATTGCAATCGGCCCCGAGGGCACAAACGGAAGCACGAAATTAATTATTTGCAAACTTTTCGAAATACGAAAAAACTCCATTTTAATTGACAGGTTTGACTCTAAATTTATGTCAAGTCTCTTTGTGTTTAGCACGTTAAAGTTTAGTTTTTGATTTAAAAAACTTTCACACATATTTTAAGCAATAATTTAAATTTCAAAGTTTTAAAAAATCCCAAAATTTTAATAATTATTTATTTGAATATCTTAAAACTTAACAATTATATACAAAAACATATTTACAATTATATACAAATATTACAATGTAGAACATGATACAATAGACTTAGTCGACTTCCTCGACAGTCGGTCCAGTACCACTTTGTCCAGGGTACCCGTACTGTTGTTGCTGTCCATAATCCTGACCTTGTCCAAACTGTTGGCCACAAGACTGAGGTTGAGGTCGTTGATGTAGCTTGCTCAGGATATCGTTGCACTTCCTCTGACATTCCTGAAGTCGTTCTTCGTACTCCGACTTCTCTGCCGTCTGATTCGTCTCCACCCATTTCAAAGCATCGTCGATCAGACGCTTGGCCGTTTCTTGATCTTGAGCCTCCAACTTCTGGCCATACTCATCGATAGAGCCTTTCACTTGGTAGAGGTAGGCTTCGAGTCTGTTCCTGGCGTCGATTCTATCTTTCTCACGTCGATCTTCCTCTTCGTACTTCTTAGCATCATCCAACATTCTCTGGATCTCGGCCTGACTCAATCGTCCTCGTTCGTTCCGGATTCTGATGCTCTTAGACTTTCCTGATCCTTCGTCTGAAGCCGACACATTCAGAATTCCGTTGGCGTCGATCTGGAACTTGACCTCGATTCTTGGTGTTCCTCGTGGTGCTGGTGGAATACCTTCCAAGTTGAACGTTCCCAAACAGTGGTTACCACGAGTCATCTCACGTTCGCCTTCAAACACCTTGATCGTGACAGCTGGCTGGTTGTCGGCATATGTTGTGAACGTGTTCTTTGCTTCACTGGGGATTCTGGAGTTCCTCTCTATCAGTTTTGTCATCACACCGCCAGCGGTTTCGATTCCAAGACTAAGAGGAGTAACGTCGACCAGTAGCACATCCTTCACGGCTTTGTCTTGACATCCAGAGAGAACGGCAGCTTGAACAGCGGCTCCATAAGCAACGGCTTCATCTGGGTTGATGGACAAGTTCAACTCCTTTCCACTGAAGAAGTCCTTCAATAACTTCTGGATCTTAGGGATTCTAGTTGAACCACCGACCAGCACAACTTCATGGATGTCTCGCTTCTCCATCTTGGCATCCTTCAGAGCAGCTTCGACTGGCACCAAGGTAGATCTAAACAAGTCGGCACACAACTCCTCGAATCTAGCTCTCGAGATTCTGGAGTGGAAGTCGATTCCGTCAAAAAGTGAGTCCACTTCAACAACTGCTTCTGTAGATGACGATAAAGTTCTCTTGGCACGTTCACATGCCGTTCTCAGACGTCGGATCGCTCGAGAGTTGTTCTTGATGTCGCGTCCGTTCTTCCTCTTGAATTCCTGAATGAAGTGATTCAGAAGTCGATCGTCGAAGTCTTCGCCACCCAAATGCGTGTCTCCAGAAGTCGCTTTCACTTCGAACATGCTTCCTTCAGCAATCGTGAGAACGCTGACATCAAACGTTCCTCCACCAAGGTCAAAGATAAGCACATTCCTCTCTCCTTTCAGCTTCTTATCCAGTCCATAGGCCAGGGCAGCCGCCGTCGGTTCGTTTATGATTCTAAGCACGTTGAGACCGGCAATCGTGCCAGCATCCTTGGTGGCTTGACGTTGACTGTCGTTGAAGTAGGCAGGGACCGTGATGACAGCATCTCTGACTTGATGTCCCAAGAAAGCTTCGGCCGTTTCCTTCATCTTCGTGAGTACCATCGCTGAGATCTCTTCTGGTCTGAATCTCTTCGTGTCGCCTTTCGCTTCGACTTCCACAATAGGCTTTCCGTCTTGACATACCACCTTGAAAGGCCAGTGTTTCATGTCCTTCTGAACCGTCTCGTCGTTGTAGCCACGTCCAATCAATCTTTTGGCATCAAAGATTGTATTCTGAGGGTTTCTGGCCGCTTGATCCTTCGCCGATTCTCCAATCAGACGTTCTGTGTCTGTGAAGGCAACATACGATGGCGTTGTCTTATTTCCCTGGTCATTGGCGATGATCTCCACTTTGCCATGCTGATATACACCGACACATGAGTATGTAGTACCCAAGTCGATTCCAATAGCTTTGCACGAACTCATCTTAACAGTAGAATAAATTATAATAGCTTTTCAAATCACTAGTCGCAATTTTGATTTTGTTTTGAATTGACTTCGCTGCTTTTTCCGCCGCCTTTTATACTCTTTTGCTAAAGACCGCGAATTCGCGGGAAGTTTCTTGTGCTTTCGCGAATTTTCCCTCTTACTTTTCTCGCGAATGCGAAAGGTTTCCAGCCGTTTCGCCGCCTTTCTCTCTTCTTTTCTTTCGACTGCGATAAAATACTCAAGTTTTCGCCAGTTTTCCTTCGCTTTTCTAGAAAATGCCACAAGAAACTGGAAATTGCACGAATCTTTGATAAAATTCGAGAATTTTCAATAATAAACTTGGTGTTAACCTAAAACTTCTTTGCGACAATCCAGAGAACTTTGTTGTTGTACATGTTTTTGTCGCGAAAATGTTTTTACCATAAATTAACACTTGACACACAAAAAAGGAAATCTTGACACACACTGTATTTCGAATTTGATCACGTTTGTTGTTCAGTTCGGTGTAGGAATGTGGAAGTCTAAACAACCCGCTGCTCGAGAACCTGATAACCTTTTTCTCTTGCTGACAAGGCATGTTCCGCCGTTTGAAACTTTTAAAATTGGGTAAAAATCTGCATTCTCGATGTTCTTCAACGTACAGTAAGTTTTTTTTGGCGTTTGTGTTGTTGCTTTTAGGTGCAAAAAATGTTAAAGGAGTATTAAGTACTTTGTAAGAATTTGAATACTATTTTATAGAAAGAGTTTTGTTGTTTTCAGCTGGAAACAACAGTAAATTCAATCAGAATTTGTTGTTTTATGGACCTGCTTCCGCAGTCTTTATCGTGGGAGGGCTTTATGAAGGAAAGAAACGACTCTTCAGAGAAGCAGAAGCCGCGACAGCTCATATACCAACGCCACCAAGCTTTGAACCACCAGATAGAAATGATTTGCCGACATTTAAACTATCAGATGTCGAAAAACATGGGAAGAATGCTGAAAGAATATGGGTAACATACAAAAATGTAAGTTTCTAAAAATATTTTAAATTTGTGAGTTTTTTTAAACGTTATTAAAAATATTTAGTAGATTGTTTATGTCGTTGTTCATCTAGTTTATAGTTACCTTATTTAGCAGTTTTAGGGAGTTTATGATGTTACTGAATTTGTGACAAGTCACCCAGGTGGAGACAAAATTTTAATGGCTGCTGGTGGTTCAGTGGAGCCTTTCTGGGCCATCTATGCTCAACATAAAACTGGAGAAGTTATGGAAATTTTGGAAACATTGAGAATTGGGAACATTGACAAGAAAGAATTAGAAGCAAGCAAAACTAAGGTAGGGCTTTTTATGTTTCTTTCGAACTTTAGGCAATACTTTTTGTTCGCTGTGAGTTTTTGCTGATGGAGTCTTTGAATAACATAAAACGTAGCATAATATAGAAGTTTAGGTAGCAAATGCAGACGATCCATTCAGTCTTGATCCTCCAAGACACCCCGCTCTGTTGGTCAATTCTCAGAAGCCATTTAATGCAGAAACACCGCCAAGTTTGATCTTGGATAACTTCTTAACCCCAAATGATTTGTTTTTTGTCAGAAATCATATGCCAGTTCCTCAAGTAAGTCAGTTAGACTAATACTTTATCACAAAGTAGTAGAAACGTTGATAGAAGTGAATAATTTCTTCAATAATATGTTTTCAGACTGATATAAAGAAGCATAGATTGCAAGTCAGCGGATTAGGTATTAATAAACCGGTGGAGTTGAACGTAGATGATCTTAAGCTGAAGTACGAACCTGTCGATGTGATATCGGTAGTGCAATGTGCTGGAAACAGACGTAACGACATGAATGAGTACAAGAAGGTTAATGGTTTGATGTGGACTGGAACTGCCATCAGTTGTGCCAAATGGACTGGTGTTAGATTGAGGGTGAGTTTGATATCCATGAAGTCCAAACTTAAAATAATACGTTTAGGATCTTTTGATAACAGCTGGAGTAAACCCAAACGACCGTAAAATTAAGCATGTTCACTTTGAAGGTGCTGACACAGATCCTACAGGAACACGTTATGGAGCTTCGATTCCATTTCACAAAGCCATGGATCCAGATACGATTGTCGCTTATCATATGAACGATCAAGACATACCACAAGATCATGGATATCCACTGAGAGTGATTGTTCCTGGTAATGTTGGGGCACGACAAGTGAAATGGGTAACGTCGATCAAGACTTCTGATATTGAGAGCCCTTCTCATTGGCAAATGAAGGATTACAGGTAGTTGATTTAAGTCAATTTGAATATTATGCTTTTACGCCTTATAATGGGTATGTAACACTTTAGGCCAACTTTAGCTTTGAATTTATTGTTTTTAGAGCTTTCTCACCATCAGTTACTCAAGCTGACAAAATAGATTACAACTCAGTACCGGCTATTCAAGAATATCCTGTTCAAAGTGCTATAATGACGCCGGCTACTGGTACCAAGGTTTCAAAAGGTAAGGCAATGTTTATATAGACTGTATATGTTAAACCAAAAAGCGAGCTATGTGAACACTTTAACACATCAGTAACTTATGCCTTCAGACGATGGAACGATAGATGTAGCAGGTTATGCTTGGAGTGGAGGTGGCAGAGGAATTATCAGGGTAGAGCTATCAGCTGATAACGGTGAAACGTGGTATTCTGCAGAGTTACAACAAGATAGCGAACAGGACTTGGTATGCGTTGAATTTTAGATACTGATTTTATGGCTAAGATATGATATATTTATGTGCAATATGTTGCTTTTATGTGTACATAGTTTATACTCTTTTTTACTTTTTTTATTATTTTTAATTTGTTTTAGGAGAGAATGTGGGCATGGACTTTATGGAAAGCCGAGATTCCAATACCTAAAGGAATTGAGCCAGGACAGAAAGTTGAAATTGTGTGTAAAGCTACAGATCGTGCTTACAATACACAGCCAGAGACACCATCTGGCTTGTGGAATATAAGAGGTCTAGTAAATACGTCATGGCATCGTGTGAAGGTGGATATTACAGAATGATTATTCAAGATATATATTGTTAAATGACATTGTAAATGATTGTTCTAATATGTTTAAGAACAGCTTTTTTGAAATGTTTTTAAAATCATTTTTAAAGATAGTAATATACACTTTTCTAGAATTATTTTTAATTACTTTCTAAACGTTATGTTAGAATATCATATACTCTTTACCTTGTGACTCATCTACTATATGGTTGTCTAAACTCATCTGTGATCAATAAACTAAATCAACATTAAGAATCGTTAAACGTTAATTAAAGCGCTGGTTAAGGATTGCCTGAACTACTTGAGGTGTGTCTGGGGTGGTGTTATCATGCTTTATTTGTATCATAAACGGCTTTTCCAAACAGATCATGAGTCAATTTCGTTCGTTTTCCCTTTCTCAGCCCAAAAACAAAACAAATCTCGGTCATAATTTTGCTTTATTTTTAATTTGAATTTTAAATTGCTTTAATTTACTTATTTTTACTATAATATATTCCTTCCTGATGTTTCTGGCTTTTTATTATATTATAGTAGGTTTACGTAGGCTTATGAGAATTGGGAATAAATCTGTGCATTAGCTTAAAAGGAAAAATATTTTTGAAACATTACAGGACAATGATTGATCACATCATTGATGGAGTCTACATTTCCGATGCCATCTCGGTTATTGGGGCTACTCAAATGAGGAAGTTGGAGGAGCTGAGGGTGAGTTTACGAACTTTGTTTTGGAATTACAACTATGTTACTTCAAATATCTGGGATTTTAACTTATTCTTAATTTAAATTGTAACGAAAAATCAGTTTCCAAATTTAAAATAATATTTTTACATCACTTTCAGATACAACGGGTATTGACAGTGTCAGCGATGACTATAGACGAGCTCAAGAAAGTCCCTGGAGTTCACTACAAGTTTTTGTTTATGATGGACTTGTCATCACAAGATATACTGGGTGATAACCTACTCGAAGAAGCCATTCAGTACATAGAAAAGGCGGTCAAAGATGGAGTTAACATCCTCGTACATTGGTAGGTTTGTAAAATACGGTTTTAGGCGGGCTTAGAAGTAGAATAACTTATGAAGAATAGTAGATGATGTTACTCAAAGCTTTAAACTTATTGGGACCTTGTAGAAAGAAGCTGGGTAATATTGTTGTAGGTACATAGCAAAATTAAATGCAAACTTATTTTTATGTAACTAATAACGTTTAGTGAAATGGGAACTTCGAGAAGTGTAGCTGTGGTATGTGGATATCTGATGCGACGTTTTGAATGGAGCCCTAACAAAGCCTTAGTTTATATCAAAGACAAACGACCGAATGTACAGTAAGTACTACTTATTTTTTAGGTAGAAATTTTGTGAAATTGTAGTTTTTAAAGTCAATTGATGAAAGAAAAGTTATATTTTTGATTGACTAATAACTAATGTCACAACTTTTTTTACTTCAGGCCAAACGACGGATTCATGCGTCAGCTTGAGATCTTCTACCAACTCGACTTCAAATCCGACCCCAGAAGTCTCGCAACAGCACCATTGTACCGAAACTTTTGCGCGGATTCTGGCAACGTTCCCAAACTCCATTCCCGCTCTTCAATAACTGATCCAGCCTCTACCTCAACATCAGATCCCCAATCTCCCATCAATGTTCCAAAAGCATCGATGGATCAAAGATCGCCTGAAGTTTTGGAAGCTCAATTCAAATTTCGATGTCGTAAGTGTAGAAACGATCTATTTTATGATACACACGTACTGTACCACGCGAAAGGTACACCTGGTACTACCGGAGAGACTGTGACGGATGTTGATGATGAGCGAAGATTGAGGAAAGCTTTCAGTTTGGATGATAGATGTCGCTTCGAGTACTTTATAACACCCATGAAGTGGATGGATGCGGATCAGTTTCAAGGAAAGGTAGGATTACTGTAATGTTTTTTGTTTTAGATTAGCAAAAAAATTGTAAGAATGAAACGTTTACTGCGGTAAACATAAGTTCATGATAATAAAATGAGGTAATATGGTTTTATAGATAAACTGCCCGAAATGTTCAGAAAAGCTGGGTCAATATATTTGGGGAGGTCGGAAGTGTCAAGGTTCAGATGAAACAAATTGTGGAACTCATGGTAAGTGTTAGGTTGTAAAATTTGTGATGTTGTAAAAAACGACGTTTATTATGTAAGACATTGTCAAAATAGTATTTTTCAATGGCTTACTTTAGTATCTCCTTGGTTTTACATTCAAAAATCAAAAGTGGACAAAACCAGACTCAACTCCTCGTTAAAAACCCCAAATGTGTCAGTACCCACCGTTGTTATCAGTTAATTATGCCTTTACAATCTTCAGCATTTAAAATAAAAATGTATTGGTGTTACCAGAACCAATCTCGTTATTCATTATCATACTCAAGTTAGTACTGTAAAGTAATTGATTTTTTCTATTGTGTTATAACAACGGTTGAAACTTCAAAAACCTTAATTAAAGTTAGAAATTTATGCCTAAAATTAAGGATTTAACAAGAAACAATAACACGAAAGTCAACACCGTGCTGTAGTTGATGTTGTAAAATGCTGAAACGTGAAGGATCCTTATCATAGCTTTGCATCTCTCAACTCAATACAATGTAACTTGAAAGCTTCTGCTAGGTCTTCCACACTCAACTTCGTTCCCAATGCTAGTTCCAGTAGCTTGGCCGAGGGTAGTTCTCCTCCTCGTGCTTGAACTGACGCCCAGTGCTCTCCCGATACTCTCGAGAATGGATCTTGCTCAAAGTGCTTCTGCCAGATCTGTGAGGCACAAGCCTTGGCAATCGTGTACGAATAGTACTTGGCTCCGTATGTCACGAGATGGGTAAAGTTCTGATGGTATGCGTAATCGGCGGGTATGGCCATGTTTGGCAGTACTTCACGGTGCAGTTTGTGGTACAATGACATAGGAGACTCGCCGTCTGAATGATGTAATTGTAGATCGAAGCGGGCTAGAAGTAACTGTAGTGTGCTGAAGTAGGCTGGATACATGTTCAAGGCCGAGTGAAGAGCTTTGGCATGTTCGTCCGAGAAAAGGGTACCTCTTGGATCCATGCAAAACCGTTTCAGTACCTAAAAATTGTTTTCTATCAAATCTGTTACACATATTGTAATAGCTATAATAGTAAACAATTAAAAATGAATAAATAATCATCAAAAAGCTCTGTCAACATTTATGGTGTATATCAGGGACGCCGTTTGGGGAGAGGGTAGGGGGGGGGTACCCCCTCCCCCAGAGCTGATCCGAAAAAAATTCCACAGGTAGGTAGGTACCTGTACGTGGAAAAACGAAAAAAAAATATTTGGAAAATCGGTCCACAGGTATATAATATACATCATTCACCATTTATCATATGTAAACTAACCCTAGCATCGCTGAAGAAGAACTCCATTAGGTTCGAAGGAACTTCGGCAAAGTCTGTTGGACATCTTGTACCAGCTGTATGCTGATATCTTGTAGCACCAAGCATTGAATGGATAGCATGACCAAGTTCGTGGAACAAGTTCTCAGCATGTAGCAGGTTTATGGTCACAGAGTCCAGAAGTTCATTCAGCTCCATATTACGGTTTTTTACGGTAAAAAAGGACAATGATAGTACCACGATTGGCTTCTGATGAGAACCATCGTCCATCTAAAAAAGATAATCATTGTTTGCTTTAGGAAGTTAATGGCAAAGGTATATCATATAAAAATTGGTGATACCACGAATACAAAATAAAAGATGGTACTGTTGGTACAACTTAAAGTACCACCAAAAATCCTACCGTTTTGGAGCACTTGACAGTGTAATGACAATCCCCATCAGACTTGTTCCTTCTACTCTCTGCATCAATGTAAATGGTACCCAAGAACTGGTCTCCTTTGTGACACTCTAGCTTCACCACTGGTCCTTCCCAGATTTCATGTGGATCCGACTTCGAGACCTTCAATCTAATACCGTACAAATCGCTACACAAATCTCCAAAGCCCTTCAGAACACGGCCGAATCCAAAGAATCTAGAGACATCACCGTACTGTAAATAGAGTTTTCGCTGTTCAATTTTGGAGGCGACTTCAACCGTATTTCTGGAGAGTTCGGCCTTTGATGTGATGAGTTTGTTATCCTTAGATATCCGATATGCATCTTCTAGTTCTTCTTCAACCAACGGCTTCAGACTCTAAAATCATCTTATCTTGCAATTACTATCCTACCTTTCCAACCTTACTACAAAAAATCACATTAACTCACCGTGCCCACCAGATCAAGAAACTCTTCGGCCTTTTCGTACCCACTCAGTATCATATGTTGTTGTGCTCGGTCTGCATAACTCTTGTAACCAGTTAGTCTAGCCAACTGTTGTCGATGAGACATTAATTCGATTAAGGCTTTCTCCTTCCCAGCATCGTACTTGGTATAGTCATCGTATCGGTCAGTCTGTTCACAAAACTTCACTCCCAATTCGAAGATTTTGTTGGATAAACGGATGAATTCTGCTCTCTGAAAGTTAATTTTAGGTGAGATTTGATTTTGAAAATATTTTTATGAAAAAGTCATCAATATTTTAAAAAAATTTTAAAAAATGTTTTCAAGGAATTCATTAACTCTTTTTATCGATATTATAAATGTGGTTGTGTTTGTTTTTTCTAATTACTACTGTTACTGCTCATTTATTTAATCTTTCTTCTATCTACAAGGTTAATATTGTAAGTTTTTAATAAAAAATCTAATTAATCTCTGTTCACAAAAGAATAACACAATTAAGAATGCCATCACTATACTAAACATTCCAGACAGAAACAGAATTATACCCAAAACTAGCTCCATATGATACTCAATTCAACACGGATCCCCTAAAAGGAGTCCCCAGGAATACCAGAAATTACATTCGAGATGAGTTCAGCAAGGCTTACTATGAACCAAAGTGTGGTAATGTAAAGAACCGACCGTACATTCAACCGTTCTTTTACTGGCCTGGAGATACGATAAAGTTACAGTGTAAAGTGTGTGAGAAGGGTCAAGTTGTGGATGGTGAGATGAAGTACTGGGCGTTTGTGCACCGCAGTATCATCTACAAGATTGACAACTTGTACAAGACGATCAAGGATAAGCAGTGGATGCCCATCGACAAGTTGGAAAGCTTTACCAATATTAAGATTGGAACACCTGATTTCCACAGTAAGTGGGTTTAATTAAACTTACCTAATCATATGGTTAAAAAAGTGTTTTTAAAAAAAATCATGTTTTTTCAGGACCTGGACCGCTAAGAAAAGGAAGAATACTGCCAAAAAGTACTGTAACTCAGAGGAATGGACATCTAATCATACAAAATGTAAGGCTAAACAAAGAACATTAATTTTGTTAAAAAATCCCTACGTAAAGCCAGTTATTTTTTGCCCGCCTAATAAAAACTAAAAAAAAATTTTTTTGACTGCCTAGTAAGTAATCTTTTCTTACAGAGTAGAACAGCCCATTACGGTCTGTATCGTTGTTTCACCAAAGCTCAAGAAGAAAATCTCGACTTTATCTACTACCTCATACCGTATACCCCTCTACTGGTCGATACGAAAAGAGTAACAAGAGATCAATGCAAGTTAATATCAACAAGTGACCCTACTAGAGTCTTCGATGAATTTCATCGATGGAGGACATTTCCAACCTTTGTTCAGGACAAAGAAAATGGCATTTGTAATGGAGAATGTAACAAGAAAGTGAGTTCAGTAAAATCTATCTCTAGGTTAATTCACTTTTAAGATGTTGTATATAAGTTCCAACATTATGTGCCCTACCCCTTATAGTCATCATAAAACGTCTTCTATGTTCATATTTTCCGATAAAACCAAGTCGACCCATACCTATATAAAGCTTTCCAGTTCCTGGATGTTTCCAAGATCAAAGACCCGATCACCAAATGGACAACACCAAAAATACCAACACAAAATACAACTGTCGTGACAGCTCGGTTAAACCTAGAAGTGTATTTGAAATGGGAGAACTGGACCAAGTGTAAGCAAATGAATACCCAGACAAGAATAGGACAATGTTATCTACGAAAGACCAACAAAAGTAGGATATTCGATCCAGAACAAGATACGATGCTCGGCACACTGTATTATGCCACCAAGATACATAAACTCTTGGAGAAGGTACCACAATTTCAAGAGGATGGTATTCCATTGTTCAGGTACGTACTGTTTTGGCGTTACTAGTGTAATATAGTGTACAACATTGTGTATAAAAAATTCCTATTTCGAAATGATATAAATAGTTAACGTCATGACAACTTTAAGATAAAAGCAGCCCTTTTGATACCTAAACAGCTAAATATTACCTATTTTTAGCGGAATCCTAATGGATACCATAATGCCCAAGGATCAGACGCTCCAACACTGCTCGTCGATACCTCCTTTCGAGTGGAATTCCTTACGAATGCTAATCAAAACTCTTCTGAATAAGGGAGTAGATACCATGGTAAAGAAAAATGTCATGCAATTAAGTCCATGTGTCAGGAAGATCGAGTACAAAGAACGGAAGTCGCTCACCATGAGTCATACTGTATTTCAGACCCGCAAATGTAATAAAGACAACTAAGAAAGGTTTTTATTATGTCGTTCACTTAATTTTGCGCCCCATAACGCCAGAAATTTTCTTAAAAAAGGTGCAGAATTAAGTGAACGACCTAATAGATAAAAGGTATAAAAATACATTTACTTGATTACCTTGATCAAACTAAAGTAATATCTAATAAAAAACCAACCTGACTGTCCTTCAAATGAACTCCACATTGTTCAAAGTCATCTAAAAACAGTCTTAATGTTCTTTTATCAACATCATCCAGCATCGAGGCTTCTGATTCCACTGATCTGTCTACTGAATGATATAAAGCTGGCATTGAGTTTAACCTACAAAAATACTTTTCTCATAATAATACATACGTTTCAAGAAGATTAGTGAGACGGTAGATGGAATTGTTGCCAACAGCACGATACGCATTGTCTGGATGCATATTACGTACACATTCAGCCTAAAATAACTATGGTTTACTTATCTAATCAGTATCATATTTTAGGTACTATCTTCTATGTAGTCTCGTAGAACATAGTACTTAAAGATAAGGTAATCTTCCACACTCACCAAATCAGCAGTCGTACATATTGTGTTAGACAAGTCATCAAGCAGCTTTACCGACGTTTTTCTTGTCTTCCGCTTCTGATATGGTTGTAGAATTTCGTTTACAAGATGTTCAGACTGTTCGATTACAGTGTCAGTTACTCTGTCAAAATCTGCCGGACATTTCAGTTTATCGTTCCCAAATATACCCTTAAAATCCAAAATAGGTATAATTTAAAGACAAAAATAGTCAACACTCAATTATTTATTACAAGATAGAGTTCGTATTAGTTGGTCAGTAAAGCAACATTAGTCTTAACAATGTTTCAAGTCTATACTTACATTTGACTTTGCTATAGCCGCATTTTGCGACAAGACCCGTCTAACCAGACTAGCTCTCATACCTAAACCAAATTAAAATTCAACTTTTAATCGAAATAGATAAGTAATAGTAACTTATTCCCAGAATACGAAGAAGAAGATAATATAGTTTATTATGAACAATATACACGTAAGACAATGAGATTAGATGTTTTCCTTTCGTTTCATCGGAGTATGGTACCCAGTAAATGACTCGCTTACCACTGTATTCAGCTTGTTCACCAACTGAAATTCGCTTTTGTTATTTTACATATAAGACATCTTCTAGAGTTTAATTTGGTAAAAAGCAAACCATAAACTTACAGAGAAGATGTTATTCGAGATTTTGTTATTCATAGTAAGCAAAACAATAGCTTTGTCGTTGATATCAGAGTTATTGTCATCACATTTGATTTTCTGATCCCTCAAAAACTGAACCTTGATAGCCAGTTTATGCAGTTCTCGTAAAACTTCTTCATTTGGCTGTAGTTCTTTCTTTTCCACTGCCTAAACATCAAAAATATATAGTGAATTCCAAAGAAACAACAAAAAGGTAACTAATTTAAACCCACATCCAGATAGTCGACAGCCACGGACAATCCTCTCCACAACATCTTCAGAGCTCCACATTGTTCTTGTAGCTTCTGTGAGGCCGTCGTCTCATTCTTGTCGCCAGCACTAGTAAACTTAGCAGCATGATCAGTGCCAATTCTTTCAGCAACATCGCTTACAATCTTCACGGTAATCTCGTTCAGGAATACTCTGCCTTCTTTGTGATCCATATTTGGTTCAAAAACAGAAATTGGAATCTAAAAATAGTCACTTAGTAATTATAAATTTTGTTGTATGGTGTTCTCCATGAGCTTCCTACATAAACTGAAAAAAAAAATACTTTAGAATCTGTTGAACACCAACTTTATTTTAGAAGTTACGATTATAAATACTACAATCCTAAACAAAACAGTTAAGATTCTGTTTACCTTCTCAGTGTGATCCGAGATGATCGGACTCAACTTCAAAATAAATCCATAGTCCGACAAATTCATAGCAATTTCATACAGCTTCAGATCGACCTCATCCACAACACTATTGTCTCCAGTCACATAGAATCCCAAAAACGTCAAATCAGGAAAGGTCTCTTCATCTAAACACAAAATTTAAATAATAAAATGTAAAACATACAAAGTCTGGCACGAGTTCTGTAGTATTCCACATTCAGATCCACTTTTGTTCCTTCTACTCGTGCTTCCAATTCGAAACAATTCAGAATTTCAATAGATTTAGCGTCTTGTTTACCAAGCAAAGCTCCAACGACCTAAAGCAAGATTTCTTATTTTTTAAGTATTAAAATGGCTTTTAAAATTCCGTGGCTCACAGAGTTCGTATTAAAAAAAAGACAAAACTAGTTACCTGTGAATATTTTCCATTGTTAAGAATGACACTTCGAGTAAAATGATTCGAAATGATTGCCACAGTAACTGGATGAACTTTAGCCACCAAACCACCTTTCTCAGTCCCAACCATTTTTAATTCAATGCTAAGACTAAAAGCTTGTCTTGTACAAGACCTTGTTCACCGTATTTTCTGTTTTTTGCCAAAAAATGATGAAGAGAATAAGTTGACTCCAAAGAGAAACATGACGCAAAAACAAATTATTTTTGGAATATTTTTAAATTTTGCAACAAACTTGGTTATCACAATAAGATGTTGAAAGCTAAACATTTGCCAATATTACTATTGTAAGCAGTTTCATATTTTTATAGTAAATCAGATACAGCTCTAGTGTTATATTAATATTCCTCTTATAAGAGCTCTTATTTTCTTAAATTTATATTTTAGGAGAACAAATGTGAAAAGCTGCAAACGTTTTACTTCTTCCAAGGTATGGTATTACTTTATAAGATTATTACGAAGCTTAGGTTGATTACAACACAATCAGTTTATCCGAGCCTTTGCCTGGATTTGAGAAGGTAACTTATTCAAAAGAGAATACTGTCAAATTGTTCGATACGAAGATCACACAGCTGCAGAATGGACTGACAATAGCTACAGAAGAAGCTACAGGTGAATATTGTACTGTTGGAGTGGCTGTGAACGCTGGATCAAGGTACCAAACATATTATCCATGGGGAGTTAGTCATTTCGTGGAGAAACTTGGATTTGGAGTAAGTTTTTACATTATTTATGTTTGTATTGGATAATATTGATATTTTTTATGTTTTTTTTTGTTTAGGATTGGTTTATTTGTCACGTTATGCATCAAAATCGTTTTAGAGTTCACAAAACTATCCTGACCGAGCCGAAACCTTTAATATTCTTGATTCATGCGGGGCGATAATAGATTGCCAGTCTACCAAAGATACCACTATTTATGCAGCATCTTGTTTGAGGGAAACTGCTAGTAAAATGACAAAGATCATTGCTGACACTGTAATGAGGCCGATCGTTGATCCACTGGAAGTGAATGAGACCGCTTATGTTGTTAAATTCGAAAGGGAAGCTTTCTTGAGGAAACCCGAGCCGGAGGAAATGTTGATTGACTGGGTTCATTGTGCTGGGTTCAAAAGTAATACTCTAGGTATACCAAAGTACTGTGAAAAAGAGAACCCTGGTATCACCAGGGAAGATGTATTGTCTTACATGAGCCAATATTACTCTCCTGATCGGATGGTCTTGGCTGGTGAGTTTTTATGTTTTTTAATAGTATGATGCAAACTGCGGTAAAGTATTGTATATGCGGCTGAAATATAAAAGTTATATCAATATAAGAAGCTTGAAAGGTATTTTAGGTAATAAATAAACTTGTAGTATTTAAAACTCAAATTCAAACGGTAACTTATATTATTCAGGAGTTGGAGTAGACCACGATCTCCTGGTAGCGTTGGGAAAGAAATACTTCAATACAGATTCTACAACATGGGCCCAATTTCCAGAATTGGTCCACAAAGACCTTCCTTCAATTGACCATTCACAAGCTCAATTTACTGGTGGAATCTTCCAATGGGAGAAAGACCTGTCTAAAATTGGATTGGGCATAGCCGACTTCCCCAACTTGGCCCACATGATGTTCGGCTTCGAATCCGTGGCAACTTCTCATTCTGACTTTGTGGCCTTCTGTGTGCTACAGTCGTTGTTAGGTGGAGGTGGCAGTTTCTCGGCCGGTGGACCTGGCAAAGGAATGTTTTCCAGGTTGTATGCTGATGTCATGTTTAGGTATGTGTTTATTTCCTCAATTTGTTTCTCTTTTGCTCAACTGTTTGTTGAATTGTTTTATACGTTAGTTTTTAGGTACCATTGGTTGTACAATGTTACGTCGTTCAACTTCTCCTACATGGACAGTGGTATCTTCGCTGTCAGAGCTAGTGCTCCGCCAGATAAAGTAAGTCATAAATTTGAAGATTTTGAATGTTATGTTAAAACTACCTCTGCGAATTATTAGGCTGATTAAATAGTTCTGTACCATTCTCAAAACAAATTTAGGTTGAGACCAGGGCCGGGCGCGAGGGGGGGGGGACCCCCCCAGAAAAAAAATTTTCGAAAAAAATTGAACGTGGTCCCCCCTGTGGATTTTCGGAAAAAAAATTTCGCAAAAAATCGGCACAGGCTACTACCTGTGCCGATTTTTTGGACCCCCACCCCCAGACCAAAAGTCCCCGCCCGGCCCTGGTTGAGACACATAATTATTTGAACCCTCTAATAATAAAATTTTAGTTAACGGAGACGTGTGGCGTCATTCTGAACGAGTTCTTTCGTCTTGCTCACACAGACGTCGTCGAAGCCGAGCTCGATCGCGCCAAGATTCAGCTCAAGTCACAGCTTATGATGAACTTGGAGTTGAGGCCGGTCATGTTTGAAGACATGGTACGACAGGTTCTGAATCATGGTGAACGCAAGAATCCACATGTCTATTTGGAAGAAATCGGTAAGAATTATGCTTGGTATGAAAGACCATTTAAGTGTTTTACAAAAAACTTACGGTAGTTTATTACGATCGTAGAAGTTTCATTCAGCTTATCAGCAACTTTTTTCAATAAGATATTATAGTATAAAGGGTAGTTAAATATATGGTAAAATGTAACTGAAAGTCTTGGAAAAAGTAGCTATAGATGGTATACTGAACTGTTTCAGACAAAGTAACAGCCAAAGACATACGAAGAGTCAGCGAGAGAATGTTAGCGAGTAAGCCAGCCATTGTAGCCTACGGTGACTTAAAGAAGCTGCCTTCATATGAAAAGATAGATCGAACCGTGGCCAAGCGATCGCTCTCACTACTCCAATAGGTATATTGTTGTTGTTTCTTGTTATGATAAACTTCTAGATCATTAATATTCTTTTTTGGAATTAAGTTACTCTTTATGGCAATTATATTATTTTTCTCCACTATCTTATTCATTTCACGGTTTCCAATAGCAGTTCTTTAATTACAGTTGAACTTTTTTTTATTTTTAAAACTCTCCTAATCTTATAGTTTGTCTTTGTCCAGGAAGCAGTCGTCTAATTCTCGTTTCCTAAAGATCTTTAAGAACATTTCAATAGCTGCTTTGTAATTCCACCGGTCGAAATGCCCTTTACCGGGTATGTTAATCGAGTGTACCAAGTTGTTTTTCTGACATATCCTGGTAAGCAACTCTCGAATGTCATCTGTCGGCTGTCCTTCTAGGTTTAGGGCTTTCAAGTAGGAGTAGTCTTGCTGTCTACAAACGAAGTTGTTGGAAACTAGGTATTAAAATGCTTTTTTAAACAGCTCGAAAGGACATGACATATAATTTTGACATTAATTTCTTATATATTACGGTTAATATAACTTATTTTAATTATGGTTAATATAGCTTTAAAAACTTCAAAACTTACTTGTTAAGCCAATACAGTAAGTAATCCGAGACGCTCTCCATATTTAAAGTTGACTCCAAAACGTTTTCACACAGTCCGAGCTTCATGTTCTCTTCTACTGTCCTAACATACGGATTCAGAACACCAGGAGTGTCCAGAATGTACATCAACGGCTTGTCCATTATCCTCACCCTGTTCTGCAGTCTTACGGTAACTCCAGGACGAGCGCCTAAAATTAAAAATGTTACCTAAACTTAAAAAACGCTTTTGAGTGGGTTTAACTTAAAAGCTTCGCAATTCTATTCATTTTTTGATTAAATAGTGCAATATCACATAAAAGGTATACATAATATCGCAGAAATTTTGATGGTATAGAAGAAATAACTTATTAAATATAAACCCCATGTCACAGCAACCAACCTTCTTTAACAGCATTCTTCTTTTTATCCATTGTTAAAGTTCTGAGTCCGTTAATTAACGATGACTTTCCACAATTTGGTATGCCGACGACCATAACTTGGTACTCTGCTTTAACTGTGCGATTGAACCTGAAGTCTGACTGTAGACATTGGATCATCATCTTGGTCAAGTCGTCCAATGCCCTTTTGGTCTTCTTCTTGCAATCAGTCCAAAGCACGCAATTCACTCCTTCTGACCTCAGTTGTTCTTCTACTGGGATTCTAGAAAGTTTTTGTGTAATTATAAAGCAAAGTTTAATTTTAAATCATCATAATGTTCAGAGATACAAGTATACGGTCAGAGTTATTAGACTCTCAATAAACTCTACTTCAAACCCTTCCTCACCTATACTTCTCCATGTCTATCAAGTCCCTCTTGTTCAGTACCAAAATGTGAGGTCGTACTGTGAATAACCTGTCCCTGAACACAGGATTTCGACCGGTAAAAGGCACTCTAGCATCGTGAACTTCTACCACCAGATCCACGCTTCGTAGTCGACCTTCCATCTTGGCCATCTGAATTGACATGTGCTTTGGGTACCATTTCTTCCTCTCCACATTTATCGGTAATTCAAACTCTGATCTGCTTTGGATCGGTTTTATAAACTTTGCTGACGTCGAGCAGAATCTACGGATCATCTTCAAAATATATTTTCATTTTTAAATTTAATTGAAAAATATAAAAAATTAATATAACTTCTCTTAAGAATTTATAAAGTAACAATCAAGATAACAAACTCTATATTTTACAACGATTATTTCATAAAAAAACAAAATTTATTTTAATATCTAAAGAAAAAAATAATAAATTGAAAAATTACCCAACAATATCAATTAAAAATCTTCAAAATCAACAACATAAACTCAAAAAGAATCGGCTATAGTCTGACAAGCAGATTTGACCGGTTGAGCCCCTCCCATCACAGCTGGCAAGTGTAATATCTTGATCTCCAAGTAATGTCGATGCCTTTCAAAAACAAGATCAACACAATTAGGCTTATTCGTAGCAAAAGAGTTTAGATGAGGTAGTTTTCGAATGTGGAATCGACCATCGTAGCTGTCTTCTAATGCCAAATCTCGTTTAACATCTTCATCGTGCGGTTCGATTCTGAAGAAACAGTCAGAAACATTGACAATATCATCCAGTTCTGGCGTGGTAAACAACTTCTCGTTAACAATTAACAAGCACACTGCGTTTGTGTTCATCAACAACACCTTCAGTTTCCTCAAGAATGTAAAATAATTGTCAGAGTCTTCAAACAACGGGCTTCCAACGTCATTAACCACTATCCTCAACATCTTTTTGCCTGTTTTGGCTTTATAGTCGTCACTTTGTAGCAAAGAAACCAGGTCTTCATACAGTTTCTTATAAGAATTAGTTGTTACTAACTTTGCATCAAACGTAGATATATCAACCGTCTTCACCAGATCAAACTTTGTCTTATCTCTTCCACTTAAAGCCGAATTCAAAGGTGACATAGTAGAATATCTCCAAGCAATTGTCATATCTTCTCCAGGCTTTACACTTCCTCCTCTTAGAGCCTCCAAATCATTCTTTTCAACCGAACACGATGGTATTTCATTCAGATATTCTGGCTCAGACAGACCAGCTATCACAACTTGTTGTTGACTGTTTAATCCTTCGGCCACAAAATACTTGGCAAAATAACTTCCAAACTTCTGGCCGACAGTCTCTGAGATAGAATACAAATTGTGAACAGGCAGCCCTCCTCCCATTAGGCCATCAACAGCATCTAGACCGACTGATATTACCACACAACGGTTTTGGATTCGAGTTCCAGGCAGTTTGGCGACATCTCCACTTCGAATCATACCTAAAATCATAAATAAAAACAAAATTTAACTTACCTTCTAAATAAAAAGCTGGAATTAGGCTAAAGTAGTCTCGAATAAAGGTATTTTCCTAAATTCTAAAATTTGTTTGCAAATTTGTAAAATAATATTGAGAGAAAAACTTGACGCAAGGAGCAAGCTGACTCCTGTGACAAGTTATACGTTCAAAAAACAATATATTTTTACAATTTTTTATCGAACAAGAATTACCTAATCTGGACCCTAGGACTTTAGTTTTGCCAATTATAAATGCCAAATCTAACAATAGTGTTTTCTGGAGGTTCAGAAGCGTTGTTTGGAGACAAGAAACAGCACGATGTGACGGTTGATGGAGATGTGACGGTAAAACAAGTTATTCAATGGATTGTGGATAACCTACTGGAAGATAAAAGCAGAGCACCGCTTTTTGCGGACAAAGGAACCGTCAGGCCTGGGATTCTGGTCATGGTGAACGATGTTGATTGGGAAATCACTGGAGGTGTAAGTCTTGGACTTTAATATTGAAATAGTTTGCTGATTCTTCTGGAACCGTAGGCTTGAATTGTATAATAAATTAACGTTATGTTTGTATTTACATGTGTTGCTAAAGGTGTACATAGTTTTAATGGTAAGATACGTTTTAGCATGCTTTGTTTCATATTTATACTTTCAGCCGGCTACAGAACTGAAGGATAACGACGAAGTTTCATTTATTTCAACTTTGCACGGAGGATAAACAAGTAATTCATGATATAATGTAAAGATATAAACTAAATAAATCTAAATTATGTTTACTATGGTGGTATTTTCACCATTTACATTAATATAATTTACTTTTTTAAGTTTTTTCGTGATCCTAAAGTAATATTTTTTAAATTAAAACATTTAAATTTATTCCCTAAGGCCGATAGTTTTTAAACCGTTTATTAAGTCTGAGATCAAACAATTTGTGGTTGTGAGGTCTTGGGTTTGAGATCGAGATCAAGGAGTTATAGGAAGAGAGAGTTGGAAGTGTTAGTTGAGGGATCGATACGACCTTGTAGACGATAAGACCTAATAAAACTCTAGGGATATGTCTTTGGACCTGATTCGGGGGATTTGAGATTGTAGTGGATTCTGGCAAGAAACTACTGCAATAAACATACTGTAGATAATATCTTGTGGTAGGCGGGTCTAAAAGTACATAGAAAAGTTAACAAAGAGGAAATAATATCCGACTTATTATTAATTCTATGGGCTTTTTTGATCGGTGTTACAAGATAATGTGCAAATATATTATAGTAGATTATATGAAAAGATAAAGTGTAATTTGGTGACTAGAAAGCTAAACTTGTAAGACGTCTTGTTAAAAGTGAAGTTGAGTGCCAGCAAGATGTACTATTCACAAAGCTGCTAATTGAATTGATTATAAGCCTGGTTAAAGTGTAATAGTAGGACAAATATACTGTGCTGTAGTGTAATACTCAAAGATATTACAGTATACAGTACTATCGTACTAAACTGATCAAAATATTAAAGTGATAAGCATATAAAGTGAAAATATTGTTCTAGACGATTGCCCAAGGCCCGTCAGCTCCATCTTCCGGTTCAGAATCACTTAAAGGCAGATGACCCGGCTGACTTTGAATGACAGGATTCGTGGACCTGTTGGTGAACAAGGCTGGTGTATTGTGAGGAGCTCCGTACAAGGGATCCGTGATGTTGGGGCCTGGTCGACGATAAGGAAGAGTTTGGACTGGAGGTAGGTAGTGGGTCTCGAAGGGGGCTTCTGGGGTTACCGGCTGGTTGTAAGGCCGCTCTGGCGGGATTACTATAAAAATATTGGTTAGTTATTGCAAGTAAGTCACTTTATACTGTAACACAATGTTAAAAATCTCAAACAATTTATAAAACCCACTTCGATCTTGGAATTGCCTACTAGGAGATACGTTTGGTGACGCTGCTCTTCTGCCTTCCACAGCATAAGGATTCCGATGTACTCCAGCATAGGCATTGGTGTAGCCACCTTCATTTGGAGGCGTGTACGAATAGCCAGGGCTTCCGTAGTTGTCATCTGGCTCTATTATTGGCAATCGACGCATTGGTGCTGGATTGTACGTGAATCGTCGTGCTGTTGTCGATGTTGAGTCTTCTTCGTCTGAACCGTCTAAAAATACAGTACGATACTATTTGTAGTCTTTGGGTCTTATATGAACATAGCCTTTATGTCTTATAATAACAGATTTTAAAAAAAGTTACAATTTAAAACTTACTGTAATTGTGCCGACGAGGATAATCGTTGTTGTGATAGTTGTTGGAGCTGAAGTCTCGACTGGTCGATCCATATCTGCTCATGTCAGGGCTGTGGTGTGGGTACGGTGCCATTTGATACTGATCTCCTGGGTTCCTGCCCAAGGCGTTTTGGTGTTCTACTGTAATTTTAATATGAACAATTAAATCAGAATTGTAAGGCCTTAAATTACGCTGAAGTACCAGTAAAGGTGCCTCATAACTCACCCCTTCGTCCCGGGAATGCATTGCCTCTAGCATTCGACTGATAATGACCTCCAGGTTGAGCATAATCGACTGGCGATGGAGTCCGAGAACTTCTGAGCAGTTGTTGCGTCTAAAAAGCAAAGAATTAGAGACCATGTAATCACGATAACAAGATACAGAAGCCGGAAACGGAAAATAAATAATACACAGCACACAAGCGCAGCCCTCCTTTTACCTCACTGGCCACACTGGCCGCGTCCACAAATCGATAACCGTTCCGGAAATTCAGGTGTAACACGCGCTGTAAAAAGGGAAAGTGGGAGGGAAAGTGACAACAACAAACAGTGTTAATAATATGGTGTTAGGGTACTGAGTTTAACCTCATACTACTAGAAACCCAGTACATCTTGAAAAATAGTTACTGTAAAGGTTGAATACAGTACCAAGAGTAGTAAAAGTAAAGAATAGGTCATATAAACTCACACTTAAACTTACTTGAGGCGGTTGGTCTTGTCGACTAGGCTTACGGATTCGCATAAACATTCCAGAAAGTTTGCGACCAGCGTTCGGCTTTCGACTGAAACTTAGAAATGACAATAGAAACAGTGTAATATTAGTATTCTACTATAGAATTCAGAATATGAAACTTAATAATAATACGTAAATAATGGTATATAAACATAAGTAAATAATAATATAAAAAGATGTGCTACCTGTAGTCATCGTCCACAGAAGAGCCTTCTGGGTCGTCAATGTTCTTGTTGACCTTGATGCTGTCTACCAACGATGACAAGAGAGAATAAGGCTTCTAAAATCAAGTTAAAGGACCAGTTCGCCCATTCAAATAACATTGGCATTCTGTCGCAAAAATTCGATGTTCATTTTTTCCGCAAAAAACCTGAGCAGGTCGGTCCCAAATTGGAAAATTCATTTCGACTCCGACCCACTCACGTTTTTTTGAAAAAAATGATTTTGATTGAAATTGCCTGATTTTCGACGCTTTTTGCGACAGAATGCCAATGATATTTGAATGGACGAACTGGTCCTTTAAAATCAAACAATGCAAAAACAATATCCACTTTTTATATATCAAATTTGTAGTCAACTTACAGTAGGACTCTCAGCCCTTGACGTCGGAGTTGCGGGTTGTTGTCGCGCAACCAATGGGAACAAGTTGTTCTCCATCTGGTCCCTCTCTGTGTTTGGTGCTGAGTTCGGAGTATTGTTGGGCAGTTGTCCTGCGCCAGCGGCTGACTTGGCCGCGGCCACCAACGACCGCAGGCCTCCGCCGAACAATCCGCCTCCGCCAATCTGAAAATGATAAGTTACAGTACCAGCCGCGGGACATGGTATGCTCGGGCTGCTTGAACTGTGATAAAAACGGTTGGAGTGATAATCGACTGCATTAGTTCTAGTGCTGATTAAGGCTGCTAAAACTCGTTGGGGTAAGTGAACCAATCAAAAAAACTGGAGGGGGCGTTCCAAACAAAAAATAAAGAAAACGTGAGTAATTTGCATAAAGAAAGAGTAACCTCATCGAATTTATGGGCCGTATTGGCCGCTTTGGGCCTTAATAGCAGCTGGGCAGCTCGACGTTTTATGTTTTCCAGTTGCTAAAGTATAATATATTGTTATGTTGCAACGATCTGGTTAGTCATTGGTATCACGTCATCACAGCGTGAGTTATCTTTTTCGTATTTTAGGAATAAAATTTGGTATTTTGTCATATCTTACGTTTAAAAAGGGACTAAAAGTCTAAATATTTCTTATTTTCCCAATTTTCATTAAAAATGACATTGCGATGACATAATTTCTGGATTAGCATGCTCTAAACTACCATGTTATAGTCTTAAACTGTACATTATTAACTTCAACCTATCAACCTTTTCCAATAACCTTGGTAACCTACTTCAGTTCCCGACTTTCTGGCTCTGTAGTTCTCCAGAATCAGAAGCCCGGCGTAGATCTTGCCCACCGTGAGCTTCTGGAAGCACAGTTCTGCATTAGGAGGTACCACCAGATCGATCATGTTCTTCTTCGCTTTCAATGGCCAGATCTTCCTCAAGGTTTGACGAAGTTCTTCATCAGCCTCGTCCATCTCTTCGACTGGTCGCATTTTAATACTCAGAGATTCGCGGATCAAAGCGAACAACGTGGTTGTGAAGTGGACTTTACCATCGTCATCTACTGGCATGTTCATACGGATCAGGTGCTTGTAGGCCAAACGATACGGACACTTTCGACCGAAACCGACCGGTGGAGCTATATTCCTCAACATCTCGTACATGTCTGTGTACTTGATGCGGCCTCTGGAATCAGGATAAATTAAAAATAGTACTGAAAAAACAATAAATACACAGTACTTTATATACCATTACATGAGAGAAAATGTTATAGTATGTAGAATGTCTGTTTTTCACTTACTCAGCCTTTGGATCATAGTCAGCCCAAACTCGAATGAATTCGTCAAGGTGATGGGGACCTAGGATACTACTGTCTCTGGTTAGATAGTCAAAGTTGTCCATGATGACAGCAACGAACAAGTTCAACATCTAAATTAACATATTTAAGCGAGGTATGCCTCGTGCGACAAAATACATAACGACAAAGCAACCTTGTCGAACATTATTTTAAGCTAAAGGTATCAAAACGTACCAAGAATGATGACAAGAAGACAAACGAAGTAAAGTATGCGTAACTCATGTTGGTTCCACAGGTGTGTCCTTTTGGTACATTCATATCCAACGAATTCGGCTTCGCACACCATTTCCCGGCCGTACAGCCCATCATAATGTCCTGCCACGCTTCTCCCGTAGCACACCGAAACAGCAGAATCACAGCGTTGAAGAAGCTCTGGAAGTTGTTGTGTCGGTTGATTTCCGTGGTAGAATCCAGCAGTATGTTACCAAACACTTGCATACCAACGATCGCATAGATGAAGAACAACATTCCAATTAGAAGACAGACGTACGGTAGCGCTTTGAAGGACTGGACGAAGGTCCACAACAATATACGGATGGTGTAGCCTTGTTGGAGGAGACGGATCAGACGAGCGGCACGGAAGAGACGGAGGAAGCCGAGGGATACGAAGTGACCTCCGAACTCTGTCACTAAAGCATCTGTTATGGAGCCGACTACCGTGATGAAATCGAATCTGTTCCAACCGTCTCGGAAGTAGTTCTGAAGTAATATAACGTTACAGGGTGTTCCAAGAAAAATGTTAAAAACTAACGAGCTATAATTTTCTTCCCAGCAAAGCTACAGATGCCAAACTTGGCATGATGAAAGTTTGGAACCGCAAGTTTTTTGCCACAAAATTTTGGATTTTTTAAGTACATATTAAGGGCGTTATGATTTTTCAAAAAGTTTTCATTTTCCCCGGAATTACACATATTTTCAGTTGGAAATGCTTTTTTTGGTGAAATTTTCTAAGTTTTTGACAATTTTTTGGTTGAAAATGACATTTTTAGCCAAGTTTTGGATTTTCAAACATCAGCGGAGACTCGGCGGACGCCTGAATTTATCGGCGGAGGCTATAACTCGCTTCAAACATAACTTAGAGACGTGAAACAAAAAGAATTAGTTTTAAAATTATCAAGGCGATCTTCACTGATACTAATATACTATTTGATAACAACAATTGATTTAATTTGTTTTAAGTTTTAAAACAAAAATTAACGTTAAAGTTCAGAAAAAGATATGCTTATCACATTAATGTTGACCACTTACCCTCACACCAAACGCCAATATTTTTAATATGGATTCTACTGTGAAAACCGCCGTCAACGCTGTGTTGAAGAATCGTAACACCTTTTCATAGACTTCTGAATTACCGTGGAACTGAAAATGTAGAATAACTTATTGTTTCTATTTCAAATATAGTAAAATCAAATATCGTAAAATAGTAAAATCAGTAACTATTAATTTTATCATTGAGGTAGCAAATGCCATTTTCAAATACCAACTCACCTTCATCATGAGAATGATAGTGTTGACACAAATCATGGCCATAATAAAGTACTCGAAAGGTGTTGACGTCACCAATTTCCAGATTCTGTACTTCAACGAGTTTCTGTCGTTCGGCATGAAAAGCGACCGAGGACGAGCATTCAGTGCAAAGTCGATACATTGCTTCTGAAACACATTATATTACTCTTAATCGATCAAAATAAGCCATGAAAACATCATTTTATACCACAAAACGATTATATTATCCTACCTGATTCTTGTCCAGATCTCCTTCTGACAATTCCGCTTCACCTTGCTCTTGGAACGTGATGATAATCAAGGCAACGAAGATGTTGACGAAGAAGAAAGGGAACACGATGAAGAACATGACATAGAACAATGCTACTTCTATTCTGAAGAACGGTGACGGCCCTTGATCTTCATCTGTTGTGTCCATCGAATTCTGACGTATCCCTGGCCATCCCTCGCCTGTTGTTACCACGAACAATGTCAACATGGCATTGATAGTGTTATCATAGTTAAAAGGTCTTAGTTTCCATTCACGGAGAGCTACACTTGGAGCTTCGTTCTGAAATTTAGTTTTTAGTAAAATACGACAATTTTAAAAGATCTTCCAATAAAAGGAAGACCAATATAAATGTAGTCACATGTGAATCTTTTCGTTGGTAAACTTGACTCATTTTGATTTTAGCGTTAAGTATTTCTCTTTGAAACTATTATTTTCTCGAAGCTCAAGATCCTATACTCTAGCTAGATTTTACTCTGACCTGTGAAAAATTCAAAATAAATAATTTTAAAAATTTCAATTTCTGAAATGGTCATTTCGTGTTTTGTTCATAATGGTGTTCGGTCGATGGCTGACTAATCTGTTTGGGAGTCAGAATGAGAATCAGGTACAGTTCATGTCTGTGGAATCGCGCGCTTATCAGTACCTTACTAGAATCGGGGGGTTCTTCAGCATCTTAAACTGTCTTCTCTACATTGCTATCTACAGGTAGGTCAGTTTACATTGCTTTTCAACTTTCATTTGAACAAATAAGGATAGAAATTTTATTACTTGGAGCTCATCTTCCAATGCTGTTTCTTCAAGGAAAGTAGCTTTTAGATACAGCAGCCATCCCAATCCAGGATTCGCATGTATTCAGCTGAGTATGCCATTGTTTATCTGGGAGATGCTTATTATTATCGCTTTCTGCCCTACGGACATATTGGAGCATTATCTTGGTGATATTATACTTGAGCTTGATGGAAATGTTAGTTTATCGTTCTTATCGTGTTTTGAGACCTGTTCGATAACTTAATAAGCCTACTAAAATATTAAATTGTACTCAACGTCTACTACAATATTGTAATCCCAAATTTTTTTAGTTGATGGAACAAGACCCCCAATTTCAACGTTTGTTTGCACTACGCCAACTTCAGCCAGTCCACTCTTGTGGCGATGTGGTGCGCGGTAATCGTCGTATCGTACTACCGAACACAGACACCGACTCCGAGTTTGTGACGGCTTCAATTCGATCTGTCGTCGAGTGAACCCCCGTTCGCTTGATTTTTATTGATATTTTGAATAAAAAACTATCTTAACTGTAGATGGACTGAATAGATGTTTAAATAGTCGTCACAACGTTAATATCTACCTAATTGAAACTTATTATTTCCCTTATACTATCGGAAGCTCGGTTAGCTATTTTTTAATGTTAAAGGCTTGAAGTTTAACAGAGTATCCCAAGAAAAACAAAGATTTTTCAACTTACTTGATTGGTGAAAACGAAATATTCCCCATGACATTCGTGAGCGAATCTTTTGGTACGGTCGGTGCAGAAAAAAAACCTTCCTTTAAACATTTGTACCGCGATTACAGCGAAAATGAATTGGAAGAGGAAGTACACGATCAGGATGTTGAACACGTTCTTCAAGGAGTTCACAACACAATCGAATACGGCCTAAAATATCATGCTATAGATGTTATACGATACCTTGTTATATCATGGTAAGTTCAAAATGCATGTAACTTTCCGTCTTTCTTATAAGAGGTTTATATTAGATAGTACTATATATTATTAAATAGCCTTACTTTAAGTTTAGGAATCCTCTTGATAGTCTTGAGCGGTCGTAACACTCTTAGTACTCTGAGTGACTTAATGGTACTCAAATTCTTTCCTGCAGCACCACCAGCTGCTCCACTGAACGCAAAACCAACCAAAGCACATACTACAACAACACCATCGAGTACGTTCCAGAAGTCACGACAATACGATCCTCTGTGTAATAGTACACCTTGGTCAATTACCTAGAATATAACAATTGTACAGACGTGTAAAACAATAATCAACTATAACTAATTTTTAAATTATAAATTTTAAAAAATGACAATAATTATCAAAAACATACTTTGAGTAACATTTCGACAGCGAAGACACCAGTAAAACAGTAGTCAAAGTACTGTAACACTTTGTTCCGTGGATTCTCTTCGTCTACAGGATCTTCAGCGGCCAATGATATTGATGAGAAGCAGATGACGGCCATCACAGTCATCTCGAAGTACTTGGTACTCACAATGCTGTGCACCAGCCGTCTCAACGGGTTCGTGGTAGACAATATAAACATGGATGAGAATGGTACCATTGGTCGTGGTCCTCCGAAGGGAGATTCTTCTTCTTCACACTCTTCTTCGTCTATCTCTCGTGCCAGTTCTTCTCCAATCATCCGCCCTTCTATGTCTATGGCACACTGATCACCGTCAGGGTACTGGTCTTCTAGGGAATCTGAATCGTCCGATATCTCATTTGCCTTCTCGTCTGCCTCTTCGGCTGCTGTGAGTTCTTGAGCGTTGGCCAAGTTATCGACGGCGATAGCCAAGAACACGTTCAGTAGGGTGTCTGAAAGAAGTTGTATATTGTGATTGTAGAAGGCATTTGAAAATTATTTAAAAATACCGTAATCCTACATATGTTCTGTAACATTAAAAACTTACAATTACCAAACAGTACCAGAATGATAAAGTAAATACAGTAGACCATTCCGCCACCGTATACCCCTCCTTGAGCTTCTATAGCTAGATACATGACTTCATTCCAATCTTCACCCGTCAGGATTTGGAACACGGTAATCAATGCTATAGGGAAGGTATCGAAATGAGTATAAGGGTGCATGGTTGGGAAGTTGAACTTGCCGCCAAACAATTGCATTCCCAATAAGGCGAAGATGACAATGAACAAGAACAGAAGGAACAAAAGGGAGATGATAGACCTCATCGAGTTCATAAGAGACCGTACCAAGTTACGGAGACTCACCCAGTAGCTGAAATACAGATTTTAGGTAAAATACGGCTAAAAAATATATAATAAAAAGTTAAATGATAAGATAAGACATAAACAAGAATTTAAAAAAAATTAAAGCCTTACGATGTAAGTTTGAAGATACGAAGCAGTCTCAGAGCTCGAAGCACGGAGATACCAAACGATCCCCCTTTGACTTCAGCCCAGATGACTTCAAAGGCACTGCCGACAATTACAATACAGTCGAAACGGTTAAACTTGGAGGCGAAGTACGGCCGATAACCCATGGCAAACAGTTTTAGCAACATTTCACCAACGAATATGCCCAGAAATACAAATTCAGCGTACTCTGAAGATATAAGATATTACAATACGTACTACCAAGTTCAGTTTCTATCGTACTATAAACTTGAATTTTTAATTAGTATGATATTATGAACAAAACACAAAATCGACAAGTCGAACTTACTCAAAAATTCTGTAAACCAATCTGGTTGACCGTGGTGTTCTGAAGCTACACACGCTGTATTCAGGAATACCAACGTGATCACACTCCAGTAAAACACTTGACTTTTCACCATTATTCGTAGTTGTAGCCTAAAACAATAATTTTTATAAAAAAGCTAGTCATATTCATCTTAAGGATAGTATTTCGGTACCATGGCCTCATGCAGTACCCGACCTCAAAAAACCAAAACTTACCGTAAATGTCTAATTTTTTTGCACCAAGTATCATATATCCCAGTACCACGTAACTGTCGTCTCTTCCCAGTATGAGGATCGAGGTCAGTGCCTTCCTGACCATTTAGGTAACAAGATTCCTCATCTTCGTCATCGTAATCTTCCTCCTCGTCGTAGTCTTCTGTCTCCGTGGACTGTTGCTTCGACGCCATCTTCAGTTTCTTGGTAGCCGCTCTTCTGCGTGCTTCCATGATGGCCGCCTTCTCCTCGTCGGTGGTACGATCCTCCTTCAGAATCACTTCTTCGGCCGTCAGAATCCACTCCAGATACCCGTTGAGCTCTCGCTCAATCTGTTGTTGTCTTCGGAGTTTGAGGAATTCTCGACGATTCTCGACTCGTTCTCTTTCCTTGGCGAATTCACTAAAGATTAGGTAACAAAACCAAAGTTATGACATACCCGGAGAGGACACCAAGTACGAGATTGAGCATGAAGAAGGACCCGAGGATGATAAGAGGGATGAAGTAGGCCCAGTTGTAGGTACTGCCAAGGGAATCGTTGGTCTGAAAATGGTAGCTTAAGTGTTAAGCACGAAAAAGGTAACATACATGCACAATAAAAAGTCTAAAAGCAAACGACAGTTTATGGAACGACAACTTCTTTCTGTCCTTCAATCTACAGTAGTATTCATAAAAAAACTTACATAGTACATTACAGTAGTCCACCCCTCCATAGTAATACACTGGAACACAGTAATCATAGCAAAAGCTATGTTATCGAACGATGTAATACCGTAATTTGGCCCAATCCACTGGTTCAAGCATACTGTACCATCCACATCGCAGTTGTAGGCACCAGTAGCACTACTCTTGTTGGAGCAGGGGAACGGTCGTTCGGAAATGTTGATAATGTCACCCTCGTCATTGTAGCAGGCGGAGTGGAAGATACCCGAGTAGAACTCTAATCCAATAATGGCAAATATTACAATAGCAAACAGGACCAACAACCCAATCTGGAGCAGTGGTGCCATGGCACACAGGATTGACTTTAAGACTACTTGTAAACCTGGAAACATTGTGGTTAGTATTGGCATTCTTGCTACTGTATGATCGATTTTAAAAAAAATTATAACACTTTTGGTACTATTTAGTGTAGGTACGGTACTAGTAGTACTATTTTATACTGTGATGCATATTTTGGTCCCTTAAAGAATACGGTAGAAGCTACAGTAAGACTTACTTGGAATACCACTAACTAACTTCAAAGGCCGTAATACCCGTACAGCTCGCAGAGTTCGCAAATCGACTCCTTGATTGTCAACATTGTGGCTGGGTGAGAAAGGCAGCATAGTTACAACACTGTAAAACATTTACTATGTCATCTTTTAAAGTATGTTCATTTTAAAGTTTTTTCATAAATTTACAAAATTGAAAAATGTTTTGTCTTGACATTTGTCATTTTTACCAAAAAACAATTTTCATTTCGACAACTTATCCAATCGTTTTGTAATGGCATGTCATCTATCATTGGCACTCACCCTGAGACAACAACAATAAAGTCCATTATGTTCCAGCCTGACCTCAGATACGAGCCTTTATGCAAAATAAACCCGAAGGCAATAATCTTGAGCAAGCATTCCAGGCAAAAAATTGTCATGAAGTAAGGCTCGGTTTGTTCCTACAACAATATAAAGGTAAGAGCTTGTTTTCGAGCAATTTTCAAACTTACAACTTCGAAATTTCAAAGTTTTTAAAGCAAAAATATAAAAAATGTCAAAAAATACAAAACTTTTGTAGAAATGTTACAGTAACCCACCAGCATTTGTGAAAAAGGCATCTTGTCGTTCTTGGGAAGATGTTCGTCCATGGCTAACACACAACAGTTGCCGATGATGGTGAGGAGGATAAAGTACTCGAAGGGACCCCATTCAATAATCATGCGGGCATGGGTGCGGAAGAAATTGTCTTCGCTGAAAATGAACAAAGACGACGGCCCCTGAAAGTCGAAAAAGTTGAGGAAAGTAAAGAAAAAGTGTCACAAACATGCTAATCACAAGTTTTTGGGCCTAAAATTATAGTAGTCGCGGAAATTTCAACATTTTTCTCAATTTTAAGTAACAAAAATTTAAAATTTAAGGAGTTTAGGTAATAAAAATTCAATTTTTTGATCATTATCTACTACAATATAAACCAAAATATTTTGCAAAATAGTCCTAAAAACTCCTAAATCAAAATTAGAATTCTAAGAATATTTAAATTTAAATAATTTCAAAATCCTACCTTTTGTTTGGTGGGTCCAGCCAGGGCGGGCTTTCCACGGCCCGCCCCGAACGCTCCGCCAGCCGCTCCATCGATTCGGTTCTGTTCCTTGCGCGCTTCTTCAGCAGCCAACCTAGCAATTTGATCAATACCCAACATGTCAATTAGTTAGTACAGAGAATAAAGAGGGGTATGACAAAGAATGACAGTATGTGTTTGATAAGATGTGATGAGAAGTTAGTCCAGAATAGCACTTTTGTAGTCCAAGATAGCTGTTTTTTAGCTCAGAATAAAAGTTTTCCAAACAATAATCAAAGAAAAGTTTGTAGGTACCAGATGGAATATTATAGTAGCTCAGATAGCACTCTAGACTCATAAGACGCCAGTCCAGTCCGAGCGAGTGTCGCGCTGACATGCAGACAACTTTGACAACTTGTGATTCGGCCGGCGGATATATTGACACAGAAAGGAAGAGGAACAGAAGACGACGAATATATCCTTTTCTCCTCTTGTTCGGATATATAGGTACTACAACGAGAAGACGGCCGAAAAAGCTGTCCTTGTGGGCCGCCTTTCGCACTCGCTGCCTTTTTCGGAGAGAGAAAAGTCTTGCCCGGAGGGGTTTTTTCGGCTCCAGACCCGCACCAACGGGCGGAATTGACCCGCGCCTTCTGGAGAAATGGACGTCCGAAACAATGGCACATCGGCGAAAGATTAATCGACCAGTTAACGGGAATTAAGTTAGTAGAGGAGATGTAATTCGAGACGACATGCAATTACAGCACGCCCGACGTGCTAACTGCCTGCGTAATGAGACGGAAATAACCATGCCCAACATGAGATCCCACAAAAGATTTATGAAGGGCCATGAAGGCTCAGCATTTCTACGTTATGAAAACAGAATATTTCCCATGCTAAAAGATATACAAACTTTAGATTTCAGGGCCTGGTAAGATTATCAGTACCAATGGTCCAAAAGTAAACAGAAAATTATTTGTGAGCTTAAGAAAATTACTAAATTTAACTAAAATACCAGTCTTTTTATATCTAAAACACCAAGTTTAAGACAGAAAAGTAAATATAACTCAAATATTAACTTACATTACGATACTACATCAGTTTACTAAGGAAGCAGCTCATAAAATACATGGCTTCTTAAGTACATAGTACAGAACTCTTGAGTCATTTACAGGTCAAAAAGTAAAGTTTGAAAAATTTAAAAACAAATATCTATTTTAGAAATTACTGTATTACCCTTTTTGCTGTAAATTTCAAAAAGTTTTATAAATTTAAGAATTTCAAAGCCAAATATAAAAACTTTATACCTAAAACAACCCAAAAATCCTAAAAAAATTTGTTTTGTTATCAATAATATAATGTTTCTAGTTCAGAAGCAATTTATGAGGTTTACTTTAATGGGTTGGATGTCAAGTTATAACCTATAATTGTGTCAAGGTAGTTGATGCTAATAAAAACTTATTTTAAAAGTATTATTATCAGTTGTAATTGGCTAGCTATAAGTTATTTGTCTAATTGTGTCAGTTGAAAGTGCATTTTCAGTCTATTATAATGCTATAAGATACTATGCTCATATTATTTACGAATTGGTTGAATTGTCGTTATGACAAACTGTTTTTTTAATCATTTGCTATTGCGAAAACGTGTGTCATTTTATAAATAATTTTAGTTCAGATGCCAAAAATCGCAAAGCCAATTAGCCTCGGAATAGTGCGGCCAATTACGGCCGTTTTATTCCCAAACTTTGTCCGAATCTGTATCGGTATTGTTTTTGCAGTAAAGCGTTTGCTCGGCCGCCCTCAGGGCGTTTCCGTACCGGATTTGTTGGCCGAATCAAAAAACTTTGTTTAACCCCCCCCGTTTTTTTTAGATTTTTTGGCATAAAGAAGGGGGGGGGGACAAAAAAGGCGCGAAAACATTTGAATTCGAATCTATTATTTACGAGAAAACATAAAATACGCACAACAAAAACAGCATGAATATTTGCGCAAACCGACTTGTGACACTTTTGAGAACGAGGAAGATACATTTGAGAACATGGTTTGCATATACATATAGGTTACGAGTGACGTGAAGTAGAAAGGTTTAAAAGTTAACGTTTAATGAGATATTATTAGTGAGAACAAAAACTTTCTACCGGTATTTATGCCAATTTTTTAGATTAAAAAAAGCCGGCTTTAAGATGTTATTGTATAAAAGTTTCCGCCAAAGACTTTGGATTTGGTATAAAAGTAACCCCCAAAAGAAATTAACCACTGATATATCATGAAAAGTCTATGAATATACCCAAAAATACATTTCAAAAAAGTAAAAACAATTTAAAAAAAGTTGCACTAGTTGCACTAGATTAAAACTGAGACATTCCATATAAGACATTGTTTCAAAAATTCAAAATACTCTTAGGACAGTTAGACAAGCCTATTTGTCTAAAAATAAACCCATCGCAATTTACCTACCAATAAAACTATCTTTTCAACGCGTTTCACAGTCAAAATATGCCATTCAATAGTTGATATTGTGCCAAAAAACCAAACATAACTCCATACTTCCCAAGACAAGCCTATTACTCCAAGACCAACCCCAAAAATAATTTATCAACCCCAGAAGACCCTTAAGCAACTCTAATCAGCCCTCAAAACCTTACCGATCGCGGCGGTTCCAGAGATATGAATAATAGAGTAATTTGAGAGTACCCGGTTGAACATAGGCCTCCTGAGCGACCGTCAGTTTGGGACCAAGCATGCTGGAAAGGCCAAACAATGCCCTAAAGTTGTTCTTCAGGGGCGGAAACTCGAGGAGCAGATAGGTGAAGAGGCGAGAAAACGGTATCAAATGATGAGCCCAAACGCTTCGCGGCCGACTGCCAGTTTGCAAGGTGTTTACCTCGATTGTCAGCTCCAATCAAGTCTTACGAACTGAAGACCTTTGGGCCGAGATTGAAGCGTCGTCGGGCATGGTCATGTGGCAGAAAACCTACGACCAACAACCGGTGGCCAAGAACCTATGGCCAAGACCCTCTGGTTTAGAACCAAGACAGACGCTAAAGACGAGTGCCTAAGGTAAGACTAAAGCTAAGCGAGGTAATTGAACTAGACTGACATGTTAATGAAGAGTAAAGTAATTTCCCTCACCCTCCAACCGGCAGTGCGGCCAATTTGGCAACTTCTCGTAACACTTGACCCGTAGGCAGTTCTTCCGACCGGTCGAAAAATTGATTATCGGCATCAGTTAGCTTGCGCGGATAAATTGGTGAAGGTAAAAACCCTAAAAGTCGAGAAAATGACATTTTTAAAATTTTTTTTATCAAAAAGGCTGATTTTTCAATTTTTAAATATTTTTTACGCTAAAAACCTGGTAATTGTTCCCAAAGCTAAAAGTAAGTCAAGTTATTACCAGTTGACATTGGCAGCATCCACGGCTTCAGCTGAGACAACTCTGTCATTTCGGGCCGTGCGCTGTTCGGTGGTGCTGGTACCTCATCATGCGGTCGCTGTAATCGTCTCCGTTCAATGAGACGAGCCGCTGTACGATGACCGTGCTGTTGTGGACGAGAAGGCGGTCCTAGACCGGAGGTCGACGCTAGGCCGCCTTCCTCCGCCGCTAGCGCCGGACCCGTCGTTTTGGTGATTTAGGTAACGACAGCTGATGTTTTAGGATTAGATGATTCAGATAGGTATTACAGTTTTAGTAGGTTCAAATAGGTACAGTAGCACGTTTCGATTTCGTACAGTCAAGTAACTTAGTACAGTAAAATTACGCTACAATGGTAGTGCAGTTCAGCACTACCTTCGCATCAAGTCGTTGCAATTCGTACGATTCAGGAGTTGGAATGCGTACGAAGCCGAAAGTATCGCCCCCAACGTAAACCCGAAATCAGAACACGCCGGATTCGAAAAAACAACAAACCCGGAGGCGTCGAAGCAAAAAAGCGGCATCTGATACTCAAAGAAAGAAGGGTTTCTCTTCTCCACTCATGCTTGCTTAAAGACCTCACTCAGGGTTAGAACTTTTACTTGTAATGTTTGTATCACACCCAAACGGCCGCAGGGGAAGAGGGGCTGCGCCAAAAATAACCGCTCTGATTTTGGCGCCACACGCGACAAACATAGCCATAAGCGAGCATGGTAATCGAATTATGGTTTTACAAAATCCAATTCAAATTAGAATTGGGTTACTTTAATGTCATAAGTGACGCTCCGAAAATAAGTGTAAAATGCCAATTTTGGGTAAAAAACTAGCTTTAAAATTAAAATTTATTTTCAAAAAAATTTTCAATTTTTAAAACTAAAATAATACTTAGCTGAGCTAGCATTAAAAGATCACAGAAAATTGTAAAACAAGGAAACCACAAAGAGTAATTCCAGTTAAAACCCATTAACCGTTCACGGTTCAGACCACGATAAATTTAACAGAATAGATTACTGGGCCAGTAAATTTAATAGAATACATAAGCATCTACTTTACAGTCCTAACTGAACCTCAAGAAAAACTAAACAAAATTGTAAGTGCGGCCAAGCCTGCTTAAAACTGTGATAGACCCTTTTTTTTAAATTAATAGGTATGATCCCCTTGTAAATTTAAAAAAAATTTGCTAAAACCAAATATCCTTACTAACCATCAAAATTATTATATTCATAAACTAACCTATCAAGCTAGTCAATACAAAGCAATCAATTATCCAGTCATATTTTTATCAAAAACCAATGTAAACTAATCAAAAGCACGGTAAAGAACACCTCAGCTCACCGTACCAAAACGCCGTTCCCTCGCGGAAAAGACGTTCTAGTGAGCATCGCGGAAATCCGAAAATACTTAGGAATTCTGCGATGAAATCAGTGGCACCTTAATCTGTGGCGGTCGCCCCGGGCAGCGGTCTCTTAGGGGGAGGGCTCGCGCACAAGTCCCATGAATAACTGAAAACAATACTAATCCGGCCGGAGGGAAGGGCTTCGGACAAGGTTCTAATTAACAAAACCCCCCGGATCTTTTCTCCCACTCCCACCAGCCCCCCACCAGGTACATGTGTAGTCGAAACCCTCGAAACCTTTCAACCCGGAGGCCGCCCTTCGGCCCAGATTCCTCGTTTCCTCCGAAATTCCGATATTCTCGCCTTAAAAGGACATGATTCCTGTTTCGGCCATTTCGTTTTTGAAATTTGATCCGTCTTAAAAGCGGCCTGTGTGTTTGTAGGTATCGGCTTGTTTCACACTGTATGGGACATGTTAATTCAGTGTTCTAATGTTCTTTCGGCTAGATTCCTATTTAAAAACGACCCTATTAGGTTATGTATCCCCAAGTGACGCAAATTGAGAGTAATATAAACTTACAAAGGCGAGTGTGAGAATGTCAATAATAAAATATTGGGATGAAACACCACTTATATTTTTGAAATCTAGCGTGTCATAATAATATAGCATTAGCACGCCTTCTTAATACTGGTTTAGATTAAAAAGTAAACATGAAAATCAATACAGGCGGCTTAAAATAGTAAAACTATTGGCTTTAATAATTTAGGTAAAAAATACATTAAACTTCTCAAGCACTTCAATAAAACAAGAAAATAGCTTACTGTACAATTTCCATAGCTCACGTTTTATTATAAAAACGTAGTTTTTGCAAGATTAAAAGACCTAAACATTGAAAAAGTCCCTTATACCTAACGAAAAAGTGGAAAAATCTTTTAAAAACACCCCTGGCAAGAATTATAAAACAATATGACAATTTTCAACATTAATAATAAAAGTAAATTATAAAAAGCTTTTTGAGTAAATTTTGGCACTATTAGGCTACTCGGAAAGATATATGCAAAAAATAAAAACCGGATTTTGGGGTATGAAAGTAAATATTTTTAATTCGATTACGTCACAATTATTAGATACAAAGTTTGAATGCTGAATAATTAGAGGGGGTTCGTATAAATATCCTAATTTGAACATGCAAATTTACTAGAAATACTATTTGTTATATTTATATTATAAGAAAGACTATATGGTTATCAAAAAAGCTATATAATTATACTTTTTTGCAGTTTTCTAAAACCTTTTTAACCAAAATTTAAAAAAAAATGATAAAAAAATCTCCTAGCTGCCATTTCCGATTAAACCATATAAATTATGTCAAAGAGAACGATATTAACCCCTTCTGAAGCAAGAACCGCCATTTAGGTAACAAGAACACCACGAAAACGGCCCAAAACAAGACCGTTCATGAACAATATTATCATCAAAAATAGATGGAAATGGGACGAGAATACAGATGATGACTTAAATAATGGCATGTTAACTACGGATTGAATGTAGGACTTACGTGGTGTTGTTTTTGTTGGCTTCTTTCATCTTGGCCATGAGCAGAGCGCATGTTTTATGGTCGCTGACATCCACGACTCTGAAAATGGAAAAGTACTATAGTAATCGAAAATTGTTGTTGTAGTCGGTCATAAAACAGTAGTAAATGTTTTATGAGTTAAAATTTGTTTTGGCAGGCAGTGGAAGGTGGATGGATATCCTTGAAACTTGACATTTTCAAATTTTTTAAAATTTTTGTCCAAAAAAATCAAAATTTTAATAATATGTTTACTTTTAACAATGAAAAACCTGATTTTAATTTTAAAAAACTATAGTGTTTCAAGATTCATTACATAATTTAGTCCAGAACTATTTCACAAAAAGCTGTCTCTAACTCCTGAGCAATTAAAAAAGCTCTAAAACAAGCTGTAAGAATACAACTTGATTTCAAATTATCAGTACTGCTCTTTAACAATTAATAGTACTATTCTTTCAAAAAACCATCGTACCTTATAGAACTTTAGAGCTAAATTTCAAAAAAAATTCCAAAACTTTTAAAATTTAGCTAACTCAACATAAAAACCCATAACTCATAAAAATGTAGTCGTATCTCCCCCACTCCTAACCAAAAACCAATATCACTATCCCCAATGCCAGTCATAAAACAGTAGTAATAATAAGTTTGGGAGGTCACACCGTCAACGAGGCCCACTAATGGAATAACAGAGGGCCAACTTATTGTCCTCTCCAAATAATCGTCCGCCCCACCGAGTTCTTTGTGCCTCGAGGACCGGGTCCCGGTGGTGGGGCCAAGCTCTCAAAACTTGGGAAAAAAGACCTCCGACCTTTGCCTTTTCAAGGTCTTCCTTCCTGCACATCCACAACTTTGGGGATTCTGAAACTGTCTGGCGGCCTTTGTTTCCGGGGTGAGCAGGTTTCCCGACACTTAAAACTTGGCATTCCCAGATTAGTTGGCATGCGTAGTTGGTGTCGTCGTGTTGACAGAGAGGGAGCGGTGTCATAGCTTTGGTAGTCAAAGTTATGATGATATATGATAAGTTAAGTTCTGACTAGTATAAGATTTGAAACAAAGAGTGATCTTACCTGTATATTAGCATGATTTTTAAAGAATATATTAAGGTATCGCAAAAGTCTTATCGCTTTTAGACGCTCATAATTACAGACTTTTAATCAGTAATAAATACTAAAAATACCCCTTTCGTATTTTACAAAACATTTCAGACATAAGACCAGATATACCACCATATTAAAAGCCCAAATATACTGAAATACCTTCTGGGTTGTCGCAGCAGTGCCGTAATGACCTGCGACGAAGAGTCCATCGATGCGACCAGGCCATGGAATACGGTGTTGCCGTTGGCCATAGGCGGTGCCTCGTCCTCCTCATTGCCCCACAAATGATGGCGGAATTGGCCAAACGAGGCCAATTGCGGCATTCTCAGCAGCCGTTGCTGACATGAATCAAAGCTAAAGGCTGAAGAGAGCTGGTACTAATGAGTATCGTGAATAATATCATATTGTCAACGATTGATATAAATGATAACAGTAAAACAAAAACGCAAAACAAATCCAAAGGATACAGTTAAAACTGAAGGTGCTAGTAAAAGCTGCACACAGCTGATACTATAGAGGAAGCAAAGTAAAAAATACAAAAACTCGCAAAAATAGGGCCTAATCCTGACAAGCGATTAGGTCGTCAACTCGAAGGCGTGATGATTATACTCTTCCTCTCCTACCAAACTTAAAAAGCAATACTTAGCGCTGCATTTGGAATTGGCTGTTTTAAAATTATTAGAATAAACCAAAAACTTTGACATTTTTTAAATTTTAAATCAAGCCCAAACCTTCTTAATTAATGCGTTTAAAAAGACAATCACTTTTTCAATTCTTGCCCCTTTTTGTAAAAAAACTTTTAAAACATACGCTTCTAAAAAATATTTTTTTAAAAAATTTCTCCCAAAAAATCAACACCCCCCTTCTTAACTAAACTATTAAAAACTGTCCTAAAACCGAAAAGGAGTAGTATAGTAAAAGCACCCTAACCAGCAAAATGTCGAAAAACAAGTTCGGACTTTCCTCATTACCATAACGCTAATTGTAACAAGATACTGTTACAGCCAGCCGGAGTTAATTCCGAAATGTTCTTGCCAACAAAAGTCCCACGGCTCTCACAACAAAGGAACAAAGTTGGCATAACAGATGACATTACTTCAACTTTTTTAATCCGTTAAGAGTGCATCCAGATTACGGTGAAACATTTTTTAATTTCATTGTACTTGTTTCTATGTTCTCATTCATACTACTGATCAGGGACGTCGCTACGGATTTTCTCTGGGGGGAAGAGAGGTCGAAAAAAAATTTTTATTTTTCGTTTTTGCACGTACAGGTACCTTCCTGTGGAATTTTTTTCGGATCGGCTCTGGGTGAGGGGGTACCCCCCCCCTACCGCCTCCTCCAAACGACGTCCCTGCTACTGATATAATTAAATAAACGTTAAACAGTCTACGTACTTTTTGACCAAACGGGAATTAGTCACATAAACAGTATCAAACAACCAATTATTACCTAAACAACAACCAATTGCCATTAAAAACAGCCAATAATCACCACCCTGCAAAAACCCCAGCCAAAGCAGTAATTAAACCATGCTCTATACAATCTCATCGTTACAAATAATGGTTTGAAGATGTCAACGAGCCCCTAAAGACGGCACGCGAAAGAAAGATGGGCCCTGAGGCAAAGATTGAAGGAAACGGATGTGAGATGCCGGTGTCATGAAAAATGATGCGTTCTTTTCGTGAGGGACAAGCCTAGATATCAGACGGGCCCCCGGAGGCCACCTTTCGCTGCCTTCCTGCCTCCATAAGTTTACTCCACTCACCTTCGGCGCGCCACCCCCACGCCCTCCGGCAACACCTCCGACGAACTCAGCGATCCGGTCGATGAATCGGAAGACTCGGTCGCATTCACAAACGATCGGTTCACGGCTCCAGACGTCTGAAAAGATTTGGCATTATGATAGCTCTGCGCTGTTTCATATTCTGTTAGTCACAGCACGTTGGTATAACATTAGATTAAGACCGAAAACAATTCCGGGATGTGTTTTAATATTCTGACACTGTTTTGCGTAGGCTTTATTTATATTTAGAAGAACAGAAAGGATTAAACCATTTATGAACCTCCAAAAAATAGAAATGTTTGCGAAAATTCTGCAGGCTTTTGGCTAATAAAAATAAACCTCAACTTGCGAATAAGATATTTTATTACTCGTTAAATGTTATAACTAAAACCTTTATTCCAGAAAAACTAAGGGGCTTTACAGTCCATTGTGATAATTTTTGTAAAATAAAAAAAACCGAATTTCAAATTGCCAAAAAAATTAATTTAAAATTGGTCCTTTGTTAGTTTTAGAAAAATAATAAAAAGATCTGACATCACCCTAAAAAGCCGCCTGTCAGCACTAATTGTATAAAATAGTATACTATAAAAAAATCAAAAAATTTTTAAAAAAATTTAGAAAGTACTCAATCAAACACTAAAATTTTCACATTTTTGGCACCTACATTAACATAACTTTGCAAACACATGCCGATAGTATTGACAAAAGTCCATAGCTTTATAACAACCTTAAAACTACCCTAAATCACTTTAAAACAAAGCCTCCTCTGGCACTAAATAAAAATGCTTGTGGCCGTAAATAGGCGTTTTCTGGCACAAAAGTGTGGCCGAACAGATAAAGAGCGCAATTACGAATAATCTCAGGAAACACAACTTTTGGGATTATTGAAGAAGATTTAAGGCTAGGTTGGCTAAAAGCCGAGCATAACTCGCGAGTCTGAAATTAAGGCAATCAAGCCGAAGTAACGTACTCATTCAGGCCTTAAAATTACGTTCGTGCTATAAAAAAGCAGAGCGTACTGTGCGTTATTAATAAAACAGTATTTGGAGTTGTTAAGCAAACAACTAATCAAAATTAGACTCTGATTTGTAGAAACTTTCTTATCTTCATATTTTAAAACTTTCCCTAAACTAGCGTTTTGAGCGATATTTTTAACTTTTAGTTATACGACACTTAAAACACAAAACAACAAGATTCAGCTTACCGTAGGCAACGTAGAACCCTGAGAAAGCGAAACCGACTCGACCGACTGGCACGAAGTCGGCGGCAACACGTTCTTCTTCTTGATCGGAGCATTGATCTTTCGTGTACCTAAAACAACATCCTCAATTACAGTACGAATATTACTCTGCTGCTCCCAAGCCGGGTCGTCCAGGCCCTTGATTACGGTATGTCGTCGTTGGGTGCGGCGATCGTTCGAAAGCGTAGATCGCCGGGTTGAGAGAGCCCGACGCGGCCGAAAGCTGGCCGGTCGGAACATGAGGAAAGACCCGCTTTGGCCTTTCCGACTTCAACCTGGCCCAATGCCTGTTTGGACAAACATACCGTCCCGGACCTGAACGGAAACGCGTCTCACCCATCAGATTGCCCAGTTTGCTCGGCATTTATTGCCATGTCGAGAGCAGGATGATGACATTCAGGAGATTTCAAGCACGTTCCAGCCTCATTAAGCACGTTTCGCTTTTCGAATATTCACAAAACGTGACCGCAAAAGGCGATTTGCATTAGCTATTACATGTTAGCTAACATTTAAATAAAAAATATTTTTTCAATGCAACTTGGTAAATTTTTATAAGTTGAATAGAAAATAAAGCGATTGAAGGCAGTTAGACAAAAATAAAACCAACTTTCGGCAATTAGATCAAAATAAAGTCAATTTCTAACTCTAACGCTATCTTAATCACCAATTTTGCTATTAGCTCAGTAGCAAAGACCATATCATACACGAAAAGACAAGTTGTCACATATCCATCATGCCAACAAATTACAGACTTAAGTGTGAACATTATGCGGTCCGCATAATAAACAAAACAAGGAAAGTTCCCTGAGGGAAATCTCCCGAGGCAACAGAAACTCACGCGGCTGATTCACGACTCCACCGACCAGTAGATGCGTGCCCAATGATTGACGACGTTTGGCGAAAGCGGCACTACGCCCCACCACCATCGCCGCGCCGTTCCCGCAACCTCCGGCCGTTAACTGGGGCCGTTCATTTCGACGGTCGTTAAATTGAGGAGGACACTAAATCTGCAATATCACCAGAATCCGATTAGATGAAGTGCACGGAAAAAGAGCACAAGGCTTCCGACACGCAACATTTCATATTAACAAATAGATACTATGTGTAATAGTGCTGTTTCATCATGAGTAAGACAAGAATACACTGCTTCACCATGTGTAAGACAACTATCTTATTATTCCGGATGTATACATAGTAAATTTGCTTGTTTTGCATATTACACATGACATATTCCGTTCTTATAAATATTACTACATCGCTTGCCTTGAGGGTGTAAGCTTACAGCTAATTTCTTTTTAAATCTACCATGATAACTTCAAAGACAATACTTACAAAAATCCTTAAGTCCTACCTAAACCAACATAACATACATTTTTTACCTACTACAATATAACTTCAAAAAAGCTTTCTAACATTTATTAACCAAAGTATCAAATCGGCTTTAGAAATGCCTTAAAAAACCATGCCAAAACCACACAAAATTCAAAAAACTTCCCCGATAACCACCCTTGCCAAGACACCAACATCTTTATAAAAATTGAAGAAGTAAACTATTCCAACACTATGCTGGGGTTAAGTAAACTCTCAGTGTCCTTTGATTGATTCAATGTCACATAACAAATGCCCCACAGTATGTTTACGGATACGACGATAAGAACTAAAACTTCTTTTTAACACATTTAGGGCTGTAAACAAAATGACAAAAATGTGAGCAAAGTGCAAACAATTTTAGCCCAGCAATATGACAACACCCAAATCTCTTCTTGTTTTCGTAAAGAATAACTTACCGTGAAAGGCAGGGGTTGTGTAATTAAGGACAAAGTTAGATTTTCAATACAAAAATGGCCATATTAGCCATATCTTTAACGCAAAAAGTGCAGTGTCAAACCTAAAGTAACGCAAAAAAAACTAAAATTAACAATATTAGCCTAAAAGTAACGTATTAAGTTGTCAGTCAAACAACAAGCTCCAAGATATACCGTACGACCTCATATTAAACAACAGTACCTATGCTCAATCACTATTACCAAAACCCACTAAACAGTACCAAACCCAGCATACAAGATCAGAGTTATAGACATAAAACGTGGCCGAACCTCCTCCTAAATATCTAATTAGCTTACGGAACATGATAAAATAACCAGAAAGAGAGCAAGGACATCAGAGACCTTTCATGGCCAAAAAGGCCCCAACCGAATCATCCGCGCACTTTTTATCACTCATTTCACGGCCCATCGGATTGAAGAGGAACACCAAATTAAGGCCGACGTCCACCCCAAAAACACATTTGCATGACGGAACTAGTGCCATATTAGCCATACTTAAATGATATGTTATATAATAATTATTCTGACTAAGACAATGTATTAGAAAATGTAGATATTAATGAATATTAAACGTAAATACAAGTTATAAAAGAGAAAATAGTATCAAATTAATTAAAATATGCTATAATTATGCAAAAAACATATTTTAAAGCATGATAAACAGTTAAAGCCAAAATTACCCAAAATAACAAAGTCTGATCAAGCTTTTGAAAAAGGCAAATTATATAGGTAATAACAAGCTATTAACTCCACTTTCCTTGTTTACTTCAGCCGGATTAGCTATGAGAATTTCGTTAAACACAAAAGAATCGTTTTCAATGATAAATACGCAAAAATTTGCATAAAAATAAGTTCCAAATAAAAAAATATTATTTTAATTTTCTGTCGCCTCATAATACGTTTGGTCCCGCAACGATAAATTTATCGACCTCTGCTTCGTAGACATGAGAAACGGGCCGATCGAAATTTTGCTCAGGGCCGGCCCGGCCCGGGCCTAAATTTTTTTTTACGTGGAAACGGGCCGGGCCCGGCTCATTTTTCAGGCCCGGCCCGATCGGAATTTTGCTCAAGGCCGGCCCGTTTCTCATGTCTACTACTGCTTCGTCAAGCTTCAGCAAACTGGCGATTTTTTTGGGTTTTTTGGAAAAGGGATAAGAAACGTTTTAGACTTTTTATAAGCCATTTTTATGTTAAGGTTGTAAAATTTGTTACAATAATACTTTAGATTAATTCTTTTCGTTCTCGTTTTACGTCCTTTTTTAATCCTTATACCACCTCAATTTAGAGCACAAACCAATCCGACTCGTTCACAACGTGATTTTATTTATCGCTCGACCATATTTCAGTTAATTTATAATTATTTCACACTAATCACGACAATCGGAAGCTGGAATACTGAGAGGAGTTGACGAAACAAATATTGTAAATGAACTAAATGACGACAAGTATAATATAAATAAGAGTTAGGTTAAGAAAAAACTAGTACAAATAATAGACAAACTAGTTGAATGGTAGATAAACGAAAGTGTTACGAAATTGGAAACTATATAAATCATGGTAATATCAAAACAGGCCGAAAGTGTTGGCTCCGTTCATCGGAGGGTTCCAGGTCAAGTGGGCTTGCAGGCCTGGGCTGGGGTTCGAGTTTAGGCCGCCAGAGTTGTGGCTCGAGCGACGTTGACCGTTTCTGAAGTTCGATGGCATCGAAGTGCCGTTGAAGATACCGTGGCGCGGAACTGGATTCTGAAAAAAAGCATAACTTTTAGTACGAAATTTAGATTTTGAAACCAATTTAACTTTGAAAAAAAACTGAAAGTAAACTTAGGGGCATATTGATCAATAACCAATGTAATAGCTATTTACTTACTTGGTTACAAGTCATTTGCTGCCGATGTCCACCAACTACTCCAACGTTCGGTGGTGGAACGCTGAAGTCAACCTGACTGACGGGTGGTACAAATGGTCCCATTTGAACATGATGGGTCACTTGGTTGTTGAACGGCACCATTGACGGCATGTGGTGCTTTGTCATGTTTGGTGGAGGAACGTTGGGGTTCATAGCCGGAGGCTGCGTGGTTGGAACCAGCCGGTTGCCTTGACGGAAGTTGTTGGTCGCTGGCTGTGGGGCAAACCGTTGGGCCGCTGGCATTTGATTACCGTTAAAGTATTGGATAGGAGTCGGAGAAGCTATCCCGTTCATCATTTCAATACTCGACCAGTCGGTTTGTGCTGGAGCAAAGTAGCCAGGGTCCACAAAGTTCTGAGCGGCCAAGAAATTCTGTCCCATCGTGGGCGAACTGTTGGCCAAATGACCAAAGACTTGGGTCGAATTAGGCAGAATGTAGTTGTTGGCAAATCCGTTGGTCTGATGCAAGAATCCAGGATTATTCAGATGAGATTCGTTGAGTTGTCTCGCATCTCCAATTTGAATATCTTCAGGATCCTGCACATCCAAACTACCGTTACCTTGGTGTGAATCGACCGGTTGAAGCCCATTTCTGTAGCTGCCTTCATCTCCTGGCCAGATGTCTTTCACCTTGCTCACCTTCTTCTGAAGTTCGACATGGTTCTCGTTGATGAACGATGACTTGGGACTCATTTGACCAGCTCCAAAGTCAAAATCTGGATCTTGTACAGCGTGACTCGCGTAGATGATAGATTCTGATTCTCGAGACAACTCCAGAGCAACATTGTCCTTGGCTTTGGAGGTTGGTCGAGCGATCGGAGCTGGTATGTTCTGTCGATAGTCTTCTTGAGTGTGATTACCGTGAGTTTGAGGGATGACACCGGTGTCGTTCCATACCGACCGGTTGGGAAGAGTTGCATTCGAGACATCCGCTCCAGATTCTCCGGAAACGTGTGATGTCGAAGAGACAGCGACACAGCCAGAATCAGTGGCTGAGACTGGAGACAAAGAGTCGTTGAGGCTCTTGACTTCAGAATCCTGTCGTTTTCTGCGTTCCTCGACCCTTCTGTTCTGCTTTCTGTTCTTCTCGTCCTTCTGCTTGTTCTTCTTCTGTTGTTCTTGACGTTCGTGTCGTTGACGTTCCTTGGTGACACGTTCTTCTTCTTGACGTTGCTGTTCTTGACGTTGTTTCTTGGCCTTGCGACTGAGAACCTCTTCGAACTCGCCGCTCTCCGACTGTACGTCGACAGGTTGTTCGGGTTGGTTGTCGATGACAAAAACGCTCGCGTTGTTCAAATCGACTCCCGCCAGCCCGTTCCGAGTGCACTCCTTAGCTATAGGGCGCTTCTCGCGGGCGTTCATCTTGGCATTCTTACTGAGCGCTGGACTGTTGTTCTCGTCGTTGCTCTTCACGAATGCGCCGTTGTTTTGGGACGTAGGGCTGGCGGGCTTCGCGTTTTTTTGGTTCTGTGGGCGCGATTGTTGTTGTTGGTTGGTGGGCTGAGGCTTGGTCTGCTGTTCTGAAGCGTTAGAATTCTTGGGTTGAACTTGTTGCCGAGGGCGTGGACGAACTGGTCTTTGGCCTGATTTGCGGCTACCGGTTGAGTTTTCAAAATAACGAGCACCACTGCCGTTCGAATGGGTTTCGTCTATCTCTTCTTCCTCTGAAATCATGGTTTATTAGTTTGTCGTAACTTTTTGCAATTCTTATTCTGTAGTAACATTTGCCAGTAAATCATCATTCGGAATGAAATAATATGTTAATATGGTTCCAAAATATAATTTCTAAGATTATTACCGTTCTTGGGACCTCTGTTGTTGTACTCTCTTCTGGGACCGCGTTGATTTTGGTTTCGGTTCCAGCCTGACTTTCTTTTATCACCGTTATCAGAAGTTTCTTCCGGAGTGCGACGAGGTTTATTGTCGCGCCAAGATCTGTTATGAGGAGCGCCTCTTTGAGGTTTCAAAGGCCGATTAACCTGAGAAGGTTTATGATGGTGATAAAAGTACAAAAAAAGTTAAAGAATAATATAACATCGACGTTTTGCAATATTTCAATAAATTGCCGCTATGACAATTTTAAACCAAAACTTCATAAAACAATTATTTGTAAAAAATATTCGAAGTTTAAACTTACATCATCGTTGGGAGTTCTTCTGTGTTTCTTCTCCATGTCGACTGCAGCAAAACCTTCCTCAAAGTTATTTTGGGATGGTTTTGGTGGCACAACATCGTCGATCTTGTAGTCTTCGGCATGGAACTCACCCATGTTGGAGAAGTTGTCTTCCTGAAATTAATAAAATCATATCGAATCCAACAACAGACTCTTAATCGACCCTTCAAAGATGTACGCATGTGACCACAACAAACTTACTGGTTCATTACGTTTCTTTGGTCGACCACTTACTGCTTTCCGACTTTGTTCTGGAGCGTTGTTCCACGAGCGCTGGACTGGAGCGGCGGCCTGGGCCTTGGGTGGACGACGATTACGGTATTCTTTGCGTTCGTGTTCTTCATGATAACCATTGCCTTCGTTCACATCGTCCCATCCGTTCAGTTGCTCCTTCTCCATCACTGGAAAATGGTAGTCGAACTTTCTGGTTTGCTTTGCCTGAAAGGTAAAACATTGTTAGAAGTCTTGATGTGATAAAAACGTCATCTATGATTAGGTTTAGGTACCTCTTTTCATAAAAATTTATTTTAATTTGAATAACTTTAAAAACCCTTTAATATATTATAAAATGCCTTACTTCTCCCCAAGTGTGCTTCTCCTCCTGCTTCTTCTGAACTTGTTGTTGTTGACTTTGCTCTTCCATCCTCTTCTTCCAAACGTTCTCAGGTGGAGCTTGAGGTCGTGGTTCCTTCTTTTCCTTCTGAATCTGAGGCTTTCCTGATCCAGGAGCCTTGTTGAAACGGTTCATGGCTTCATCGTTCTGATGCTGTTTCGACGGTCTTCCGAATCTTGTCATCTGACTCAACGTCTCGGCACTCTCCTCTTCAGTCATGGAGCCGAGGTTGGAGCGGGTCGAAAAGTATTCGGCACTCTTCTCGTCGTTCCTCTTCAACATTCTGTAGACTTGTGGTTGTTGAGCGTTCCGTCCCGGTTGACCCTTCTGGACCTCGTTATCATACTCTCTATTGTCGCGAGGGTACTGACGATTCTGTCCATCATCACCGTTCTCCGAGCGTCGCTTGCTTCTTCGTTCATTACCACCGTACATGGCGTATGGATCGAAGTCATCGCTGTAGGAGTTGGAGGAGGGCCTGTTACGGCCTTGATATCCGTTATCGTACTTTCCACCGTACTCTCCGCCGTGACCTCCTTTTCCATCGTTTCGATTGTACCATTCTTCTTCGCCACGAAAGCTGGGCGGCCGTTGACGACGCTGTTCCGTAGGAGCTGACCAACGCATATCGTCCCAATTGGAGTCGTCGTAGTGTCGTTGGTATCCTGCGTCGCCGTGCCCAGGCATAACCTGCTGTGGTGGATAGTATTCGGGTCGGGGGCGGTTGTACTCGTCCTGCATGGGACGTCCCCATCCGCTTTCGACCGGTTGCTGGACGTCGGGAGGTCCAGCTTCTTGAGCTGAAGGTTGAGTGTAGAGACTGCGCACATCCTGACTTCGGCCCGCCTGACCTTGAGCTTGTTGAGCTTGCTGCTCGTAGACGGGCTGTTCGACTGGCCGAGGCGCGGCAGCCGGCTGCTTGGATTCCGCAGGTTCGGCAGCCTTCTGCGCAGCCTGACGTTCCTCGGATCTCTCCTTGGAGTCCATTGAAAGCTGGGCCAGCTTCTGACGGAAGTCGTAGTGTTTGTTCAGCTGATTGCTGGGACGAGATCCTTCTGGGGCACCGATGTAGCGATCGGGAATCTTGCGGTCGACATTGCTTCGTGGACCGGTCGAGGCGCCGATATAACCAGAACCAGTCGACGGCGGCGGCGGTATATTGACTATATTCTCTTTGGGCTCCTCCACTTTTGAAGACAATAGCTCTGAAATTAATATTTTGATAAAAACTTGTTTTACATCATGATTATCATAAAACCCAAAAGCTCATTTCGTAAAATTAGGACAGTCCAAACTTTTGTCTTCCGTGGATAGCTCATATGAATAAACAATATGTACAAAACGCATAAAAAATAGTCAAAATCTTACTGGATGATTTGGGCGAGTCGTTCGACGCCGCTGCTGAACCCGTTGGAGGCGTTGAAGTGGGTTTGGCCGTGGTGGCCACAGCTGCCGCCAGTGGCGGGAACTCGCGACTGTTCGTCGCTGAAGTACCAGTCACCTTGTTCGTCCGCTGCGAATGAACTGGACTGGGCTTGGTTGGCTCGACTGGGGCAACATGACCATTTGCTGCACCCTTGGCCCAGTTGGGGCGAAGGTCCGGAGAATTGGCTTGGTTCTCCAAATTCTATAAAACAGTACGTTAAAGATAATATAATGAAACCATATTTTACGCCTTTTATCTACATATACAGTTTTTTAGCCAATATTGTTTATATTATTATACGTCAATTTAGCCTTAAACTTTAAATTTGTTACCTAAAAACCAAAGTACTACAACAAAACAAACTGACCTTGCTGTCCGACGTGTCGACCGGTTTGTTCCATCCTTGACCACCTTGAGGCACTAAAATAATACTCGAATCGTGTCCAATCTCAGATTTGAGCGAAGGTAGAGTGGCTGGTGGGGGCATTCGCCGCACAATCGAAGTTGATTTTCCGAGAACTTGAAGACCATTTTTGACAGAGCCTAAAATAACATTATTTTTACTAAATATGTTTTATTCGTTAGCCATTAGCTTACGATTCACGCGTGTTATCTAAAGGTCTGATTTCCCATAAACTTTCATCATAACCCCTTCAAAAAACAAATTTGTTACCTAAAATGCCAAAACACAAATCCATAAAAACTTACCGGCGGCCCTGCCGCTCGCGTTATTCCTTCCTGCGTAAACACTATTCACGTTGTGTGATCGGGGCTTGTTGGCGCCCGTAACCCCCCAGGACGACATAAGTAAGTGGAGACGCTGGTCCACTGGCCAAAAGAAGATCGAGATTAGCGGCGGATCGAAGTGGTGGAATTTTGAACGACGATTGACAAACCTTTAAGATAATATGAAGCGTGTGAGGCTGATGGCGCAGAGATCCTCACGATGTTGTTGTAGCCGTAGGAATGATTTCGAAAATTTGGAAAAATTGGAATTCAACGACCGTTTTTGTTGGTTTCTCCCGTTACGACCCTGAATTTTAGATAAAATTAGTCATAACATGTGATAAATTAAATTTTGAATCAAGAAAAATACACTTAAGATTATCTTAAACTGTTATTATACCTATTTTTCCCAGCAAACTAAAATTATCCATAAAAAATAAATAAGACCCTTTAAAAACATAAAAATTGATTGAGAATATTTAAAAATGTATCTAAATACAAAAAGAATGGTCCTTAATCGTAAAGTAAAAGTTTTTAGTTTAATTAATAATTATTTCAAATAGTTTTGTTATCTATTATACACCATAAACTGTCCGAAATCGACCAAAAACAAACTGAAAATTTCCTAAAACTCAAGCCCACGAGAAATCGTTCGAAAAAAAGGCCAAAATGATTTTTAAATCACAACAAATCGTACTAAAACCACATAAAATGAAGACTACTATCTATTATCTACAAAGACACAACAGAACTAGTCGAAAAAAAAGTTTGAAAAAGCCAAAAATTACCGGATTTTGTTTATGCTTACGGTTGGCGAAGGAGAAAAAGGAAGATTTGCCCACTGAAAAACAGAAAATATTAGCTATCACAAGCACGATTTCGATAAATCAAACGTAAAACACAAGGAAATCGCGGCGGAATTGCGTTATTGGACATAAAAGTATTGGCTCTAGTATTTCCCCAGATTTGAGCACAAAAAACGCGCACGGCCGGATGATAGTATGGGCTGAACGGAGAGGAGATGGGGCAACGAAACGTCTCTAGCTCTATGCGAACAATTCTGAGCCACTCTCTTGCTCTGGTCGAACATTTTTGAGCCGCTCTCTTGTTGTAGACGAACTATTTTTGTCTTGATCTCTAGCCGCTTTCGAATATTCCGTTCCCGCTCTCGTTTCTCACTTTATTTTGGTTTCTGACCTCAACTCACCGGCTTATTCTAGTCGTGTCTAGATGTGTCTGTGCTCTCCTCGAATTATATTGTGTTTGGAGGTTGTTTGTAGCTCCCTTCTTCGTACCTTGCCGCGGTTAACCCCGTCTTGGGGTCAAATTCTCTTGTTTCCGATCGAGCGTATGGAATTCTCGTTTTTTCTGACAATTTTCTGTCTTTTCTGCCTTTCTCTGTCCACTCTCTTGCTTTTCCCTCTCTCTTGCGCCTCTTACTCGGCCGTTTCTCCGTTTCTCTGACCGATCTCTCACTTCCTCTTTACACTCCGCTTTAAAAAAGCCCAGTTTCTTTCTCTGTCAACTTTTTGACCGTTGTATTTCGCGACCTGACCTGACTTCGAGTGTGTAGCTGTTCCGTTAGCTGTCCGGACGACTTTTCTCGCCGTCTCTCCACATTCCGTGTCCTCTCTGTGTTCTGTGCGTTATGAATGTTCTCTTGCGCTGGCATTATCTCCAACTCGGAATTCGGGAACCGTTCTCGGATCCGCACTGTCAATGGCACTGGCCTCGGTTGGGCACTCGGCGCCGAATGTTACCAACTGGCTGCGCATGGCCAAACGAAGCGCTTAGACGCCCGAGGCGAATTAGTTTTTGATCGCAAAAACAATTTTGAATACGAAAAAGGGATTTTGCATCCAAATGAATTTAAAAAATTTAAATTTTGGCCTTTAAAAAATAGTCGAAAAGTTTAAAATCAAATTTTAAAGCCCACAGGCTTTTTAACTAAACTACCACAAGAAGATTACTCATTTAAAAACAAAAACATTAAAGTAAAGCCCTTAAAAGTTGAGAGATTCTTGAAATGCAAAAAATCTGAAGTGTGATTTCAGAATCTCACGATAGAAACTCTTGAAGTTCAGCGTGATTCTTGAAGCTCTCAATGTTGACTTCTGGCGCTTTGAATGGCGACATCTGAAGCCGCCAACTTTGAAGCTGACGATGTAGTGACAAAAGTGGAGATGACAACTCTTGATCGGCATTCCCGGAAATTAAGGATGAACGAAAGGAAAAGCTTCTGAAGGCTGGTTACAAGAGGATTCAGCGTGTCTCGGTAATTATTTTGTCGTCGTATTAGAAAATATAATTGTGGAAGGATATTCTAAACGCTTTTCGTTTAACCTCAATGTCATCACATCCTTTGCTTTTTAGGGTTTTGTTCTTTTGTATTATGTCAGTTTTATATTACACTCGAGTGGTTTTATAAGGTTTAGTACTTGTGATACTGGTTTGCTTAATAAGTTTATAGAAAGGCCGAGAGCGTCTATCAAGTATGCTACTTGATACACGTAGCATACTAGGATGTATAAAATATGTTTCTAACTAATGTTATTCCAAATGATGCTTTATATGCTTGTAAAACCTATATATATAATAACTAATGTTAAAGAGTTTTCAGGCTTGGATACGGTATGCGATGATCTTAAGGTTGCACCTCTTACTCCACTGCCTAGTCATGTTTGTATCTTCAGAAGGGTTGACGCCATTACCGAACCAGCTAAAGTATTTTGTGAAATCTACAAAATCTACCATTTCACCACGAGTTCATGGTGTTCCTAGTGCCAGTAAATACAGTATCAGTCACAAAATAAAGGAAACCGAAGACAGAATAGAAGCTTTTCCGAAGAATACTGTAGCTGCTGTAGGTTTTGTTAGTTTTTACTTTAGATTTTATTCTATTAATCTACATTTATATCATTTTATATTGTATTTCATTTTATCTATAAAACATTTTTTTTAAATTTCCCATGTCTTTGATGTTTTTATACCTATCTTCTGTAACATGTTATTGTAGGTATTGAACAAGAAAGAGTTGGAAGCCATGCTTCTTGATCCAGAGCTAAAGTACCTAAAGAATAAGATTCACGATGGAATAGAAGCCCAGAGAGAGTTGAGGGACAGACTAAAACGATTAAATCTTCAATCCAGAAATCGCGCTATAAAAACCGAGGCCAAGAACGGTGACAGCTGGAAGAAACCTCTTTTGAAGCAACTTGGTGTTAGGATTACTAAACAGAGTATAATATCGTTTTATATTTTCATTTCAAAAACTTTTGACCTTTTTTAACGGTTTATTATGAATACCTGCAGCCTGCAGATACTATGAGATACGCAGGCTGCACTGCAAATTTACTTTTAGGGCGCAGCCTGAACTTTCTAAACGTTGAATGATTAGGAAAAATATTATTACCATATTATTGATGTTAAAGTACATTTTATTTTAAATTCTGCTTCAGGGAAACTGTTGAAGCGAAGATCAGAAGGTAGACTGAAGAGTTTGAAGATCTTCAAACCTCACAAGTTTGTCAAAAGTGGTCGTGCTGAGACCTCAAATGTCTTCAACAAACGGTTTTATGCTGACAAAACTGAAAAACAAGTTCAAGTAGCTCGTAAGTAATATTTTTCTATTTATTTTGTAGCATTGACTTGTTATAGTAAAAAAGTAATTAAAAATGGAAATTTATAAAACATTTTGATAGTTTATGATAGAGTAGATAGTAGTTTATAGTACATCAGATAGTAAATTGTAAGTTATTACGGTAAATTTTCTAAAAACCTTACATTTCTGTGTATATTTCAGCGTCAAAAGTTGTGGCAGAGCTGACACTTCATAAAGCTCTGAATAAAGTGTTTTCACCTGGCAAGATTGTCACTGTTGATGATTTCGATGACATTATTGTAAAAGAAGTAAGGTTTTCAAGTTTTAAAATTAATTTTTGTGTTAAAAATTAAATTTTCAAAGTTGAAAAGGGTATCTAAACTACAGTACTCTTTCTTAAAATAGCTTCCAACACTTTGCTTTGCTACTTTTGTAATAAAACTACCTTTTACAATCACAAAGGATAAGGTTCACACTGATAATTTCAGAAAAAGCGTCATGAAAGTCCTAAATATAACACGACTTTGAAGAAGATCGACCACGAGAATCGACCGGCCTTTTGTCGGCGATGCTACAAGTTCTTCTCGACCATAACCGACACGGACATAGCCAAAGTGTACCAGTACTGTTGTACAGTAGGTAACCACAAGAGCCGGTTGTTCGAGAGTGCTAAGTCGAGAACGCTATAAACATGTTTTTGTAAATAAACCTGTTATCAACATCACTTCACACCTGATAAGAGGCAGTGTGTCTTAACATGTATTACATTGTGGGCTCTTTCATGTTATGATAGGTATGCTAACATGGTAATACGCCTGCTGATATGTTGTGATATGTATGTTAATATGTATGTGTTAAGCTCTTCCTACGAAGGGATTAAGTGTGATAACATGTCAACCAAGTTCATGTATTTATTTAACCCAAATTGGCGACAGATAAGAGATTTGTGGACAATATAATAATAAAGTGACTTAGCGATTACTAGACGACTGGCGCTGTTTTTACAATTTTGTACTCGATTGCGAGATGACAATATATGACAATATCATTTTAGATTTGTTACTGTAGATAGTACTGTTAAACACAAGGCTTACAGGAATTGTACCTACTACAACATAGACCAAACGGTAGACCTAACAACATAAAACATGTTTCTTAATTCTGGCTGTTTTTTTAAATGGTCATAATTCTATCAAGACACAATCGTATCAACCTACAGTAAGACAGATGTTCACACGACCTCAGTAGAGTGTGCAGAATCAGAGTCTGACGTTGTAGGGTAATATTGGAGGGATTCGTTCAGTTTCTCTTCGAAAATACTTCTCTTTGACATTGACACTTTGGTGGGTGGTAGGTTGTGAGCCGTCGACCGGTGGGTTTGCAGGGTCCGGGCTTGGCAGAAGCCTTTGTCACAGACTTCACAGGTATAGGGCTTTTCTTTGGAATGCGTGTACCTGAAAAGGAATGATGATTTGATATTTATTTTAGGTAGTTTAAAAATTAAAATTTTTTAAAATAATTTAAATCTACATTAAGTACTAATAAGTAATGTTGAACTCTAATAACATAAAACTTAATGTTACTTCAATATAAAATGATCGGTTTGAAAATCTTTTTTGAACTTACTTATGGTCTCTGAGGTGATCTTGTCTTCTGAACTTCTTTGAACAAATTTCGCATGGATAAGGTCGCTCGTTGGTGTGGGTTCTCTCGTGTATCAGTAAGTTATATGATTTAGTAAAGTGCCTATGACAATATCGACAGATAAACTGTTTCTTCGGCCGTGTTGCTCTGTTTCCACTGCGACGTCCTGGTAACATGAACCTGAATATATATTATAACTTTTCGAAAAAAAATTCAAAATCATCACTCTTACTTATTTTGTCATGGTTTTTGAAATAATAAACTGAGGTTACTGTAAAATTTTATATAAAATAAACTTACCATGGTGCTCTCAGATTATTGTACAAGTTTTGTTGTCGCATCAGAGGTGTAGTAGGGAATGACGGAGTAAATGAAGGTAACGGAGTTGATGATGTACTCGATGACGATGGCTTCTCTTCTTCAGGTGAATCTACACAAGTGGCAATCTTAGTAAAGTCGAACTTAGGAGACGCCTCTTTACTTTCTTCCTCCTTCTTCACAGTAACTTCGTTCATCTTGCTCATCTCATTCAGCTTCTGAAGCAACATGAAGAAGTTCGCCTGCTGGTTGATGATGGTCTGTCGCCACAACGGGTTGTTCATCAACATGTTGGGGAAGATGGAGTTGTTCTGAAGATTCAGATTCATGTTTATCAAGCCAAACTTCAGGTTCGGATTCATAGCAGTAGGTAGGGCAGGGGGCTGAGTGGAAGCGGCCGAAACGCCGGGCGGACAAACCATCTAAACAAGAGTGATTATTAGGTTAATTAGTAATGTGTGATGATGAACAAAGGCGGTATCGGCACGCGCCTTTGGCAAAAAACAGCTTGACAAGTTTGGGGCCCCGCCCTGAGGCAACTCCCGAAAAATTATTTGTGGCCAAGCCGAGGGCCCGCGGGTGATTGGCTCCCAAATCAAAAAGAAACGCCGCCGCGGAGTGCCGAAGCATAATCAAAATGAAAAATAATAAATTTTATAGGCACCTAGGTCTCTTCATCGTCACCTTTGAAATAATCGTTAAGCGGAGGGAGGCCCGCTCTTTTATCAGAACACCATTAGCAATCGCCCAATTATTGCTACCGTTAATGAGCAGATCAAAAGGCCCACACCGACCGGCCGGACCCGCAAAAACGCCTCGGGGCCATAAAAGTTGGGATCGGGATTATATGGCCAAGAGTTTGGGGATTTGTAGGGACTAATTTCTGGCCATGGCTGAGTGGTTATTACAGTAATTTGGGGGAACTTAAAGTTTTTATATTGCGTAATAATAATACTAATTTTGACGTTTTATGATCAGGTAATGTTATTATATGGAATGTTATAGGATTTTAGTCAAAAGCTAAGCAAATTAAGTATAAATAAAAAATAATTTTTTTTCAAAATTTTTTGAATCACGGTATAAAATATCTAGAAAAGCTTAAAAAATGCCATAGCGTGTCTATAAATTAAAATTCTGCGCACTTTTTGACCAATATATAATATCTTTCCAACATTAAACACCTAATAACGTAATACTTTTAAGTTTTTTCTCAAAGAAATTTTTTAATTTTAGAAAAAGGGAAGCCGTACCCTACTAAAAGCTAATACAAGCCCTATTCTACTAAAAGCTACTATAATTTCGTTTGACATAGTAATCCTAAAAAGGCCAGTAAATGCAGTCCCCTTAAGACAATCCATGGCCACATTCGAATGATTGATCCGGAATTATAATGGAAACAGATTTCGGGACACGCAAACCAAATAAATCTGTCACAATAAAACCGAACATGGATGGGTTACTACAGTAGGTATGCCAAGGTCGGAAAGCGAAAACAGAAGAGTTTGTTTTTGAGACGATGACTCCTTGAATTCACACTCACTACCGCGCTTATCATACCGTAATCCGGGTCTTAATCCCTTCCCGAAGTTGGGGCATGATAAGGCTGGGCAGAGGGTATTTACAACAAAACTAGTTTGATTTTGAGAGTTGGGGTGGTGTATAAAATTGGAATTATAAGAATATGTTAGTTTAGGTACTAGAAGATGATAAAAAACATAGAGATGAGGATGAGATACTAGGCTGCATCAAAAATTTTGAAAATTATTTTGATTCCAAAATGTAAAAAAAATCACCGTGCAAATCGTCCGAGAACTTATACAATGTCCAAATATAAATATATATTTTTAAATTTATATTAAAATATATTAGAAAATTTGCTATAACTATATAATGAAGCTCTCTTTACTAAAATTAGTGATAGTACAAATCACAACAACCCCAAGTAAAGATGTTACTAAATCTAAAGAAATTTTAAACAACAAAATTTTTTTTGCCATTTTATACTACAGCAAAGCTACATCAACTTCAAAATTCCAAAACCATCAAAAACGATGACATTACAAATTAAAATTCGTGTCGAATAAAGAAGTTATCAATAAGAGGGAAGACAAAGTGAAACGTTCAAAGGCGTCTCCCCTTTATGATTCTGAAGAGTTATGGGAGCAACGTCTCAAATGCCTCCGAAGTCACCCGTTTCGGTAGAAAGGACAATTGGAATACGGGGGCGGGGCCGACCGGCGGCCAATCAGGGAGCGCGCAGGGCGAATGCCAGGGCAAACAATATTAGACGTACGACAAATAATACCAATACGTATGGTTTTGGAACGGTGTGCGGTGAGAAATGGTGTAAAGTTGGGACGATATGCTTAAACTTAGAATTCTACGTTTGGCTAGTATAATATAACGGTAATATTTATATTCAAAGTGTAAAACTAACAGTTCAACAACTCGTACAGAAAGAAACCATAAAGTTAGTAACGCAAAAAAAAGTATAAAAAAAGATATCAGATCTCAAAATCTAAGCATAAAAATAATATGCAAAGCAGGCTACCCACTTTCCCACCATCTTGAAGCCTAAATGAGAATGTTGTGATAAACCCATTCAGCTCAGCCCACATTCTTTATCACAGCTTTAGTTTTTACCACTTGTAAGCTTGCTTTACCTTGAAAGAAGACACAGGCACTTGTCCGCTTCTTAAGTTAATCTAATTTTATTAAGAGGTACCGGCTATGTTGTTATACAACGCAATACTACCGGCTCCATTTCCACGGGATGTCGTATTAATCGCAAGTCATTTACAAGTGCACGAGTCTTATGACTTGGTTGAATTAAAAAAAATGGTTTAGCTTTAATTTTTGTATATAAAAAAGTTCGTACAAGTTACAGTATTACTAGAATAGAATAGATATAGAAAAGACTTTAGCACTTAAGATGTAATAATTTTTAAAACTTATAAAATTGTAAAATAAACAAATTTAAAAAGCTAAAGTTAAAGAAATATTACTGTATTTTTTAAAGTAGTATTTAAAAACCAAAATCGTATCAAAAAGCTATAACATTTGAGTCTAAAACAATATAAGCATTGTTTTTTAGAAGTTTGGAATCGTCAGCTTCCGCCATTGTTAAAACAACACTAAAATTATTTTTTAAAATCATTCAAATTGAACTTTTTTAAACAAAAATGGTTCTAATAAGATAGACAAGTTAACTAAATGAATTAGTTGTCTGTTCCCAATATCAACTATCTCAAATAAGCTACTCACACAATTTTTGGGTCAAAAACTCTATTTTTATATGCCGCGATAATATACAGTCATTTTTGTAGACAAAATACAAAACACGGTTGCCACATTTGGAAGAGAATACCGAGACAGTGAATGGAGCCACTCCCAGACTACCGTCTCTCTTCAGAATCCCAAAAAGGAAAAACAAAACCAAGGAGATAATCGCTTAAGGCGCTTGGAAGTGGAGACAAATATGAAGAGAAAGTGACGAAATCCTTCGCACAAACACCTTCTGGGGTTACTGTAGTTTCGGGAAATTATAATTCTAATCGGTTTCACAGTTTTAATTTTTTTTCTTGCTTAACTTTTAAGGCTTCAAACTTTGAAGCTTAGAAGGAAAGTTTGAAGTCTACTACAACTTATGTTTTACAAAAAAGTTACTGTACCACTATTTTTACTAAATATTGTAATAAAATCTTTAAAAATTAGTATACTTTTTAAAATTTTAAAGCACAGCTTTACGAGCAGCCTTAAAGATCAAGGTACATCCACCTCAACATGTTGTCAAACAACATACGCTTTCCCTTTCCTTACAGCGATTTACAGCCTTACATCGGCACAAGCTTTATCAATAGCGCCTAACATAAACTTGAATGTAACACAATATTATAAACCACTCAAATATGAAACCAGCCCCGGTAATATAAAAAATAGCTACATATGTGGACATGTGCAGTAAAAAACCAAATTCAATTGTAAGTTATACAAAAACTTTTTTAAAATTGTCATAAAATACTATATAAAAGAAGTAAAGGCAGTAAATTCTAATAAACTTAAAAATAATTGCCATATTAAATAATACCACATATAGGTTACAGTAGATCACACCAGGCCAGCTTTTACACCTCGGAATAAACAAAAAACAAAAGAACGCCGCCGGAACAGCCTTTTATGGCACGAAACTGATCTTGACATAAACAAAAGACACTTGAGATCATCAGCGGCACAGAAAAACAATCAAACTGTTTACCGACTGATTATGTAATGATAGGTTTGTAGAGTCAAGTATGTCATGTGCGAAGATTAGTGGCCATAATATTGTCAACAGCTAAGTTTTAAAATGATTTTAAAAAATAAACCTCTGCCTTATTTTTATTGCCCTTAGGGGTATTACTGAAAATTTGAAATAAAAGTTTATAATTTTTTTAAAATAAAATGTTTTGACCTTCCGCATTATCTTCACCCCCAGGCTAAAATGGTAGTGATCTTAAAATATTGACTTTAACATTCCTATCAATTCTCATACCTTTCTAATACAATTTTTTTTCAAAAAGGTTCATCACCTTGAACCCATCTAATAGATCCTTTTCTCCTGAATCCATTAGCTGAATTCATTGTCCATCGTCAACCTTTAACCGTGTCTTTCATTGTACCCACTCTCTCCACCGCTTCAAAGCCCCCGCCCGCCACGAAAAACCTGGCCAAGCTGCTCAAAACACTCATAGGTATTACTAGTTATGGTTACTGTAGCGTTTCCCATGAAAGAAGAGAAGATTGCCTTTCTTCCTTCTTTCTTCTTCAACGTCGCCAGAATCCGTCAGAATCCGACGCTCTTTTGCATATTTTTTGTGACATCCGGTTGGGAGGAACGACCACGGGAGGGGGAGAACCGGTCCCTTTTTAATTTTAATATTCGTAATCGAGTGTCGTTATGTTTGTCACCAGAGTTCGGCCATAAAGCGGTGCGGCGCCGCTTTGATCCTGATCGTCATCGATTTGCCGCAAAATAAAATTTTTATTTTATTCCAGTCCCATGCCCGTTTGAGACCTGCCCGTTCAAGACCTGCCCGTTTAAGAATGACGGAAGTGCCCTCATCTGCATACAATAACAATATCAGAACCTGGCCATAAAACGTTATTTGCGCAATATCTATTGTCCTAATTATGGCATTGTCCGTCGCAGCTGACTCTCGGAATTATAATCTCAATATGGAGGTGCGAAAATTAATTTTTTGGAATAGAAGCGGCTTACGGTACGTTAACGACGTCGGGATGCAGTGGACGTCAGAAGGAGCAGAAAGTCTAGAAGTCGGGGACTGATAAGCAGACAATCAACGCACGGGTGGTATTAGGTTTTACGGAGTAGGCTTACAGTAAGACGACCAAGATAAGTACTACTTAAGGCAAAAAAAGTGCTACAAACTTTGTTTTTTCTAATATTTCTCAAAAAAATAACTATTGATTGGTGAAAAATAGTAAGTTTTAGATTCAAAACACAGCAAAACGTAAACTGAGAAGTTAAAAAAAGTAATTTTACTATAAAAAAGCTTTAAAAATTAAGTTTACTGCCTAAACCCTATTGTCCCTTCAGAATATATTTTAGGATCCAGACTGTAGAGCTCTGTAATGGCTTAGGTTTTTGTGTATTAATCTGACAAAAGCCGCAATAAAGGCCCATAAAACGCTGTTAAGGTGATTGTTGAATGAAAGCGAAAGCGATTGAGTGTTTGGATAAGGTGTAAAGAATGAATCACAAATACCGTTTGGATTCTCATAAACTTCCAACGCGTTTACGATACGTAGAGAACCTTATAATACGTAAATAACATACAGAAGAGTGTGGCAAAATAATAATTATTTTATATTTTTAGTACAGTAAATCTAAAGGTTATAGGGCAAGCACTACTATAATATTTAAAAAAAAGTTTTTTTTTGTTTTTTTTGGCTCAACTTGTCGCGCAATCAATAAAATTTGTGTTTTGATTCAAAAAAATTAAAACAAAATAATTTTTTTAAAAATTAAAAAAAACCGTCAAGCCTATAATAATATCACCAAAACCCGCCAACAAGTACCCCAAATTGCGCTTCTAATTACGAACCGGCTGACAATAAAACAAGCATTCAGAAGTTGTAGAACGAGAGTGTCACTCTTTTTTCGCCCCGTCCCCCCTCCCTCGCCCAATAGTCTGGCGGAAGACACAGTAGACCCAGAGGCTGACTTCGCAGCGGCACACTTTCTTTGGATCCTTAAACAAATATTTGAATATGTTTTGGAATTGCACGCGCGAAATAAAGACGGGCACCGCTTAGTTGGGCTTGATACCCGTTAAGCGGCGCCTGACCCCACCAATTTGCATAAACAAATTGCTTTGAAATCGGAGAGGTCGGGATTCTTGAAGAAGGTCGTGAGGTAATCCCGAATTGTTTTAGCTGATTGACAAACTTGAAGGTGAGTTGAGTTTAGGGCTTGATATTGTTTGGTGGTTTGAGTTTAAAAAGGTTTGTATTTTAAGTTATATCTTACTTTAAAGTTTATTGACTTAATAATAGTTTAAAAATTAGATTTTTAATAAGAAAAATCATATAATTGTAATACAGAAAAAGTTAAGAAGCTTTTGAAAATAAAAGGAACTGAATTTATAATATAACTCTTAATTTATTCATTCACAGTAGAAAGAAATTTCAACAGAAAAAAAAATTTAAAAATTATTTGACAATACATCCTTGATAACCCTTGTTTTACAAGTTTCAAAGCCATTTTAGTAGTTTTCACACTTATTATTTCCGGGTTTCACAAAAAATTAATTTTTACGCCACCTTTTATCTCACAAACCCCAATAAGTTACAGTAATCCGTATATTCCATATATCCCAGCAAAAATCCTCCGAGACCTTTTGTCCTTACCTAGCCCTATAGTAAAGCCGTAAACTGGTTGGCCGCAAAGGAAAGATTAACAAAATATCCATTTCTGGAGCATTGACTCAATCCACAAATAAATGACTCAAGACAAACAATAACCGATAAAGCAGCTGCGACTATTTAGTCTCTGATAAAGTGTTGCTAAAGCCAATTCCCAGACTCAAACTGCTGCAGAAATGCAAATTTTGTAGTTTTAGGGGCTACTGAATTTTGGAAAAAAAGTATTTTGGCTGATCACAAACTTGCTTAAGACTGTTATGACTAAACGGTGACTTATTAAAGTTTTCTACATACTTCTCGACCATAATCAGAGTTTTTTTTATAGATTTCTGTTTACTTATTGACCAGTAAATTAAATTAAAAAAATTTTTTAAAAACTATTTATATATCCTCTTTTAACAAAACTAAAACCCATTTCCTAATAGAAAATGCCAATAAATAGTCTGAACCAACCTAATATTCAAAATTTATATACCCCCCCCTCAACTCCCCTGCCCAAAAATATTACAACCCAACCACTGTCAGCAAGCCTCGACTCAAATCGAAAAGGTTGGTGGTTGACGAGAATCTGCACTTCCGAAGGTGATCGTCGCGGTTCACAGCCTTTTCGCACTTCGACCACCCACCAATCGCTCATCATCATCCGTCTAAATTTGTTGTGCGAGTGCCATAAAAACTGGAAAAGTTTGTCTTCTGATTGCATGTAGTAATTAACAACTGGTAGTAATTTGGATCTTTATGAACTGCGGCGACAAAAAAGGAATCACTTATGGACTTTGGCGACAAAATCGTGTTGAATTGCGACAAAAATGGCTTGAAACGTTGGCGACAAAAGAGAAGTCGGCTACATGCCACTACTACCGAGATTCATGTTTTATTAACTACACATCTGACGCTCAATGAAGTAAAGTGACAAAGTTAATCGTTTATGGACTGAAGCAACCGCAATCAAAGGTGCGACATCGTTAACGCTGAAAGGTGCTACACCATTAATTTGTGGAGTTAACGAGAGTTATAGCCTCCAGCACATAAATCACGATAGGGGACCTGGCTTTGAGGTCATTCGTATGAACATCCATCAGCGTTCCACTTAATTGCCACATTCAGGTGCGGCATCTTCAAGGAAAGGCGCCGTTCGAGAAGTCGCGCGCTTCAGGAATGCTTGACGTTCTGATTAATAAACTCTCACAGATTTCATCGATTGTTGGTGATAAGAAAAGTGTGGTTTTCTCACTTTATTTAGAATAACCAACTTCTGGTTTCATTGCTAATATAAAAGTTATACAAAATTTATTCATAGACAGTACTATAAAGCTTTGTATTATTTGTAATAATAACACGTTAAACCAAAGCACTCCTAAAAGCATTACTACACTTATTAAGATAATAATTGTGTAAATGGGCCACAAGATACACAAAACACTAAACTCGACTTTTTATTTTTCTGTGGTTTTTTACAATACAACCGTACCTGCCTTTATATTACGCCTTGCTAAGCATAAGATGATAATATTTTTAAAGTTTTCAATAATGTGTCATGCCTTTTCCAATTGACAACCAGAGGAAACAACCTCATTCCCAAAAACTGTAATGTGTCACAACTAAACTTCCTAATTTGGATGCTTAACCTCGGCGTGATGAATGGACTTGGTTGCGGCTGTAAATTGCCTCGTCTTCAAGGATAACAATTTGTCGTCGAAGTGATGGATTCTTTGCGCGGAAGTCATTTTTGTAAGAATTGAGACAGTAGTAGTTAGTTACAACGCATTAAAACAAAAAAAGAGCGGTTGGTCGCCCTTTCTCCGGAGGGCTTTTCCTTGACACCGGTTTTATTTTGTTTTAAAGGGTTTCACTTTCGCTTCGGATTGATTCCGGGGATCGTGGCATCGCTAGTTTTGAATATTAGAGTATTAAGCTCAAATTCTACAGTTTTAATATTTAAATTGTGGTTTCAAACTACTTTTCTGTACTTGCTAAAGCCTTCATAAACAATTGTTTTTACACCGGAAGGTCACTGACTAGAGATCTGTTACTAAAGACCGGCTAGCATCACAGAATGTCGCACAAGGACATTAAGGATAGAACGCTAGCCGCCCTTATGGCTATATTAGCCTTCCTGTCAGTAGCCGCGGTGTTAGGCCTAGCCAATTACATCTACGATGGTTGGGTCTGTGCGGAGAAGACTGCTTTGTTCAACAACCAGGTCAGTTTAACGTGATATTGCATGTCTAAAACTGTTTTTTCTGGCATTTTTGTTTTCATAATCGCATCGAATTTTATTATACCATGAGGTATTTGAATATATACTACAATTCAATGCAAAAAAACAACTGATTGAAACCCAAAACTTTTTAAAATTTTAAGTTAAGGTCGCTGAAAACTAAAATGTTTGCAATTTGTAAACAAATATGCGACTTTACAGTGAAAAAGAATATGAAGATGGTTTGTTGGTAACCTAATAGATTAGTAAAGTAAGTGTTTGCAGCCCACAGTCAGCTCGTATCAATCAAAGAGTGCAGCGGAAAAGGTTTGTTGTTTAGTGTTTTGATAGCAATTGTTATATAAACTGTTCGTATTGCACATTCCGACCTTGAGACGGAAGTTATCACTGCATTTCCGTTCCAAAACATAACTTTAGGGCTCCGGACTGTCTCGAGTCAAGTTTTGTTGTAAAGCGCTTTAAATTTTTAGTTTTAAAATCATTTCTGTACTTTCAAATAATGTTTGGTAAATTCAAGACCCAGATTTCATGTTATACTAACCATTTTTTTCCAAAAAATCATTGTAAATCATACTACTTAACCTTCCACCAACTTCGAAATCCCCGCAATCTAAAGTAATACTAGTAAACGAGTTGTTAATTGTTTTACAAAAAAACAGTAGAAAAACATTTGAAAAACGCCTTTTTACACTAAACCTTCACAACAGTTTCTTGCCTTCAGAACTATCGGATTCTACACGTTAACGACCCCGAGTGTTGTCTCGTAATTCCAGAATGTAGCGATTGCCAAGATCGACAGAAAGGCACCGTAACTACAGTAATCACCAGCTCGATCGACGTTTTCGAGCTTCTCGGAGAAGAGGGATTCTCCTTATGTGACCAGTTGAGTGTGGGCAGAACCACGATTGTAACTGGTACGTTTTGTACAGTATAAATATACAAAGTAATACGATCGAAAACAATACGACTTTACAGTAAACACAACCATGAAATTAACTAAAAATAAAATTTATAAAATATCATTTTAGATACCTTGGGTGTCACAAGAAACAAAAAAGCGAAAAACTTTGTGATATGTAATGAGAATACGGTAAGTTTTTAACTTATTATCAGCAAATTGTAACACAATCCACTTATATATAGATTACCACTATTTTAACCCTCACAACATTAACTTTAAAACAATATTAATAAAAATTTAGCTATCAAAACTAATATTTCAGAAACTAGAACCAAATTGATATATTAAAACGAATACTTTAGATAGTAACATCAGTAAACCTACCCTTTGCCCAACTAGAAACGTACTGTCCGCAGTAGAAAACCCCCGGTAACTGTACATAATGTCACAAACCTCATCGTATAACGGGAAATGCCATTCATTGTTTTATTGTTAGATCGTATGTACGGATAGTGTATTAATAAATAAGTACAATTGTTTTCTTACTTTTTCGTGAAAAAACTACTAATTGTCGGCTGACCAGCTGGAGCCTTCTTTGGTCCTTTACTAGTCGTATTACTTGGTTTGAGGACAGGTTTGGGTTTAGCTTTGACAGGTTGAGAGTTAGATGGACTCGGCTCTTCTTTCACCAATTTTACAGTTGTTTTCGTGACTAAAAAGTAAAGATCAACTGAAAATTCTTTTAAAACATTAATATGAACAAAAATATTTCGTTACACAAGCCTTTAAAATTTTATAGCTAACATACCAGTCATTCCATCTTCGTCAACATATTCTTCCACAACTTCTTGCTTCTTATAGTGTACAGGTTCAAACTCTTTCTTCTTGTTTTCTTCCGTATGAGTTATACTTTCTGCTTCTGTTTCCATCTGTTCTTCATCATCATCATCCGATATTATTCTTCTACGTTTTGCAGCAACTAAAAATGTAAAATAATAATTTAATGTCAAAATACATAATGCTAGACTGAATTTTCAAATTATGACTTACAAAACTAAATTCGAAACCAGACCGCTTGGACGACCCCGGAGGAGATGGGCGGACGACTTCCCAAACCACGACCCACGAATAAGAGCTAACTCACGTTAGAAAAAACAGAATCCGTACTCTATGACTCCCCTCAGTAATTTATGAGCGAATACGAGTGAATAAATAACAAAAAAAACTAAATTATGCTATAATTAAAACACGAATAAAATAAAAAATTATTAAGATTCTTACCAATTTCCTCATCGTCATCTTCTTCCTCCTGTCTAACTTTAGACAGAACTTTTGGCTTGTCTTCGTGTAGTACTGATCCGTGCACATTGTCTTCAGTGGAAAATAAATCATCATCTAAACAAAAACATAAATATTGTGAATTATAGCATATAAAAAAGTATTGGCTTCCGTTCCTAGTAAAAAGAAAAACGTTTAAATTAATTTGTCTTACCAAAACTGTCAGACTTCTTATTCTTAGGAACAACTTCAGGTTCTGCTTCTTCCTCTTCTGTTTTTAGATTTTCTGTCACCTTTCCCCAATTAAACTCCTTCTTATTATCCTTTTTACTTTTATCTTTCTTGCTATTGGCACAACCATTCTTCTTAGTCTTTGGCTCGACCGGTAATTCAAACTTTTCAACTCGTTTTAACACACTCGAGCTTGGTTTAGAAGGTACGACCTCAGGCTCCTGAAAATATACATTGTAACTGCAAATAAACTATATTACTCTTAAAAGAAGGAATCTACTTACTTCATCAACAATTGCCTCGCTCTTAGCAAAAGCTTCCTTGATCCCGTGTTGATCCTTCTTCACCACAATCTTCTTGATAAATACTTTTGGACCTCGTTTAACTCTCGGTTCCAGTAGTGGCAATTCTATTTCATCTAGTTTAACATCCTTGATATCCTTCTTTACATCTTTTGCCGCTACAGAGTTCACAATATTCAACCTATCTTCAATCTTAACTACAGGAGCTTTGATACATCCAGCGTATATGTTATTCAATGGCCGAATCAAATTCTTTAAACTCCCTTTTTGAATTGAAAAGATGGACTTTTGATTCACTTCCACAAATGCTTCTTTACACACCTTTTCGAGCTTGTCTTCCGTACAAATCGTAGACTTTATGACTGTTCTATCCCCAACATCTTCTCCACCGAGTTTTTTGCCCAAAGCTTTGCCAAAAACAATATACGAAGCGGTTAGACTATGTTCTCCATCTTTTTGATCCTTCAGGAAGGTCTTCAACACTCTAAACCAATAAAATAATCGAAGATTGACTTACGATTGAACTTGTTTTGCATTTAATTTGGTATTTCTTAAGAGGAACTTGCCGCTGACGGCTTTATTCTCGTTGATTACCCAATTCTGAAGCTTCTTTAACACTTCTTCTTCTGTAGCCATCTTTATGATAACTGTTAGAGATGCTGAATGTCAGAAGGTAGAAGAAATCAGGTTGAATTTCCCTTGTTTTACATTTCTCGCGCTAAAAAATAAGAGAATAATGGGCGCGAAACGCCGCAAATATACGCGAACGATATTATACTAAAGACAATACTTTTTTTAAATTTCCAAACACTATATACTGATTTATAAACGTTTGACATACCATTTAAGGCTTATAAAGCTTTATACTTTTAATATTGTAAGCTACTAAAATAATTTAAGTTAATTTTAATATGATTTTTAATAGTAATAAAAGTGTTATCTAGTATGAACTTACAGTAATATTTTATGTTAAAAACAATTAGATACAATATAATATGTCCTTTTAAGGCATGTTTTGTGCACTTGCCTTGTTAGATAGAGCGTAAAAGTAAAGCGGCTTACATGTTTGCAAAGGAGAAGGACCATAACGGGAAGAGAAGAAGATGATCGCAAAACTTTTTTCTTCCAATCAGTCGGTTTTTCCACGGATTACATTAGACGTTAATCATCGTGTTTTACTGTTAGACTTTTTTAACGCGTGTATGGGTTTTATGACATTATTTTTATACCTGTTTACATCTACAGGGCTGTTTAGTGAGGGAAGGGATCAAAAATTATTTTAAATATTGTAGTAGGTCTGTAGACGAATTTTATTGCAGAATTTGCCCAAGTAGCTCAACATTGTCCATTTTTTCGTCAAATAGTAGTCGTCTTCCATCTTTGACCTTTCTGCAAAACCCGATTGCTCAAATATTCGTTTGTCCACTATGTTGTTTATGGTAACCTTAAGTTTACTGAACACAAATTACACTAATAAAAAGCTAATCTTTTTGAAACTTGCTGAATCACCGTGTTGTTTATTAAAGCTTGCTGAACTTTTGACGCATCAACAACACTTTTGCCATGTTAATACCTTATCCTACACCCTCTTTTACATCTACATGGTGCAGATGGTGGTCTCGGGTTGGTTCCTGTCGCTTCCTTAAATAAATTGAATTTAATAAAACTTCAATTAATTGCGCACCTGATGTTTTTTGTTTTGAGACGGTTCCTCGTCGACTGATTTGTCTTCAGAAGCGCCGCGTCTCTCAGCGTTTATTGTTCATTCTCTGACTTCCCTTCTTTTTTGATTCATCCCAACCAAAAAAAACTTTTTTCGATTTTTCAGATATTCAAAACAACAAATATTCAAATACTTTTGACAATACTTTGGACTAGCCTTTGTTTTTGTTTGATTCATTCCATATTATTGTAGTTTACATTAGTCGAAAGTGCAAGGTATTGTGATTGTAGTTCAACTTTGTGCTCGCTGCTCTCGGAATGAGCATAATGCGCTTGTCGAGGATGCGCAAAGTCAGCCGTCTGGATGGCCAGGACTTTCAGCGGCTGAAGCGCGACTGTTTGAAAGGGCAGAATCTGTTTGTGGATCCAGAGTTTCCTCCTACGAATGTTTCCTTGTTCTTGGATCAGAACAGAAGCGCTGATATCGTATGGAAACGGCCAGGGGTAAGTGTTATTATTACTTTTTTGTATATTAAGATGTTTTATAACAAACTTTATTTTTTGTTCAAAGTTTAATTTTTGATGGAAAAGAGTAATTAATTTAACAATTCGTTACGAAGTCCTTTCAAAACATGATATTTTATGTTTTCCCAGCCACAGTTTAATGTTTTTCCTTTTATTCAAGGATAATTTGCATATTTGATATCACTTGTGTCGAGATGTTTAGTCATACTAATGCGTCACGTCACTATTGCGCAATCATACCAAGTTTTATTTGCGAAAATTTAACTGTCGAGACGAATTCTTTTAAATTAGTTTCAACTTTTGCAAAGTTGTAAGACAAGTTGTTTGAGTCATCGAATTCAGAATTTAATTTGAATTTTAGTAGGTATGACAATAACTTGTGAAACAAGTAAAACTGCAAGGGAAAACCTATCGAAAGTAATCAAATATTATTAGTTTCTGCAAGAGTTTAGCAAAATTTTTTTAAACAATTTTTTATAATTTTTGAATTTTTTGGTCAAAAAGTTCACAGAATATGAAGTAAAACTATGATTACAGGAATTATGCGAGGATCCTCGTCTGTTCGTGGAAGGAGCTAGTCCAAATGACGTGACTCAAGGCATATTAGGAAACTGCTGGTTTGTGTCTGCATGTTCAGCTCTTACTCACAACGAAGCTTTACTCGAGAAGGTGAGCAACATACAAAGATCATCTTAATGATTATTGTTTTTGGCTGCGTTTACAAAATCGTAACAGAGCTTCAAAAAACAAAACGCTTTCTTTAACAATTTCGTTTGATTTTTAAAATTCTTTTTTTTTTTTAATTTTTGAGCTGTTTATTTTTAAATAAACTGATATTTTAGGTGATTCCAGATGCAAATGCCCAAGAATGGGGTCCCAATTACTGTGGTATCTTCTTGTTTCAATTCTGGAGATTCGGAGAGTGGATTCAAGTTGTAATTGATGATTTGTTACCTACAAAAGACGGAAAACTTTTATTTGCGAGATCAAAAACACCGAACGAATTCTGGAGCGCTTTATTGGAAAAGGCGTTTGCTAAGTACGTTAATGTTTTTGTTGACAGTTAGTTAATAAGAGGGTTAAAAATAGGAAGTTGAATTTAATCTTGGAGGTAACAACAAGGTTTTTTAAACGTTACTTTATAAAATTAAAACATAATAAAAAATCATAAACAAGTTAATTAAATGTTTCTACCACTTCAGATTGTACGGTTGTTACGAGAATCTAGTAGGAGGTCAACTAGCGGACGCGCTACAAGATGTATCAGGAGGTGTAGCAGAAACCATCAATGTGAAAAAGTACTTTAATGAAGATCAGAACAATACCCCCACCGACCTTTTTCGACTTCTGAGGACGGCATTCGACCAGCAAGCATTGATTGTTGCTGCCATTGCTGTACGCTAACGTGAGGCCATGTGGCATACTTTATATAATAATAGCTAAATCAACGTTTTGTAATAACCGCTCTATATTATAAGCATACTAGCAAGCAATACACACACAAAGTTAAGCTATACCTAAGTTACAATATAATGGTCTTCCATTTAAGGCACAATCGAAGGAAGACATCGAAACCAGTCTACATTGTGGCCTAGTAGTCGGCCATGCCTATGCGGTAACAGCTGTGAGGTATATCCAACTAGATACAGAAGAAGAAGCATCAAGTTCCGAAGAGTTCGACCATTCTACTGCCAGTCGATTGTTCTCAACTCCACTTCGAAAAATGATGATCCGACTTCAGAATCCGTGGGGCGAAAAAGAATGGAACGGACCGTGGGCCGATGATTCTCCAGAATGGGAACAAGTACGTGTGCTATCCTATTATGATGTTTGTTTTTAGGTCAATAGTGCACACAAGGCAGAACTGGGGATTACTGTAGACGAAGATGGTGAGTTCTGGATGCCGTGGGATGAATTCATCAGGTACTTCACTGATATCAGTGTGTGTCAGCTGTTCAACACAAACGCTGCCAGGAAATCAAAGGCGTTCCAGTTGAGGTATGATGAGTTCATAGCTTTCGATCGTTGGACTACAAATGATGTTAAACTTGGAGCTCCAAACGACCGTGCTGGAGGATGTGCCAACTTTCCTGGGACCTTCTGTCTGAATCCACAATACTGTTTTGACGTGAAGCATGCCCAAGAAGTTATGTTGGCATTGACTCAAAAAGAAGTACCGCCAGCTGCCGGAAAGCAGAGGGAACCCTTCATTACAATTGGCATGCATGTTATGAGAGTCGAGTGTAACCGGAAACATAGGATACATCAGGTACAGCGCATTTATATTATAAAATATTTAACTTACCTCGAAGAATAACTATATTCCAATTTAAAATAGAAAACAAAATAATAATATATTAACTCCCTTTAGGCAATTAATCCGATCGGCACTTCTGATTACGTTGGATCTCGTTCTGTTTACCTGCATTTGAAAGGAACCACGCCCGGGCGATACATAGTAATACCTACAACATACGCTCCTCGAGAACAAACTGAATTCATGCTCAGAATCTACAGCTCGGAGAATCTGCGACCACACCTTCTTGACGATGACTTTCCTATAGTCGGTAAGAGCTTGGTCACCATCTTTTAGCCACTTTTGATCTTTTTAGAATCTAAAACAACCATATACCTTCATTAACGATTCTTTCACGCTTATTCCAGAACTGTTTCGTGTTCGTACCTGCAATCAACCCAAAACCGTATCTCGCATCAAAATCTATGACCTCCAAATCCGAATGGACAGTCCGAAACATGTCAGTATTGTAGTAACACACGAAGGCCAACGCCATCAATCTCCGCTTCATTTCGTGGACAAAGAAGCCATCTCCATCGACGAATCCTTCATCCTCCATTCCAAATTCGTGTGCCAAAAGGTGGCGGTGGAGGTGTGGGCATTGAGTAAGAAAGGGATTCTGAAATGCTTCGCCAAATCCTCACTTACCATGAAACTCGACAACGATTCGGCCGAAGAGATTCTCGACCTGAAGAAGGTGAAGGGGCTCGGAAACGAAGTAGTCGGCCGAATCAGTTTGAAGATCTCCTCTTTCGACGATCCTTACTACTTGTAGCGATCACACGGGTGTGACTATGTTAATATATTAATAAATCTGCAAGATTCATAGAGAAAACGGGCGCTAGGACAAATGCGGTTTTTGGACATTTGCGGATCTGCGGGTTTTAGACACTTGCGGATCTTCGGTTTTTGGACACTTGCGGATTTTGGACATTTGCGGATTTTTTAAAGGTTTTTTTTTATTTTTTAGTTAATTTATTTGTAGTATGGTACTAAATTGTACGAAAGTTTAAGTTGGTGCGGTTTTAACATAACAGTACCTTTTTGGGCTTTTAGTACCATTCAGTACCAAAAAATATAAAACAGTACCAATTTAAAATTTAGTACTATTTAGCACTAAAACATATTAAAACAGTACCAATTTAAACTTTAGTATCATTTAGTACCATACTACAAATAAATTAACTAAAAAAGAAAAAAATCCCCTTTAAAAAATCCGCAAATGTCCAAAAACCGAAGATCCGCAAGTGTCTAAAAACCGCAGATCCGCAAATGTCCAAAAACCGCATTTGTCCTAGCGCCAGAAAACGAAAACAGTTAAAAGAAAACGGTTTGTGAACACAATAAGCCGTAAACTACAGATAATATAAACAGCAACAATATTAAAATAACTTACTATTTCCCAGTTGCAACTGAATTTGTTTGTATTTATTTCCTGCCTCCTGAAAAATAAAACCATTTTTCGTTTTTCTGGAAAACCTGTCATTATGATCTTTTTCTGGATAAAGAAAAAAAAATATTTGAAAAGCAATATTTGAAAAGCAGAATAGTTCTTCTGCCTCTTTACTTTATAATTGTTAACAAAAACTTGAACTCAATTTGTAATTCCACTGATAACCAGTGATAGTGCACTTATCATGGCTTATCAATCTACGACTTCCATGGAAATTTTAATGAAGATGAGTTTAGTTTGACAGAAAAAATGGCTCGCTTTTGGGCCGTCTTGTTCCTGGCTTCTGTAGCCTTTGGTTTCAGAGATGATTCCAGCGAATATCTTCAGGATTTCAGCGAAGAAAGCTACGAGCAAGTCGCTAAAGTGCACGGCAGATTTTTGAAGGAAGTAAGTTGCATTTTTATGTTAAAATAGCTAGCTTTGCGATTTTAGGTAACATATAAAATTGAATAAAAAGTAGCTTTATAATAATATTATTGTTGTTGAGGCTGTTCCTAATGCTAAAAATTTCAGAAATCCAGATTACAAGATTCTGGTGAAGGTTTTGACACTTACTACACTTACAAGTCAGTCTGCTACGTCGATGGTGTACCAACGGTAGTCAACAGCTTTGACTGTCGTAACCAAGTGGCTTCTGGTCGCTACCAAAACTCAATCAATGCCTCAGGCTGGTCTTACCTTGAAATAGAAACCTTCAACTCTGCCGACGCTGATCTTCAAGCTTATTCAGCCGGAGTTTTGGAAGGTATTTTGGGCAAAGATGTTTTGGAATACACTCTCCAGAACACCATGTACACGTACTGTGACGGATTCAGTCAATACTGTAAGAGATTGAACGCTTACTTGAACGAGAACTTGGCTTATATCAAGGAGAAGGTAGAGTTAGCACCTAAAGATGATGTATATTGGCAAGGAGTCAAGAGGGTAATGTTGCAATTGAGTGGAGTTTGGGATGGATTCAAGGGACACAATTTCGAGCCTAGAATTAACTATGAAATCACTCCTGTTTAGTAGGTTTTGTTTTCATATCATCGTAATTGTGCATTTTTATTTACATGACACTTTTATTTGATAATTATTTTGATAAATTAGATACTATAAATAAGTTTTTCTTTACTTTAGCTTGATCAACATCAATGGGGAATTGTACGATCTGGAGAAGAAGTTCAACAAAACCAAGGATCCTCTGAATGCTATGGAGGGTGAAAAGTGCTCTGGATTGGTTAAGGTTACTCCAAACAACGAGGACATTCTCATCTCCCAAGTTACCATGAGTGGATTCCAAAACTTGCTTCGAGTTTTGAAGATGTACAAGTTCGGTTATGGTAAGTTAGTTGAGGAATATCTTGTCAATTAACCAATTAAAGCTACTATAATTTAATACATAAAAAGAGTATTATTTCAAAACGAAAATTTTACAGTATATGTAAATACTCATCAATTTTAACTCATAAGCATGATTTAGAACGTTACAACTATCCTGGACATACCACAACTTTCTCGAGTTACCCTGGTATGTTGTACTCTTCTGATGACTTCGCCCTTACTAGCGCTGGTTTGGTAAGTACTTTACTGTAATTATATAAGCTTCCAGACTTTTATAAAAGCTAAGATCTAAAATTATTCTAAAAATACTTTAGGCAGTAATCGAAACCACCGTAAGTATCTTCAACACCAAGGTATTGGACGCCGTGAAACCTAAAGATCAGCTTCACACCTGGATCAGAGCAATTGTAGCTAATCAGATGGCTAGAACTGGTCGTGAATGGTGTAAGATCTTTGCTCGTCACAACTCTGGTACCTACAACAACCAGTGGATCGTACTGGACTACAAACTCTTCACTCCTTATGCTGAACTGCCCAACTTCGGTCTTCTTTACGTATTGGAGCAAATGCCGTGAGTGATGTTAAACGTCTTTTTTTTCTATTTTTATTCTTACCTAAAAATGCCATTGAAGTAGATGAGTAAAATCAAGTTTTTATGATATTACTGTGGTAAAAACCTAAAATTTTAATTTATATAACTTTAAAAAACTATTTATTTTAGAGGAAACATTGTCTACGCCGATGAAACCCAATACCTAAAGAAGAACACCTACTTTGCATCTTACAATCTTCCATTTTATGAATCTACAGCTAAATTGAGTGGCTTTGACATTAAAGGCCCAGAATTCTACTGGTTCAATTGGACTGACTGTCCACGTGCCAACATCTTCAGGAGAGATCACAATAAAGTAGTTGACCTAGACTCACTTACCACGCTGATGAGGTACAACGACTATAAACACGAACCCTTCAGCAAATGCAACTGTACTCCACCTTACACTGCCGAAGCTGGTACTATTTTTATATTAAGAAATTAACTATCCCACGCCAATGGATAGCTATCCAACATTAGTCTACTTCTTTTACTATTCCCTAATTTGTCATGACTTTCCATATCCTTTGCTGCATTCTTCTACCCTTACTTATCCTGCCCTTATAATATTCATGCTTTTAGCCATCTCATCTCGTGGTGACTTGAACTTGGCCAATGGGACATACCCAATACCCGGTATGGGACATGTTAACCATGGTGCTTTGGACTACAAAGGCACTAACTACCAACTCTTCAAGCAACTCAGATTCAGAGCTTGGGGAGGTCCTACTTATGGAAACGTACCACCTTTCCAATGGAGCATCTCTGATTTGGTAAGTGTCATAAATCAGCCAAAAAAACAAAGAAAATTGTGTTTATTAACGCATATTAACATATTTTTTCCAAAATTTCATTTTTGTATCATAACGGTGCATTATAAGTTTAGGTTATAAGTACACTGTAAATTGAAAAATAATTAAAAAATTAAAATAATTTCCAGGCCAAGACCGTCAAGCACGTCGGCCACCCTGACCTGTGGAAGTTCACTCCAGTCGAACACAAATGGGAGACCTTTGATGTTAAGGTAGAGCTCTAGTCATCGTTGTTACTTTCTTTGTTATTAAACGTTTGAGTTATCGTTTGGGCTTTGCGTAGCATTTCGAAAGCATCTTTATTCATTTCCAACTTCAGAAGTTTGTCAGTCGATTCGAACAAAACTTTCTCGTACTGATCTCTGAAATACAGTAGTATGAGAACTGTAATCACCAAATGAAAGTGTATTTGTGGTTTCTACTTGTTTCAAAACAATCCCACTAACTTTATAAGCCACTCACTGATCAGTCGGAGTAACGGTTCCAATGATAACAGCATACAAAAACCGCTGAAATATTTTAAAAACTGGTAGACAAGGCTGGTCATTATCGTATACTCCAGCACTGTATCGTACTGCTGCTGGCTGATTTTGCGCTTGCACTAGTTCCAGAAGTCTGTTGATCGAATTGGCATATTGTTTTAGATCAGATCCAACATTTATGAGAGAGATCGGTTCGATTTGATAAAACAAATTTCCAGTAAAAAGACGGCTTTCAGATTCATACCACAAACTGATAGAGTCTGGCGTGATTCCAGGTGTAAAGAGAACTTTTAGGCATATATTGTTACCTAAAGATGTTTATTAAATTCAAACTTTCAAGGTTTTGAAAATAAACTTTTAAAGGTTGTATTTGTTACCTAAACTTATTGTTTCATTATCATTTAGCCATCTTGTTACACGATAACTGTTCACTTCCCATTGGTAACTGTTCTGTTCCAGCTGTGTATATTTCTGATTAGCTCCGGAAGCACAAAGATCTTCTACTTTGTGACTTCTGCCCATTTTACCGACAGCTGAGAATTGGTAATTTGCACCGGTCTAAAACAAGGTACATTTCGTACAAAAGTGCAAATTATTTTACTTATTGTAAAATTATGACGTTTTTGCATCAAAATGAAAAGAAAATATTTTTAAAACCAAATTTACGCGCGATTTTTGTTGAATTTAAAATGTTTTGGCATTATGTTATTCTAAAAAATTCACAAAAAAATTTTTCTGTAAAAAACGAGAAATACTGTACCAGGTGTGCCAAATTAGAAGTGTTGATAACCAGAAGATTGCCATCTTTGAAGGTAGGTTGTTTTCTAATAAAACCCACCAAGTCTCCACTTCCAACTCCAGAATCTATCACAATATGTCGTTCAGACCCTAAGATTAGGTAAATATTAGGCTTCACATTCCAGCTATCGCTCTCAATGATAACATAGACAGTCTCCGACAAGTTACTGATATTGTAGTTGTCCATACTCATCTTTCCTTTAGGTTTTGAGTCAATTTGGCTTGTTTTTCTTATGTATCTTTATTTCCTCTCGTGAACAATGTTTAATAAATAATTAAGTGATCATTTCGAACTTCCTAAGGCGGTATCTGGCTGGTCTATCGACTTTAGCGTGGATTCTAGACGACTGGCTGTTTCGCTTCCATATTCTTTCACTTGGTCCCATTCTGGAGTGTTCATGATCGCTGGGTTTGAAGTGATCTGAAGTTTAAAATTAGTAATTTATGATTATTTTGAGGAGCAAAACAGGATATTTAAAATATTTTTTTCCTTAGGTTTAGATTATTCTTCAAGCAACTATCTCAAATTTATATGAAAAGGTATGACAAGAATGCTCTAAACTTGAGTAATTTAATATGGATTCAAAAGACCTTACCATTTCTACACAACTCATCTTCAAACTGTACAATTGATAGTGTTCAGAATAGGCCAAGTATGAACAAACATTGTCTTTGCGAATTCGGTCCATCCATTTTTGCTCACAAAGCAACTAAAACAACATAAAATAAGAATCCTAGGTTTTGACTTTATTTTGAATAAGCATTTTTGGATTTTCTAACTTGCATCAAAATTTTTCTGATATTATAATTTATTTATTCTACTTTTAATCAGTTTTACCTGCATGGCATCCAATGCGTACTTATCAGCCAGTTCTGTACATTCTAGGAGAAGTTCTTCGCTGATTTTCTTGCCATATTCTTGTATGTTATACAAAGCTACTAGTCGTGAGTCTAACGCTTCAAATTCACCTGTATAACACCATTGAAGAGCCATCAGGACAGAGTACGTGGAGTAGTCGATCAACTGCAGAGAAGAAGTCTTTGTTTCTTTTGTAAATTCGTAACCAAACATTGATCTGCAATTGGCATAGCTTGCTTGTTTTCAGAAAATTTCTTATTAGCACCAAGCCTATGTTAAGTTTAAGCCTTGTGGCCGGTCAGGCATTATTTGTCATGGATATAAACGTACCGAAAGACGACACTATGTGCTGACAAAACGGCCTTATGGGCTTTTATGACAGTATCTCCACAGTAGACGTCCAAGTCGCAATGTAATTGCTGAACAAACATATTCAAATTACGTTTTGAATATGATTCCAAACATAGTAAACGGTCGGTTATGTCTTTCTGTTCATGTTCAGTTACATTGTAGAGGTCGAGACTGCAACCTTCTCCTGGGTCGTCGCTTTGTACAGGTTCTTCTGGTCCTAAAACGATGGATTTTAAAATTTTAAAATTGAAAACAAAACACTAAACATCTACAGTTTGATTACAATGAACAATAAAAACCGACGTTGATCATGAGGTTGATTCTGATATTCTTGCGGCCTCAGATGCTGAATCTTGACCTGCACGATGAACCAGTTGCGTCTCGGATTTACAGGCAATGACAGAGCTGGTGGCATGTATTCTTCCATCATACTGTCCTCCCTCATTACAGCGTGCCGATTGATGTCGGATTCGAGTTCTGCATCACCGTTAACTATAGAATATTCATATCTGTCGAGTGTGATAGTTCAGTTTATATTACCTGATTTCGCCGTACCTCTCGACTATGTTTCGACACAAATAGAACATGACCGAATGCCCTAAGGGAACGGCCCGGATCCACCATAAAATATTGCCATCGGTGTCGTCCTCGATCTCCAGACTTCTGCGCACCGATCGGTTTTCGACATGCTCAAACTGAAAATGTAGTATAGGTTTGAAAAATGTGATTTTTCAAAATTTAAGGGAAATTTAAAATTTTTATCGAATTATTTGGATTTTTAAGTTCTTAACCAACTTAAAATCAAAAATTTTGTAAATTAAAATGAAGCTTTATTGCTAAACATCAGAAACTGACCGTAGTGTCGAATCGGAACACCAAAGAAGGGTCGGCCATCTAGTCTTGATCTTTCATTTCTCGATTCTCTCAAGCGAAGAGCCGAGAGAAAGAGCGATCGAAACACGGTTTTTGGAACTTTGTGGGAGCAAAAAATAACTTTTTCTTGTCAAAATAGCTCCAGTAAGGTCGTCAAATAGAAAATAACTATTGTTGGTCAAAATGTTTATTATTTTTTTGAAAAGTTCGTTAATTTGTTGTCTTTCCTTATCTTTCTTCACACTGTTCCCCAACTATATTTTTATTAAAACAACTACTATATTGCTTTTTTCTAATTTTATGATTACCCATTATATACTACAATCTCTTCTAAATAAAACTACAATATATATCCATATCAACTGTGATTTAAGTATTTATAACAACAATGTAATACAACAAAGTCTTGAAAGAGGCAAACGAGGATTATTGAATACAGTTTTGATTATTGTTTGGAAAATGAAAGAAGTGTTAGTCGGCCTGTACATTATTATTTACACAGTCAAATGTAAATACAAAGTGACATTGGATGTCACCAAACAACTTCGTATCAATGATAAGATAACGGCGGTCGCGATTCGAACGCCGCAAAAATATACCCGATTGAAAATATTCGATATCAGATGCTGGGTGCGGGGACTAGAAGGTGTCATACTGTTTCGTGGATCTCCACCTCGACGTGTTGGACACGGGGTGGTGGACGGTTCTGAAAATAGTCATCATAACATTTGTCTGGGTAAACTATAACATGATGAAGGTATATTACAGTGAGATATACTTTATCGGTCCTAGTTTGAAACCATAATAAAAGGCATTGATATGTTACCAGAGGTTTATCATATACATGTAATCGTTGTTTTCAACTTACATCTATACGCACCAGCACGTTTGTACTATTACTTTGTCCATGGCCTTCGTATATTGGGGTTTCAGCTGCGGAGACTGAATCACTCTGAAATGTTCAACAATTGATTACGCTCAACAAAAGGCATACAAAACCCGAATAAATTAAAATTAAACTTGTTTTTAATGAAAACAATCGTCTATAACTATTGACTTAAAACTCCAAAACAATAAAATTAATAATTAACCAACCACCAACAACAACATACCTCAACGTCTGTGACGGTCGTTGACAAAGTGTCATCGTTCTCCAGCCGGCTGTGTGGATTGCGGTTGCGCCCTACCCAACTTCTGACTACCTGTAATCTTCTACCCACAGAGGACCTGAGCCTGTCACCAACCGAACGTTGTTCTTGTTCATGAGCTACCTCTTGAACAGCTCGTGAGGTGCTGGGCTGTTCTCCAGAATCTTCAGCTGTAGTGGTAGAAGAACGGAACCAGTTGAACGCGGGGAACGCTCGGGGCGGGGACGAACGCCCTAAAAAATTGGCATTCGAATCCGTGGTGCGAGGCTGCTGATTCTGAATCAGCGGGTCGTCCTCGCGGGTCGGAATGCTGGTGGATTGGGCAGATCTTTCAGTATCAGAGTCACTGTCAGATCCGTATGATGGTCCGACCTTCCGTTTGCAAATTGGACATACTTTTCGGTTCTTGGTTAGCCAAGGGTCGATGCATTTGCAGTGGTAAGCTAAAGCATTTTGACATTAGTATAAATTCATAATTTTTAATTATTTGTCAACAACATTAAATGACTTTTTATTTTACAGTTCTATAGTGTCATTATAATGTATTCTCGAAAAAGTTTGGTTTCACTTAATTGAATTAAGCGTCTAATTCGAAGAAATTAAATAATCAACTTACTGTGTCGACATGGCAGGACCCGAACCTTTTCATCTTCAACAAAATCATCCAAGCAAATTGCACATGTTTCCGCCCAATCGCCTTTCTTGAACTTCTTGACTGGAATCTTCCTCAGATTTGATCTGGACAAACGTTTCCTGGCTTGGCGTCTCCGTTCTCTACATAATCTGACTACCTAAAAATAGAATTTTGATTTATTAAAAAAAACAAATTGTCTGATTAAAAACACTTGACATCATTTAATACTTTTAGAATTAATATAAAGAAGTCAAAAGTACTTACCAATGAAATAAAGAGAACAATGAAGCAAAACCCAACAATTACAACAAAGGGGACCAGATATTTGATCAGATCGTAATATCCAGGTGATGGCTTGATAGTTATTAGATACCTAAAGTTTAAAAACATTATTTAAAAAATTTCTGTAAACTTCCAAGTACACACCTCAAAACATATTTTGTTACCACATAATACAATACCTAAATTAAAGGGATTGTGTATTGGAGAAAACAAAAAAGTAAAAATAGTAGCAAAACCCTCTTACCCGTTATTCATGCCATACTGTCCCAGAATGTTAACCATGCACTTATGATTGACCATGGCTAGAGGGATCTTGACATCTGAAGCGTGTTCGGCCCCAGACATCGGAACGGGACTCTTCTTTTCAGCTGTGTAAATGACCAAAGCATCATATCCGATAGGTTTCGCATTTTGAACATTATAAGCTTTCAAAGAAAAGCTGCAGTTTCCCTGAGGCACAATCGCAAAATAACTGTCGCAGCCAGCTGTCGCGTTAATTTCTGGCAACTGAAAGTAAATTTACATTAAAATTTCAATTATTACAGAAATCAAAACGTATATATTATAGATTTTTAGAATAACTTTACGAAAAACCCAAAAAAGGGTACAAAGCTTGCAAAGTGTTACCTAAAAATCAATAAAATGAATCAAAAAATTACCTTGGCACCGGTACAAGCGTCTTGTGGATCCACTGGAACAGCACAACCAACTGCTTTATCAGTAAAGGTGAAATCAATCACCTCCATCCCAAAGTTGGCTCCTGTAGCTTCACATCGCATCACAGGACGTTGATTACCCAATGCCGTCGTTTCTAACTAAAATCATACCAAGTAAAATCAAAAATAGTTAAAGCTAAAACAACTTTTTAGTTACTAAAATTATCACTTTCTTTTTAAAACTTACAACTTCGAGCAAATATTGAGCATTTGTACATGATAATATAAATATAGGACAGATAATATACGCGACACCCTTCATTTTATGTCAACTGAGGAGCTTTCAAGGCAGGTGGACGAGCTTCATAAGCACAAGCCAGAGCTAAAAAAAGCGCTTATACGCAATTCAAGGCAAGGAGAATATCGAAAATAAAAAACAAATCTTCAAAACAATATAATGGACGCGAACCAGAGTAATATAATGAACGAGTCGCTACGAATCAATTGAAATTAACCCCAAATACCATGGTTAATTAAACTTGACCATACGAAAGCGATGCACTATTCTCCAATCATATGGTTTTCGGCTCGTCGCAAAAAAAGTAACTTGGAATTGTCTATCCAGATAAACAGAAAAATCGTGGCGGGACCCAAAAGATTTATGTATAACAGCGTGCTATAGATGCTACAGGGCCGTATATTCTGATTTTGTGATAAATTCACAATATTTTTTTGTTTTCCATGGTATCGAGGAAGAGGTCCCTCGTGACCGTGATCTTCTCCACAGAGAGGCTTTTTATCACGGAGCGCTCGTTCGCTTCCAAAGTAATAATAGTTCGTATAAAGGTTATCACGGCAGCGACAAGCCGAAAAATAGTTTTAAATTGAAGTTTGAAAAAATTAATGTGGTTTGAACTGATAACGTAGAAGTATAAAAACCGAAATTAAAAAATGGACAGCAAAAATCACGGCTGTAAGGGCAAGTTTAGTTCAGTCAAAGTTCACTTTAAATTTGAAAAGCCTCAAAATATTTTGAATTTAAAATTTGACGGCTTTAAAGTTCTATTATATATTAAAATTAAACTACTAAAACTTAAAGCTACAAAATGTTCCACAAGATGTAAATGGAACGTTTTGCAAATGTGAGTTACTTTTAAGCCAGGTGAATGTTCCCACGAGAGTGAAGTCATTTTACATTAAGAATTACACCTTATATATTCTATATAAATTATTTAACTATGTTTTACTTAAAACTAAATTATACTTTGTTTCACATTATACTCTATTTTAAATAAAACCTATCTTATGCTTCCTTAAAACAAAAAAACTATACTGTACTAGTTTTACAAAAATCAATCCCAAGATTAAAATAAAGAGTTATATTTTATCAAGATACTATACCATACTTTTGAGTTTATAAACAATTTGGCATAGAAAACAAAGATGAATGTCGCTTAACGTGCCCATGCTGGAACGGTGTGTCGATAGGAACTCTGGTCACGCAGACAGTCATCGTGACGTTTATACTCGAGGATGGCATTGTTCGGCAGATTCAGAATACGTCGCATTGTGTCACGGATGCGGTTGGTAACACCTTGATGACTGGCAGTCTTATTCCACAAGGAAATTATGTCTTCTTGGTTTCGAACTGAACAAACAGCACCACAGATCTCTTCGCCTACTAGAAACTGTTCTCCTGAAAAACAGTTTCGTTAATAATCATACGAAATTTCACTCTTTTCAATGCTAATTTAAGAAATTAACAGTGCAAAAAGAATAAAACGTACCTATCATCGCTAACAACAAATTCTCCCAAATCCTGGAAGACAGTCCCTTCCGTAGCCTCAGAATCCATTTCCCACCCTTTTTGTTAGCCGAATCTTCCCAGACCGGCTTGATTCCCTTCTTGAACAAGTGAAAATCGGCCTTTCGGTTGATATCTAAAACTCATTTCATTAGTCTTTAATAATAGCAGCCTAACCAAAATTTAAAGGTCCACGAAAGCTTATGTATTATTTTATCTAATTGACTTAAAGAACTTTATTGTTTAAAATATTTGCCAATAACACAATTTTAAAAACACCAAAAAACCTACATCTTAAAAAAATAATCATTTAAAAACATACCTGACGGCCGTTTGATGTGTTTGTAGACTTCCCAAAACTGTTCCACGGAATTGAAAGTAGCTATTGGTTGAACAAAGTGAGCATAGTCTTCAGGGTCAAATTTACCAGTTGGACGTTGGAAATAAGAAAAGGTATATGTGTACTCCAGCGGATGTTCACCCGGACCAATTGGGCTTTCTACCTAAAATAATATAAACGTGAAAAATTGAAGAAAAATAGTAAAAAAGTTGATTTAAAAGTAATATTATCAGTAAACAATATCTAAACAAAGAATTTTACAAATCTTAATCAACCATTAGAAAAGTTATTTATAATACTGCTTTTATAACTTTTCCAACAGTAAATTCTGGTCTTACACTTAATCTACCTAAGATCAAATTAAACGCATTGATTCAAAAACGCAATGTGTCAAACTAAACATCCTTTACTTTCTTGTTATAACAAATTTAACAATGTGTAACACTTCCTGCCCTCCAAGCCATCAATTACTATTCCCAAATATCCTAAAAAGCAAGAAAAAACCAAAAAAACTTACGACAAATGGAGGCGGATTCCGCCTAATAACTTCTACTGCATCGGTCGACTTCTCCTTGGCTTCAGCATCAGCAAAATCGTCTACCATCTTGATTGAGATCAATTCGAATAATAATTTTATAATAAATATGTCAAAAGTAAAATTAATTCGTCCTCATTGACAAGACATAGGGCGCAGTAAAGCATTTTCGGGTCATGTGTTTCACAAAAGTGTTTCTCATTGGCTACAAGTTTGTAAATTGAAAAGTTTGAAGTTAAAACAAGTGGGAAAGTAACAGGAAATGAAGAAAAGTAAAATTACTTTATTTAAGGTTGTTGTACTGATGAAGTTTTGACGTACTAAGCTTTATACAACGGGATTAATGCGTTTTGTTGTAAGTTATATACTGATAATGTAAGAAATTATCTTTATTACTTTAATTATTATATTAAACTGACACTAAAACTTTGTTCGTTTACTTTTGTTAGTATATTTTAGTCGTAAAATAGCGGAAAAACTATATTGGGCATATTGGTCCTTATTCAATTTTTGATTACATTCGCCTTTGCGAACCTACTATAATATAATTTTTGAACTTTTTTGTATTTGGAGTTATTTATTTTTTTTAAACTCAATAGTTTAGAATGGCGTTTCTAGCTCGTGTCCATTAAAAGGGTAAATTTAGAATGGCATATTAAGATCTGATGAACTTTAATAATGGTTAGTGAACAGCCTTGGGCGTGATTATTAGTTTTGTCACAACTACTCGATCATCAACCTTTGTCATGCCTCAAACGAATATGTTGTTTTGGCGACTTTGTAATGGGGCAATTTGACTTTTGAGGAGCCAATGTTTTTTCTGGGATTTATTTATAACAATGGTGCTAAAGGAAACACTGTCTGTTCGGTGCCGGGGCCTTGATCTGCAACTGGACGGACTGAGTCGCCCACTGGTTAATCGGCATTAAGAGGCAGCTGACGGATTTTTCGAGGAAGGAGATCCAAGAGACGGGAGTGACGAAGCTTTCCGTTCAGTTAGCTGGACTGACCGGGTGCGCTGTTGTTTTGTGTTGCCATAGCCAGTTGGTCTGGGGGGGGGGTGGGAGTGGTCACCGCTTTTTGACACCAACACTTTGTCGATGGGTGACACTGTTTATGGTGTTGTTACTGTATATGGTATTGAAATGATCTTACAGTGATATTGTTGTAGTTTTTGTATTTTAAAAATCTACAGTACGGTACCAGTCTACTGTATTTATCACCTTATTTTTGTAATTCAATGACGTAACAAACCATATCCGACCATTTTATTTGATTGTTTACCTTAATTACATGTCTTAATGACTACATTTTCCGTTATTTTCGGTTGGCCCCCAAGGTTTATTTCATTTTTATGCTCCAAGTTCTTAAAAAGCTCGAATGAATTTGAATGGCGTAAAATGTTTTTTGATTATTTTTATGGTTTAATTTTGAAATGGCAGGCTTTTGAGTTTTCTGGGCTATAAGTTCAGTTGGGTCAAGTTATGGGTTTTTATGATTATGCTTTTATATTCTACTGAGTACAATGACTTTACTCTCTAATTTTTTAGTTTTTTATTTTGGTTTTTCTCTTACAATGATTACCTTTTACTACCTTTAAGCTACTTTTTAACCTCGCGCACCCCGCCACCGCTACCGAAGGCTTTGTCTTGATTTATTTGGCACGATGATTAATTCGGCAAGTATTTGTTTAAGATATTGGTAGGAGATATGAGAGATCAAGCGGTCTTCGCCGCCTGAGGGCCCTATTCTTTTCCCTCCACTTTGATTGTTGTCAGAGAAGAGCGGCAAATAAGTGGGGAGAGTGCCCATGGCCGGTCGAGGTCGACAATGGCTCTCGGTTGGAGCTGAATTGAAGACATTTCAAGACGTCTTTAAACCTATCAGACCGAAAATTGTTATTAAATTATTTCATTAATTATCCGCGGAAGTAGTTTGACGCGTTTGGCCCAACTTTTCGGCCAACTTTTTCGTGAAGGGTTTTTCGTAAATTGACGTTTAGATGACAGACTAAAGTAATATCTATAATTTTGTTGTAAAATACGCATTGAACTTTATTGAATCTTTATATTTTTGATCAAACTTCCAATTCAAAAAGATTAAAAAAGTGTTTTAGAGTTCGACTTTTTAAAAAAGCTTAATGTCTAGTATAATATTCTTAAACCCATTATAATTAAGCAGTCAGTAATTTGTTAAGTGTCTTTTGAATAATTCATCTTGTTTTTGCCTGCCATGCTGATGCTGTTAAATTAGACTGATGAGCATAGTTTATTGATAGTAAAAAGTATATTGACTATTAAAATAATTTTCAAATTAGTTTTTGTTGTAATCCTTGTTATGTATAGTTATATTCTTTGCTTTGGTTGTTTTTCTAATCAAAATTTGGGTTTTGATTTTAAAACTTTTTTTCTAATAGTAAAAACTAATTTGAATTACTTTTTAATATTTTTATTGCACTATGCTTATTTGATAATTTTTTATTTGAACGATATGTGATAGTCTAACCTTTGGTCATAAAAGTTAAATAAAATTTTGATCAAAAATTTGAAAAAATCTAATTTTTAAATATGGGCTAATTTCTAGCCTTAAATGTGGTAGTACTTCAGTAAATGAATTTACAGTCTACTAAAATATTTGTTGAACCTAGAAATCTTAACCTATCGATAACGATAACATTGATGCCAAAACATCTTGAAAAGCGCAACATATCCGTGTCATGATTTCGCTCAACGCCTTGGGCTTATGTTACATTTTTTGGGCCGTTTTATGGAAACTCGAAAAGCCAGAAATAAAACGCGCTTCTTTTGCCTCCGGCTACGGCATCCGGCTTTATTCCTTTGAATCTTCCATGACATCTCGTGTTGACATATAACTTCTTTATGCTAACCCAGTAATTGGATTCTGCGCGTTACGGCCGACTTTGAGCCAGCTAATTTTCAAAGTTTTATGTTTACACTTTTTAAATTTCGTGTTAAGGAAGCTTTTTATGAAAGTAGACATGAGAAGCTTGAAAATTGGGCCCGGCCCGTTTTTTATTTTGGTCAGTCCCGGCCCGGCCCGATCAGAAAATTTCTAGGCCCGGCCCGTTTTAAAAAATTTTAAAAAATTTGAAACTTAAAAACTAAACGGAAAATTGGCTTTAAATTGTTTTTTTAGATCATTTATGGATCATAGAACCCAATAAAATCTAAAAACATAAACGGGGATTGAAATAAAAAATTTTAAAAAATTTAGAAATTTTTTTTCCAGGCCCGGACCGACTTTCCAAGGCCCGGCCCGGCCCTATCTAAATTTTGCTCAAGGCCGGCCCGGCCCGTTTCTCATGTCTAATGAAAGGCTATATTTTAACTTTTAAATGGCGGATTTAAATTTTTTGATATTTTAAAAATTTATAAAATTGGCCTTTTTGGCCAATTTTATGTAATTTGTGCGTGTTTCATCAATTTAACTTTTAAATATAACAGTAAATATTGTTTTGTTTCAGTCTCCGACCGCGCATCACGTTCCCAGCCCGAGATCCGCTGCTTATGACGTTTCCGTTGCTGGTGGTCTCAAGAAATTGGTGAACCGTCTGAGAACGACGACTGCGACGTCGCAGTCGCCGGCACGATAAAATGTTCAAGACGGTAAGTCAATCTGAAAGAAGGAAAGAGAATCTGAAAGAAACTCTAATTTAAAAACAAATTTTAATGTTAAAAAGTTGAGAGAAACCCTTCTAAATTAAAACTTTTCATTTTCTCAAAACATTACTTCATGACAATTCTAATGCAAGCTAAAATGTTGAAGAAGCCAAGTAGATGAAGCTGTTTTGGAATACATAACTGATAATTATATTCAAGGATGGGCTTTTAAGGCCGAGCGACATGTCCTCAGGGGATTGGTCGTGTCTTTCCTACAAATATAACGTGTGAATACCGTCCATCTTTTTGTCACCAAATGTCATTTTTTCGTCACTTTTTTTAATATTACGTATTTTTGCACGGTAAATTTTTTTGGCACGGTGAATGTGTTCGGCACGATGTTTTTGCACCGTGCATTACTTTTAGCGTCCCTTTGATGTTCTGCAATTAGCGTGCTAACTTGAGCTCTTGACAGTGTTTGACTCGAGCACTGCTTCGACTACTCCCAGAAGAGGACGGAAATTGTTGTAGCGTGTCGAACAAAAGATGTTGCTCTCCAAAAACATTGGGCAAAGTTTTCTGTTTTTGGCTTCGATGAGTAGTGCCGCAATTAGGTGCTTTTCCCTCTTTCCACGCTTTTTACTTTCTTGGCCATGGTTCCGGCCACTAACGACCCTTTAGTTTCACTTTGTTGATTCAAATTACTTGAGTCATTTTACCGAGGTAATGATCTCTTGGCTTTTGTCATATCATGTCAGCGAATATTGTTTTGGTTCAAAAGTTGGCGGTTTTTAGGTCTGGTATGGGGCTGGTCTAAAATTAAATAGAAATTTTGAGTTTTGACATAGAATTGAGTTTTAAAAACATTTGATTTACAAAATTCTATGAATGGTTTTGCCTCAGTTGATATAAAAGAAAACTTTAGTTAGAGCAAGGTTTTAAAAATAATTTACCTTTTTCAGGTGGTTAATTAGAAAATGCCCTCGAAGAAACGTCATGGGCCATACGACATTATCGCCGACGACCTCTACGACTGTCACGTCCCCGTCTACAACGAGCTTGCATATCAACATGGCATTCACTTTCAGGCCAAGGTAACCTTATTTTTGAGTTTTAAAAATTTTTTATTTTAATTTTTTTTTGTTTTTTTAAAACATTTTTTATTTTTATCAACATTTTTCTCAACTTCACGTATTTATTGACCAAAGTGATAATTTGTCAGTATTTGAAACTATTATTAATTTATGAAAATTTTTAAATTCACGTTTCAGTACATTGGCAGCATGGAAATCCCGCGGCCCGGCACTCGAATCGAGATTGTCGCAGCGATGCGACGAGTTCGATTCGAGTTCAAAGCGCGAGGAATCAAGAAACGACCGGTCGAGATCACGGTCAGCGTGGACGGCGTGCGTGTGGTTTTGCAACGGAAGAAGAAGCAACAGAAAGACTCGAGCTGGGACGAGAGCAAGCTCCTCGTCATGTTTCACCCTATCTACAGGTAATCACTTTTTACAGCATTTTTATTTTTACTTTACATCTTCTTAAAAGTAATGTAAGTTGTATTAAATTTTTAAGCTTTTTATCAAAGTTGGCTTAAAATTGATCTAAAGGTTTTGCCTTTTTTAAATCTATTGAAATTTCAAAAACTTTAAGGTTTTTTATATCCGAATTTTGAAGCTTAAGTTATTTTTTTAGAATCTTCTATGTATCCCACGACTCACAGGACCTCCAGATCTTCTCCTACATTGCTCGGGACGGCGCTTCCAATACTTTCAAGTGCAATGTGTTCAAATGCTCAAAAAAGGTAATTTTAAGTTATTTCTTGAAATATTTCTCTTTACAATTGTAGACTGGCTATATAGTAAATTAACGTGAAATTTTTACAAAATCACTATATTTAAAGTTATTACTTTATATTGACATTTGATTTGAATTTATTAAGACGGATATATGTCATAAGTAATTAAGAATGTTGGTATAACACATCGTAAAGAACTTTTTTATTTTATTTTAAAAGTATGATTCCTCAACCGTTTCATATGAAGTTAGATCATTGTTTCTACTGTATTTTATATAAATCATTATAATTGAAAAACTCAGGTTTCATTTAAATTATTGTACATTACCTGTTAGGTCTACTCGATTTTCTCATTCTTTGTTGTAACTACGTCAAACTTACTCAATTCTGATTTACCGTCCTGATATGATTTTATTCCCTTATCACTGGGCCCCCGAGTGATAAGGCCGCCGTTTGTTGTCATCACAGGGGAAGGGGAGTCAGCTGCGTTTTGTCGTCGTCAAGTCTTGGTCCACATGCTTGGCCGGGACTATATACTTGTGTGTTGTTGGAGAATCTTTCCATGGGCACTGATTTCTTTTTCGGCCGCAAAGGTGTCTCGGGAACAGCAGCAGATCCAAGAGAGTGGATGAAAATAAGAGTGGAATCGGACGGACGAGTGTGCCTTTCTCTTTCAGCCGTGGCCAAGCACCTTCTCCATTCAATCTCGCTCGTCCTGGAAGCGATTGGCACGGCAGTTTTTACTGAGCAAAAACTTAACTAAACGCTTTTCGTTGTATTTTCGTACGTTGGGGCGGGTTTCGGCGTAATATCGGTTATGGGGGTGGATTTCTGTACAGACGGCTTGAAACAAGTACTTAGCATAAGGCGTGGATCAATCTTGAAAAGCGGGGTTGAGGCAACATTTGATCGTGATTTTTTGGCGTTTGCGTGAAATGTTTTGGATCAAAGATTACTGATACTATTTTGAGGCTAGCTTGTCAGGCTGCTTTTAGTACCTACGCTTGAAAGAAGTTGATCTACCTGTTGATCTACTTTTTAAAATCAAGTTTTAAAACGGCGTAACCTATTCATACTTGATCTAGCTACAGTCTGGACCGACTTGGCCAGACACCCCACTTTCTAACGCGCTTCATTTGTTCATGAAGCGACGTCGCACCACGGTCAACGCTTAGGGACGCCGTCGCGGTCCAGATGCCGACGACGGCGCCCACGATCTCGCCAGGCGCTTCGCCAAAACCCATCCGACCACAACAACCGTCCACATCTCAACAAGCACCTATTCTAATCTCGGTACAACAACCGTCACAGTCGGCGCCTTCAGATGAACCTCATTCTCCCAGACCAACGCCGACTGCGTCACCTCATTCGGTCAGAAGCCATGCGACGCCGACGCATTCTCCGAAGGCTGGCAGAAGTCATACGACATCGCTACAGCCTTCGGCTTCACAAGCCTTTTCTCATAGTGGGTCGATGAATACGTTGGCCGACGATCCTCAGAATCTGATGTCTCCACAGCAAAGGTTTTACTATTTGAGGCTGATGGCTAAGCCGGGACGGAAACCGGAGCCGATTAAAATGAAATTCGTTAGGTGGACTAATGAAAAGGATAAGAAAGCTAGTGTTGATGACGAGGGATCGTTGGAAGTGAGTTGAGACAGAAGGGTCGGATCAGGCATTTTTTGTGAAAAGTATAAACTTGTATCTATATCTAGGATAATATTTTCAATTTTGAAAATTTTTCGTCTTAATTAGCATTTTTGTTGATCGTCTTGTCTTCTAAGCCTATTTCTTTTAATTTCTTAATTATTGTTATGATTTTAGAGTCAAGCGATGCGAGTGGTGCGAACGATCGGGCAGGCATTCGAAGTGTGCCATAAGGTCGCGCAGGAACATATGCAGGAGAAGACGGCGGAGGAAGATACCGCCTCCATTCCTCAGCGTGCCAAGCCCAAACCAGGTATGTTTCTATCATTTTCATTGCGAGAAGTCAATTTTAACTTTTTTATTTTTTTTTTGAATTTTGATCGAAAAGTTAAAGGAAAACCAAAAAATTAAATTAAAAAAATAATTTTTTAACAAAATTGATTAAAAATTTTTTATTTTCCATTAGCTTTTCAACTATCAACAAAGATTTTGGTCAAAAATAGCCCTGTTAACCCAAAAACCATGTCATAAGCCTACTGTTTATATCCGAAAAGCCCTACTGTTTACATGTAAAACTCAAACGCTGAGACTTTATGCTCTGTCGCCATACATCATTTTTCTGGCGCCTCTTGGTGCCCTCTCCCGGTTTGATTGAACGGAGGTGATTCCCGACGTAATTAATGTGTCGCTTCTTTCAGTCTCGGCGTCAGCCGCAATCTCCGAGGAAGATGATGAAGCACTGGAACAGGAGCAACGCGAGCAACGCCACCAGCAGGAGATGGCGGCGATCGCGGCCGCTGCCGCCGCCACCAATGTAGCCGGCACGTCGATCGGCGGCCGATCGGGCACCTCGTCGCCCGCTCAACCACCGCCCGGCGGGGTACCCAAAAGACATTCCATTGTACGTTTTGGCGATGATTTCGAGGTTTGATCTACTTATATTCCATTTTTTTTCAAATTGAGTCAACTTTTTGTGAAAAAATATTTGTTATCAGGAGTATAATTAAAACGCTAAAAATAATACTTTTCAGTATGTTCCTCGTAAAGTTAGTTCGGATTTATCAGCGATAAGTCAAGGGACGGCGATTGAAATGACACAACAGCAGCAACAACAACAACCTGGGCCGTCGCAACAACCGTAAGTTCAAAAAAAGATCAGACAAAATAATTTGTAGGCTTTATATTTTTTTCATACTAAAGACTGATCAATCTTAAGTCTATCAGTACAATAAAATAGTGATCAAAGTACCAAAAAACTTAATTTCTTAAAGTAATATTCATATTACCTTTATGTTACAGTATTCCCGGGTCCCAAACCCTGCCCCACTCTCATACCTGGAACCCCCAGATGGGAGCGGCCTTCCCTTCAGTCCAGTCTCTGGATGCTCAAACTGCAGCCGCCTACCCTTTTATTCCCTTATCACAACTGGTACCATCATCGTCTGTACCATACGGTCTTAGTAGTCCCGTTATGGTCAGTCCTTATGCCACTTTACAATTACCAACCAACCTGGCAAACCAAGGCAGTCCAGGCAACGCATCGCTAGCCACGGACACGGCTTTGCAGCTAACAAGGACATTGGACCAAGTAAGTTAACATCATGTTACACAAGGTAATTTCAGTATAATCAACAGTTAATGCGATCTCAGCTTGACCAAGCCACCCAGTCAGCTCAAGTTGCGAGCTGCCAAGTTCAGTTGCTACGGGATACCTTGAATTCAGAGACTACGGCACGGTTGGAAGCTCAGGTAATTATAAAATTATAAATACATGAAGCAATGTAAAATAAGGAATGATCAAACATTTAACATCAAAATTTGCAATTTTTAAAAATTTAAATTTCAGTCCCGAACCCACCAGTTGCTGAATTCTAATCGTGACCTGCTGGAACAAGTCCAGAACCTAGTCCAAAGGCTACAAGACCTAGAAGGCAAGATCACTCGCCAAATCGAAAGTTCGGCCGAACCCGAGAAGAACCTGGGATCTCACCATCAACAACCTGGCACCTCTCGTACTCTACCCTCAGTATCAGTGATACAACCAAGTATTCCCAACTCGGAATACGCCTCCTACACTCTGCCATCTTCATCTACAGCTCCTCAATTTTACCAACAGAAACCCTCATCTTCAGAATCCCAACGACCGTACCAGATTCAGACGTTGGCCGATCTGAGAAGTGGATCGTTACCTCCAGACCGAGAGAACGAAGGCGGAAGCAGTGACCAACGGCGGCGACGGAAAGACGATTCTGGAGCACGCACGGAGCCCGACACCGAAGACACCACGGACTACAGTTCATCCGACCAGTATGAACAGTCGAACGTGCATCGGCCGAAAGAGCCCGACTTCCACTACAACCTCCTGTTGTCTAACCCCCAGATCATGAACAACATGCCCAGCTTCTTCCACACGGAACCATTACATGGTGAAGGACCTCACCGAAGTGCACTCACGTCCGTTCAACAAACCTCCATGCCCCAAAGCAGCTCAAAACCCCCGCCCAAGATACATCAGCCGGTGTATCACCAACACAGTCATCCCAAACTGGACGTGCCACCCAAAGAAGAACCTCCCAAAGACATGAATCGGCTCTCCAGCCCGAAGGTAAGTCTTTCTGAATCCTTTCAACGAAAGAGGTGCACGTCGAACTGGAAGCTGAAGTCTGTTTCAGTACAAAAACCACTGAATAAGACTTCATTTTGCTTTATACCAGTTCGGCGTTGGGTGTGGACTGAGTCGGACTTCTGAAGTGCTTCTTATGTTATCTTTGGTTGATTTTGATTTCGAATTCACTCATAACTATTAATTTAACTTGTTATGGTTAAAAGTTGACCTTTTACATCAAGAAATTGGACTAATCGTAGTTTTTAAAAACAGTAAGGGTCAATAATTTAAATTTATATTGTCATACTTTAAAGATAAGATATCTTTGAGTATCAAGGTTAAATTAATAGTTGACTACTTACACGTTCCGTCCTCGATTAAGGGCTTTTGGTTGTCCAACTTCATCCCCATTACCTCTTACGTTTCACACTTGGTTCCAGATCTTATGTTCGGTTTTTGTTTGATTTTAGAGGACGCTGAGGCGGTTTTCGCTTCAATCCCAGCGTCTTCTGGAGGACGACTCGGGCACACCGCCCAGAACCAAAAAACCGACCGCAAGTGGTGTTTTTAAGGAAAAAGAATTTACCCGAATGTCATTCAACACGACACTCACGGCGCCCACCAAGAAGCGCGAGTCCATCGTGCCCGGCAGCGACAACGACCCCGCCCATTATGAAGGTACGGTTTTTACTGTTATTTTTGAGATTACTGTACTTTATATCATAACTTTTTTTAAATGTGTTTCTAAACTCAAGATTAATGATTTTTTTGTCAAGTTTCCTTCAGTTCCTGTCGATATACTACGGCAAACACAATAAAATTCGATTCTTTGCAGCACGTCGCAAATCTCGCGACGATGGCCAAGGCCGTCGCAAGTCGATGGCCGGTGGAAAGCTGCCCTCAACCTCAACAAAACTGTTTGGAGGTGACTTTTCCCCTTCTCGTGAGCCTTCATCGTCCAAAACCAGTACCGGGAGTCCATCGTCAGCACGTGCCGTAGTAGCTTCCTCCTCGGTGGCTACAGCCATGTATCCGCCCATCAAAGCCACTACCTCCAAACACGGGTTCGGGTCTCCATTAATGGCGGCCAAGGTGGGTGTTGTTGTTTGTTTAGCCGTGCCGTGACGTCGTTCTGATGTCAGCTGTCCAATCTTATCAAGGAATACGTCGTGTTCCTTTCCAAATCACATCGTGTTCCTTGATCGGCGTACTCTGTCGTCTCCGTTCTCTTGTTTTTAGTGTTCTCTCATCTTGTTTGTTACCTAATCTCGTGTTCTTTTTGCGTATTGTCTTGTCTGTCTTGTAATATATTATCTTGTATTCTCTGTCCAGTTTATACTTCTCCTAGCTCACTGTCTCTGTTCAACAGGTCCTCCCTTATACCTATTCGATATCCTTTTCACCAATCTCACGTTCTCTCATCTCACTCACTCTATATTGAACATGCTCCATCATACGTGTTCCCTTAAACTACGTCACGGCCAATAAAACATGGATGTTTGCAGAAAAAACAATTGGCACCACTGTCTGTTGAGGTCAGCGATCCCGAGGACTCACAGAGTGGATCACCGCACACGCGGACCGACATCACCCCCCTCAGACGCAAAATGACGGAGATTGGACCGCTGATGCCGAACAAGAACGCCAACAACAACAACTACGGCAACGGAAGCCCCAGCTCGATGGGAGTCGACCCGGACTCGGTTAGAGGGTAAGAAGTGGCACAAAGCATTGTTTTAAAAAAGAACGGCAGAAAGGGAACGTGATTTGTGGGAAAAAGGAACTTGACGTAGGCAAAACGTGATTCTTGGCATAAAAAATGTGTTAAACCATGATGAGGAATTGAAACAGTTAGAATATAATGACATAAGGAATGAAAAAGAAAAAAATTGAAACAAAGGGGAAGGGTTTTTCATTGACTAGTAAAGTAGCAACCCCTGCCATAATTTAAAAAGCAACAAAATCAAAAATGACATAAGTCTTAAAAAGTCATTTATTTTTCAAAAAAACCCAAAATAAGCCCATAAACCTAACTTAATATCCTCAAAACAAACTCCTAACTCAACATAAATAAGAAACACTCAAAAGAAACAAACATAACCTAAAATACCACAATATCCCAACCAATAACACTGTAATTTCAGTCGGACCATGATGGCATATCAACAGCAGATGGACTCGCGGCATCACAAGCGCGACGCTGAAGGGAATCTGCCGAACGGAGTCCTGTAGCTAGAATTCTTTTCGAAAAAACCATTTTGCCTCTTTTGTCCATTCCAATTCTTATTACCTAAAGTTTTAAAAAAGTTTTCGAATTTCGTTTTCTCAACACTTTTTGTGAATCTCGGTCTATCGTTATAAACTTCTACTTATGAGTTGTGTTTACAGTACTTTCAACAAAATAAATTATTTTAAAATGAATAAAACTTGTTGTTCTTGTGACTTTGTTACCTTTTCATCAGTTTTGGATAATACTGTTATAGGTGATAACATAATATTACTTTACCTTAATATTATTTCCAGTTTTCCGCCGATTTAGATCCTCAATCGAAAATTCGTTTTTTACCATGTAAAGGATCGTATATCATACAATTTCTAAAAATATAATGGACGTATGATTGGTACTACTCCACGTTGACCTAAGGTAAATAATGAGAGGTGACTTTGGCTGTTTACTATCCGAACCGCGACCCGAAGGCCCATTGTTTCTTATACCGCAAACAGTTTGTTTGTTTGGCGACGAGGAAACTCAGCGGGGCGTTCTTCGAACATACCATGCAGGTTTGGGTATATAATCCTGACATCCGCGACATCATACTATCGTCGTTGTGATACGCTCGAGTTTATTGTGATCTTTGGGTTTGCTATCGAGTTAATTGATTGTATTTGGCTTGGTATATCATTGTTATCGAGTTATAAGCATTCGTAGTTAACAAAGTTTACTTACAGTACCAATATATAACTATGCGATCATTCGTCGTGGTATTCGCTTTTACGGTGGGGTTAGTACTGGCCGACGAATTGACTTCAGCTGCTACAACCACTACGGGTCATCATCTCAACAAAGAATCCAGTACCGTATCTCCTACTTCCCCGGCTCCTCACAAGCGAGCTGCCACTACCGTAATCTCCAAAGGTGACCCACATGCTGCTGAAGAATATACTGGACCTAATACCCCTGCTCCAAAGCCAAAAAGATCCGCTGAAACTACAGTAGCCCATACTGAAAGTACCGTATCTTCCACGACTCCTAGAGTTAAACGATCGGAACCAACGACTTCTGCTCCAGAATCCCACGCTCAGACTACTACCGTGAACAGACATCCAGGAGAAGCCGCCAGTACAACAGCTACACCAAAAGAGAAGCGTCAAGCGGTGTACGGTAGCACAATCTCAGCAACTTTTACTACTGAGAAGCCAAAACGGAAGAGAAACGCTGAGACTACTACTGTCGCTCCAGAATCCACCACGGTACACAAAGTGAAGAGATCTGAAGAATCCAGCTCCACAACTTCTGCTCCAGAAACCACCACGGTACACAAAGTTAAGAGATCAGAAGAAACAACTACCACAACTTCTGCTCCAAGATTCAGACGCTCTGAAGCCGCGACTTCTGATTCAACCAATTCGCAACCCACAACTACTGTAGCACACCGTCAACGTCGTGACGCTGAATCCACTTCCACGACTACGGTAGCACCAAAACAGAAACGTGAAACAGAATCCAATTCAACAACTACTGTGGCTCCACGGCAACGTAGGGAGGCAGAATCTACTTCTACCACTACCGTAACGCCAAGAAATAGACGTGACGCTACAACTACCGTTGCCCCAGCTAATTCTACACATGAATCCCGACCAAAACGATCGGAAAGCACTCCAGCACCAGTCCAGGAGCACCTCCACGAATCAAAACTACCAAATGCTAGTCCAATCACAGACGCTCACATCCAACCACATCTCGATGATGTGACAACAACTGCCCCACAGTAAACACAAGATAATATATGTTATCTTGTAGTACGTTGTGTTCTACTCATCGTACCTTACAAAGATACCAAATCAGCCTTATCTTCAAAAGATATCAAGATTACAACTTATTTTCTGTACATACGCCGTCATTCACAATGTAAACTTTAACTAGTACAATATTTGTTATAATAAAAACTTAAATATGTTAACAATGTCAATAATATTAAGTGAGATACCCGAGGAGAGCTAGATCGGAGAGCTCAGGCAGTCAGATCAAGTGTGTTGAAAGAGTCGGCATCAGAAGATCAACTATATGACAGTTTGTCGAATGGTTCTAGTGGGAATTGTTTTATTCTGAAACAATTATAATAAATTGATACCTAAAATAACACAAACTGTTGAAAATACATAGTAAAACATGCTATAATATACAAATAATGCTATCAAATCCTCAACATCATGACGTCAACCTTAACATACCGCAGTAAACCCTCTCACCTATACTGTTTCATGTAGATATTTAGAATTATTGCGGTAAAAACAGTGAATATCAAGAATAACGTCATCATTATCACTCCGAATATGGTCCAGCTGACACAAACAGAGGCTCTTGACACCAATGGCTGGCTGAGTCTGGCTAATTCGGCCGAATCCTCATTGGAATCCAGTACGTAGACGTACTGTGAGATCAGATCTGCACTGACAGTTGGTGCTGTTGGTTCTAATGGTCGTTTGGCTGATCGTCGCTTACGGTGCTTCTGAAATGACATAGATATGACAATTTGTAAATAAATCAAGGTTTCTAAATAACCAATATTTACTTTACTGTGCATTGTAAATGTAATATTTACTCTGTTACGGAACATTAACCTCGCAAGTAAACACAACATGTTACAGTACATAGCGTTACTTTTTAACAATATTTACCAAAATAAAATATTTTGAGACAAAAAATAAGGTTTTGCAACAGTAGTTAATCATAAAAGGCTTACTTTAAGTAACGTGATATCAGTTGCATTGTCATCAGCTACCCACTCTTCTTCTGGCACTCGGTCATCTTGGAAACTGTGATTCGGTTCGCTACCACAGTTTGGAGGCTAAAAATTCAAATAACCCAGTAAAAATTATAGTACAAAGTCCATTAAGTTATCTATAATATACTAATGAATAATAGGTAAGACTTTTGGACCTATAAGTCACAAGTTTTGGGACTCAACCTCATAAAACTAAACTCACAGTAATCCCATCACAGCCTCCATTGTCCTTCAAACACAATTTTATCTCGCACAGGAAGCGGACTCCAACTTTATCAGCAAATTTAAATACATTCGACTCTCGGTAAGCCATGTTGAGAGCCTCGGTATATGTGGGATCGCCAAGGACAAGGTCAACGTGGCAGCTACAGATTATAGGATTATATACAACTATAAAATACGCAACTACAATATAAATATAATTTAAAATCAAAATGTGGTATATTCTTACCCTCTCTCGTCGATGACCATTCGTTTCTCTCCTTGTCCATCTTCTACATAGCAGTTGTGCACCAACATACCATACATATCTACAAAATTACGGCGTATTTACATCAAAAGTAGCAAAAACCTCAATTCTTATCCTTTAAAACACCATTCCATCCCCTTATCCCCTCCCAACATACCTGAGTCGCACTCCCACCTATGCACCACCTGATCGCCAATCTTGCTGTACTTGATTGGCTCTCCATCCAACTCGTCCTTCCTCAGACTGTACTTACACTGTGGCATTGGGGTGTCATGTTCAGCCAACTCCGTAGTTGGATCGCTTAAAATTACAATTAGAAATAGATATATGCACAAAATGGCACTCAACGTAGAGCCATAGAAACGCATTTTGTTACCTAAATGGCCATTTCAAACTTACCTCACTTCCAAATCGGCCGAAACCAAGTTTACTGCTTCTTTGTATAAACAATTTATGTGGAAGGCGCGGTCGGCTTTTGTTACAAACAGCTAAAAGATTTTAAAATTACATAAATTATAGTTAAATTATACAAAATCTACTACTATATTAAATTATGAGGCTGTAAATCTATTAAAATTATTCAATAGTAAAATATAAAAACTTAAACTGTTGACTTACGGGGTGAAAGCTGACCATTAGCACAGAACTAAACTTCATTCCCTCTGGTTGTATCTGAAAGAAACAAATGTTACCTAAAATTAAAAGAACTTCTTTCAAAAGACAACTAAACCCATATTTTACATTCTGAAACCTCATGTGCGTTCTAAAAATTACCATCCTCTGCCTATCCATATCACAAGCACCATGATGTAGCCGAATACCGTGCAATGGACTGCCATCTGTGTTCGTCTGACTGTAATCGACTCTACAGTCAGGGTTGTTGTAATGTCCTTGCACGTAGATCTTCCCTGTAAACCGTCGTTTCGTCGTGAATTTCATCTCGATCGTGTCTGGATTGCATTTTATCTCTGGCGTTCCTATCAGTTCGTTGTCTAGTTCGGCAAGTGCCTGTAATAAAAGGTTTTAGGTATTAAAATTGAGGAATAGAAAAGGAAAATGTTTAAAAATTGATTTAAAAATATAAAAACAGTACTTTAAAGATAGTACAGGCTAAATTTTGAAGAAATTTGGGAAAATTTTACAGAAATTCACAAACTTTGAGCAATGAAAGACTTGACTCGACAAAACTTTGTCTTGAGTCAAGTTTTTCTATAAATAGGCCCAAGGTAAACTTCAATGAAAAACAAGAAAAAGGTAAAATTTATGGTTTTTTTGGAGCATCAAGCGGTAAGTTTATAGTATTTTCTATGATTCTGAATATTAACTTAAAGTTAATTACCCAATAATTTTTAAAAAATTGAGTTTTAGATGTTTTATACCTAAAAATAATAATTTTAAGTATTTATCAAACAAATTATTAAAATTTGCTCATGAAATTTCGAAAAAACAAGAATATGAAGCTAATTAGCTGACCTTTAGGCGGATGAGCAGGAGAAGCGTCCACCAGAACCTGATCATGTCATTCGGCGAATCTGAAAGTGAGCAACTTCTTGAGGATTCTTCCTCCGGATTATTGTTTACGGTCGGGAAAGCGCGATAATAAGTAAGAATGAGTAACAAATATGGTGATGAGATCCATTTCTCGTCGCCCCCCTCGACCTCATGCTGGCCTACATTTCAAAGGGGCTCGACCCGTTTTGGGCTTGAGTACCTTAGAGTACGTGTGCCGTCGATCTGAGCAAACAAACGTGCGATCAACGAGAGAGCCGCATAGTGTGGGCACGAAGGGGACGTAGAGTGTAGGCACAAGAGATATGGGTTTAGAGAGACGTGTGTTATGGTAGAGCGGGCACAAAGACGTATATTATTGTAGAATAGGCATGGTGTTTGCAGTGGCAAATCGGGCGTAGACAAAGGTAAAAAAGAATGACCTCAGTCTGGAATAATAAAGTGGTCTAACTGTTTCAAGTTTATTTGAAGGGGCTTTATATTGTATTAAAAACTACTCGTAGTTTATAAACCTCTATATTCTCGATGATAACAAATAGTTATGGTTAGGTATGATTTGGGTTTAAAAAATTGTGTTAAAGGTAGGATTTTGTTAGCTTTTGGACTGCGCAATTAAGAAGTATACTGTCTTTTGGTGTATTAGCATTGAGATTTAGTTTAAGCTGCGTATAACCTGTCTCAAGCAGCTAATTTTGATAAATCAGTTTATAAATAGCAACGAAGTAAAATAGAAATAAATGCAGCAAATAAATTCTAAATGAAACATTTGACAATTCTACGGGATGCTGTTTTAAACCCTTCCCCCCCCTTAAGAAAGAAAAACTGTAATGGGTATACCATGATGACCTTAAACGATATTTAGTAAAATACGATGGTTTAAGGTCTCCATTAAATCTCCTAAAAACAAAAGGTCGCGACCAATAAAAGGCAATTCAGAGGTGGAATACCTCAAGTTCTGAACGACGTTCTCGAAATCTTCTGAAATACAAATAAATAGCTATGCATACAATACAAAAGGGCACGCGCCTCCACCCTTTGACCCCGTCTTGAACAATAAGCTCATTAAGTCGTGTCTTCTAAGGTCGTATGCAAATTTAGTGGTGAGAACAAAGTCCCGAGGTGCCTCTTGACCTGAAGAGAGGAGGGTACCTCGGGCCTTTTTAGACAAATACGAATGATGATAAACATGGGGACGGCTTTTATAGTGTTATGAGGTTAAACAGTAGCTGCTGACAGAGTACGAAGTGAAAGATGTTACAGTAGATGTTTTGGTCAAAAAGATACAATAATAATGTTGTACGATTACTGTAGAACATTAACCTCTAATTAAAGTATAAATAGAAAGTCTATTTCTTTGATCGTTGCTTTAAAGGAATTTGCCGCTTATATACGATACATTTGAGCGTTATACACGGTTCATATGAGCACTGGGAATAGGGTTACTATAATCTTAAACTGAAGGGTTTAAACGTAAAGAAGAAGGCATATTCATGAATTTATATGTGAACAAAACTGTTCAGTATACCTTATGATGAATACATATTTAAATGCACTATTGAAGAAGCCAAAAACATTAAACTGCCTCCCATACTCAGTTAAATACACATTGAAATGAATTCTCATACTCGGTTAAACGCCTACTGCAAGGTCTCCGAATACAGTTAAAGGACAGTGGAATTAACGCTTAAACGAGGTCAAGCAAGGGCAGTATTATAACAATAAGGGGCGGGGGAAAGTAGGCCATCTGGAAGGCTACAAATCTCTTATTACGAACGACTTCAGAATCCATGAAGGCTACAGGCCGTTCTCACAACGTAACGGTTCACCTCGCATATGCAAATACCTTGGGAATCGGCGGAGGCATCTGGAGGCAGCGAATTGTGTTGCGTCACCTTGACATTGAGATCCATCTTCCGCCTAATTGTCGGTTATTTGTATAACCACAAACATGTCATTATGTAATGTCTGAATAATAGCTCCATTTGTTATGATTGTTCTTGCTTAAAGCTATCTTCTGTAATTGATTGAGAACAGTGTTGTTATGAAGTGTAGGTACCGTATCTTCTGATTGGAGATACGGTAGTGTTTGGAGACTGCGCAATGTTTATAAGGTGCAGTAAAAACAAAAAACATTATTTGAAAATGAAAAATGTTGATAAGTATTAAAATTTTTAAGGCTTGTGTTGTTCTTGAGGTGCTCATATCATTTTAGTTGATAAACTTAATATAATAATGACATTTTTTGCATAATGGATACAGTTACATGTCGCATTTATGGAAGTTAAATGTTTCTTTTCCAATCATAAGGGCTAAAATAAGGTCGTCCGGCGGCTTTGCAATTTGGAATTACTGGGCCAAGTTCTTAGTTTGGTTGGAATTTTTATTTTTTGTTTCGATTTGTTCATTGGTCATTATTTTGTTGTTATTGTTGGTAAAATAACATGGGTAAACTTGACGTTTTGCCTAAATTACAATTATATGAAACCTTAAAATTTAAATTAAATTTTGAAAAAAGCAGATAAAGTATCTTCTTTGTAAGCTAAAAGTTAAACTGTGAGTTGTTTTCTGATTTTACAGTCTTTGCTACTTATATGGCGAAAAAATATTGAGGTAATTGCTCTGCAAAAACAACACTTTTTCAGAAAACAATCAAAGGTTTGGTAACACGGGTGACTTTGTAGAGTTCACTTTTTTCGTATAAGAGGTAACATTTACTTTATGTTTTGTGTAATAACAAAACAAATTTATAATAAAATACGGTATTGAGAAAATTGTGGCGTTACAAACTGTAGCTGCAATTGTAGGTGATAAACTTGCAGTTGTGGCGACAAACGTTGAGTTAAATGGAGAAGAGCTGAATAACTAGGTCACCTCAAAATTGCTGCTCTCTAATGCCGTCGGTCGCGCTGCGTTTTTTCAAAACACATAGCTTCAGGCGGTAAGAAGGGATCGAAGAAGGAAATGCCTTCCTTCAATCCCTTTGGAGCACTTCAGGACTTTCTGGCCAGGCTTTTCTATAGGTAAGAGACCTGTAAATTTTATTTTAGCGTTACTTTTTAGGTTTTTTAAGTTGTAGTAGTAATATAGTTGCTTTTATTTAAAAAGCGCTAGTTTTTTAAAAATTTTTAGATTTTTTAAAACTTGAATAATACTTATTTTTTTAAAAAACAGAATTTTTTTGTGAACAAGTTTAGGTTTAAAAAAAAATTTTTTAAATTATTATTGTAGGTATGGCCTGTATATTTCGCGGAATCCAAATCCGTTCATCATCGGACCACTTGTACTGACATTTGTACTACTTCTAGGTGTTTTCAACGTCAAATTTTCAGTGAGTTTTTGAATTTTAACTTTGAAATTTAGGGGAAAAACGAAAAAAATGTTTACGATGGTTTGGCTTTCTGATTTGTTTGTGTAAAAATTAGAAAGGAGCTCAAAACAAAAGTCTAATTTGAAAATACAAGTTGATTCTACAAATTTTTAGACCGTTACGGGATACGAAGTCAGAATTTGCATTTTCTTCGTAAGACAATACTCCAAAATGATTTTTTCAACTGATTTCAAACATTTTTCAATTATTTCTTCAAAATAAAATTTTTATAATTTTCAGGATGATCTCCGTTTTCTGTACTCTCCAGAAAACTCGTTATCCAGGTTCGAGTACCAGATTCACAAAGAATTCAGTGGAGATTCAATCAACAGTAGTTACATTGCAGTAGCCATTGAATCAGCTCAAAATGACACGAATATGTTGAGGAAGGAGCTGGCTGATGCCATCATTGAGTTTGACAAGTTTGTGCATCATAACATGACCATTCAGCTGCCGACTGGCACTAAGAACTTTGGTTCTGAAATATGTTCTCGGCTGACATTGTGTCCTATCAGTAATACTGTAGTTACCATCTTCTTCGAGACTTATTTCAGTGAAAAGGTAAGGTATTACGTGTTTGTATTGGTTGTGTGTAAAATAACTTTTAATTAGTTAGAGTTTATTTTGAAAATTTAGCTAAAAAATGACAGTCGAATAGCGATGGACTGGCCTATTTTGAAGTTTTTCGAAAACAAGTTCTTCCTCCCGACCAACTTTTATGGTGTAGATCTTCATAATGACAAAGACGGATGGGACAAACTAAAGACTATACAGACGATACATCTTGTCTACTACATTGCTGGCACTGAGGAGGTAGGAGAGTTTGGAAGATGAGATTTATACCTTTAGTGATGTCAAAAGTGTTTTTAAGTATTAGATCCTTCAAATAATCTATGCCTCCTAACCTTGAACATATTCGTTGAGAGGAGCGCAGAATAATTTGAACAACCTAATACATATTGCAGTAAATTTATTGTATTCATTTACAGTTCACAGCTGAAGAAGTTGGACTAGCTGTTGAGGGTTCATTGAGAGAAGCTTTGGCTGAAAGGAAGGCTACAATAAGGTCGGCGATGTTCAGTTTACAAATTCTGAAGGACGAGATGCAGAAAAATACGACCTACACATTACCGTTTATTTCCCTTACTGTATTCTTGCTTATCTCGTTTACTGTCGGGTCATGGTATGATATATTTTTTGTTGTGACAACTGTTTGTATATTTATATTTGCCTTCTTTTGTATTTTAGTTTAAAATTTATTATCAATTAGGTAAAACATTAGACTTTTTACTTTTAACTAGTACTATGACACATAATTTTACAGTATGACTGGAGACTGGATAACTTCAAAGCCAATAGAAGCCTTAATGGGTATCATGACCAGCTCGCTAGCTATCGGGAGTGCAGCTGGGCTTCTATTTTTTATTGGAGTACCGTACATCTCCCAAGTTACCGTAATGCCATTCTTAGCATTTGCTATTGGTGTTGATGATACCTATGTGATGCTGGGAGCATGGCAAGATACGAAACGTAATCTACCTCCAGAGAAACGTATGGCGTTGAGCTTGGAGGAGGCTGGCAGTGCTATCTCTGTGACTTCACTCACCTCGATACTGTCATTTGGTATTGGCACTTTTAGTACTACGCCAGCCATTTCTATCTTCTGTAAATTCATCGCTGTCGCTGTGTTCTTTGACTTCTTCTATCAGGTATGGGGTTTGCTAATCTTTTTGATTTTCTTCGAGGAAATTGCGTTTTAAATAATATAAAGTTATGATATTACTTTATGTTTAGGTAACATTCTTTGCTGCCGTGATGGCTCTTGGTGGACGAAGAGAAGCTGCTGGATATCACTGTATCTTTGTTTGGCAAAAGATGGGCAAAGAACAAATTGCTAGGGTAAGCAATAACATTGACAATATATTTTAGAGATGTTATATGTAATTATTGACTATATTTTTAATGATATACATCTTTATGTCGTATAGTTTTTCAAAAAACATAACAATAGTAAAATACGAAACATATGTTCATAAAATACCATCTTTAAAGTATTTTATGACATTTTTAGGCCAAAGCAACCAATTTCACCTCTCCAACCCACTCCTTCTTCTCCGATTACCTAGCTCCATTCCTCTGTAAAAGCTACACCCGCTTTTTTTTCTGTATTTTGTACGGTGTCTACTTGTTCTTCGCTTTCTATGGCTGCTCTCTTCTCAAACCAAACCTCACTCCATCTCATTTACTGGTCGATGATTCACCTCTTACCTATTATCTTCAACTTGCTGAATCCAGAATCTGGTCGGAAGGCGTGGTTGGCAGAGTTTATGTTAACAATGCTCCAGACTTCAGCACGAACCCAGAAGAGCTGGAGGTTCTGATGAAGATGGTGGAGGAGTTGGAGTCTACACAGTTCAGTATGGGCTACAACTCTACGCAGTTGTGGGTGAGGGAGTTCAACAACTACAGACAGTACTTTGCTGATGACAATGCCAACTTCTACGAGACTCTGAATGCCTTCTTGGGGATCTCCTTCAACAAACAGTGGAAGGCCTTCTTGAGGTGGGACGACAACCCCAATCGACCGGGAAAGAAGTACGTCAACAAGTTCTTCTTCACCACCGCCTTCAAGATACCTGATTGGAATGTGAGAACGGCGTTGTTGCTACAGTGGAGGAACATTACTGCCAGGTATTCACAGTATCAAGCTCTGGTTTTTGATGAAAACAACTTCTTCAGCGATCAAGTGAGTTTTAGTCGTGGCATACAGAGGGTACTGTAATATAACAGTAATACTGTAATATAATATTGAGTTAATTTTTATAGATGATAGAACTCAAGTCAACTACCTTGAACTCTCTCGGCACAGCTATTTTGGCTATGATAATCGTATGTATCTTGTTCATTGCGGAGACGAGTATCGTCTACTGGGTGACGTTTATCTTGGTATCAATGGATATTGGAGTAGCTGGATACCTATCTTTATGGGGAGCTGACTTAGACCCGACTACAGTAGTCAACATATTGGTATGTTAACACGAACTATTCAGTGTTGCGTTTGTTATATACGCTTCTTGAATCTAAATTAATATTTTTCTATGTTACAATACTATTCTTTTACCTATAGTACCATTTCAGATGAGTATTGGTCTGTGTATCGACTTTGCCACCCACGTCGGTTACCGTATCTACCGTAGTCCCTACACTGACCCAGATGAGCGTATCAAAGATGCCATCGGAGCTATAGGCTGGCCTGTGACACAGGCTGGACTAAGTACGTTCTTGGCTATTATTGTGATGATGCTCGTACCATCCAACGTGGTTCGTATGTTTGCTCGTACGAACGTGCTGGTGGTATGTACGGGCTTATTCCATGGTATCTTCTTGTTACCGATCATTGTACGATCGTTCTGTACGATCAAAAGCAATGTAAAAGACATTGACAAACACAATGACACTGTCAAACAGCATTGAGTATAACATGTGCATGGTGTATATCAAAATATACATGGTGTATATGTTTGTGTGTATGTATAGTATAAACGGTAGTGACATAAAATATAAACCTAAAAGCTTGTATACAGTATTACACTTTACTAATGTGTATAGCTTTGACAGTATAGTGAAACATTTACTTTGGTAAGTATTTATCGCCAAACCGAGGTATTTGAGGAAGCAGAAGATATCTGTTTGGGAGAATGAGGTAACGATAGGTGCCCGTTACCGTACGGACTGTGATGGTGATCATCGTAGTGAGAGCCATGTTTACGGTGAATGTGATCGATGAGGAACGATGAGTGCAGGAATATCTTGGAACATTCTTGACACTAAAATCACGTTTTATCAAAAATATCATTATAAGGTCATTTATGGAGTCAGGATCTTTTATATTATTATTATAGTATAAAATGATGACTGTAGTAGACAAGCTGACAGATAAAGCTTATACTTAAGTAATATCTTACCCTAAACAAGTCTCGACCACTTTCCTGTTGATTTTCGGTAAAGCTCTTCTTGAAGAAGTCGTTCTCCTTGTACACCTTCTTGTACTTTTCCTTTTCTAACGTCAGCTTCTTCACCAGTTCGTTCTGACTTTGCAGAATATATAATAATTGAAGTTGGGCTATCCGGAACATCTTCAACAGTCTGGCATTGCTCCAGTTTTCATCCTTAAAACAACTTTTGGTCGTATTTTACCAATATAATACTTTCTTTTGTTAGAAGAGGTAAGGTAAACCCTTCCATAACGAATGAAAAATTAAACTGTAACTAATGAGATTTAACGAAAGTAAAATTACCTTAGGATCTGCCTTACAAAATACGACAGAAGCCAACGCACTCTGGAGTATATCGTATGTTCCTATGCCTTTTTCAAGTAATGGTATACTGATTTCATCTAAAATCACTTGATTGGCATTATAAAAAGATATATAAAGTAATTTAAAAAGCCTCAAAAATTAATAATCAAATGGTTGGATTTTGTCAAAAATATTTTTATCTGCAGCCTGCGCGCACTGAACAATTAAAGGACGCAGCCTGCTGTATTTGGAAGCTTCCAAATAAAAAATAATTTTATTATAAATGTTGATCTTTATCCATTAAAAACATTTTAAAACCTTGGAAAGTCATTATTTCATAAAGGACTCGACGCTTATAGGTATACCTACCTATATTGTTTTAGATTTATTATTTTTTTAAGCCAAAAGTAACAAAATTAGAATAAAAACCAAAGTTTAAAGACCATACCAATTAATTTCCAGTCAGGAAAGTCCGCGGCCTCCTCGAAATCGCCCATTCCCTCAGAAATAAGGAATTACCTTCTCTTGAACCTAAAACAAGGTCCGTAGCCATGGCGACGGCCATCTCTCAAACAGGAAATGACATCTGCTTTTCTAAATGTTGTGATAAGGCGAGATTCTGAAGGCAGGGGATCAAAAAACACTGTTTACATTTGTATTATTGTTTTACATAAAATGAGTCATGATGACAGGTACCAATAACTGAAAAAAATGTTGAAAACGATTTTAAAATGAAGAAAAATCAAAAAATTTCACTAAAAATAATTTTGTAAATGATAACGTGAGAAATTAAAAGAACCAATTCAAGTCGAAAAGAATGTCATTTCTCGAATTACAATGTCAACGACCGGTAGCCTCGAAAATCGGTCTTTAGCCACCACTCCTCGGATGGGTGTTGTCAGCAGTTCTAGCGTATATTCTCATACTAAAATCGACATTCGGGTATGGGACGACAAACTGAGCAAGCCCAACTCACCACCACGCCCATACCCTTTGGCCATCGACTGTGGTATCTTCTTCATGGTAAGTTACTGTATTAGTTATGGTCTAGCAAAGACTGTCCTTTCATGACGAAAGTTTTGCTGGCATAGATAACATTAAAAAAAGTAGCTAGGTGATCGATGTTGAGATTTTAAATAGCCATGAGAATAATATTTTAAAGTTTTACTATGATATTATTGGTTTTGTAAGCAGTAAGTTAACATATATGATGATCATTTTCTTTCAGCTGGCTACAAGTATACTGGCCGTTCTGATTGGCGTTTCTATGAAATGTTGTGATCAATCTCTGGCTGATATCTTTATCCAAGATGGTCTACTTGGATTTGTGCCTGTTGTACCGAGTGTTTACTTCCTCAGCAGACCGTATACTTTTAAAATTGGCGGTAAGTTTTTTGTTTATTTTTGAAATTTAAATTATTCGAAAATCGAAAGATTTATTGATGATAAATCATATTATTAGTAATAAGAACCGTATTTTAATATTAAAATCTGCCAAGCTCTCCATTTTCAGTAGTCCAACTCTTTTGCTCACTACAATATGCCGTTGGTACCGCCATCATCATCAACGTTTACCATTTGTGGATTTCGTATGGTAAAATGGTAGACAGCCGTCTAGTAACCACTCATTGTATGTTTGTTGTCCTGAAGTACTTTGTCGGGCTATTTGTTCAATTCACATGTCTTCCGACCAAGTACGAACTCAAGAGTTCTAGTGGTTCTAAGGATTCTGAAGGTGCTAAGAAGAAGAAATCTAAGAAGAATAGTTCTAGTAAGAGCTCTAAGAAGAAGGGCAAGAAGGACGGTAAGAAACAGAAGCTGAGCAAGGAAGAGAAGAAGAAAAAGAAGAACAAGAAGAGTAAGAGCAAGAAGGACAAGAGCAGCAAGACTTCGAGTTCTAAGAGAAGCAGCAAGAGTTCGACTTCCGCTGTTTCAAAGACGTCAAGTAAAAGCTCAGGAGCTATCAAGAGTTCAAAGAAGTCAAGTCAAAGCTCAGGAAGTACCAAGGAATCTAAAAAGCGTTAATACTCAATAAAGTGCCACATTGACTTGATGTTAATGAAATATAATGTTATCATTAATATTATTAATTACTTTATAATTTATTTTTTATTTTAACATTTAAAATCAGGCTAGTCTAGTTTATATTATCATTCTTTGAGGTCTTGGAATACCACGGATTTTAAAAACGATGGTTATGAAGGTATCTTGCAGATATGTTGGCATTAGTGAAAAGGGGTAAAATACGAAGTAATAGTCCCAGCCTACTGGATATCTGGCCTTGGGGAACTTGCTGGTTAAAGCGTGGAAGTAGGCATCTACAACAAGATAGGTAGATGGGGAACAGATGAGGTCAAGGAGGTCGTGGGTGGTTTGGCTGGCTGAAAATGTTGATATTTGTAACGTATATGTTAATTTAAATGTTTAGGTATTGCTCTAAACATTTAAATTTGTTTTATTTTGCAAAATTAAACTTTTTTGTAAATTTTTAATGGTAAAATACGTTATACAAGGTATTATAACCTACTTTTGTTAAAGAATTCATCTCCGTACTCGTTCTTCACTGCTTCAGGCAGCTTCTCCCATTGCTTCTGAATCCTTATTTTATTGTTTTCAGGCGACGCTAATGGCGTTTTGAAGAACCCAGGTTCTAATGTGGATACTGTAACTCCAAATTGTTTGTATTCTGTTCTGAAGTTTAGGTTGTTATTGTTTTGTTGTTCTTCTTATTATTATATTATTGCTTATCGTTTTCTTAGTTTATTGCTTGTCTTACCGAATTGCATTGGAAAAAGCGTTAATACCATACTTTGATATTGAGTACGGGGCTAGGCCACTGATGGAGACAATTCCCATTACACTAGCTACGTTTACTATTCTTCCTCTGCAATTTGTTATAATGCTACCTACTATGATATGACCCTATATATACATATCTATACTTCAACAGTCTTTAAATCTGTATAGCATGTTTTTCTACCTACTTGTTCATTTTGATCAGCTCTTTAAAGGCATGAGTGACTCTGATCACTCCGAACAGGTTTACTTCCAATGCTGCTTTATATGAATCTAGAGTTAGCCAGTCATCAAAGCCAATCTCTCCCACAATTCCAGCATTGTTGACTAGTCCATCGAGGCCTTTGCCTTCTAGAATCTTTTCTATCTTGTTCTTGGCTTCTATTACAGATTCATCTGTAGTTACATCGATCTTGATTGGGTGTAAAATGCCTGAAGGCAGGAGGGGAATGTAGTCTTCTAGTTCTTTTATGCCCTAAAGCAAGAGGTTTTTTATTTTGGGGTTACACATGAGGTGATTATGTATAAAAGACACTTTTTAAACAAAACTTATTGCCACCATTTTAAATTTAAAAGTACATTTTTTTAATTTAAACAAATTTTACCTTATCAGTTAAACACCCAGCAAAGACAGTCATGTCATGACGAAGGCATTTCAAGGCCAGATCTTGGCCGAACCCGCTATCACATCCAGTGATAAAGACTGTCATTTTGCTGACATCAGGCAGGTTGTCCAACAAAGACAGTATCCATTTGTAAAGTAAGGTCGCTATTAGTATTACTAATATAACTTCGAAGACCATTTTAAGGAATTGAAATGGCTATTTTGTTCTTATCAGTTCTGTCTTCAAATTCAACGATTTTAATGTTAAGCATTGCAAATAAGTGTGATTACTTTGTACTCTTAATATTGAAGTATATCTTCATAAAGTTTAATAAAATTTCTATACTGAAAGCACCGAGTTTTGACCGTCTCATCTAACTTGGCTATGAGTGAACTGATTGGTATACATAAATATAAAAATATTTTGTTTTTCATCAGTCTCTTTGAACTTATCTATTTTGTTTTTTGTATCTCGGTGTCGTAAGTTATTGTAATTTTAAATTTAATTTTAAATTTGAAAATCTTTTCAAAATCTGTTATATTTTTGAACAATCTTACAATTTTAAAATACTGTCAGTAGCACTTTGTAATACAATATATAATAAATATAATTGTAAAATTCATGACAATATAATAAATGTTTATTAATGAGAAAATATTATACAATTTTCTGTGTTGTATATAATAAAATTTGAGTCTATTATACATGTTATAAAGTCCTCTATGCAAAAGATAAACAATCATTTACAATTTTAAATTGGTATTTCAAATTAACAAATTATTGTAATAAACTGTATAGTATGACATTAACTTTGTTTACTTTCTATACTCAAAACATGCAAATTTGGGGAAAATGTTGCAACTTGAGGTTGGTTATTGGTTGTGGTGTCGCGTCCAAACAGCAAGTGACGCCGTAGATATCTTATTTTTCGATTATAACATCAATATTCTTTCTCAAGTTAGTTCTTTTATTGCTATCTTGGTTGACCTTAATAAATATAGTTCTGTATATATTCTTGATTTCTAGTGTAACTTTAGTAATATAAAGCTTTAATGAAGACGTTTGTTGATTGTTTGCTGCCAGAGGTGAGTTGAAAAGATAAACCGAGTATTTGAAATGGTTTAAAATTAAGCCAAAGATGGGTTTGGATGAAATCAAATGATGGTAAGGTTAAATTGAATACTGTAAGAATATCGAAAAGTTATATATAAGGGTGGGGCGTTATATCCGTGATGGAAAGACTCTGAAAAAAAAGCGATTTTTTGTCTGATATTTTCGTCTCTCATTTTTCTCTTTATCTTTTTTTTCTTCTTGTTGCCGACGGCAGTTAGAGAAAAAAAAGATCGTTGAGAAAAATATCATTTACGAATATAACGCCCCTTCCTTATATGATAGTCTTAAAATGTTATACATGAAAATCACGGTATATCACCAGGAAAGTAGAGCACGAAAAATTTTGCAATTTTAGCAATGGCGTAAAGTCATAGAACATTTGACGATCATGCAAGATACTTGTTCGTTGGCTATGGTGAACAAACGTTTCTACAAACTTGTCGAAATGGATTTTAAACAGTTGTGCTACGACCATGTAGTATATCGCCTTAAAGGAGAAACTTGGGCATGGGCTTTTTCAAAGTGAGTTTACTATTTATGACTTATTTTAAGCTCTATGCATAGCCTTAGCTCTAGCCTCAGCTTTACTATTATTCTTTTTTTACTTACACCTACCGTAATTTTATTGTAGTTTCTTCAATCGGGCTTATAATGTAATGTGTGGCCCCAAGGGGCTTTATATGTTTAACGGTGTTTGTTGTCCGTTTACCGGCAAAATGGCGATGCGAGTTCGGGACCACTCTAGCCGTATCCTACTGACTAATATTGATTTTGGTCGGAACGAGTTTACCATTCTGGACTTTACCGCATATACAAAGTTTATTGGGACTCTGTGCATTATCAATCAAGGAAGCGAGCTTCTGCTTCGTCTTTCATCTTCAGTATTGATATACGATCTGAATGCCATGAAGGTGACTTATCATATAACGTTCACAAAACCTGCCAGAACCGAATACCAAGCAGAATACCTATCAGTTCAAGCAGGCAGTATTGTTGATTATTACACCAAAAAACGGTTCACAATTGACGCAAGAAGCCCAGAATTTTTTATGCACTACGTCAACAGATTCGACAAGTGTAAATACGTTGTAGTACGTACAACGAATGATGAAGTGATCGTAATTGATAGTGAAACTGACGAAAGACATAACGTTTGTAAATGGAGACATGACACACACGTGTATATTATCAATGTAAACAATTGCGTTGTCCTTTTGGGCCTTAGGGGTAAGCGTCAAACTTGAACAAGGACATGCCACCACCTCGCGGAGGTTTTTTGACCTTATATAATAAGAAAGACGTTGAAAAAAGAGAAGGAGATGTTCTTCCAGTGTTTTTTAACGTTATCCTACCGTATCCTACTCCCACCCGACCCCTATCTTACTTTATTCTACTTTACCCTACTCCTATAGTAATATTCCAGCTCATTGCTGCCCCTACCTTACATTGGTTTTCCTAACCCTACTGTACTATAATTATAAAATCAGTAACATCTAAATTAAGGTTGTGACATTGGATGTCGGATATACTGTTTGAAAAGGAAAACATTTGTGCTTGATCTAACCAATGACAAATGGTGTTTATTCAATTCTAATACTCTCTACAATTGCAACACTTCATCGGTAAGAATTTAATTTTAATGAAAGTATGCTCTGCCTTACTAAACAAATTAGTTAGTATAAAAGAATCTTTAATTTTTAGTTTTTGGTCTACGATAAACACATTAGAAATTGGCGAGAAGTAAGGCCAGATACATGGCTTGGCTTAGAACGGCGGTGTGATTGTAGCATTACTGATAACTTTGTGCCATTTACCTCGTACAAAGTCATGAAGTCTTTTCGAAACAACGCCGTCACGTTGGTTTTTTTAAACTTTAAAAAAGGCAAGTGTTATGATGGCTATCTTATCCTATCAAAATAAACCCTTCCGCATCTTACAGTTGCGGGAGACCTTGGTTTAGAGAGGAGAGTCAACAAAAGTTTAAACGTTATGCTGGGTGTATGGTCGATCCAGCCTCAGTACTCATCTGACTTTGCGCTCTTTATCTTTAACTATACATTACTTCTTTGCCTTACTCTAGCACCACCCACTTCCTGGTTTCTGTATGTAAATTAAAGTTTAGACAGTGTCCGAGTGAAAAGCTTTCATCCTGAACTCGCGTACAAGTCCACAAACGGTTGCTGTATGCCAAAAGAATTGGATTATGACCATCCTATCGCGCACTTAATGCAGCTACAATATCCTACGCCAAACGAAAAATCAAAGGAGTTTAGTGATTGGTTCACAAAACTACACATTAACAGGACCAGTGTTCCATTGATCGATGCCAAAACTGGAGCCATTAAGGAAGAGTTGTACACATAAATGTATTCAAATTTAAATTGTTTTTAAATAAAAATATAAACTTTGGCTTAACCTTTTTCTAAGTCGACTATTTTTGATCATAATATGACAATACCTAACAAGTCGAGCAGTAAAAGATGAGACTAGTGCAGAGGGTAGAAAAGGGATGGGGCCTGACTTCTCTTCATTCCAAGACCAGATCTTGGCCGAACCCACTATCACATCCAGTGATAAAGACTGTCTTTTTGCTGACATCAAGCAGGTTATCCAACAAAGATAGTATTTATTTGTGTCGCTATTAGTATTACTAATATAACTTCAAAGACCATTAAAAAGAATTTAACTGGCTATTTTGTTCTTATCAGTCTTGTTTTCGAATTAAGCAATCTTAATCTTACTCATATTTGTGGTCACATTGTACTCTTTTACGTTTATTTTTGAAATTAAAGTAATGTATCTGCTTTTGTGTGGTTAATATGTAAATTCTTTATTGTTTTAAACCTTTTACAATTTTGTGAATGTTTAAAAAAGGTATGATTTTCTTTAAAATTTACAAAAATCGAAATTACATCTCCATCAACCTCGAACCTCCCTAACTGTAGATCTTTCTACTTATGTAAGAAACAAGTTGTCATAGTAACAAGCCAGTACTATACCGAGAAAGCGCTTTCCCTCTTTTCCAATCCGACACGAAATCTGAGTGGGCATGGGCGATTGGAAGGAGGAAATCCACTCAAGCGAGCAGGTAAGGTGGGGTCTAATGTTTAATTCCGTCTTTTAGCCGGATTTGACCGCGAACGGGGACCTGGACGACTTTGAACAACAAGAACGGGAGATTCAAGTACAATCGGAGCAGGAACAAGCTCCAGATGAAAATAGGGTACGAGACAGAGAGATTGCTACTATTCCCGAAGGGAATGAGGACGAGTTTACCGTAGATTCCGTGCAGAATCGACAACTTTCGGTAGGTATATAAAATATTATATTGTTTTAGATTGGTTAGCTATAAGGTAGTAATTTGAGGTAGAGTTGTTAGTGTTTAGAAGATAAATTGAAGATTTTAAAGTAAATATAGGCCAGATAAAAGCAGATGTAAAGTTATATAATAGCTCTCTCAAGACAATTGTAGGTATATATACTTTATCATAATACTTGTTATAGTTGAGTAAAGTACAAACAATATTTATAGAAAATTACTCTGTAGTATTACCTAAATCGGGCCATAACGTAACTTTATAAATGTAAAAAGTTACTTTTTAACACAGAGCAAGCAGCGTTATCTTCAAATGTCGAAAGTAATGTTACTACATAAAAAGTAACTTTACTGCCAACAACAAAACGTAATGTTATCACAAATGTAAAAAGTTACTTTAGGGCCTGAAGCAGAACTCTCTGGAGATTAACAATTACTCTGACGAGTCCGACTACCCTGACGGTAAGTGTTACCACGCTACTCCCGCTTAATATACCAAGATTTTTATCCAGGTTACCCTCAAAAGTCGGAAGATCCTCCCCCAGCATACAGTGATACGAAGGAGGAACATACCATGGAGACAGTGCCAGATACGATGGGGGGATTAGTCAAATTTGGTAAGGGAGGTTGTTGCATTGGTTTTTCAAATTTTTATCCTTAATTGGTAAGCGGTCAAAAAATAAGTAGAAATTTAGATTTTTAGTTCTAAAACTGGCTATTATTGGACGTATTCTACATTTTTTAAATAAAATTTAATACAAAAAACTAAAAAAAAATTATTTTAGCAGGCATGGCAGCAGCAGTAGCCACCACAGCCGGCCTAGACTCCTCTCGTTCCGACGATTCAAACAGCTTCGACCATTACCGCGACGACATCCGCGACCAACCCCACCAACATACCCTAGACATAGCCCCATCCTATCGTCTCTCAACCGGCGTCAAAGAGCTGTTTCATCTGGTGGAAGACTTCGAGGCGGACCGTGTTGACATCCAGTCCCAGCTAAGACCCTTTCTGCTTGATTACTTGCCGGCGGTGGGGGACGTGGACCCGTTCCTCAAGATCCCCCGACCCGACGGATTAGAAGATCATCTCGGATTAATCGAGCTGGACGAGCCCGCCCCTCAACAGTCAGACTCGACTATCGTGGACATGAAGCTACGACAGGCCAGCAATATCATATCATCCGAGAGTAATGCGCCGGCTAAGAAGTTGGAGCGGGCCGATAAGAATCGGGACCAGATCGATTCGTGGATCAGGGATATTAAGGTTGGTTTTGGAATTGAGATACGAACTTTTATCTTTAATTAAAGATATAAAATACGAATTTTTAAGGAAAAATGTAAATTATTTGGATGAACCAAAAGTAGCGGGACACTTTCTATGTATTTTTCAACTAAAAAGTGTCTCACTACTTTTGGTTCAACTAATAGTGTAATAAAAAGTAAGTAAATTGAGTTTTCAGGAGCTGAGAAGAAGCAAGATACCTGACCGAGTAAATTATGAAAAACAGATGCCAGATCTAGAGAGGTTGATGCAAGAATGGCCTCCAGAAGTAGATTCGCTTTTACGAGAAATCAAGGTACGTTTTAACAGAAAAAGGTGATTACTCAGTCATTTTTTAAGGATAAAAACATAACGTGTCGTATTTTAAAAACCACTATAAATTACAAAACTCCTAATTTTACCTAAATGAAACTGCCTGTTTTGCCTAATACCTCAATATTAAGTTTAAATCCAAATTTCAGTTACCATCCTCTACTTTGGACTGTACTGTAGACGAATATGCCGACATATGCTTAAGCCTCTTGGACATACCGATACACAAAAACAAGCTCCATTCGTTACATGTTTTCTTCTCATTATATTTGGAATTCAAAAACTCTCAACACTTCCGACAGATGGCTGCCAACAACGTGAACGATGAAGCCATGGACAGACTGGAGTTGTAGTTGTCATTTGTGATGTATATTAATATATTTAAGGTTTTGTGGCATGATGTATATTTATTTATATGTGATTGTTTATAATATATTATTATCAAGTTTTTAGGTAACACTTGTAGTTCATACCTTTAAAAACCTAATTTGTTTCTATTAAACCAAAGTTTTGTTCGAAATTTAGTAAAACACTCAAGTTTGCCTTCTGAAACCACCTTGTTGTAGACTAATCGAATCAACAACACGTGGAGGTGATTAGTTATTGATAGGGTTTAACTCGAGTGTTGATCCTCGACCCCCCTCTCGACCTTATTTGTTTTCCCTCTAATTACTGTCACTTGAACCTCATGGTGAAAACAGTTCCTGACCGCAATTCAATTAATATACAGGTCAGTTGGGGTCCGAACACTTTGACAATTAACGGCGAACGGCGTTACACAACGGTTATTAACTTCCTTTCGTTTGGCGAACGTCCAGGATACCTACGACAATGAGGATCGACGATTAGGGGATCTCAAGGATCTATTACCTATTGTATTGTGCAATCCGACACAATGGCTATGTTTTGACAAAACTTTCGGATAATTTCAAAATATGAGGTTGTTGCGGAGCGTCACTCTACTTAGGGTTTCAAATAAAGATTTGAAGAAAATGAATTCAGAATGCTTAATATAAAAAACTTACAAAAAATGTTCATGGAGTTGTAACAACAAGTCTACTTTTAATTCATTAAGTTCTGTGTCCTTTTTGTAAAGCTCACTGACAGTTCAATAGATTTTATGACATTTCGTCTATTTCAATGACATTCCGATAGATTTTGTGGCATTTCGTCCCATTATATGTCAAATTTTCAATCATATATTTCATTTTGTGACACTTTGCGACATTTGTGACACTTCGTTCATTTTGTGACATTTGGATTATTTTTCAACTCTATTAACCTCTTTTCAAAAAATATGTCAGAAACCTTTGTCTCGAAGCTGACTCTTGATCATATGGTGATAGTTAACGAGTTGTCGCCACATAAAAGTAGCGATTACATTAGTAAAGTTAATTATTTACTCCGTCACAAAACAACAATTAAGCGGCATTACAGCAACGTACTTTCCGTTGGCTTTATTGTAAACATTTGTCAAAAGTTCCTTCCTTTCAACGTATCATTTACAGAGCTTTATGACAACGACCTTATGGCTTCTCTCGGCTAGCCAAAGGTTAGTTCTTCTTTGGCTAGCGAGTTTTAGGTTGTTCTTTGATGATGATTTAATGTATTTTTGGGTAGTTTTTTTTTAATTTTAATATTAAACTTTGAATTTCATTCTTTATCAAAAAATTTTATTTTTGATTTACTATGCCAACGCAGTACGTACTCAGCAACCTATGCCTTCACCCCTTCAACCAACATTTTTTTTCCCAGCCAGCCGGCTTTTTTTTCCCACCAAACCCCCACCGCCCTTTATGATGTTGTCCTTTGACGTTTTTATAGCAGACCCACTTTCTAGCTAGCCGACCCTCTCCCGCGCCCCAGTTTTGGCCTCGACAAAAGAGGATTTCGAAGATTACGATCAGTTTACGGAATGAAACAGGTTCAACGTCTACAATAACACGTGAATGGAACAAAAAGACAAAAAACAATCTCTTATAGGTGCGATAATTTGGTTGTCGCTCTAATTCGCGCGGGTTTCACTTTTAAGGGGAGGGGGCCTGGGTTTCCGTCCCGGTTTAACGTTCGTCGCTGAAACCCTTCCCTGAGGGTTTCGACGAAACTCGGCAAGGCCATTATCACAAATGATAAAAAACGATTGCGCACCAGGAAAGAGCAATGGGGCGGGTCGGTGAGGGGGGGGGGTGTCAGAGAGTGCAACCAGTGTGATTCGAGAGGAACGACAGAGACCTTGATGACTTCGGTTTTATCGTTCGTTTTGTATTCGGCTACAATAATGATTTTGTTTTGTTAAAGAAACTTTTTTTTTATTTACTGTTTTGACATTTCCGGAAGGAATACTTTTGTCCATGATGACATAGGTTAAGGAGGCGAAGGGGGGAGGGGTAAAGAAAACAGGGTATTTTTTTAAGAGAGGATTAATAAAACGGGTACTTTAAGGAAGTTTTGAGTTGGGGCAAGTGATGTGAGATGGAGAAGGCAATGAATAAGTTTTAAAGGTAATATGAGGTATATTGATTTAACGTCAAGATCATAGTAATATATGCCAACTTATTCCATTTTTATTCATTTGTTTGCAGTTTTCAATCATATTTTAACGTGTACTGTACTGTTTAGTACCTCTTACTAATTTTTATTTCCTAAATTCATCCCTTTTTCATTAAAAACCTGAAAATGTAAATTTTGACTGCCTTTTACAATGTTATTTACAATACAAGTTTCCGTTTGTTTATATTTCCTTTTACACTGTACAATAACTTTTCTCAATTTTACGTCATTTCCTACGTACAACATGTTATTGTCGCGATTATATCGTATGTTTCCGAGGTTTCCGGTTGAATTTTAAAAAAGAAAAGTGGGCGGATCACCGGTTTCTTACTTCTTACCCTCCCGTTCTCACTTAGTGACCCCTCAGCGCAGATCTTTGGACGTGTTGTTGTTCAGGTAGATCTGACTCGGTTCGACTGGTCGAGCTTTTTGATTCTACTGGTCGGTATTTTCTGTTTTTATTAAAGTATCTACTGTTGACTTGATTGATATTTACTTTTACCTTGAGTAACATCTACTTTGCTATCTGATATTTCTTCTTTGGGATTAAAGTACCCTTTACTGTACACTACCTTTTTACTTTTAGTATTTTCGTAGTACTATATAGTATATACATTACTGAGCACTAACCTACTGCTTCAGATCTTCGGCTTCCAACAGTCGAAGGCTTCAGCAAGGGCGAAGAGCGATGGTGCGGCTTCGGAATATAGGATTACTGCTTACCGTAGTGTTACAGTTACAGGTATGTCTTACTTTTATATCTTTATCAATTTGGTTTTATAATGTAAATCTAGAGGTATTAGTCACAAATTAGAACACGTTGAAAACTTTTTTTTATTTTCGATTCAAATATTGGTTATGTTAAGTCAAAACATACTATAACTTAATGTCAGATCAATACTGCATTATAATATGTTTCTTTTAATACATGACAATCTTTTTCGAACACTAAAACAATATTAAGATCCCCTTTTCCGTTCGAAAAGGTTACAATGCCATTTGCACGTCTTTAACGTTACTTGGAAGCGGTTTATGAGTAGTCTTGAACCTTTTTACACTTGATGTGGCGCCCTCTTCTGTCTGATAGGGGCTGACTTCTCTCCGTTTACAACATCGAGAGTAATGGTCAACAAACCAACAAAAAACAGTGACTTGTAGAAAGGTGTTAAAGACTAATTGGGGATGGGTGCTGTCAGCAAAAACACAACAACATATCAATAACAATCTTGTAGGTATAGTGTAGTCATGACTAGATCTGCATGAATATGGTCGTGTAGAGCTATTGAAAGCATATAGACCTTCAAAGCAAGAAAAAATACAGGTGTATAGGTAATGAGTGGGGCATAAAGCTTAGTGATCATATAGGTATAGGAGTTATGCAGATTTTTAAAGTTTCTACGTACTTTTTGACCCTGATAAAGTATTAAATTGTCAGATGCTGTAGCAGATATTACCCTAGACATGCACGCACTACAAGAAGAAATGAATCACATATTGTAGTTCATATCCGCTTCGAATCAAACTTGTAGTTGACAAACACGTCGCTTACCAAACAATATTGCCGCCGGGGGAACGGCAAGTTAAAGTAGAACACCCAGCTCATCCATCATCCTGTTATCACAGCTATAACAACATCGGGTTTATCTCCTTTTTGCGCCGTTTTGAGGTTACCGAGGTGCGAGGAACGGCGAGAAACCAAGAGTAAAGCATATCGAGTAACAAGGCAAGGTTACTCGAGGTACTGTATTGTTTTCGCGCAATTCTTGCAAAGTTGTGACCTTAATTTTTCGAAAGTGTGAAAAATATTGGTATTTGTCCCATTTTTGGCATTAAAATGATAATTTTAGGTATCAAATCAACCGTTTTAAGACTTTTTTCCTAAAAATATCTAAAAGATTTTGAACGCAATACCTAAAAACAACCCTTTTTGCACAAAACAAGGTTTAAAGTTGTGTTTTTGAAAGTAACAGTTTCATTAATCGTTCTGCAAAGGGTTTAACACCCGTTTTGCGATATTTATCAGCAGCGTTCTCTCACCGTTACAAGGTTACGCGCGGTTCAAACAATTAGAAACATAAACAATTGGGTCACACAACGATTATCCCACTGACCTCCAGCTCCCACCAATATTTTGCCACCGACCTCGACCGCACGTGGCACGGCGATCCGACTCCGAAGGTAATGGGGCTGAAACGAGGGAACGACCACATGAATGACGAGGGTTTGCTAGGTTAATATTCACATTAATAGGGTAACGAGGAGAGGAGTATTTTCATATGAAAGTAGTTGCTATAAGTTAAAGATAGCTAGCAAAAAGGAGAGGCTGTGATATAACACCAACTACTATAATATAGATCTTTAGTACAATCAGATGACGCTCAATTAAAATCCGATAAAAGTAAACCAAAGATCATGTAAGCAAAATGCAATAAGTATAATATCCTCTACAGCCTTAAGAACATAAAAACAGAACATTACCATAAAGATCCAAATCACTCTCACAGACCTTAACCTACTACAATATAAACTTTCAGATCGCCCATTCAATAGTGCACTTTTTCTCCCGAAATGACCTAAAGTACACTTTCGGAGTCAACCACCATCTAGAAGTACCAGAACACACACAATTGTACCCCAAACTGGTACGAAACCAAGATGGCAGACCCATAACACTAGAAGTTGACATTAACGACAAACACTATTCACTGAATCTAGACTCTGTCACGAATCAACTGGTCGCTGATCGAGCGACAATAGTCAGCCGAGAAGATCAGCGTGGTGGAGGAAAGTTGGAGTTTGCCACCAGTAACGAGGATTGCCACTATCACCATGAAGGTAACCACACGATGGCAGCTGTTTCAACGTGTGATGGAGTTTTGGTAAGATCTTAAAAATAGATAAGATTTTTGAATATATAACAAGAAAACAGGTATCAAACTTTGAGAAATTATATTTAACTCACCAAAAGTATAATTTGAAAAGTTTTGGAACCCTTAACCTCGCACAAACTACAATAATATACAACATAATAGCTAATCGAACGCTTTTTATTGTAAGTTCCAAAAACAATTAAAGTTAGTCTGAACCACACAGTTTCTGTCGTAAATTACATGTGTGCAGAGTAAAAAAAAGATTTCATCAAGTCGATAACGGATGTTTTGAAACTTCAATCAATTGTTGAAGCCCGTTCCACAAAATAAAATTTTATTTTTGAGATTTTACTTTGGCCAAAGCTTGGTAATATCCGCATATTTTATGGAAAAAAAGTTAAATTTCAATAAATTACTGTGTAAATAACAATAACAACAAAAGATTTATTGTTTTCAACACTAAACTGTTTCAAAAATGTCTAAAATAATATAAAAAGCAATGTTTTAAAATAAATTATTACCTAAATTGATCTTTAAATGTCTTTTTCAGAAAGGAACGATCCTAACTGAAGATGGAATCTTCGTCATCCACCCGATCCCGGAGAAGCACATGAACCGAATCAAGCGATCTTCAGACGGGATGGGCGTCCACATCATCTACAAACGTTCCGTGGACAGCGATGAGTTCTGCGGTCTAGACAACACCATCACCAGTGAAGAGCTACTTGACGATGAAGCCGGAGTCAATGAAGATGTGTTTGTGACTGGTCAACGGCTCGTTCAAGACGGTCAAGAACTTGTTGTTGAACTCGCCATCTTCGTCGATGAACTCCTGTGGAGACACTTCAACAGTCAGTACGGTGGAGCGGCGTGGCAGAAGCTACAACAATATGCGGTCACGATGTTGAACAACATCCAGATCATGTACAAACAGCCGAGTGCCGTGCCTCGCCTCAACTTCAGAATTGTCAGGTACGAAGTGTTCAAGACCCAACCGAGTGCCATGGCCCCTCACCTTCACAGTAATGGTCATGCTCAGATGTATTTGGACAGGTTCTGTAAGTATCAGAGGAGTTTGGGAGTACGAGACTGGGACCACGCTCTTCTATTGACTGGCTACGACATTCACCGTGGTACCGGGAGTAGGTCTATCTCTGGCATTGCTCGTCTTGATGGTATGTGTGACCCATGGAATACATGTACATTGGCTGAAGGACTTGACTTTACATCAGCCTTTATTGGTACTCACGAGTTGGGACACAGTGTGGGAATGAGGCACGACGAGCCTTACTGTGCCTCTACCTTCATCATGAGCTCATCCTTGGGCCCTGGAAAGGTCACGTGGTCGACTTGTTCGTTGAGAGATTACCATACCTTCTTACAGCGGTTAGAGTGAGTTATTTAAATTGATAATTATATGTTATAGTAGGTGTTTGTTTATCCGAATCACTGTATATCCTGTCTCGTATTTTACAATTTCAAAATTATTTTTTAATCTTCAGTGCCCGAGGAAAGAACTGTCTTCGTACGTCGTATATGCCTGAGAAAGTACCACTAAGTGATGCCATTAAGCCTGGCCAATTGTACGATGCCAATACTCAGTGTATGTTGATGCACGGTCCTGGCTACATTCAAGTTCGGCCGAAGCAAGATCACTACGATGGCATCTGCTACATGATGTGGTGTGGGTTGGGTCAGTTCGGTCGTATCATAACATCACATCCGGCTTTGGAAGGAACGTTCTGTGGTCCCAACAAGTGGTGCCAACTTGGCCGCTGTGTCCCATGGACTCCGACTGCCCCATCGGCTACTGTTGCACCTTCTATTCCTGCTCCTGTGCCTTCGGTATGTTGAAGTTTATGTTCTTTATATTGTGAAGTTGTTTTAGGAACTAGATTTACTGTACAGTAACTTCCGGTTTTTTACTACCGTCATCGGTTAGGGTTGATCTATTTTTAATTATTTTAATTTCTCTAATAGGCTCTAGTAATGTCTTTTGTTATCCACCTTATAGTAAATTCTATACCTAATCATTGTTATTTCCAGAGAGTGGATGGCCAATGGTCTGGCTGGAGTGGACTGGCTTGTTCACAATGTAGTTGTAGTGACATTGTTGGTGCTATTGGTGTAACTTCGAGTACCCGAACTTGTACTAATCCTGCACCAAGTAACGGTGGGTCGGAATGTACTGGATCCAAGTATCGTGCTGTTGTGTGCAACAAGAACTGTCGTCCTCAAACGTTGTCCGTTAACCAGGTAAGTTGTTTTAAATTGTTATGTAGCTTCAAGAAGTGTTTTTCATTTTCAATTTCATTTGGTACATTAAAATAACGATTGTCGGTACCTTTTTCTTACCCAAACCGTCCCCATAACCCCGTATATCCTCCACGAAAAACAATTTATCAAGCAAATAACGATCGTTATCATTCAGTAACAGGAAATTCAAATGTGATTGATGGTCAATTTGATTTCAGTATATTACAAACAAATGCAGCGAACATAAACGAATCAAGAACGACCCCGAGTTGACCGGTACAGGCAGCCAGTTGACGCGCCATCCCCAACGTGCGTGTAAAGTAAGTGCACCAGAGTTGTAAAACAGTTGCAAAGAGAGTAGAAGGAACGGTAATTAAACGGTTTCCGGTCAAACAAACCTTGAAGCAGCTTAATTCAATCTAACTATGTTTAGGTCATTATCACAAACTTTTAAAGATAAAAAATGAAAATGACTTCCACGGTCATTAATTTAACAACTACCTTGAAAGCCATTAGACATTTACAACATTCAGAATCAGGTTCAGACAGCAAAATCTATGGTCAAATCGAAGGTCACATTAATCTTGGCCCTGCCACGAAAACCTGTTTTTAAGACAATTCCTTCTTAGGACAGTAGAAATACTTTAATATTCAATTTTATATTATGGAAAGTTACAAAATCAATCAATGTTAAAAATAGGTATAACATAAACGAACAATTAATCTTTGGTCCCGCCACGAAAACGTGAATAATCTAAAATTTGCTTTAAAACTATGCAAACGACGAAATTTATGGTTTTATTGCCCATTTTTGAATCAAAACAGCTATTAAGACGACGTTTTTCAATCCAAACTTGTAAAAGCAATGTAATTTGTTGACACATTGATGTATAACATGACAAAACATTCCCAAACCTGTTTCCGATATTGTAATTCCATCTTTCAGGTGTTCTGCGACGTCAAAAACACGGTCGGAGGGCAACGGAACTACCGCTTCTACGGCGACAACCTCCCCGATGGTACCCCCTGTGGCTGGGACCGGTACTGTCTGAATGGAGAATGTCTCGTAAGTCGATACTTTTGGAAAGATTGCCTCAAGCAAGTTAACCCGGCTTTCTGGCCTCCGGCTTTTAAACGCTCTAACATTCGTCGCAGTCCGAGTAAGGTAACGAGCAGTGGTAAGGTAACAAAAACTGCGAGTAGAAGAAGGAAGACTTTGAGTAAGCTACAGAAAAGTGACGGTAAAGGTGACAAAAGAGACAGTAAACGAAATAACAGTGACATTAACCATTACAAAACTACAAAACCTGGTAAAACAGAAGAAAAGAAGTCAGAAGTGGCCAAACAGACGAAGTCATCAAAACTAAAAGTACATTCTGTGAATCACTCGGTGGCCATGAAGCCTCGACCTACCACAACATCAATGCCCTTGACTCAACAAGGCAAGAGGCAGATGATAGACAAGCTTGTGCTCATGTTCAAGTCTCGTCCTCTGTTACCTGAAGTAGTACAACATCGACGCTATCTGTGGGCGAGGATGATGCATCTGCCTAATCCTGAAGCCGAGTTCGCTTCTGTTTGATTTTGCTTTCTCTTCGTGCTTCAAATTGCTTTATATTTGTGTCTAAACTTGCTTTAACAATTTTCTTTGATTTTTTAGTCAAAAATTCAGTAGAATTAATTTATTTTTAAAAAGAATCTATGAAAAACAAAACCTTATTATTTTTCCACGCACTTTTTGACCGACCAACAAAAACTGCTACATAATCGATTCTTGTTTCAGAAAAGTTTCGAGTAATCTCTGCTTCAAATTAACCTTAATTTAGATGGCCCCTTCCCTCCGAGGGGCCATTCGTCTGTCTACGGGTCTCGCGATGTCTTTCAAGGCCGAACTGTCGGCTGTTCAGTACCTTAACTAACTAATAAAGTAGCCTTGTTAACGTTCCTTGTGTGTGCAATTAACTGCAGCTTTAACCTTTGCAATAAATTTTTAATTTTGTGTGATAAGTGTAAAGTGTTAACTGTTTCTTATTGATGACATGTAGTTTTTGACCGATTTTGTGTGCTCTTCATAATTATTAAAGTTTTTGTTTACTAATCTGTGTTGTTGTATTATTCATTACAGTATGTGCTACTTTTCTGCTTAAAATTGTGTTTGTATCATTAACAAAGTTTCGCCAATGGGTCAAGAATACCCCTAATACTGCAAAAAGAAACAAACAGTATAAAACCATAAATGCAAAGAAAAACAGCTTAAAATGCCCCTAACACAACGTCTAGGAACCTAAGATGTTCTTATAAAACATTACACCTCAATAACCAAATCTTGCCTAAATTAAAAATCAATATTCTCAGGACCTGACCTGTGATGCCCAAGTCCTTCTACCTCGAGATGTTGGCTGTCCATCAGCGGCCGAACGATGTCCTCTGAATGCAGCACCACCTGCCCCAACCACAGCCCAAGGCACGTGGGGCGTTTGGTCTTTGTGGTCGAGTTGTACCGTATCTTGTGGAGGTGGAGGTTTCCAGATACGATCTCGAACATGTAGTATTCTGAATAAGTGTGAAGGTCAAGCTACGGAACGAATTGCTTGTGGACAACAAGCATGTCCAGTACCAACTTCTAATGAGCCAGCTTGGACTGACTGGACTAGCTGGAACCAGTGTTCGGTTAGTTGTGGCAGAGGGTCTCAGGCACGGTACCGTCGATGTCAGACACCGCAGACAACCATCGCTTTCTCGTGTCCAGGTAAGGCTTATTGAAACTATTAGGTTGTTCAAAAAGTAATGAGCCACTAATACTTTGAGAATACAATTCTGTATGTTATACAACATTTCAATGTAAATTCAGAATATGGTATTGAAATCACGCTTTCTTTCAATTTCAAAGTATAACAACATTAATCATAGTACCTTTTCACAGTCAAACCTCGTAAAAGTCAGCCTTTTAATCACTTTTGTGGGCATAGTTAGTCTTGTACACCTTAATTTTCTACAATTCCATTTCACACTAATTAGGGAAACTGTTACTGCTTAAAGATTAGTTTTTGTAGACTTTTCTCGTTATTCGAGAAGACGTTCGTATTAGGTTTTGTAACCTTCCGTCGAAAACTTTAAACTCATTACACTCCGCCATGAGTAATATTCGGTTCGGTTTGGTTATTAATAAGCTAAACTGTTAAAATAAAGTATACAAGCGAATAGCAGAGGTAATATCATCTAGTATAACATAGAGAAACATGTTGCGTTAAAACTAAATCAACATTGTAATAAACTTTATGCATAAAAAAGAATGACAGTCATTTTAATAACAAGAAGAAAACTAATAGAATATCAAAGAAAGTAACTCCCTAATAACACCATATTACAGGTCAAACAATGGATATCCGTAACTGTGAAGAGTTACCATGTTCTGGCCGACCTGCAAATGGCATTGGCCTCTGGGCCAATTGGCAAGAATGGGGCACCTGTTCAGCTACTTGTGGTCCTGGTACTCAAACCAGACAACGATTTTGTACAAGGGTAAGTCTTACACTTATATTTTTTTTTAATTCTACACTTTGATCAATAAAGTAATTTTACAATATACATAAGGACCATAGCTCACAGTTCCTGTAATAATGAACATAATATAACGTGTAGAAGAAACACAAAACTTATAAGCAATATATACCTCTACAACATCTACTTCAGGAACCTTGTGATGGATCTGGAACCCAAAGAATGGCATGTAATCAAAGAGAATGTGGTGGTAATTGGACACAATGGAGTTTATGGTCGGAGTGCTCCAGGCTTTGTGGCAGAGGAGTTAGGACTAGAACTAGGTAGTGTAATATCATCAGCAGAAGCTTATGATACCCAAAGATTCTCGTATTGAATCTATATTCACAGTTTATAACAAATTAACCTCCTTTTCAGAGCCTGCCCCAGCAACAGTTGTACTGGCCCAGCGTCAGAACAAGGTTTTTGTAATGACTTTGCCTGCCAAGCCGGTGTGGCTAGTGGGCAATGGAGCGGCTGGTCCGAGTGGGGTGTGTGTTCAGTAAGTTGCGGTGCTGGAGTCAGACGCCGAACACGCCATTGTCAGAGTGGCAACTGTCCAGGAGACTTCAGACATCAAGAACTGTGTAACGAGGGGTCGTGCCAGACCACCAACGCCAACTGGGGAGGTGAGAAAAGGCGGCGCAAACAAGGGGTTTCTAGTTCTGATTCTCGTCTGTCTAACTCTTTAGTCCAAGGGCCAAGAGCTCGGTCAGGTCAGTCCAATCTGAAGCAACGAGACTTTGTTGGTGCTGTGAAACAAGCTCAGCATGATGTTCAGCCGGCTCCGCAGCCATTACCACGACCACAAGCTCAACCACAACAGGTTCCTCAACAAATGCCACAGCAGCGACCACAAATCGCTCAAGCACAGCAACAACAACAACCGGTTGTGCCACAAGCTCAGCAAGTTATGCGACAACAAATAGTACAACAGCAGCAACCTGTCCAGCAAATACCTCAACAAAGAGTACAACAACCAATGCAACCAGTGCAACAAATCCGTCAACCAATCCAACCAACTGTTCAGCAACAGTTGCAACCTCAATTCAATCAACCTAGATTCCAGAACAGAATCGCACAGCCACAATTCCAGCAACCACAGCAACAATTCCAGCAACCAATGCAACAACAGTTCATACAACCAAGAGTGCAACAGTTTCAGCAACCGGTGCAACAGTTCCAACAACCCGTGCAACAGAGGTTTATCCAGCCACAAGTACAACGATTCCAGCAACCTGTGCAACAAATATACCAACCGCAATTCCAGCAACCGGTTCAGCAATTCCAGCAACCAGTGTATCAACCACAGTACCAACAACAGTTCTACCAGCCGGCTTTTGGTTAACCTTGGACTCTTACTTGTTGTTACAGTAGTCTCCTTAGGTTGTTACAGTAATCCTTCTAGGTTGTGGATCTTATAGTTAATTTACATTAATCTATGCCAAAGTTACAGTAATCTCTCCTAAAGTAACGTTTTCGCATTTCTAACTAAAATTAACATTTTCCCATTCTGCACCAACGGTACCACTTTGTTTCTGTTTTCAGTGGTACCGCACGCATCTTGTAGGTATCTAATCCGGGCTATGGTGGCAGTGGTAGTACGATGTGTTGTTATTAACCTCTCTTTCAGGTTGGGGCTACTGGTCGGCCTGCTCGGAGACCTGTGGCCAAGGCGTCCGCCGACGAATCCGCAAATGTTATGGCTTCGGAGCGTGCGCGGGCACCGAGTTCGAGCGTGATGTATGTACGCAACGTGCCTGTTAATATGTGTTTTAACCTAGGTCCTTTACTCTTCACCGTTCTTAACGTTCGTAGCGTTCTTAGCTGTTTGTTAACATTCACAAGCGTCTTTTGGTACTACTGGTTCTGTCTTTTAATGCTTTCAGTACTAGTTTTAATACTGCTAGTACTAAAGTATGAATATTAGGATAAGATTTAGTACTAGTGGTACCACAAGACGTATTCTTATACTTGTTACAGTAGCCTAAACATTCTTCTCGTTACAGTCCCTATCCTCTCTTATAATAATGTTACAGTAACCTGCACTACCATAATTTTCTATAAATTTTACCGTAACCATACTCGTTTCGATAAATGTTACAGTAACCCATAGTTTGTTACCGTAACCCAGGTCTTAGTTGTTATCCCGTTTTTACCATGCCAAAGACGATATCACCGCTTGACACGTTAATAATTGTATAAAGGCTATCTACTCTAATATGTCGCTCCTCGTTGCTTTGCAATACGTCCGGGTCGGAGCTTCTAATATCTATTCTCATATTGTAATAAGGTTTGTCATGAATGCGGGTGCCCTTCGTGGCCTTTTTCTCGTTCTATATTAATGTTTTAAAGCTTTTATTAAACTTAATTAATCGATTTTGGCAGTTACAAGAGGGGTGTGATGTTGATCGTCGTATAACAACATACTCGATGTTACAGTAGATGATGGTTACAAAATAGTATAATAAAACAGAGTTGTTATACAAAGTTTAGAAAAAGAAAGACGAGTTGGTAGTCTTAACAGTCGAAAAAAGTCATAGCGACTTTAAAAATAGTGTCATCATGACAGTAAAATTAAAAAAATTAAACGTTTCAACTTTAAAAACCATTAATTTTTAAAAATTTTGCGTTAGAGATGTTTAAATTTAAAGAATTTACAAAATAATTTCATACACAAGTCATAAAGAATATAAAAAGATGTCATTATGACCTGATTTCTAGACATTTGAGAGAAATGTTTGTTGAGCAAAGCTAAAATACGAAAATGTGGCCGTATATAAAACCAGAGATATAACTAATGACTTCTGTACAAAAAGCTAGTAGTAACAGTATCTACGACTACACTTATATTTGACTTGAAAAACTAATTGGAAGATGTCAATTATATGCCTTTTGAATAACATTAGAAAAGGCTTGTTCTGCTTTAGATTGACGAAGATAAACTAGAGATCATCGTCGTCGTTCTCTTTCCTCGTACAATAACAAGCTAGACCCACGAGGATGGCGAAGAAGAACAAGGTACAGAACAACAACATCCATGTCGCCAGCTGAACTTCGAGTTTATACTTTTGCTTTATATTTTTAAAAGTGGTTTGCAGAGACTCACTTACTCGTTTTTCAATATTATTATAGAGGGATCAGGTTTCCCACCGTATATTACCAAAAAAAGCATCATATCGACCCATAAAACTAAATAAAACAACATACCTGATAATCCCCTAACTGTTTATCCAACTGTGATATCTTCTGAAGATTCCCAACATCCACAGCATCAAGATCTCGAGCATACCAATTCCAGAAGACGTGACCTTGCCATCTGAAGCCAGTCTTCATTTCTGGAGTATCAGTGATCGACAAGAAGTCCAGTTTCTCGGTCATTTCGGTCCAGTTAAAGTTCAGTCCACTGTTTTCAGGTGTTGGGACACTAAAATTTAAATATTATATATTATAGATTACGTCCAAAAATTTAGTTCAAAACAAGTACAATAACTAAAAATATTCAAAAAAAGAAAGAAAAGTCCTTTTTTCAGCTAAAACAACATTACTAATCATAAACTTACTCATATTTCAAAAAGTTGATGATAAGTTCAGCAAAGATCTCGGTAACTCTCTTGTCCAACTGCCAATTCCTATCTTTCCTTGTCTCCAGAAACCTTGGCTCCTTCTCGAACAGAAACACTTCATCTACACCATGAAAAGCTCCTAAATTCATATTATTCAACCAAACTGTTGTTTAACTTACTGTCGGTCAAAAAGTTCTCGCTAACGTGATCAAACGAGTACATGTATACAGGCACTTGCTTCGAATAGTAGTTGGCTAGTCGTGAAGCAGGAGCATCGTACCAGAAATGAGAGTACATCTACAACACGTTAGCGTTGTTTTATGATTTTGAAAGTGAAGGTTAAGTAATTTAGTCTGATGTAAGCTTATCTTTGTAATTTTAAAGTATATTCGTTCATGATTTTACACAAAAAAGGAACTAACAACAATAGACAAATCAAGAAACAAAATTTTGTAGGAAATAGTCCAGGAAAAGCGTCTCAGTGACGCATTTTTTGGAAGAATAAACCGGAAAAATATATTTTGCAAAGTTTTTTAGGAAATGCGGAGGTTTGATGGACATTTTTGAATGTATTGTTGCATAATGTAAGTCTTTTACAAAATTATATATTAATATTAACGTTGCTAAGCAGTTATGTTAAAATATAACATTAAGTTGCGCAGAAAAATTCATTCATTTGTATTAAATTGATGAAGTAATGTAAAATAGTCGTTTTCAAATTGAAAATATTATTGTTTTGAAATGTTACCAATTTTTTTTGAAAAGGTAAGTCCTCGTTTATTTTTTATATGGTTTTAGTTACCTTTAGCACAGATTCCTGTAGTATCTCCTGTTCTGAAGACGGATCGTTTTTAGTCCAGATATATTGATGTTTACAGCCTTCTGCAATCAGCCGATGATTCGAGAATCCGGTGTATGAATTTGTGAGATTCATGGCCAATTCCTCCGCCAATTGTGTATCCATCGCCGTGAAGTTGACGTCTTTTTCGTTCAGAATCACTGGAATTGAAGTGTTATTCAGAAGAGAATGCTTTTGCAGTTTGTGACGTCACGGAAGTGACACTAGAATCCCAAATATCTGAATTCAAAGGATTCTGCAGAGAAAAGGAAACAACAAGATCTGTTTGGAAAAGTTTGCCTCAGAAGTTTGTGACGTCATTGTTAGAGATTTTTAGGCGAAAAAGACCACTTGTTTTGGCAAAATAATCACAATATATTCACGAGATGCTGATAAAGTTTTTGACAATAATTACTGAAGAAAATTATAACACTTACACAGCCGAAGGGAACTCTCATCTTGTGTGGTACCTAACATAATTGGCACTTTTGGTATGTTTGGGTCGGCTAGCAAAACTTCTGGAGCTTCTGGTATTACTCCATCTTCTCCGTCAACTACAGGGACGAATTCTTCGTAGTCATCAAAGTGTACTCTCTAAACATGCATTATTATTATCTAAATTAATGTTTTTTACTTATTTTTGGTCTTTTATTCTATTTTATTCTAATTTCAAAATGTTGTCTTACTTCTGTGTCCAGAATCTCATCTTTGAGCTGTTTCTTGAAGCAATCCAGCATTTGTGAGGAATTGAACGATCTACAATGTAGCTTCGTATCTAACGCTAATGTAGCTGCTACAGCTGATTCCCTGACTACACCCGGGCTGATGGCTGTTCCACTTAATAGTACAACTTTGTGAAACAATCCCACCGCCCGCGGGGAGAGCGCCAACAGCGAGGCACACGCGGCTCCTGATCCTTGACCCATTAGCATGATATTGTTGGGATCTCCGCCGAATACGACCGCGTTCTCTTTGACCCATTGTAAGGCCAGGATCTGGTCCCAGAGGCCATTGTTACCCGGAATCGTACTGTCGCCAGTTGCTATGAATCCTGAAATGAGGTCAAGGGTTAGGCCGAACACATTATTGAGTAAATCATCTTTGAGCGTAGTTTTTTGCAGGGACTGATATGGATTATATTGTTTTAGTCTCGTTCTATAGTTTTGATGTTTCTTATTGAAAGTAATGTCACTATAACTTGAAGAGACTCACCTATCGGTCCTAATCGATAATTAACAGAAACAAAAATGATTTTCCTAGAAACAAAGTTGTTAAGGATGGCATCTTGAGGGTAATCGCTGGCCGATCCCGACTGAAAGTTGCCTCCGTGAAGCCAGACGATCACTGGATATGTGTCATTAGTGAACAGTGGAGGCGCGAATACGTTCAGATACAGGCAGTCTTCTGATATATGAATCTTGTACAGGTTCTGGGGATCTGTGGACCGGGATCGGGGCAGCTGGGCGCACATCGGAGGATATTGTGTGGCGTTCATGACACCGCGCCAATGGGCCGGAGGGTCGGGTTTCTGGAAGTATCTTGTATTAGGGTTGTTATGTTAATTTTAAATTTTCATAAATAGTAGTTTATATTTGCGAGGGCAAAATTTGGCTTCTTTCTTATCTTAATCTGTATATTCCTACTACGTAATATGTAGTGTATATGTTGTAGATCTAAACTCTTAACTCACTTGGAACCGCAGAGAGCCTACGGGTGGCGCGGCATAAGGAATGCCTTTGAATACTGCAAAGTCATTGGCTCCGATTGTCTGAAAGTGCTCGAGATTAGTTTAAAATTAGCTTGGCGTTTCACATTTGACTTTACTTGGTACTTAGGCTAACTATAGATAAAATCACATCGAAATTAATGTCACCTTTTAGTTATTATAGCTTATATATGTAATTTTACATGTATGTTATAGTACAATGGACTATAGGTAAACGTACTAGGTATTCGCCTCTGATAGATCCCGAGTTGATGGTTAGTTCGATTGGGTGGGTGCGCCTTGGTTGGGCGGTGCATAAATGAAAACATACGAATGTGAGCAATGAACTCAGCACAGATGACATGATCTAAGACATGATCTGTATCTACTGGCAGTGTAGGAACCCTGAGGAGCGTCTGGCTTCAATTCATCTGAAATTTGAGTTAAGCTTTAGGTTTTTCAAAGATATTGAAGATGAGAACGTTAGAACGGGCAGTATTAAAACTGTAGCATAGAATGAAAGATTTATTCTTTTTAAGGGTTTCTTAAAAGATAAATCAATATATATGATACTATAAAGTACAACAAAAAATAACCGTAAAGGGTCTAACATTGTCTTATATGCTTTGAGAAGCTAAAAGTTTAGTTTCATTTGTCAAAAGTTCAACAGTGTACTCATCAAAAGGTCACGTTAAGCATCTGCTACATAATAGCGCGATAAATCAAACCCCGACCCCTAAGGCACGGTTGTATTTAGACGAATGCAACGGATATAAAGTAAAGGACGTTTGATGTATAGTCAGAGATTGTAATGTCGACTCTGACCAGCGGCGATTCCGGTTTCTCCGGAAGACCGCGTTTTCAGAATGTTCTGAAGCCAAGACCGGGCCTAACGAAGCGCCGGAACAGAAGCAGCGTCCCGTGCCTTCAGATGCGCACTTCTTCGGAGATTTGTGGGGCCGCCGGAAGGGGGGGGATTTGTTTTGGAAGCCACTCCTTCGCTGTGAATCCCCATCTGGGATGCAGTTTTCGACATGGATCGATGTCGTCGAGTTTTTGTGTGTGTGGCCTTTCGGGCTCGATGATGTTTCTTCGGAGTAATGTAATATTGTTGTAGCTTCTAGTTTGTTTAGCTGTGAATCGGTTTAATTCGCAATTATGAACACATATTGTTATAGCCTTGATGTTCTTATGTTTCTAGGCTTTGTGGATATATTACATATTATGAAAGGAGTTATATGTTACACTCTATATATATACGTTTATGAATGTGGAATGGTTGTATTCAATTTTGCAGTCAAACACGCAGTATAATGTGACATTTTGAAGCTTTAAAGGAGCTCTTTTAAATCACACTACACATGTAGCAACATGTCACAAACAATATAACACAATAAAGAAAAGTAACATGTTTTAGGATATTAAGTTACATACGAACTTATACCTGTTAAGTATGTTACTACAAGTTAATATGTCATTTTGATTATCTACAAAACCAGACATAAAATACCTAAAATATGAAGCAAATTTAATAAATTTTGCAAAGTTTCAACTGATATATTAAGCCAATTCGACCACTATTCAGGTCTACAATAACATGTGAATCATGTTTTACTTCCGGAAATTATTTTTGCATAATAAGTAAAGTTGAACTCTATTAAGCAAGACATGAAAAGACCCTAACGAACACCCTACGGACTCTCACATAACATCACAATTACCAGTAATAAAAAACTGCTACCTTGATGTTATATTGCCCATGGCAGCGTTTTTAATGTACATATACTAGTTTTTACTAATAAACATACGAAGTATAATATAATATTTAAAGCTGTAATGGGCTTGAATGTCATTTAAAATGGTAATGACCTTATGCAGTAATGACCATGCTTATTATGTTTATTAACTTAAAGTCTAAGTTACTGTAACTACTTTATAGCACTGACATATGCATGGTAGGGTATATACAGTTTGTGGTAGACATAACATATGTAAACGTATGTGGGTAATGTAATCTGGGCGAAGGTGGTGTGTCAGGTGAAAAGTTTGATCTAATTGTAAGTTCCTTACTGAGTAAAGTCAGCTGTTATGTTGTTTTTCAATATTGTATGTTACGTGAGGGTTGTGTACATTAATATTGTCTAGTGATCGTTTGTAATATTATATCTGTAATTAGTTGCTGTGAATGTAGTTGGCATGAGGTCTGGTTTAAATGAGTGTTTTTATAGTATGTTTTAGCATGGCATCTTGTAAATAATGGCAATATTTTTGAGAAAGTTAATGTTTTGCTTGCTGACTATAACTGGGATATCTTATAAGGAGTGTCTATGATAATATTTTGATTTATGATATACTGTAGAAAGTATGTACTGTAAGATAAAGTCATTTACCAAGCATTTATCTTGTATTTACGAAAAAACAAAGTCGTCTGACCTGTAATAGCTGGGTGCATACAATCATATAATTATGCTCGTAATAAGTACACTTCTGGTGCCTTACTATTACTAAATTACTACATTTGACAAAGAATACTCTGAACGTAAGGGCCTATTACTTATGATGTTTAACTATAGTGGATTATGTCCAACGTAAGCATTCCACTAGGGTCTTTATGTCATTTATTACATTTACTACGTGGTATGTAGTTTTGTTCACCTTTATATCGTATGTTTCATTGATAGGCTTGTCTGGTACGTTGATTTGTTGAAATGGCATTGCAAGTGCATTTTTTGTTTTACTGTATTTTGCTGTAAAAACAAACATTTTATAATACTATACGATACATCTTCATATTCAGCAAGATATACATATATATTTGCAATTGAAAAATATGTTTTCAAAAATGATAGTAACGTTTTATATTACTATAACTCAGGAGACATCTGCATCCTCGCTTTCAGCTATAACTCGTCTTGCATAACGCGTACATCTGTCACTTACAGCGCGGTAACTAAGGCTCTGACGCGTTTTAAACGCTGGTTTTTCATAGTTGACTTCGTATCTTGGCAATGGAGATATTGATTCACTTATGCGAGGGTTTGAGCTTAATTTTTGAGTTAGTATGATATGAAGGGTGGTAAACTTCTTTCAATTATTATAGTATGTATAATGTATAATAGTATTCGCTATGAGTCATCTTGATGTATGGCCTCTTTAAATGTCTTAACACATTGTATTCTGTATTTTCTATTTACTATTATTTTATAATGCTATTTCTTATAGTATTACTATTTTAAAATTTTACCGTGGTATCTTGTTGTTTTCTTGCAGTACATTTACATTGTTTCCATAAGTCTTCTTGGTATGTTGTGGAAGATTAATTTGTGTTCTTTTTGATGTCATTACATTATCTGCTAAAAAAATTAATTTTGCTATACAAATATGTTGTAACTGCATATATAAAGTGGTAATGTAAGTGCATATTTGCATATATCTTTACATAAGTGCATGTGTAGTATATATAGAATATACCCCTGCACACTATTGGCATAAGTCAATAGTATATATCTCTGCACACTATTGGCATAAGTCTGCTGTATATGTGTATACCTGCATTTATAGTAACATTTTTGAAATTTGTATGTCTGTATTTACACTTAGCTTTAGACATTTCCTAATTGTATCTTAAAGTCAAATTGTAAGTCCTTCCAACAGTACAGTCTATGTTAATTTGTTTACTGTGGTCTTATTTACAACGCCAGTAGGTATCACTTTCTCAGTTAATTGAGTCGGTAATGTAGAAAATAAGACCGTGAGAGTTGTCATTGACACAAGACGGTGACTATTGTAACTGTAGACAGTAATTATTGGTTTTGTATGCTTTTGGTTTCTTTCTAGGTTGTGTTGTTGGTTATCATAGTGCGGTTATGTGTGAATGTTAAGGTATTTTTAAATTTTTTATAACTTTTTTTTCTGTTTATTTTAATCTTGTTTTCTAGTCTATTGTTTTGGTAAGCACTACTATGTTAGCGTATACGTTCTTAGGTTTACTATGTGTTATAATGTAGTTTTCTATACGGGAGCTAGAAGACATGATTATACAATGCATGATATACTTAAGTCTATTCATCGACAGTACAAATTAGTGATAACGAATGTAATGAGAATCGTGTACTTCTTATTTATTACCATGTTGTATTCTAGTACACGGAATGTCTTGTTTTCCTAGTTAGTATGTTACTTTCCTTTCTTTGAATTTTAAGTTTTATAGTTCGCTTTTATTTACATTGTAGTTTTTACTTTACTCCAGGTTTTAAATTATTATATATATACGGCATGTATATATGTTTATATGTATATAGGTGATATGTATACACTTTAAGTTACTTCAAAATTTAATTTTAAGTAATTTAAAATGATATAACCGTTCTTTTCCTTTTACCATGAATTCCATTTGTTATTTCTTTTGAACTTTTTGAAATGGCACAGTAAGTCCAGGTATATTATACTTCTTTCCTCCGTATGTTCATTTCAAATCAATTTCGTTAATTACATTTGCATTAACATATCAGCTGTTGGAAATACCGACACAACAATATAGAGTATTTTGTTTACAGCGGGGGTTTAAATTGTGAAATTGGCACTAAAAAGTCATTTTTGTTACTTTCTTTTAACTTTGATTTTAATTTTTAAATTTACTTTTTAATTGAGTCTATAGTAGTATTTTATCTGTTAAAACTTTGGCATTCATTACTCCCCCCTTAAACTACCATCATTACCATTACTGGAATATTACTCTAATGTAATTCCCGATTAATTATTTATAATAAGCGCAAAACTTTTGTTCCGTTTGTTTAATAAGGCCCTGAGGGGATGGGGATCAAGCGCACCTTGGCCGGCTTAAAAATAAGTTGTTTTGCGGATTCTGAAGTGGCTGACACCGTCGCTTCTTTCCCTTGCTTTTCTCTGCCGTCTCTCCTAATCTCACTCTCTCTCGCCCCTCCATCTGGTCGTATTGTCCATTTCGAGGATTGTTTTGGGTGGCCTATTTATGGCCATGTAAAAGTAGCCTCGACACAGGTCATTTTTGTTTTGACACTCTTTCCGCCCTCCGGCAAAACAATGATTGAATTTCCTCAGCACCGTTTTCCGAATTAAAGTGTGTACAGTACGAAGGGCGGGTGTCGTGCTAGACGCCGTAATAACCGGTTTCTGGTGGCCAAGTTGGCTGGCGGGGTTTGTTGTTGTAGCTTATTCCAAGTTAGTTTAATCTTGATTAAAACTGAGATTGGGGCTTTTGGAGTTTAATACTATTTATTATTGAGGTAGAAATTCAGTATGCTTTAATAAAACACTATTTACCCCACCCTCTATTCATCCCTCAAGCACAACCCTTATCCTTCCTTGTCTACGTCGTTTCAGCCTCATTTTCTCAGCTCACTGCCCATATTGTACTAGGCTAAACCCTATGTACTTTCTGCACCGGCTACTTTCCCTTTAATCCGCTGACATTTAGGGATTGTCCAAATTTAATTTTATTCGAAATGGACATTTTAATCGGGGAGCGCGTTCGGTTATGGCCGCAAGCGCTTTTTATGGCCAAAGGAAGAGGTCATTTCCTTTCGACCGTCTTTAAGGAAGCGAGGTGCCATTCTTTCTTGCAATTCGAAGGCTTTTCACTCTATTGCTGCAGGGGTAAATTGTGGTAGATTAAGGCTGAAATGTTGTGGTAGATGGCACGGCTGCTTTTTCGGTCAAAAAGTTTGTAGAATGCCTTTAAAAAAGTGGTTTTGACTAATTTTTCAACTTTTTTAGCCGCTTTATAACAAAAAAAAAGCCTAATTTAATTTTAAAATTTATTGTAATAACAATAGTCAATTCAAAAAAAGTTATGAGACAATACCGATTGTTATTGTAGTATCATATTTTTGAAAATGAATGTAATATTACTCTGTCATCTGAAAGTGCACGACTCAAACAAATTGTATTTTGAGATAAATGGATGTAATTTTGGATATGGGTTGGTGCACTTTCGTGTACTTTTTTGGTGCACTTTTGGGTATTTAATGGGCTCTTAGACTACAATTTTAGGCTTTCCTCATATAGGAAACGAGCCTGATGGCTCTTTAGGTTATTTTTGTAATTTTAAAGTGGATTTTATGGTAATTTAGTATATTTAAAGTAGATTTTGATAATATTCATCTTGAGTTTTGTGATTTAAAAATAGGTTTTGATTTGATAAATCTATCTTAAAATTATGGGCGTACTCTGTTGTACTATAAAAATGGTTTTTGATGGAAAAAGGAGGTACAAAAGGTTAAAATCCAATTTTAAACACTGTGACCTTTAGCATTTTAACAATTAAAATCCAGGTTAAAAATATCTTTTGGCATTAAAGTGACATTCTTTTTTTACACTAAAGTTGGTTTGTAAACTTTTTAATTAACTGTAAAGTCGATTTACACTTTTCTTTACTGTAATGTAGACTTTTGAAGCTTTTTATTACTATTGAGGTTGATTTTACACTTTTTCCTTAATCTATAGCATCGTCAATGTCTATGCCTCACCTTGACTAACCAACTTGAGGGATGGCGTGACTTGGCCGTAAAAGTGGCCCAGTCTGTGGCCCCTCCTTCTCTTATTGTATTCTACTGCAAACGTTCGAATTGTATCCGTTTGCATGCTCAATGAGTTTGTTTTTTCGCTTCACATTTGCATGTTAGAACTATATTTGGCTGTACGGTTGTAGTAGAGGTGTAATATTCGTATTTTGGGCTTTAAAGCGCTGAGATTTGGGGTTTAAGGTGTTGAAAGTTGGGTTTACACTGTTGAGGGAAGTGAAGGTGGTGTTTAGTCGGGTTTGGATGTTCTGTTTTTGAGGGGTGTTTATTATGAGTTAGGTCAATCTTAACCAAATATGTGCTTTCTAGTACACTAATTTCTAAGTTTCTCACCAATTCATGGTAAAACAGGCTTGATACTTAAAGTACGTTAACACTCTACTAAATGCTGTTTGCATGTTATATTGAATGTTCGATTTTCAATACCTCTTCGAAGTGGGGCCCCGGAGGCTGTAATTACTGCCAACTTGACGTCTTTACATTCGACATTTAATATGCACATGTTGTTTTGTCTGATTAGTCGGTATTTAAACTTACACCATCCTTATGTCGTGCCCCTCTTCCAGCCCCCCCCCCCTCTTCCCGCTGTCCCGGCCGCGCTTTTCGGCTTCGATGCCTTCGAAATGAAAACAACGGTATTTGTTTTTGGGGGAGACGAGCCAAAAACAAATATTATTATCAATTGTGGTCGTTGCAGGCGGAACGACTCGAGTCGACTGGTCAGTACGGTTGAGGACCGACTGGTCGGAGAAGGCATCATTCGTGTTGGTGACTGATTGAGCGGAATCTAATCAGTAATTGGTGGATTCTTGAAGTTACTTCAACTTACTACAACTTCTTTGGCCTTCTCAGCCAAACACGCCAGCCATTCTTTTCGAAACGCTTTTCCAGTCCAACCAAAATTAACGTCTTCACGCGTTGCCTGTCCTCGCGACGGGCGCCCGCCGTCCAGGAGCATCAGAAGAAGCCCATTCCGGACTCGCCCGGCTCTTTGGCTAGCCGCGATTCGGGCGCTACAGCCTTGTCTATTAACTCAGTAGCACCGGCTCAAGTCAAAGTGCCAGAGAAGATACCGATTGGACTGCCCGATACGACTGATAAACGGTTACCACGCCTTGACTCGCCTATTTTACTCGGTAAGTCTTTACTTTTAAGTGATTTTTACTCTGTAAAAGTGTTGTTTTCATATTCTAGTATGTTGAGAAAGTTATTTTAAGCACTGTGCCCTTCTGTTGTAACATGCCTTTCTATTGTCACATAGTACTGTACTTTTTTGACACAGTACCTTTGTCCTCGGTTTCATTATCTTGTTCATGTCTCTTTCTCATGTCCTAGAAGCCCTCAAACCTTGTGTTCTATACTCGGTGCTATCCCTTCTAGGACACGAGGACAAAGCAAAGGGCAGGGAAAGTGCAATCCGGTTAGAATTGGAGTTTGGTGCAGAAGGGGGACAGTACGAGGGTTGTGACCTCAGGGGATTAGTCTTCGCATTAGACAAGGTGTGGTGGGGTTTTATGGTTTACAAGGTATGTAGAGTATTGGGAAGTGTGGATAATATTATAATAGGAAGTTTTATGGTTTACAAGGTTATATGAAGGGGTGTTAGACAAAGTGTAAAGGTTTATGTTATACTAGGTATGAGGGTATTTATAAAGCTGTAAGAGTATAATTTTGCTTGGCTTTGTATGTATTTTTGGCTTTTTTGATACCACTAATTTGGCATTTCACGTCATTTTTGGTTGGAAAGTAAAAGTAATTGGCTTGGAGATAATAGATGTTTGAACGAAGAGATATTTTTGGTTTTTGAACACTATTCGGCTTTTTTTGAGATTTAAAATAACTTTAGAAGGCTTTTTAGTAAAGTAATTTTAAAAAGATTGTTTAATATAACAAACACATATTTTACTACTAATTTTAAAAAAACTCAAACGGAAAATTACTTCAAAATATTATAATTTACCTCAGGATATTATAAATTATGGCAAAATATTAGAATAATTAACTTTAATTCGGAAGAGAAACCGGGAATAATTAGGGGATATAATGTCTGAATGCCTCCTCTTCCATATCTGTTCCTTGTGTCTTTGAACGAGGCCGAAACAAGCTCATCAAGACGCCTGAGGGCCTTCAAGGAGCTCGCCCCGTTCTGCCACTAATAAGCTCCATTTTTCGTTTGTTCCGTTTCATAACAGTAATTGTATGGGTATCAGGGAGATGTTATAGTCGTTGTGGTACCGATCTTAACATTACTATGCTGTATGTAAAAATTTAAAAGTTTTTTTATTATTTCGTATTCTACAATTATTTTTTAGAAACCAGCCGGCGGAAGATTCTGGCCTTTGTGCACGGCTCAAAAGACGTTGTTATATCGACCGGTCGAGCCATCGGACGAGTCGTAATGGGTGCCAGTTCAAGCTCGTCAAGCCCAGAACCCGAAGATATCGAAAGTATGGCAGCTAAACTACATCAACTTCTGACACAGAAGCCGTGCAGGATGAGTGACATGCTCAAGGTTATTGGGTAAGACTTTTATTTAAATTCTTAATAAAAAACGTTTTAAATTTAAAAAAAAATAGATTGAAAAAGCGTACAAATGATGTTTCTGTGAACTTCTGACTAAAAATATTTTAGTAATTAGGGGATATTTTAATTAATTGTAGTTGTTATGTCAATGAACTACAAAGTAATTTCCTCAAAATACAAAGTTAATTACTTCCAAATTTGAATTGTTTATTATTGTGTCAAAACTTTGGTCCTTAAAGTGTAAAACTACGTTAGAACATCATGTTGTGCCATTAAACTCAATAAAAATCAAAAAATTCTTACAAAAGCCTTATTCATTGATCAAAATCAATCATAGTGCCTTTATATATTAGACATAAAAACTGATAACTTGTGTTTTCAGAATTCTTGGAGAAGCTTCACCAACCGAGAAGCAAGAACTCATCAGACTAGATGTTCTCTCCAGAATCCTAGCCGAAATCGAACAATGTTCCCACCTCGACCATCTAAATGTACGTCAGCCTTCTGGAGACGATAAACGGCGTCAACGGATGTGGTCACGACGACCTAGTACAACATCGTCAAACAGAGGCACTGGCTACGGTCGAGGCTCCACAAAGTCACGGTGGGACATTGAAAGAACGGTGGAGGAGAGAATCGCTCAAGAAGAGCATCTGATGTGGCTACTGTGCTCACTGACGACGTTCCTATGTGGAGATGCTTTGAATCTGTGTGAAGCCAATGTTGATCTGCTGCCGCCAAAAGATCAGCCCACGATTCAGAATGTTGTTATCGATGAATTGAGCAGTTCTCCGTTGTTGGCTTTGTTCGAGTATCACTTTAACAATGACAGTGTGTTTGATATCAGTCAGCACATGGACTTTTATCAAGTAAGTCAACTTCTATTATTGGTTTGTGTTTTCAGGACCACAACGAGCTTGAAAATAATATTAAATGTCCTCTCCGCACTCTACAAAATGTTTTAAACTTAATTTTGTTCTAAAATATATTGTTTTAGGCGTTGATAGAGCTAGCAGCTGCCCTTGCCTACATTCCAGACTTCCTGCCCTTAATGGTACAGCCAAAGCCGGACTGTAAATCGATTGTAAAAGAGCTACTTCCGCGTTTTAAGGCTACTTTGAATGCTTATCCCAGTTCAGTCCGAGGCCAATCCTCCCCAGACTTTGCTTTGATGGACTTCATCAGGAAAGTGAACGATCTCTCAGATGTAAGTATATTGTTTTACATTCCACTTTAGACTGTCTGTGGTTGAAAGGGTTTAAATGCACTTCACCGTCATCTTTGTTGTCTATGACGACTTGGTTCAATATTGTACATAATTTTGTAAAGTATATTAGAAAACCTTTTGTATGATACTTTTTTTGACAATTATTGAAGTAATTCCGTATTTTACCTCATCCACTTCACGGAAATCGTAGGAATTACTTTTACATCCACTTCCAGAAAATTATTAATAGGGAAGACCCCCCACCCGGTCTAAAAATAACGAGAAACTTTTTAATTTGGAAATTGTTGCACGCAATTACAGCAGAGTAATTGTGATTACTCTGCCGTAATTGTAAAAGGAATTGTAAATCCCTGACCTTTTGTATTTACAGTATAAGAGATTAAAATAAACCGCTTTGGGAAGTACTATACTTCGAAACAATCTCAGTAATTAAACACGTTATAGTACAATATAGCATGATTGAAACGTGACTGGGATTAGTCGTGGTACTGTGAAATCAAATCATAGTAGATTAATTGATTATAAAATGCTTATTGTACCACAATAAGCACCTAGTAAATATTTTACCACAAACTTTTCAACACAGTCCTTTTTTAATACGGTAACCCTACAGTACCAATTTGAATATAATAACCCTACAATAGCAACCTCATTTTAGATAATTTTCAAATTGACCAAAAGATACGAGGTCACCGTTCCTCCAGAACGCCGTATCAAAACAGCCGTGATTGGAAACCGGAAACGCCCTTCAATACCGGTCGAACAAATCGACCCTCAGGCATTGGAAGTGAACAGTAAACTCCAAATTAACGACATCTACGCTGAGGCTTTGCAAGATATGCAAATACAAACTCACAAGTAAGTTATTACAACACAAAATACGATGTAATAATTAGAATACTTATTAGCAAGAGCTATTTTTACATTTGATACCTACTACAATATCGAGTGTTGTAGGTATCGAAGTGTAATTCTGATGTAGGTAGGATTTGTATTTAGGTATTATTGGTTTTGTATAATGTTTAAAATAGCATGTATACCACAGTAAATATAAAAATTACTTTTTATTGTAGTATGGGTTGGGTATCAAATTGACATTGTAGTAGTCATAGTATAAGGTATAGGGTTTTAGGTAACAAATTGCAAAATTTAATGCAAAGATACCTTTAACTACATTTTGGTATCTAAATTTACTTTGAAAGGCTTTAAATAGTAAATTCAAAGTATCTCAGTATCATTACGTAAATAAAAGTTGTAGCCAGATACGAAAGCATTACTAGTGCCCATTACAATAACAATCCAATGACGCAGTAACTTTTTGTGCTTTTTTGATGACATTTTGAGTATAACATTGGTGGCAAACAATGTCACAAAGTAACGGCAGGAATGTATTTTAAGACATCTGAGGCAAATGTCTAGACACAGTCATTGTTTTACTACCAACAACATGCCTTAGGTAGTAACATTAGGTAACGGGATAATCCTGAACCCACGTTAAGATTACTATGACTTGAGATTACCTTGACGTAGTGTTACTACAACATAATATACTTTTACCTTCCGGATAACACTGCCAATACCAAAGTAATAACAAAAGCTTTTAAAATATTTTTTAAAATTTCAAAAGGTATATGCCGTTTTTCATTTCAAAGCTAAAATGTAAAATGGCATATACTCCGTCAAATTCTGGGTTACTAATTGAAAAACCCATTTCCGTGTCAATGCCATTTACAATGTTATGTTTGTTTTTCAGACAAAAACCGTCATTTTCATAAATATTCAAATGAGTTTACTCGGTTACGCGAGCATGTGTTATGTGCATGCTTGATTAATATTTTGAGTGAATTTTTGTGAAAATACAAAAAAAATACAACGGCTATGCACTTTTTGACCAATTCCAAAGAATTGAATGAGAACCATAAAATTTTGACATTATTCTTACAAAAGCAAGATCAAATTTAAAAAATTTTAAAATAATCACATTTCCAACCAAAACATCAAATTTCAGAATCCTGAACGAAGGTGGAAAACCCATCTACGGCTTCACATTCAAAAAAGAGCTCCGCAACGTAAATCCCTTCAGCACCTCGATGAAGGATCGTACCAAACGGATCGCCAAAGAATTGGCATCGATGCACAACTCTCTGCCACTCAACGCCTCCAACAGTATCTTCGTATGTATGGACGAAACTCGATGTGACATTCTGAAAGTCCTCATCAGTGGCCCTGATGACACTCCTTATCAGAACGGCCTGTTCGAGTTCGACGTCTTCTTCCCCAACAACTACCCTCAGGCACCACCAAAGTGTTCCTTCTTGACTACTGGTAATGGTACCATCCGCTTCAACCCCAACCTTTACAACGATGGTAAAATATGTTTGAGTATCTTGGGAACGTGGGAAGGACGGCCAGAAGAGAAGTGGAATCCATTCTGCTCGTTGCTTCAGGTCCTGATCAGTATTCAGGTAAGAATGTTTTACTGTGGTATCTAGGGTATTTTACATCGTATTTCTTTCACGATTTTTTAGTGTAATACGATGATATATAAAGTTTGATACAAGGTACTAGATAGCCTTCATTTTTACTATTGTAAACATCTTTGTCATTTCTTACTGTATTGCCACTTTTTGTTGTGATAGTATATCCGCGAATACGTTGAAATAACACACCCAATCATTACTTATTACTACTATCAACATAATGGTATCTTTACAAAATGTCATTTTCACATTGAAAAGAAGGTGTTTTGTGATACCTAAGACAACATATTCTTATCGTGATTCCGAAGAAGTGGTGCTAATAACACACCTTTCACACGCATTAACCGGCCCTATACCGCCAATAATGAGTATTCCCAAGTTGTTGTTGTTTTCCCTCTCACCTTGTTATTAGTGAAAGTGGTGTACAAAATCAGAAGACACAACAACAACAATCTTTTGTACTGTAGTGCACGATGGCACTTTCGACTGGTACTCAATCAACAGATTTGAATTTGTATGATTGTCAACTACAATTTGGATTGTTATAATCCACAACAACAAAATTCATAATTCTTTTTGAAATTTAAAAAAATATTCAAATTAATCCAATTTTGTTTGAACTTTAAAGAAAAACTCTCAAATTTCGATCAAATTTAAAACTGTCTAAACTCATTCGAAAAATACTGTAGTTAGATTACATACAAAAAACATCAAAGAACCTCAAATTGATGTTTATTGTATGTACGATAACGTAACGTGCTTTATATAACAATGTAAACAAAAGGTTATACCAGTTATCATGCCTCCCGACTATGAAAATGTAAATTCAGAAAACACTTCCCCAATCTATACTTAATATGATGACACACATCCAATACACTTACTATCCTCATACCTACTTATCTCCAATTATGCCACTCGATTATGCAAATCATTTCAGGGCCTTATCTTCGTTAAGCACCCCTACTTCAATGAACCCGGCTTCGAGAAGTTCCAAGGAACGCCAAAGGGCGAGGAATACTCAAGGAAGTACAATCTTCACATCGAGAACGCGACCATGTTGTACGCCATCATGGACATGTACAAGAATGGGCCTTCGTACTTCCGCGACGTCATCAAACGCCACTTTTGGATCAAACGCCAATCGGTGATCGAGCAGGCGGAGCGATGGATCAAGGAGTCTCACCTCGACTCGAATCAGCTCACTCACGATCTTCTGGAGTCGGAAGCCTTGGCTGAGACTGCTTACATCAACCCGACGTTGCAGGTAAGAATGTTTGACATGTTTGCATGATTTTTATATTGAGGTAGATAAGTTATTTTTGATAATGAAATTTTTTTAAAAGAATGAACCCCTATACTTATATATAAGCTTTAAGACGCGCCATTCTTTTTTCATCATATTAGTTTAAAGAATATTTTCGTATGTTTGACTAATGCCATTGTAAATACCATAGTATGACCCCTAATAGTATGATAACACGCTTATCGTGAACCACGATACTTTTGTGTAACATTACTCTTAACGATGTAAAGTGATTACAACGTTAACATTAATTGAACACAACATTAACATACATTTTAAGCCTCTTTATTATCCAAAAAATCACATGCCATTACTTATAATAGTATGTGATCTCCCCTTTTAATACCACAAGATTCATAGAAACCAAAAGTTTCGTTGAAAGATACCACGGTAATTAACATCACGTAACAATAACACCCATGTGAGCGTTTAATAACCGGGTTAGCATAACAATTAACTTCGTAATACAATCTGTTATCAGCTGATTTAATAACCGAATTTGGTCACAACTTCCGTATGACACACTAATTGGGTTACAATTGCTCACAGTAATACTGATTATAGTGTTATGGCTCATAGTAACTGTAATACCAACTAAGTATCAAGCATAGTATTATAAAAATGGGATTAGCTCTACAATAAGTGTTACAATGTAATGAAGATTAACATTAATGTTCCGGTTAATCATATACAAAGTAATAAACAACACATAGTTACATAAAACACCATTTTTACTGTAAGCCTAATCGTACTAAACACACTGTCATTTCAGCGACAAACAGTCGATCGTCTTATCAACGAATTCAAAAACATGAAGAACCCCATGGAAAAGTGATTACAACGTCGTGTACAACAACTATGGTACCATAGTAAAATAAAAACAGCTATCTTTACAATCATACGATCCTCATACCAAGGTAAAAATGACTTTCATACTACTGTGATAAAGATACGAACACAAAAATCACCACACAACAAACTGAAAAAACAGTAAACCAATCAAACCCACAGTAATCCAAAGAAATCACGCAGTAATCAATCACATACGACGACATAACCAAGTAATACTGGTCCTTACTGTCTCATACCTAATCTCATTGTTTACATTTGCCTTTCGATGATAGTAATATTCTTTACTTCCGCCTTCATATCATTGTAAACACACCTCAAACTTGTAATACCCTTACTTGTTCCCCTTCGCTCATTATGGGTCAATAGTAATTTGCATAATTCCGACGATTAAACTTTGAACATTTCGAATCATTTTGGGTATTTTGTCAATCGACCGGTCGGGTTTTCAATGAGACATCGGAAGGAAAAGAAAACTGGGGTTTGTTACAAGTGTCGGAAGGAGGTAGGTTCATAGTTTTCGCGTAGTAATAAGTGATTAAAGTAATATATTTTTAAAGTAATACGTTATATTATAATATATATTCAAAACATAAGATTAAACTAAGGTTACATAGCCAAAATCAGTTTTTTTCAAAAGCAAAAACCGATGATTTTTAAAAATCTAGTACTTTTTCAAGTTCAAAAGTATAGGTAACAAACCCCCTTAAAACAAACGAAAATGTTTAAAGAGCTTTATTTTACGTATGTATAATACCAAAATAAATAAAGTTACAGAATGTCACAAACTGCAAAAATATGTACAAAAATTCAGGTTTCGTGTTAGGTGGTTAAATATATAAATGTTAGACATTCATTCAAGTTTTTAAGGTCAAAGTAAATTGAGGATAAAAGTGAAAAAGTGAAGTTATACTCCAGAGGTATACAGTAGGACACAAGGCACCAAAGAAGGGTTTACATATAAACATATATGGCAACACTTTTTTTAAAAGGGGAACAAATAACCTTTATGGTAGTTTTAGGAGAACCTTTATGATACTTATAGAACAAAACCTTCAAAAATTAAACAAAAAATTAGGAGTAACCCCCAATACAGTAGTCTACTTATCTAAAAGAGCTAACAGTAATCTATTTTCAGCGACATGTGCAAGATATAGCTACCCTTGCACTGAAACAATCCAAGGCCAACGACTGGTCTACATCTCGCTACATTCTCCAATCAGTTCTCTGGATCACCACCATCTTCCTCTTCTACATTACCTACAAGCGCGACGTCGTCTGCCCTCAACTCCACCATCCACCCAATACCTCGCTGCCCGTCTAGTAGCTATTCTCAAGTGTCATATAATGTAAATCACAGTATCCCGCCATTGTAAATGACAGTGCCCAGTCATTTTAACTACCTTATACCTCCACTGTAAACACCACTACCTCCATTGTAAACCATTGTATATTGCCTTTGTAAAAACCATAAATTCCCTGTTGTAAAACCATGTAATGCCATTTTGAATGTCTATATGTTGTCGTTATAAAGTACTTGACGTTTGGTGGTCTTTCGGAAGTTATGAGAGAAGCCATCTTCCTCGAACTCCTTTTGTTCACAGACTAAACCAAGACTAAATTAAGGTCAAGAGTAAACTCACGAGGCTGATTGTCCTTCGAATCCGCCCAACTGAATGTCTTCGAATTCTGCGAAGCTTCAGAGGTATCTGCCTTCATACAGGACTTTTTTGGCGGAGACACTTTCAATGTTGGGTGCACTGAAACAAGTATAATATCAACATTTGCATTATAAGATTTAAATACATCTAAAATAACTTTAGAATAAAAATAAATATATCATTAGTTAATTTATAAATAAACTCACAATCTGTTACAATGAAGACCCTGTTCCTCTTGCATCTCTTTCCATTATACCTTACTATAACTCGACCAGAAGGTTGAATATTGTTATCTTTTGAGAGTTCATCTCCGTCTTTCAAGTCTATAACTGCTTCTTCATCATCTCTTGCTTCCTCAGCAGCTTTTTTCTTTCCCGTTTCTTCTGTATCTTTTTCTTCATTACCTTTACTTTCTTTGTCAGTTTTTTCTTCTAGCCCTAATTCCAAATTGTTTTGTGTACATGAACCTTCTTCTTTGTCTTCTATTTGTTCCGTTTCAACTAAAGAATTATCTGTATCAAGTGTACTTGGGTCCGGTTGTTGTACTTTATCCACAAGAGGCGTTTTATCGTTATTAGACGCGTCTTTATCTTCCTTAGATCCATCCACACCATCTTCCAACGGTAAGCTACTTTCCACAGGCCCATTATCCTCATCTCTGTTTACCTAAAAAATAATCAGCAATCAATTTTCGGCCTTCAGGTAGAAAAGAATCAATTTATCTACCTAAAAATATAAAACAAACTTAAAACTTACTTCATCATCCAAAATAGCTTCTTTTCTACGTCTACCTCGCATTGTAACAGAGTCAGTCTGCTGTTTAACTTCTCGCCTTGCTTTAGTATTCCGTAACCTTCGTCTGTTTCCTGATTCTTCGGTGGGAAAGTTTTCTTTATCAGTATCAGGTGGAATATAAGTTGTATCGTTAGATTTTAATGTCGTTTCGACTTCAAACTCTTCAAAATTCAAAAAGTCTTCATCATGCGCCTTCCGAAGAATATTTGGTGGCACTATGCTCTTTCTTGGTTTACGGCCCATCCTAAAATTAGACCTTTAAAAATGCAAAATTAAAAACAAAACATAAAATACAACTCTTTTTAACTATACAGTTAAAAAATAGTACAAAAATACAACAAGAAGGACATTCATTTAGTATTTACGGGAAAGTGTCCAGCAGAAACGAAGCAAATATTGAAAAAAATGAATATTCTTTCTGGTTTGCTTTCATTAAAATCCTAAAAATACAATAGAAAACAAAGTTACTTACCAGAATCGTTAATTGACAACTACAACCTTACAACAAAGGCCATAAAAAATTCAAATTTTAAAAATACAGTTAGTTCCTCGAGAAATAAATGCCAAAAATTTATTTTTCGATTCGTTTGTATCCGAATTTTGCGCCGATACAGAAAAACGTAATGTCACTATTGATTCTCTATAATATAAACACAAATATAAACCAAAACAAATGAAAGAAAGCAGTTTATTCGAAGAACTATGAAAAATGTGTATACGAGATACGATGTTTCATTTCTCTTGGCCGAAGGCGTCTGGAACGATGACCATAGTCTGAAAATATTTTTAGTAAAGACTTTACAAGTAAAATGATAACGTAAACTGCGCCATCGTAAACTAAAATAACAGTCATAGTCAGCATTATGTTCTTTGTTTAATATTAAAATATACAAAAATTGACCTTACATCATAATTAGGATCGTTTGACTTGGCTATTCCACCTTTTTCTGGAGGTCGAGGTGTTTCTTGATTTTCGTTAAAAATGGCCATAGTCTGCAAAAAACCATATTAAGATATTTCAAGACATATATTCAGTATGTTTATAAAAGAGATATATTTTAAGCTACCTGATAATTTGGGTCATCAGTGTTAGCCATAGTATCTTTCCGTTCTGGTGGTCGTATGTTGTTGCCAGTAGCGGCAGGTGCCCCGTTTTGTGTGTTGGATGTTTTCTGTAACAAGTTATTCTAAGGTATTCGATTTTACTACTTATAAAATTCTTAATTTTAAAAAGCTATTAGAATCGACAGTGTTATGCAGAATTATCAAGAAAATAGGTAGTAAACAACTGAAAATTCCAAAATTCAAAAAATAAACAAAACCTACCTTTTTGGCACAATTTAGTAACAAAACGACGCATATTATCTGACATGGTATCAAGAAACAGATCATTCTAATCGGCTGATAACGACCAGTCGATTCTACACAACCTCACCGCTCTTTACAAAAACATAATAAGGAATAAAACCAACTTCAGAATGCTCTTTAACTGTTCTTTTACATAACAAACCCAATTTGTCCTTTAAATTACAAAATGTTAAAGACAATAAGCTTAAGTTTGATGCAAATTATTTTTTTTTATGCCAATGTTATTCTTTCTCCAAACTTGAACTCCTTCTGAGACTTGTTTCTGGCCTTGGACTGAAGTGTTTCATTGTAAGCTTCTTCCAGATGCTCTTTGTTTACTGTGTCTGATCCAACTCTGGCTGCTTCGAAAGATGAGTTGACGATAAGACCACGAAGCTCTGCAGCTGACCAGAACTCTGTCGTCGATGCATAATGCTCCAGGATTTTCTCTGATTCTATTTGAATATCTTTGGCCAATTGCTGTAGAATGGAGAGGCGAGAATCCTTAAGAAAACCCATATTAACAATATAATACCGTAACAGTCTGGTATTAGAATACAGTAAAACACTACGGTACAATCTATTTTTGCCATAAAGACTGATGAGAAAGGAATTAACCAAAAGTGGGGTTAGTATGAAACTTACTCGATCAGGATGTGGAACATGAATTTTGTGATCGAATCTTCCTGGTCGCAGTAGCGCATCGTCAATCAGATCCAGCCTATTCGTCGTAGCTATGACGTATACTCCTGAAATGATGTGACGTCCAAATACACATATCAGCCGTAAAATGGCACTTTTAACGTATAAAAAATAAAGTAAAACCCAATGTAGAAATACCACAATTATGCCTTACCATCCATAGAGCTATCCACCCCATCCAGTTCGGTCAAGAACTGATTGACGACTCTGTCAGTAACTCCAGTGTTATCATGGCCTCGTTTTGGTACCAAAGCGTCAAATTCGTCGAAAACAATGAGCGAAGGCTTGGAACGGCGAGCTCTACAATAACAATGTCATACAATAATACATTCAAGATCGAGCCAGTTACTTTGTTTTAGAAAATGCTCAAACATTGTTTCACTTACTTTTCAAATACATTTCTGACATTCTCCTCGCTTTGGCCGATGTATTTTGATAAGAGTTCTGGGCCCTAAAATAACTTACTTTACTTTACATTTCTAATGGTAAATTACTATTAAACATGACCAGATATCTTACCTTGACAAAGTTCACATTAAATCCAGTCTCTTCAGCCAAAGCTCTAGCCACCAACGTCTTCCCGCAACCAGTAGGACCATGTAGAATAGCGGCGTTGCCTACTCTAACACCAATTTGTTTGTAGACTTCTGAATACTTGGAAGGCCACAAGTATATCTGAATCAGTTTTCTTTTGATTTCATCTAAACCTCCAACTTTTTTGAATCCTCTAACTTCAGAATCCTCGACTGTAGCTACTTGATTCGCGTTCAGAAGATCGTTTAAATGTTTTTGCGTTATCGTATGATTAGGATACTGTAGGTTTACTCGTTCACAAAATCGTACCATCTCTCCGAGGTTGAAACGCGACATGTTCTTGTTGTTGTAGTCATCAGCTATGTCTATGCCATCAACAAAATGACGCAAAAGTTTAACGTATTCCGTCTGAAATATAATTTTTTACTTTTGTGTGGTTTATATATCTTATCATTTTTAAAAAACTATTAATTTTCATTTTGTCATCACAAATTTTAAATTATGCTTTGATTATTTTTAAACATTTTATTATCAATTTTAATAGACTTTAAATTAGCCGTACATAACATACGTATCAAAAAAGGAATTGCAATACGTATCGGATTAACGTCTACAATAATACGCACAGCACTTTTTTCGAAAAGGTATAGGTTTAGCGAGCCTTAAGGGCTTTCAGAGTGTTCCCTCCAACCTTTTCCGTCTTGTTTTTTCATACTTTTACTCTTGAAAACAGTTCTGTAAGGATCCAAAGGGTTCTCTTGAAGGATAATATTATTTATGTCTTACAAATTACAGCTGACCTTGGGTTTGCATTGTTTCTATAGTTACCATAACGTTTCGAATCATAAGTTTGCAATTTGTATGTCCGCTTAGAGTCAAACTGTAGGTACGTCTTTTAAAAACTGTGATTTTAGGTATGTTTTTTGGCTTTTTATACAGTATTTTGTTGAAAAGAAGCAGTTTGACTAGGTTTTTATAAGAAAAATTGTAAATTACCGTGTCAATGTAGTAAGTATGCCAAATTCTGCATAAAAAATGTAGATTAAAGTATAAAATTTAATAAATTAATGTTCAAAACCAGAGTTTAAACCCTAAAAACAGCTGAAAGTCAGTAACACCGACTTAACAGCTGACCTTATAATTGAGAAAGTGACTATAACTCGTTTTGCGCGGCGGTACGGTATGAATTTACAGCGTTGCGAAGATTTACTGCTCCCCAATTCTTCGGCAGGTATGCTTACATTTGCAATTTACGAAAAAACTTGTTTCGAAGCCGAATTCCGGAAGCGTTCGTTTGCGGCGCCGCGCCCGCCTCCGGTCCCTCACATCAGTTCAGGTCAGTCAGACGACGGTTGACGTGGCTGGAGAGCTTCTTCGATCTGCTTATGCTCAAGGCCGTCCACTCGCCGCTGTTTCTTCGGCATTTATCTCATTTTATAACGTACTCCCTTATTGTGACATAACGGGTTTGTGGCGGTCATTTTTTTTCAAAACTCTCGATTAAGTGACGTTGAACTACCAGGTTTAAACGACGAAAAAAAGGTTGAACTGGTGATAGTTTAATAGGTTTAACCAAACTCCAACCAATGCTGACTCCCCAGTTCAACTGACATTGCTTTATCGGTTTTACCCAATCATAAACTATAAGATTGAACTGATATTATTTTACTGCAACGACCTTCCGCCAGACTAACTTTTTTCCTACATTAATGACGTTGTTTTTCCCTTCTCTTTATGTTTCAAAATTTGAGAAATAGCCTTTTACTTTCTCACAATTCGGCCTTGTAGCTCGCAACAAAAGAATGTTTACAGTTCCAGTTGATTTAAGACCGTTCATTACCTATTCTTAAGGAAAAGTTCATTTAGGGAAACTTGAAGAAGGTATCAAGTAAAATCTTCTTACTGTTAAAAACTTGATATCAATAAGTTTAGTTGTCTTTCGTTCTTTTTTAGTTTTGAAATGAAAAACACAAAAAGTGTGATCCAACACTCTTTTTCTCTTTGAAGATCTTTGAACCTCAGGCGTGTCTTTTTTGCTTTTTCGAAAAACAAACAATTGCTAAAGGATTGTCCATTCCAGATAATGACAAAGCTTTCTGTGGATTCAGGGCCATTTGGGCAGCCATTGTCATCGGATGCTCAGAAGCTGGTCAACGATGTCAGACTTCAGATTAATCAACCTATCAACCCATTTGTAAGTTTACTAAAACTATTGAAATTCAAGATACTTAATATTTCCTTGAGAGATTGAAAAACTTTCAAATATTTTAATTTTAAAGGATAACATAGATTATTGCAAAGTCATTTATTATTTGCCTAATACCGTGTTTTACAGTTTGACAAAGACTTCAACATCTACCGTTTCGTTCTGAATGCCGAAAGAGCTTACAAATCCCACAAAGAAATCGTCGAACATGCTGCCAAAGCCCTGAACAATCATTTGAAGTTGCGAAAGTGTTTGCGTTTGGTAAGAATTGACTTACTTGTACCTATCTTAACAATATAAGACTTGAAAGTAAATACTAACTTCCTATATAAAGCAATAAAGAAGGATTGACCAGAATAAGACCTGACTTTAGGACGAACTACCAGATATTCCATTTGCTGACAATGAAATCTTCAAAAAGAAATACTTGCCATGGGGCGAAATTCAAAGAAAAACTGACAGTTCCAACAGATTACTACAGTACGTCGAGTATAAGACCATTACTGTTGAAGTAAGTGTGTAATTACTTACAGTAAAGCTTGTGTAGGCTTATTATAGATCTCATAAAAACGATATAAAGAATCATTATCAAGATATTCATGATTTTAGTACATTGCACATTCTCTCAAAAGTTCTGACGCCTGTCGCTTCCAATTCTGGCAATTCGAACATATTCTACGTCGCGTAAACGAGCAGGCATGTCTTTACAACCATTACCACACTACTGTTATGAATATTTTTACTTTGATTCCTTATCATTGTGAACTTTCAGGAAGAAAAATCGGGTAAATTCTGTTCAGTCCGACACATTGTGGACATGAACGAGTATGAAATCAACCCCTTTACCATGCTCTTCGTGAGCAGTGGTACCCTACAGTACTACTCTCATCTATTCCACTACGAAAACTACCCAGAGCTTGTGTATCCAGTGGAGATGGTGAATATTGCCAAATGGATCTACGTTCCCTATAAAATCATCAAAGCCGTCATGCCAGCCGGCTTCGCTGACAGATTCCGATTATACGACGGTAATTATCTGCCGAATCTGATGAACGAAATCAACAGCGAAGACATTCCAGAAACATTGGGAGGTAAAAATAAGGTAGGTCAAGATCGATGTTATCGCGCGACATCAGCTTGTGACTCTTATACTTTTAAGTAACGACCTTACTTTAGAGTTTGAGATAAAAGTATAAAGATAATGAGTGCCTTGGAAATGAACATTGATACAGCAAAACTAGAAGAGAACAGATTTTATAGACAAAACTAACCTCCAATATAATTATAATGGTCATTCCTTTCAGGAAATCAAATGCACCAGCGCAGTAGAACCTACAGACACATGGCACTGTAATGTACCTCAGATCGTCGGTAACCTAGAGACCTTAGTCATACACTCAAGAAAACTCAAGTACTACAAAGTTGAAGTAACAGAAGCTCCAACAACCCTCAGCTGGTACTTCCACACAGACAGCGATGTTTACTTTGGCGTTTTCTTTGAGGTAACACATTTTATATTGATGTAGCTAAATCTTTAAACTAAAGCAGACAGTTACGGTCCTAATAACAGTCCCTTTTCATTTATAATGAGCTAGACACTGTAAATGACAGCATAAACAACATGTGTTTCAGAGGAACGATAGTAACAATGCCAAGAAGAAGAAGGACAAAGAAGACTTGGACACTGACTCCCTAGACATGGTATACCCAATGTTCAAACTAACAGCTAAACTCGTCCATGAGTTCGACTCAATCGAATGTACTGAGAATGGCACGTACTATGTAGTATTCGGCAACAAACACAGCTGGATTCACAAGAGAACGGTGGAGATTATGCTACAGAAAAAAACCGAATCAGGCGAAGTACGAAGGATATACCACGATGGAACGAACGAGAAGGTAGACAACGAACTCTTGGACATCCAAAAGCAAATGGAGCTACAGCCATTCAAGACCAACATCTGAATTCAGAAGCATATCACGGAAAACGGGACAGATACACGACATTTCTAACTCTTAAATATTAAAATTTACATTAAACACCTCTACTTTTATCCATCACTCTTACGGTAAAATATTTGCAGTAAAAACCAGCATTATATCAGACTTTCAAGTTCAAAAATATTGAGATACATCAGTAAACATAAAGTAACCTACCTGACTAATTTGAGTTATCTCCATTACTAGAGTAAAGAAGCGTTTACCATGACATCTCAACGCTCCATCTGCCAGAGAATGCTGGCTTTTAGTCGTGGCAACTACAGTAATGTTATAATCGTAGATTAAGGATGAGATCTCTGAAATAAACACGACTTGTTATATTGTACATATTCCTCGGCTATTTTAAAGCCAAAATTCATTTAAAAACGCAAAAATATTACCTAAAATATAAACAAAGTACATAAATACCAAAAAAATAAGTTATCCTTCATAAAACTTACTCAAATAAACCTTGGCAATGAACTTTGACCTTTCTTCATCTTCCAAAGAATTATTCAAGAAGTCGAATTGGTCCAAGAACAGTACAGAAGGCCATCGGGCTTCCAGAAGTCGAAGTTTTTGCTCCAAAAACAACGAAACATTGTCCGGAGATTTTCCTGAAAATATTTATTGGGTTTTGTAACGAAATGTCACAATTCGCGGCTAATTTTGGATTGAAAAAAAATTTTGAAATTTTTGATTTACAAAATTTTTTTTTGAAGGACACTGTTGACGAAAACTATGATGAATATTCAAGTCCCACAATGTAAGTTTTGTATATTAATTTGGAAGGTACCTTTCAATATTTATATTATCCATACCTTTGAACTCGTTACAGTCGATTTTCAAAGAGAAACCTTGAGATCTTCGTAGAGGTTCATGGAGATCGTATTTAATATTGTAGTTTTTCCACTGAATTCTTCTCCACAAACAAGAACATTGAGTCCATTACAGTGAGGTTTCTGACAGACTGGCTTCAGGTATTGTAGAATATTATCCACGATCTTGCTTTGGGCTTCGAAAAGGTCACTCTTCGTTTGCTTTTCTCCAAAATTAGGTACAAGCTTTTGTTCTGGTTGAGGTGGGATCTTGATTTCGTGTTCCTGAAACTTATATTTATATTGAAAGTTTGATTTCTTTGACTTTATAATAGGCCGGTTACAAGATTAATTTGTATCTAAACTTACACTTTGTTGAAACGTTGGCAACTTGTCGACTAGGAATAGGCTACATCGCTTCGTGCTGTCGATACCTTCTGATGATACGAATTTTACCGTGAAACGGCCGTCTGAAAGTATTTTAGGTAACATTTTTGCTTTATTTTAATTGTCTTATTATTATTTTAAATTGCAAAGAAGATATCTAATTTACCGTGATTCTTTAATGTAATTTCGCAACCGGAATCTGGAATTATGAATGGTATATAGGGTTGGTCTTTGAAGTTGTGCTTGATTATGGTTTCTAACTGATGTGGTTTTAGCTAAAATTTTAGATATTGTTAGTTATGATATGGTATGGTTATTTTAAAGTTAATTTTCTAGTTTACTTTACATTAACTTACATTAACACTACTGCTGTACAAAACCCTTTTCAATTGTCGTATTTCGCATTCATTAGCTGGGATACACAGTAAGCGCATAGATGACTGTAATCCTTGTTGTTGCAGGTCTGAAGATACAAAGCAGTGTCCTTTTGGCAATTGCCTCAAGGCTTCGTGTATACTTGCCAATTGAGATTGTAGTTCTATTGAGGCTTCTGGTAATTCAACGAGGTTGATGTATATTGAGGTAGCATAGGGTCGTATCACACGATATATCTTGGTTTTTACGTATTTCCCTGAAGAATGTGGGAGATAAAACAATTTATCTGGTAATTACATTAACTATATATGTTACCTAAGAAGCGATACGATAAGTTAACTCTTGTTATTCTACGTTTTCCTACCTTTGCCAATAGTAACCACAGTAGAGATAGGCAATTTGACCTTTAGTTTCTTCGAGAAACCGTGGGGCATGACTCGAAGATACAACTGGATATTGTTATGGACGATGAAGAATCTCAGCGGATTAAACAAAGCTACATTATCGTGGGGAGCTTCTGTTACAGTACTCTTTTGAGCGTATTCTGTAACTTTTGGTTGAGATAGTGGAGCTACCATAACTTGGGTTGTGTTGGAGATCAGAGCCGCCGATCCCTTAGGCAATTTCGAGCCGATTTGGACTAAAATGGTGTTTTAGTTGAGTAAGGTGTGGTTTTCGATTTCAAGAAAAAAGATTTTACAGTAACAAAACAATAGTATGGGTATCCTTACCGACTCTGAAGTTGACTGAAATGCCTGAGGACAAAAATAATACGAAAGAGAGGTCTTCTTGTACTACACGGATTTGGCGTAGGAAGTCTTCTTCAATCACTTCGCTGGTGTTTTCCTGCAAAATAATAAGTAAAAGAACCTATTGCACGTTTAAAATTAAGTTCCGATTAATTATTATAGGTTAATATAAGTCCTAACGTATTCTTTAAAATAATTTTTAAAACAAGACCAACTATGAATACCTACGATAATATTCCAGTCTTCAAAGGTCTCTGGCTTTATCTCCATCCATTGGCAGTAATTGACATCCTTGACCTGCTCTAGCATCAACTCATCACCAACACTTAAACCTAGCTTCTGTAGGAAGATACGATTCAGATGTAGGTATTCAAATGGGGGTTTCGAAGCGAAAACTTGCAAAACAAATCCATTTTGGTTGCTTTCGCCGACTTTAGAACAGTGGAATACGGCAAAACTGGCTGATTCTACCTGAAAGAAAGTTTTCGATTTTAAAAAATGAAGGGATTTTCAAGTTTAAAATTATAAAAATTTAAAAAAAGAGGTTTAACAGGATATTGAACTTGAGTTATATGATGTACAATGTAAGACTTTAGCCAAATGAATGTTGCCTTTTACTTTGACGTCTATCTCAAATCAATAATACTTTTATATACAGTACAACTACTACGATAATTATCAAACATTTATCTTATCATCTAATCTCTCTACAATAATTTTACAACAACTTACAAACTTTTTGTCGGAATTGGACAAGAACCCACAACAATTGGGTAGCGTATGTTCTACTACTTTTACTACGATGGCCATGTCGTTGTATTAAACACTGATTTGATATTGTTCTTTCCCTTTCGCAGACTACACTTTCGGTACCCGTCTTAACTCTTTTCTCGCTTTTTGTTACCTTAACGCCATATACGAGGCTTGGAATAGGGTTTTGTCTATACCATGGATCTGTTATGGTTTTACCTACAAGTTATTTTATTACTACAGTGTAATCAATTTAAAACTGATTTTATATTTACTACAATGTAACTGAATTTTGTGCTTTTATACGAAGCAGAGCTGAATTCATGATCATAATGTACTGATTGATGGTATTTTGGTAGAAAATGTGGTACAAGATGAACAAACGAAACATTTTTCTATGTGAATTTGGACTAAAATAACCTTTTCTACAGCCTAATCTTTAAAAATGGGTCAGAGTGTGAAAGAGGTATGTTTTGAATGTTTTTTGTTTATTTCTCTCGAAGAGCAACTCATAAGGCTCTTACTAATAAGTCAAAATTAAGCAAACTGCGATCATAACGTAAACATCATTTTCTATATTTTTTTCCTTCAAATCTGTGTTTTAGAGCTTTGAAATTCAAAAGTTTTCACACAAACTACTTTCTTAATATAGTATGTGTGTGTTGCCAGACAATTAGTATACTGTCCCTGATCTTTAAAAGCTCTGAAGCACATCGTTTTAAGTGTTTTTGTGGGATTATTTATTTTCGAATTCGAATGTTGTTCTAATCTCGATCACTTTGTTTTGCTGGCCTCCAAACCGGCCACAAAAACAGCTCGTCTTTGCGCTTTCGAAAGGAGAGCGAGAACGGTGTTCGTGAGTACCATTCCTTCCTTCGGACACTGACCAAAACATTCGTTGTTTGCGAATTCTTATCACTTTTTCTTCAATTCTTTTTTGCTCTAGGGCGTGTTTTTTCGAAATGTCTTTTAATATGTGTTTAGATTAACAAATTCTATAAATGTCATTTGACAGGGTTAGAAATGGCTTTAGGCTACTTTTAAAAGTTTTGATCTTTTGACAATTAAGACTGAAATTGTCGAAAAAGATTAGAAAAGATGTACTTATTTAAGTGCAAATGCTACCTGGTCAAAGGACAATGTCATTAGTGTATTTTTTGATAGTTTTTAAATGGACAGACGTTCTTAATCATTTGATTTTTAATATAACATTCATAAGACGCTTATTGATAATAAGTATAGTTTTGCAGAGCTTGCTTTTTGTCAATTGACTTAAAAATGATGTTTTTATAGTTCTTAGTTGACTAAACTTACAGTAACAAGATTTTTTACCGTTTTCTCTTCCCTCTCCCCCCCCTCCCCATCTTGATAATATCCCCTAGATCAACCTGCAAAGTTTAAGAATACTTATTCTTTATATTGTACTAATATACCACTCAAAGAACGTTTATACACTTGAGGTCTTAAAATACCCCCTTACGAGCTTAATCTGTGCCCTCGGGGTTTGTCTGCACTTTCTGGAACACTTTTTGGATTTCGTTCGATCTCGTGGCCGGCTCCTCGAGAGCGAGCTTTGAACGGCACCGGACGTGACCAATAATCAGCTGACTGAGGTCATTACCTCTTTCGTCCTTCTCCGAGGTGTTTATTTAGCACATCGGATCAGCGTCCAGATGGTCGTGTCTTTATTTTGCAGTCGTATATTGTTGTTGTCGCGCGAACACATCCATCCGTCTTTAATGCGTTCTTCTCCATGGTTAGAGTAGTTCGAAATCCTTGAATTATTGGAAATTGGATCAAGATACGATTACTTCACAATCTGATTTCTTTATCTATAGTTGACTTAAGTTTGTCTTGAGTTCATTAACTTGTGGTTATTGTGCAAACATTTCACTGACTTCATACTGTATTGTACGTAAACTATGAACCGCCACTACTTTGACCATTACAGAGTAATGGAGCTGCTCAGTTTGAAAGACTGTCCTGAACAGCACTCGTCCACGGACAGTATGGAGAGTATCAACGAAGAGGTACCACCAACCACACCTACATTCGCACCAATGCTGAAGAGACTGAACGAGTTCAGGATGATGGCCATCGGATGTGATGTCACTTTTTTGGTCGGAGAAAAGAGGAGGGTGAGTCACAAAAACAACATATGTTACTTTCTGACATTAGTGTAAATGTGACATAAGGTCTTTGGTTACTAAACATAACATACATCAAACTTACCATAATCATCGTTTTCAGCCAATATTCAGCCACAAACTGATCCTAGCCTGTAGTTCACAAGTCTTCAAAGCCATGTTCTACGGTCTTCTCAGTGAATTTCCTCACAGTTTCCCGACTCCAGAAGTCACGCCTCCAGTAGACGACCATTCAGATTCCTCATCTTTGTCATCGTCATTCAGTAGCTCCAATTTCAGTCAAACTCCAGAAGACGAATCCGAAGATGAAGCCAAAGTGAACGTAGAAGTATCTCCATCACAAACCAATGATGTACTACCTTCACCAAACAAACTACTGCCCCCAACACAGACACGATACGTGGCTACAGAGATGAGTATGTTCACGGATCGACGCTACGTATCTCCAGTGGAGACCGTGGAGGTGCCCGACATCAATCCATCAGCCTTCAGGAAGATGATCGAATTTATTTACAGCGATTTTGACCCCAAGAGTGTGCACCTAACAGATAACAATGTCATGGAGGTCCTCTATGCTGGTAAATATTTACTTGTTTGTAACTTGGAGTACTTTTGTTTTTAATGTGGGTTGACGTGAGAGATGTCAAAATGTTCACAATTTCTTAGTATTATATAGAAAATGGCATTCAAGCTTGTTTTTGAACAAAAACGTAAAGTTTACATAGTTTCTGCAACTACTGTACTATAATGTTTTCACTTTGTACTAAAATATAATTACAACAACGCAACACCTTAAAATTGTATTAAAATTTCAGCCAAGAAGTACGCGATTGATGCACTGGTTGACGAATGTGTTAGGTACCTGTTGAACGACTTAAGCCCCTTTAACGCGGTCTTTCTCTTATCCCAAGCTCGAGTCTTTAATGAGGAGACGTTAATTAAGCGCTGCTACGAAGTCATCGATCGTAACACCGACGTCGCCCTACAGGCAGAACGTAAGTAACGCATTAGTTATTCGACTACAGCTTTGACAAGTTTACAATAGTAGAGCTTGTAAAAGAAATTAAAAAACTATAAAAAGTTAGTGATATTATCTTAAACCTAACCATCAACTGTAGCCACAGTATTTTCAAAACTATACTGTAAAATATTGTTTTCAGACATCGAAGATGTAGATAAAGACACCTTGATGACAGTACTTCGTAGAACCCAACTCGACCCCTCATCTGAATTAATCATCTTCAACGCCGCCCGAGGCTGGGCTGAAGCCGATTGTAAGCGTCAGAAGCTGGAACCAACTCCTCAGAATATTCGTCAAGTTCTTGGTCCAGCCCTAAGCCTGATCAGATACCCAAGAATGGAGGTAACCGAGTTCGGACAGGTAGCCATGTCAGGCATCTTGACTTGTGAAGAGATGGCAGAAGTGTTTATGCATCTGACTGTGAAGCCGGCTCCATTCTGCCGCTACTCCACTGGATTCAGATGCTCATCAAGATCGAAACATGTTGTGCAGAGATTCGGAGCTGTTTCGTCGAAACGATGCTCGAAAAGGGAAAGCAAAGTTGCGTAAGTTGCTTTGTTTATTATTTTATGTTGGTGTCAAAAATTTTTTTTTCAAAAAGCATTTTTTGTTATTATAGTCGCTTCTTTTTTTATAGATTTTAGAAAAGACGCTTGATATTGTTAAAAATCTTAGTTGTTTTAGCTTCACCGTTGATAGAGATGTCCAGATCCATGGCTTGGGTATTTATGGTATGAATCCCATCAAACCTCATACTGAAGAAGAAAACACATGGAGATGTCAAGTCGAAATCCAGGTATGCTTTTATCGTTTTTTGAAAAACCGTGTTTTAAAGTAGCCTTAAGTTTTTACTGTACTAACTCATCATTTTCTGTAACAATTGTATTGTTTCAGTTGGGAGTAGTTACTGATCCGAGTAGCTATGCCTCTACATTGGGAGTACTAGCCTCTAACAACGTGTACATGCAAGGTTTTCTTGGAGAGGAACAACCGGTCGTAGCCTCCTTCAAGGAGCCTGTGCCCATCTCTCCTTATCAGAGTTATGTAGCTACCGTCAGATTCATTGTAAGTTTTGTATCACAAGCTTTTGTATATTATCTTACAATGGTCCTTCTGATATTCTATGTTAAAATAATATTTTTACTATAACTTTTATGACTTACAGAGTGAAACTGCCATTCAAACGATTTCGGGTAAAGACGGAAAGGAGGCTGTTACAGTAACTCTGCCGAACGACGAAACGGTAACTTTCAAGTTCAACAGTTACCGTAACTCGTACGGTGACGATGGTTACAAATCAGAAGGCCAGATCCCGTCACTCCACTTCTACGTAGCATGGCCTGAAAAGGAAACTACTACGGTATAAAGTAAACTGTAACTATACAGAGTAATCAGCTATATTACTCTGAAATAAGTACAGAGTAAAATACTGACTGCTGTGTTGAAATCAGTACCATACTCATCGACAATATCATCATGTATCTCATATTTATTTGTATATATCACTGTATGTAACACATGTAGATATGTTATTATTTGTACACTTTGACTGCATAAATTATATTACCCAAGTTGGTCATTACTACTGTTTAACTGTTTTGTCAGTGTAACGTAACTAATATGTGTGCTATTTCGTGCTTTATATATAATAACGTGTATTTTTGTATCTTCCATGTACTTTTATATTACCTTTACATTTTTAAAAATGTTTTTCAATTTGTCGTTATTTATTTGATCATTTTTCTTAAAAAACAGAATTACTTACGTTAAAAAACAACATTTAAATCCAAATCAAACCTTATTTTAGATGAGCACCGCTTTCAAAGCCTCCGTAGCAGCTTCAGCAGCTCAAAGTCAGCTGCGTCCATCAGTCTTTGACATTCTTTCACAACAAAGTCAACAACAATCCCTGAAGCCAGCGATACAGTACATCCTCAAGTTCGGAGCTTTGTTTTACCAGTCGAAGAACATCAACTCGTTGATGAAATGGTTCGACGAAATCTACGCCGTGGTCATGTTGACTATGGAAAACCATTCTCTGAAGAAATACGGTGAGTGACATAGCTACGTTCTAAAAAGTCTTGTAAAGGATTGGTAATCGTTTTCATAACGTTTATTTTTCAATTTTGACCAAATGTTTAGGTACAGGTACAATATTCTAATTTTAAATAAAACCTGAAATGGAACGTATTTTACAAAACAACGTACCTTATTTTAGGTGCCTCATTCTCGGAAAACTTTTATTCGATGAAACGAGTCTTCGACCAGCATAATTCCTTACCGACCGACAGCGAACGACGAAAAAGTTTATTGTTTCTAGTTATCGTCCCTTACATCGAAAGCAAATTGTCAGCCTACAAGAACAAAATCGAAAATACCGATCCCAATCAGGTAAAACTTCTTTTTCGATCAAATGTTACAATATTTCTTACCTAAATAATATTTTAATATTATTATTTTTTAATACGAAATGCCACAAATCATTGGAGAATGTGGACGAAATATCACAAGTTTATTGTTTGTTGTTGATGAAAGCTTCTTTTTGGTCTAAATTTGTCTTGAAAATTTTAATGTGGAAAAATGAACTTTTAAACTATAAACCAAAAAAACGTTAATTTAAGATTAAAATTCTATATAATATAATAAAACAACAATTTTAGCGAACCCCCTTCATGAACATGTTCTTTAAGATCTACCCGGTATTCCAGAAGATCCTAGGCATTATAGGCTTAATCTTTGTAGTATTATATGGATTTGGGTATGTAGATGTCCAAAACCTACCTCTTCTGCTGCTTGGAGCTCGTCTCCATCGTTTGACGCCTGAGGAAATGGAGAGCTTCGAGAAGCCGGTCTACAACGAATCTGGGTGAGTGTGACGATGGCAGTAGCATCATTGTAATCGAACAGTGTTTTAGGAAGAGTAACTCGCGTTTTTCTGCAAATTCCCTCCTGGACTGGTCGCTTCTTCTCTTATGCCCTATTCTTCAAAGATGTTCACGAGTTTGTGACAAACAACGACGAAGACCATAAGGGCTTCAAGTACGACATTGACTTTGCTCGACCTGTGCATCCGACTAATGTAAGGTTGGGGATAGAGGTTCGGGGCAAAGAGAGATCAAAATGGAGTTATATTGATAATGATTAGTGTTTTTCTGATTTTTTTTTCGAATTGCCGGACTTAAAAAGAGACCCGGAACGTTAAATAGGATGTTAACAATGTAAACCTAATTATTATCTTATTTTTGTCTTCGTAAGAGTATTTGTTTACTTTAAAAATAATAATTATTAACTTTTAGTTGATCTCACCCTCCGAACTAGCCCAAATGGAAACAGACAAGTGTCCTTTATGTCACAATCGTCGCCAAAACGACACCGTGCTCAGTGTGTCGGGTTATGTGTTTTGTTTCACATGTATTAACTCGTATGTTCGGTTAGAAAAACGCTGTCCCATAACCAATCTTCCAGCTTCACATGAACAACTAGTTCGTTTGTATCGAAAGTCCGGCTAATACCTCATTTTGTCCATAACTGTGATATCTCTTTTTATATTTAAGAGTTTTGGATTCTAGTTCTTCTCTTCAGTTTTTGTTGGCTTCTGAATCTATTGTGATATCTTTTAGTTTTAAGGCTTTTACTTGTCATATTAGAACTACCTTCAAATAATACCAATCTTTTTTGAAGTCATATGTTAACATATCTTATTGATGCCTCTTCTTATCATATATTCCTCTAAACTCTATACCTTCACTTGCCGTATCTTCCCCAAAAACCCATTCCCACTTCTATCACAATGAAAACCAGAATCACCTTTAACCTGTGGAATAAACAAGTTGAAACTGAATCCACGAAATTAGTCGAGAATGTTATTAATACCCCGGAGGCATTGTTTCAAGACCACCTTAAGTGGGGGTGCGCGAACGTCTTGACCAGGTTGTCAAGTAGGTACCTTGAACAAACAGTCTCGCTTCTGTTCACGCCCTCGGGGCGTCAACGCGTGTTCCAATCGAGATAACCCGCTTAGGCGCGACTTCTAATGTATTCCCGTAGCAGTTTGGACGAATTTGTGTGTAGCTCCAGGATTAGCAGGGTTTTGTTTGTCGATTCTGAGGATTACGTGTGTAGCGCTCGATTCAGAAGGTTAATTTAGAGGATTACAGGCTCATATTATAGTAGACTTGTTTGCTTATGTCAGGTTAATTGTTTCCTGGAGCCACGTTCAGCGTGATTACAATCTGGAGCCAAGTTCGTTGATAGTATGAACTCTGATGGAGCTCAATCGACTTCTGAAGCGTCTCCGGACTTTGAGTGCACGATGGCTGAAGCCAACGCTTCAGAAGATGGGTGGATACACGATCCTTCAGCGTGGTAATACAATTTGAATATTTTTTAAATTGAAATCTAAAACATGAAATTTTTCTTTAAAAACAGTATTCCAAATTACTGTATCTATATTATTTTTCAGGGACTACTTTTGTTCACTGTTAACATCCCTTTACGCCATGTTCATCATCGTATTTGCCGTCGTAATGGAGCTCTCTCAGAAGTTCACTTCAGATGAATGGTTTATGGAGATGGTAAGAGTTTTAACAAGACTACAGTACCCTTTTTAGTTGTTTTACAGTTACATGTACGGAGCGGGTATTACATTCTTACTGTATTGTTATTTATTCCAAATGCATCCAGCTTGGCTCAACAACTTGATGAAGATGGCAGAGCGGAGAAAGTGGATTCAGGGTGGTACTGTGAGTTTGGGTTACAGTAACATTATTTTTAAATTGTTTTTTTTAATTGTTTTTGTTGGCATTTTATTGTTGTTTAAGGAAGTACAACAAACTACGCATTCAAGCGACGGAGCTGGATCTCTGTACCTTCGACTTGGTACTCTTTGTAAGTTTATTAAAAGTATACTGTACTTTATGAGAAGTCAAGGGTTTTTATCAGAATATATTTACATATGTCTTACTTACCCCTAGCTTTACCGAAATTTATAGAAACGTTTAAATGTATACTTTAACATTATATTATTTTAGGTTTTGGCAGTAGTGGAATAGTGTTGTTTTGCCTAGAGTTCTTCGTATGCATATCAGATCACTTATGTTTTACATATCGCCTTATCAATTGGGTATACGCAGCTGCTTTTACTTTCATTCAGATGCATTTCATCTTCTGCAATTCGAAGGTATGTTATCCATGACGATATCAACCTTGTAGATCATAATTACAGAATCCAAGAATCTGGCCAAGTTGGGTACGATGCACTTACTGGCTGTAAACGTGTGGACATGGTTGAGGTTTGTGATAGCAAAACACGATGGAAAGTCAGTTTATGTGGAACATATACTGAATAGGACGGATTCGTTAGTACTGCCGAGGGTAGAAGAGGTACGGTTTTGAAAAATAAATAAGAACATCGTATTGGAAATGATAGTACTATTACTTACAATAGAAGTTATAGAAATGAAAGTAGCTATTACAGTACGAAAGACACTATTGCTCTAATCAAAGGTATTATTCCAGAACTACACAATACCGACAGACGAGATCTTGGCTATAAGAATATACTCATTTTACTACTTTGGTGACTTTGCCACATTACTGACGACATGTATAGTAGAGTACTCCGTAATTGGAGCTGCTATAATGTTTGTGTTATGGAGATCGATTGACGACCACTGTACTATGCCAATTTATCGACCGAAACGTAAAAACAAAGTCAGAATTGATTGCAGGTAAGGGTTTGTTAACTGTGTTCACTTTACCGTAATTACTTTTATATACTTCTGTTGTTGGTTTAAGCAGATTTATTGTGATTTAGCTGCTAGTATAAGCTTTACCATCGTTATTTTCAGTGGTGTTTTGAAGTTTAGTCTTGATAACGTTAGGATACTTGATAAAATTACATTTTAGCGCATCGTCGGCTGGACTGTTTGCTGGAGTGTTATTCTTGATTTGTGCCTTGGTTTCTATCGGGATATACACCATCTTCAGTCAACATAGTGACGATCGTGGCGCGCTACTGGTGTTTAGATTATCAGATTTTGCCCTTTTTTGCTTTACATTAGTAGGATGCATTATTGGACTGTATCGGTAGGTTATATCTCTTACGGTAAACTATGATCTACTCGCAAATACAGTATGATTCTTACATAATTTCAGAATGAGATTTCTGAATTACCAAAGTCTTCAAATTATGACGAACGCCGAGTTCCTCGACGAGATTCTGCTGATAATCGGCCTTCTGGGGGAGCTGATCCATTCGAGTACGGGTCTGATGTGCTGGATAACAACTCAATCCGAGTGGGGTCAGAACAAGATGGAGACCTACATGCTGGTGGTGTTCGTCGTGCGAGAGGTCCAAGTCATCGTACAAGCCGTGTTTATTTTGGTATCTTCACGGTAAGTGTTTTTACAGACGAGATTCCATCTTATCTTCACCATCTGTATACAAGTTGTTGTCTTTAGTTGATTTTACGTCACAACAATTCTATTTTTGTTGTCATAAATGTCTGGATATTAGGGTATCAAGGTTTATTGTGATAATAGTCTGGATTTTGTAGTATTTTAGCTTTTTTGCCATAAGTTTTAGATTTTAAGGTGTCAAAGATCCTTTTCCATCATATCCAATTTTGTTACAGTAGTATCATAATTTTCAGCCTGCGAGCCCAAAGCCCCAAGGCGATTGCCCAAAAGCCTGGGAAACAATTTGTGACATTCTTATTGATCGCCAATGTGTCGCTATTCTTCTTCCATACCTTAGAAGGTATGAAATCAGTCTTCGGAGATGCGATAGCATCAAGAAGAACCAAGCCTTATGCTACGTTAATATGTGCAGTTGCTCCGTTGGTCGTGTTCTACCGTTTCCACTCAAGTGTTTGTTTGGCCGAGATCTGGAAGCATTGTTACAACACCAAGAACAATCCTCGGTCTTTGAAGTCACCAGCGTCTTCTAGCTCCGTGGCTACAAGAACATCGTCGATAAGGGAGCAGGGCTTGTTTTGAACGGTATGGTCATTGTAACATATATTGTATTGTCTAACATCTTATGTCGTACTAGCTATATAGGATACTAGAGGTTAGATTATTTAGTATTACCAACTTTAAATTGTGGTCAATGTACATAGAACTACTTCTTTTCACGCTTTACATATCTTGCAACTGTTATTTATACTTCTTGACCATCTTCGCAATTATAATGCAAAACAATCTAAAATTATCAATATATTATTGATGATTTCCTTCTCCCGAATACCTTGATTGAACACTTAGACCTTTCTTTACAACCATATTCTTCAAAAGTTGTTATGAAACTTTGTTTCGTCGAAAAGGCGTCTGAATCCCTGCTCTTTTTCAACAAAGGCTGGAGATCAAAAAACAAAAAAAATTACATCGATAGCTATATTTATAGTATATTGTGGTTTTGACAGAATAGTAAGTCTACTATAATATATATATATAATATTTGTGTATAATATAACAATATCTAAGTATATTTCACTTCGTTTTCTAGACCCATATGTAATATTATGTATACAACAATAAAAGATAAATTTTTTAAAATGATGACTATACAACCAAAATACTGTATCTGAAGGCCAACTTATGTAATTTAAAGTAGATCGCAGTATTTTTAGGAAAGTTACAATAAAATATTACAGTACTCTACGCAGCACTTTGTCGTTGTTCATTCACAGGCTCTTCTAACTGAGCTGACACTTTAGGTAGATACACCGCTTCAATAAGGTCGGTCACCAACCTTTCCGACCGTTTCCAGAGGTCGTCTTTGTGAGGCATAAACTCTACAATCTCTGTAGCCAGAAGACCGTTCAGTTGATTGTCTCTTAAGTAATCCAAGAATTCAGACGCCACAATTCCTCCAGGCTCAGGGGTTCCCACAGCTGGAGCGTCCTTGATTCTGAAGCCATCCAAGTCGATGCTCATTCCGAAGCCGTGTGTGTCCCTACTAACCAATTCTACTGCCTCGTTCATACATTCGTCGATACCTCGCCGTTGGACTTCCGAATCGTAGAAGACTCTGATGCCGAGTCTGTTCAGTAGCTCCTGTTCCTCTGATTCGAACGATCGGATTCCGACCAGACACAGGTTTTGTGGTTTGATCTTTGGGTATATATCTCCCACCGTTCTCAGTAGCTCGTTTCCAAAACCCAGAAGATGTGCTACAGGAGTACCGTGGATGTTTTTCGTTGGACTAGATTCAATTGTATGGGCATCCATATGAGCATCGACCCAGATGAGGCCTATATCACCATAAGGACGGAAGGTAGAGGCCACACCACTCCAGGTTCCGATGGCACAGCTGTGATCTCCACCAATTACTAGAAGCTCGTTCTGGTCATCTTCACGAAGCACGGTGGAGACGGCTGAACAGAGGTTTCGGCTGTTCTGAAAGGTAAATCCAGGTTTTGATTTGTGTAAAGTTTGAATATTGATTACAAATAAAGTACCGTATTCAACAAGCTAATACTAGCCATATTTAGGTAACAAATAACTTATAATTTGAAAAAATATAATTCAAATTTACCTGTACAACACCATGTAGAGCTTGATCTTGTCTTCCTGTAACGCTTTCTTCAATCAAGGAATGCCACTTTAGGCCGACTCTAGAGTTGTTCATGAAGTCTGATTGAGTCAGCACATTCAGATTATTCTCGCATCCCAAATGTCTAAAACAATGTAATTTCTAAGTAAAGGTTGCCGTAGGTAAATATTTACATACCACTATAGCCAAATCTAACAATAATTTAGATGAAAAGTGCTTATACAATACTTGATACATATTCATCCTTACCTCCCTCCATGTCCATTGGCCAACCCAATAGCATTGACGTATCTACCAGCCAGACGGCATACTGTAAGTCGCATCGTAAACAAGCTGATCAAACGTTGCAATGATCAAAAAGAAATCGCTGTAAATGTCGCTGAAAGTTGGTTTCATCATCTCGTGGTTAGGGCACCCCCGAGTGGGCGGGGCGATATTAAAGATCATCGCACTCTATCTATAACCAGAATCGGGTTACAACAACATGTCTCAGGGAGATCCCACACGTGATGTTATATTGCAATAGATCACAACCTTTCCAACGACGCTTGATTGATGATAAACGTACAGAATCCAAAAGGACAACTGTGTTATTGAAGCTGGAAATAGACCCTGATCTTCAACCTTTTCTTGTCCATCTAAAAGTGTAAAACAACAAGTACAATATTGCGATTCTTTTCTCAGTTTATAAAAAGTAAATTGACTGTAACATAAGAATAAAGAAGCTTCATAAATAATCAAACTTTATTGACATAGACTATCTACTGTAATATATAACACAAAAAATTGTAAGTTCACATTAAATAAAATGTCGAAAGAATATAACTCAAACAATATCACCCGAGTTGAATAAACATAATTAACATAAATAGTTTTCAAAACAATTTCAAGCAATAATGCCCTCGACCTGATGCACTTCCATTAAGTTGGATTCAGAAGACCGTAGATATTGTGTCAGAAGAAGAATGAACTGTTCCTTGACCTGATTGAACTGCATTACACTCTCAGGATGTTTGTATATCCAGTAATCGCCAAATAAGGAAAACAATCTACAGTAAACCTGGTGGAAGTTGTCGATTGTGGGCGGTCGATGACAAGAATTCACAAAATGATTCTTCAGAAGTTCGTCTTTCAGAAATTGTCGACAAAGCGCAGTGAAAGTGATCCCAGCAATCGCAAATGGAAAACTGTAATTTACAGTATGTTCAAAAGTATAAAATAAGTTTTTAACCGAAAGTGCTCTCCCTCAAGAGATATATGTCTTTCATTATTAAAAAAACAATTAGTTTTTTGTAAAAAAAAGCTGCAACTCCTTTTACAATATTTTTTGAAAATAAAAATCGTGATGTGGTAGCTTACCCTAATATAGGATCCTTTGATATCTCTAGCACTTTCTGGCACTTCTCGACGTCGAATTGAGCAAAGAATATTAGCTGATCTAGTCCGAGGACTCCCATACCCCTAAAGTCAGTTGCTGGATCGTCTCCCTAGAAAAGTTATTATTGGTAAAATCAAAGTATGTTATAGTAGAATGACAATTACAAATTTTAGACTAACAGTGCAATTTAAAGTTGTAAACTTATAACAGTAGCTTTTAAAACAAAATAGGATTCTGAAAACCGATTCAGAAACTTTCACTGGCCAAAAAAAGTTATATCTTATAATACCTGAAATCCAATGTCTTGCCATTTTTTAGTTTTTCTGGCTTCTAATTCTTCTTCTGGTTTCAGCAACTTCCACAACTTGAACAACTTTTTCTCGTGTTTTTCATTTTCAGAATCATAGAGTTCAGAGCGTCTTTCTTCTACCTGAAGTGACAACCTTCATAAAAAAAATTAGCATTATGTATTTGATCAAAATAATGATGCAATAAATATAACCAGCGTAAATATTAACAAAACCTTAATTAACGTACCTCCTGACACAACTTCTTGTACCCCTTGAGTATCCTCAAAGGGTTCGACAGTTTCTTGGCCAGATGATTTCTGTATTCATTGTCAGACACTTCATCTTCTAGTAGACCTTCCGCTTCTTCTGTTTCGTTTCCACTTTCCCAATCATAATTTCTAAGCCGAGCACTCGAATTGCGCCTTAATGCCCATTCCACTCGCTCCAATCGTTCACTTTCATTCAGATGATTATCCAGTGCCTAAAATCATAAAGTAAAAATATCTTAAATAAGCATGATCTACTAATAAATATCGTGTTTAAATTAACATAAATAATGCTTAAATATCAGTGCAATGAAAACAAATCATACTTACCAAACTGCGCAAAGAGTAAGGTCCTAAAAAGTATTCTATAGCATTGATTAGTGAGTTTATTATGAATTGTTTTACAGCCAGGAAAAGACTGCCCAAGTCTATCATCTAAATAAACACTAACCGAATGTTGAAATTTAAAACGAAGTCGTTATACTACATAAGTCACCGTTAATGCAAAGTATTATCGGAAAATCCAATCAAATGATGAACAACAGAACAGAAATAAACATATTTATAACATTAATACAAACAATAACTTAATTAGAAGACTGAGTAGAATTGTAATGTTCACCGAGCGAGTAGGCATACCGATGATACGTTAAGATCAGAGGTTTTCCTTTGAAGCCTTCACCATATTTATGTGGAGATCCATCAGCATGAATAACTTCTATAGGCTTCTCGTAAGCAGCACTAAAGGCTTGTAATTCTGGTTCACCACCCCATTCTCCACCATTGCGACAACTACTTCGAACTTTGTCGCAATAACTGAAAATAGAAATTTTTTTAATTAAAAAGCAGGATTATAATACATAGTTAAGGATGCAAATCAACCACACGAATAAAAAAACTACAAATTCATCATAAAACAATATTATATTAAATTCTTACTCTTCAAAACCTTCATCATCTAAATCCCCATTGTTCAAAAATGGCAAAAAACTGTCTTTATTCGATATCAAGTGGTTCACAGTGAGTTCCCTGACTTTGTCACCTGTCATCGTTGAAGAAGCGTCCAATAAAGAGATCTGATGAGCTAAAGCATTGTACATACAATCTCCATCTGGCTTTATATCAATCATCTTGAGATTCCTGTCTTCCAACACAGCCTTTATCTTTTCACTCTCCACCGTGCCTCGACTTGTAGCAGCGTTCAAAGCATCTTGCTTCATGGCTTCTCTCATCCGACGATCTTTTTCTTCCTTCTTCTCCTAAAGCAAGAATTGAACTATATTAACATTAACTTACTCTCATCTTCTGTGCTTTAGTCTTCTTCTTCTCACCGGCTTCTTCGACATTCTCTGAGTTTGTTTCACTTGGCACTTTAGCTTCAGAATCATCAGATACTTTAACATTGACAGTTTGTTGAACTAAATCATTCATTTCCTTCTCGTGTTTAACCTTTAGCTCGTTTTCCAACTTTGCAATCTGAGCATTAACCTCCTTTTTCCTTTTGGCATCATTTTTGTTGATGGAACGTTTCAAAGACGTTGTTTGAGCTAAATATTGTGTTATTCACTAAATAAATAACAAAATTCTTACCCACTAAATCCTTCTTTTCCTTAGAATGTCTGGCTTTTAGTTCATCCATTCTATCGGAAGCTTTTATGCATGAACTTGTGATTTGTTTCAGTCGCGACAAAATTTTGCAAAAATTGCATTTATTTTATTAAGTGCGGAACGCCAAAGAAATAAATCGTGGCGGGAGTCAAAAATAACGAAATGTAGAAAATATTTAGCATTATTTTTATAAAAATACAATCGTATCTCCATAAATTTTTTGTTGTTCTACATAGTATTTACATTCATTTTCCAAAATGGCTATGGCAAATAGAGGACGTCAGTCAAAGCTTCCACCAGAGGTCAACAAGATTTTATACGTCAAAAACTTACCTTACAAGATCACTGCAGAGGAAATGTACGACATTTTTGGAAAGTTTGGAGCCGTGCGACAGATCAGAATGTAAGGAGTTTTTTTTTGTTTGTTTTTAGGGTTTTCAAATATATAACCAGTGGCGGTTAAATGGATATTATTGTCGTTAAAGCAATTAATAATTATAACATTAGAATAATGACATTACTAATATATATCCTTCATTTTAAGCGGGAACACACCAGAAACTCGTGGAACAGCCTTTGTTGTGTATGAGGATATTTTTGATGCCAAACAAGCGTGTGATCACTTGAACGGTTTTAATGTCTCAAATCGATACCTGGTTGTGTTATACTATCAAACGACGAAAGCTTGGCTGAGGATGGATACAGAGAAGGCAAAGGAGAAGTTGGAACAGGTAAAGGAACGTTATGGATTGGGTGGAGATATCGATAAGGAGAAGGACAAGGCCATGATGACACCTACACCTCGTCGAAATTAAGTTATTGTACAGTTATGATGATCCTCATTAAATTTTAATGTTTTATGTAGTTTATGGAATTTTTTTTAAACGAGAATAGTAAGGTAGTGAAGATAGTAGGGTAATCAAAAATGCAAATCAAACGTTTTGTTCTATTTACTTTTTGACCGAATTAGTGTTACGCTTCAACGTAAATATATTTATTATGTTATTTTTCTATTTGCAAAAGTGTTTGTCAATGATCGATGTGCATGTTTTGCATTTAATGTAACAACAGTGCACGTATTTGCATTTACATTGTTCTTCCACAGTGTACTGTTTAGTGTTGAACCCTCTACCACAACATAAGTTTTCACAATTCCCTGTTCCAGAGGTCGTGGCGTTACACTCTCTATAATTATTTGTAGTTTGAAAAAGTTGATTTGTTGTAAAAACTATTGTAAGGATCTTTTATTTTTTTATTTAAAAATAATTTGATGACATTTCCTACCTGCTCCGTGTGCCAAAAGATCCATTTTCGATATCTTCATCACAATACGTCGGCGAACTTTTGATGTAAATCTAAATTATCACATTATACTTGAAAAAAATGTAATTTATATCCAAGTAGCGGTTCTTACCAGTTCAGGCAGAGGTACTGTAACTCGAGTAGGTCTGGATTCTCCTTTTGTCTCATAAGTAATTTCTGTTTCTTTCTCTATTTGTGCCAGATTGTACCGTTCTTTAAGGGCATTTGCAATAGAAGTCAATGGAGGTAGCGTAGACCAACAAGTTCGTATTTCGCAGCTACTTGACAGTCCGTGGCATTTACATTTTTGGAACAATCGTTGTTGTGTTACCTAAACGTAAAAATTTTGTGGAAAAAGTAATATTCGGTGCAATAAGTGAGTAAATAGATACTGAATAGGTATGAAAATTCAATGTCGGTATGAAGAGGTTGCGAATTTGAAATTTCTTACAATTCTGCCGACGTTGTTGTTGTAGATATTCATCCTTGCTTTAGGTCCGGCCCGGTTACTGGTCGGTTCTGGATCCGCGTTCAGGGTTTCTTCATCGAACTCAAGTACGTTGGATACAGTAGTCGTTTCTTCAGCGGCTTTCCGTTTCTTGAAGGTACTGTGCTTGTAGATGGAATCCGTCCATTCTGCAGATGCTCGTTTACCGTACTCCACGTTGTCGGAGCAGCCTTTCCACTAAAAATTGATGTTTATTAAGACAAAGTGAACTATACTAGCCAGAATGAATGCCAAAATAATTGCCTAATTAGTAAAGTTTTTAAAGTGCTTACCCTGTATGCATCTGGAGAGTTAGCTCCACTAGCGATCGAAGTCTCCGCGTATCCACATGGACAATATTTGAAGCCAGATGCACATGCTTTAGCAATTTGATGTGTTATTGCAGCCGCAGACAGGGCATACACAAATGCTTGTTCTTTCGTACCTAAAACAGTTTCTTTTAAATAATTTAATAAATTTATAATTATATACTACAAAAAGGCAACATCAACAGTCGAAAATAAGCTAGTAAACCACAGTTTAGACCGTTTTTTGACTAAAAATTCAACTTTTATATTATCAAACATTTAAAATGACAATGAAACTGTAAAAAGTGCTCTCGTATATAAGTTAGACAGCGTGAATAATTTCATCATCATTCCTAAGAAGGGGAAAGAAAGTTGTCTTCATTGAGCCTCGAACCCGCCTGTGTTCGCACGCGAAGCGGGCTCACAACCACCGAACCACAAAAACACGGACTCGCCTTTTGTTAAGTCTGCTTTCAAATCGGGCGCGAGTGTGAGGGAAGTGCAATTCCAACGAGAATCAGCGAAAACCGACTGGCAATTGTCGACGGAAAGTTGCGCTGATCTGATGATTAGTGGCATCAGCTCTGGAAAGCGTTTGCACATTCTGGCCTAAAAACGATTATTTAGGTAATGGGTGACACATAAATAATCACTGTTTTTAGATGTAAAACTTAATTTTAAAAATGAAATTGTATTGAATTTTAAAAAATAATCACCTGATGTGCCACCATCCCAACAGCCTTTCTTTCTGTTTTGTTCAACGGACATTCAAATTCAGGGCTCCATGTGTCATCGTACTTGTACAGAGCTCTAAATCATCGGCATTATCAACATTCTCCTCCATAACTTACAGCCATTTGATGCCATGCCCCAACTGCAACAAGCACAAGAGTGTAGCAGTCGAAATCGAACGCATTCTGATTGTAACCTTTTAAATCTTTAAGGCCAAATGAGTTTTCGGATCTTGGAATCGAAAGCCATCAAAAGTGCGTGACTTTTACGATGCCTCATTTAACCCATTCTCGTCACTCAAACCAAATTTTTTGTCCAACAACCTCTTTAACTGAAAACATGTGTGTTTCTGGAACTTTCAAACCAAAAGAATCGAGTTCATGGCACTAATTATAAGTTGTTATACCGAAATTAAAAATTTAAAAAGTATCAGTACAACGATATTTAAAAAAACATTAAACGTGTTTAATTTTGCATACTTATGTAAAAACAAGTTAAAATGACCGAAATACTGTAACTTGTGTTTTTAACCAGGCACGACTTTGTGCAGATTGCAAATGATGGGCGCGAACTGCCCTTAAAAATTATTTTTTTCTGAGAGAAAATTAATATCAGAAAACCATGGTTGTCTCAAACGGTGAAGGCTTTGAAGTCTATGAATCAGGCCCAAATACAGCAGTAGAAAATGAAGAAAAACAAGAAAGTAAGTACTATTTACATTTCAGGATAAACTAAAGGATAAGTTTATAATACGAACATTTTTAGAGCCAGAAGTCTCATTTATTCCTGAAGAAATGAATAAAAAGTTCCCGGCTCATGTGCTTCAAGTCATACCTAAAAATGATGGTGAAACTTGCAAAGAAAAGTACAATCGTCTTCGAAGTGAAGCGTACCTACTGCAAGAACAAATAATTCAGGATAATCTGAATACAGATATCTCAACAGAAGTATGCCCGGTAGATGAAATCAAGTTTTTGGTGCATTCTTTGAAGAATACCATTGATAACACTTCATCGTAAGTTTTATTTCTTATTTACTTGATTCTTTAGAGCGAGCGATCTGAACTTCGACGTGCTTCGCTTCAATTCTTTGAAAGAACGAATTGAGAATCTGGAAAAGTCACTTGGTGTAGATTCAATGACAGCAAACGAAACATCTTTACAAAAAGTTGTCGAGGAGTTGAAAACAAGGGTCCAGATTATGACTCCTGGTTACTTGAACGGCATCTTCAAGAAGATTCAGTATTTGAACAAGCAGAACGCCGACAGCGGTGCTCTAGACGCCATTTCTTCAAACTCAAAAGATGAAAAGATTGCCATTAATGAAGTCAGTGCTTTGATTCAGCGTTGGGACGAAAAGTGTAAAGAACTTGGAGCTACTGTGGAAAGTCTGAAGGTTTCTGAGGGGTTACATCACGATGGTAAGCTATTACCTATTAGAAAGTTATGGTGCCTCGTTTAACCAAGTAATTTTTAATATTTTCAGCAGAAAGAATTTTGTTAAAATGGGAAAAGCTGATGAATCTAAAACAGAACGTAGATCAGACTTTAGCTTATCACAAGAAAGCGCAAGAATTAACTGATCTGAGGAACAAAGAACGGATAGCTTCATTTTTGGAACGAATTGAGGCTTTAAAACAAAACTCTGAGTAACTTTTCAATATTGTGCTAAAAGAACGCTTATTTATTCTGATAAACTCAACAAGAATGTGTAACATGGTAACAGTGAGAAGTTTAACCGGTTTTAATGGAGGAAATCATCATGTGCCAGTTTCGAAGCACGGGGGAGATCTAGGAACAAGTTGTAAACCTTTTTGATATCTGAGATCTCGACCTAGAAAGTGGAGGATGTCATTGCGCAAAAAAAAATTGGAATTTTTAAATTGATGTTTAGTTTTACATAGTTCTTCATGAACTACGAAAAGATATTTTTAAAATTGAAATCTTACTTTTTCACCTTTACGTCTTTGTCTAACGATATCGGAAGTCGAAATGAGTTGCATTGCGTATCTTAACGTCGAATTTACCGCAGTTTTAACCAAAATAGAAAGGGCATCTGCTGACAATTCCACATTTTCTTCTTGAGCACGAATGTCAATGATCTTTTTGATATCCTTAAATTGAACATAGATAGACATCGTAAAACGTTTTGAAACATCAAAGCTATAAGCATTTAAACTTACTTCTTCTTTGTAAGGGAATGTAGGAATAATCAAAGATCTGTCCAATAAATCAGAAGGTATGCCATGTGGAGACACGAGTTCTGTACCTCTTATCGCAACATGACCTCTGTTTGTAGCGATGACAAGAAGAGGTGACAGGTCGCTCTCGATTATACGGTTCAGGAAAGAGAAGCATTCCAAATCAAGTAGATGAACTTCGTCGATGAACAAAACGCCAGGAATGATGGACGCCTTCTTTTCCTCACGCCATTCACTCACCTAAAATTACTATATTGATAATACACATCTTCAATTATACCTTTTTGTTGATTTGGTTCCTAACTTCCGACTTGATTTCACCAGTATCGCCGGAGAAAACAGCAAGATACCCATGAGTTCTGCTGTTGATCACATCAATATCATGAAGTGAAATCGTCTGAACAAGTTCTGTTCGTTTTTGGATCTCTCCAGTTGGAACGTTGACAAACTTAACACTTGCACCAACGGCGTCAAAATCTTTTTGTTTGTTAAGCGACCTTCCCAATTTTGTGATTTTGCCCGCGGCTCTTTGGATTTGTATAACATCACCCGCTGATATGCGTTCTTTAAAGATGACATCAATCAATTTAGCACCCAGTTCATAGACAGCTTCCATATCTGTTGTCTTCAAAGCTATGCGACCAGTTTTCTGAGAGTTGTTAGGATTTTGACGGTCAATTTCAACCAGAACAACTTCGCCTTCCAATACCTAAAAAAAAGTTATTCTAGAAAAAAATATAATTTCAAATAAATTTCGAAAAATCATTTAACTACCTCTGTTTCTTCTTTTATCCGTACTCCAGTAGCTTTCCTGAATGCTTGCATCAACGCTTCTGTCTTGCTAACATCGACCGAGAAGATTTCACTAGCTGAAAGCCAAACGAAGGGTGTATCTTGTCCAATAGCTTTAGAAATTGCCATAGCCAAGGCTGTTTTTCCTGATCCAGGCGGACCAGCAATCAAAAGAGCTCTTCCAGCAATTTGACTTTCCTAAACTTTCGAATAATTAACGGGCCTAAACAATGAAGTACAAAAAATAATAAAGACATACCTTAACCATGTTAACAATAACACCTGCGGCTTTTCTTGCTGGTGCCTGTCCAACCATGCCATCTCCAATGTCCAATGGTTGCAATTTACTGTCTAGGCCAAGGCCAACAATGTGAGAGTGAGCACCAACGCGTTCCAACTTTGTTGTGTCTTTTATTTCTATATTATCCATGTTGCTGAAACAAAAATATTTAAGTTTTGAAAATAAATTTAGATGTTTGAATAATGCAATTGCGCGCAATAGACTAGTTTTTGGGTTTCTAAAAAATATGAAAATATTTTTAAAATCTCAAAAATTAATTTTAACGGTTTTCAAAATATCTTTTTCTGAAACGTTACGCCAATTGCGTTGCGGGACCTATTCAACATAATTCTGTGGCTTCCGCCTGTTTTTCTCTACCAACTTTATCGTCGCTTTCTCTACCAACTTGATCGTCGTTATGAAGTTAGAGATTTTTAGTGTATGTTTCAGGTCTTCTCTTTCGCCCCGCCTTATTTTTAACGTTGAGTTTAACGGCCTTCCTCAATGTCTTTTTATATTTTGAATTTTCGCGCCATGTCGACGAGGAACGAGTGGATATTTCATATGTCGGATGTCTCTTCGTTTCGCGCGATATCTGTTATGATTTTAGTTGTCTGGTTGAACGTCAGACGGCGCCGAGCGAAGAGGTTGAGGTGCGTCTTTGAGGTTTGTACAAATTCTATGGACTAAAAATGCCGAGAGAACGTGTGCGCGTATTCCAGACGGCTGGCATCGCCGTGTGCGGGTGGGGGAAATAGCGAGTGGAAGGAGGAGTGTGAGGGGCTGTGTTTGGGTTCTTCCAAGCTTCCCCAGAATCGATTGGGGTCTGCCCCATTCTGTTTTGTCCCCAACTCGCGTTATTTCTTCCTTCTTTTTCGCGATCAGTTTTTGGTTCGCGTTGTGCGCTGGTTCTGTGCCACAAATGGACAGTTTTGCTGCTGGGTGATGTTTTGATATGTTAAATTTATTTTTTTTCTGCTTATTTTTGGGTAAATATGTTATTTTACGACTTTTCTTCTCTTTAAAACCGGCGGGAAAACCGACTTTTTCGCGGGAAATTTTACAGCCTTTGGATGAGTTTCATATACGAAATTTTGGATACAATTTGTGACTTAAGCGAAGTAAAAGAGATTTTTTAATGTTCCATTATCTTATTGAACGTTTAATATTGCTTTGGATACAAATGTGATATTATTTTTATTTTTAATGGTTTCTAACTTAATGGTTGCAGGGATGCTGTCAAGCTCGGTCTCGACGGACCCTACAGTTCCTGTCACTAAGTCCTTTGATGGGATAGATTCAGCCTCGACAAGTTCGGCTGACAAGAGTGCTGAGAAGCCTATGGACAACGGTGTCACCCCTCCACCAGAAATCACCCCATCCGTTACACTAGAAAAGGAAGAACCTACAAAAACAGTTGAAGAAATACCTAAAGAAGAAAATATCATTGAGGACAACAAAGATCCAGGGAAGGAGGAGGTGAAGCAAGAAGATGATACCAAAAAACGATGGGCAACACCACCACCCGTAAGATTTTACTTCTTTTTCTTGCTGTTTAGGAAATGTGAGTCTTGTTTGTGGATACTTTAATGAAATGTACTTAAGGTTTTCTTTTTTAGGAGCCGGTTAACGGAATAGTACAACCGAGAACGGTGCCACCTTCTGGTAAACCGACACGACAAACAAATCAACTAGAATTTATAGCTAAGGAAGTGCTAAAACCCACGCTAAAACACAAACACGCTTGGCCGTTTCTAAAGCCAGTAGATGCAGTTAAACTGAATATTCCAGACTACCACAAGGTCATAAAAAGGCCGATGGATTTGGGAACAATAGAAAAAAGGCTAAAGAATTGTTACTATTACACAGCCGAGGAGTGTGTTACTGTAAGTTCATGCACCACGCCTATTAATCTTGCGATCGAATGTCTGTTGCGCTTTATTGTTTTATTTTGTGTTGTTGAACATGGTCATTATATCTGAGTGATTTGAGCCGGTATAAAGTTTTTGTGTAGTTTTATCTAATGTTTTACATTTTTGTAGCTGTAAAAAGTATTTTTCGTTGAAATTATAGCTGTTAAGAAGTTATCTTCTAGAAATTGTAGCTGTTAAAATAGTTTTTGTAGCAACTGTAACAATTGAAATGTTTTTTGTTGACTTTAGTATCTTTTGAGTGTAGTTTAGCTTTGAGTGTCATAAGCTTTGTTTTACACGGCGATCTTCTGCAATCTTACTTGTTTTCTACTCAAAAGTTTCGATCGCAAGCACACGTTTGTTGTCTGTTAAATTCTGCCGGATTGTAGGATATAATGACCATGTTCACGAACTGCTATACGTACTGTCCAAAACATTATGGTGTACGTGAAATGGCAAATAACCTGGAAACAGACGTTCTGCGCAGGCTTGAAAAAATGCCGCCGATAGTGAGTTTTATGATTCTTTTTTGCTTTTAGGACATTGAACAAGTGTTTGCTAATTGCTATAAATTCAACCAGAACGAAGATGACGTTGCACTCATGTGCAAGAATGTGGAAAATGCCTTTCGAGACAAGCTGAAACAGATGCCAGTGAAGGTGCCTACAGTTGATTTCTGAAACTTTTTTTGATATTGATATACAGTCAATAATGTTTGCTTTTCCAGGAAGTCGAGTTGCCGAAGCCGGTGCCGAAGAAAGCTGGAAAAGTGGCCAAGAAAAACCCAGCCTCGAGGAGTGTCCGTAGCGTCGAATGTAGGACGAGGTAGCGTTGCTAATAGTCCGCATAGTTCTGCGCCTTCTGAAACCGCCGCTGCCGTGTTAGAATACTTTCACAATGCCACTATACAAGGTGCTCACCTCATTTCTTTCTCTTTTTCGTTACAATAGCTGAGATGCGACTAACAAAAGCGTTTCTCTTCCGCGGAATACTGTTCGGAACTACTTTTGCATGTTTTGGTACTACTTTTGGCTGGCGCTAATCAAAAACTACCTAAAATATAAAAAAAAGAATGACAGTATAATGCCAATGTCTTTCTTTCACTATCGGGTATTGCACAATTAACAAACTTTCTCGGGGAGCACGTTGTATCTTGGTTAATGGCGATATTGTGACCTTGCTTTAGTTTTTCTTTATTTTTAAAACGCTTTGGAGTCCGTATTCTCTGTTGTTGTAATTTTTTGTGTACATAAATGTCAATCTTACAGTTGTTTTTTAGTTTCTGGAAGCCGTGAATCGTCCAGCGTTCGAGATGCAGAACTTGAAAAGGTAACACTGGTTTACATTTTTCATTTTTTGTAAATTATCTGGTATTTGAGGTTTAATCTCATTGTAATCTGCGTTTTTAATTGATTTTTAAAGGGGTATGCTGATTTTTTTGCAATTTGTTACCTAATTATTTTAGAAACCGATGAAACGGAAGGCCGAATCCCCGATCTTCGAAGATAAACCTGCACGCTCTATTAACCCTAACTCTAAATATGAACTTCTTAAAAATATGGACTATAACCTACAGAAACCACGCTACACAGGGAAGCTTTCGAGCCAAATGAAGTTTTGTGGCAAAGTGATTCAAGAATTGGTGTCGGCCAAGAAGTGCAAAGAGTTCAATTGGCCGTTTCTGGAGCCGGTTAACGACGTCGAATTGGGTATTCCCGACTACTATGTTGTAATCAAGAAGCCCATTGATTTGGGAACCATTAAGAGGAAGTTTGATGCTCGACAGTACGCTGATCCGTCTGAAGTGCGGGACGATGTGCATTTACTGTGCAGTAACTGTTTTCTTTACAATCCTGATGGACAGACTGTTCACACCCTAGGCAAGCAACTATTGGTAAGGTTTTATGATGATTTATATATTGTTTATAGTTACTGCTTTTGTTTAGAATTATAATGTTTTATCTAATTTTATAGAGCTAATTTAACAATTTCAGAAGTACTTTGATGACCGGTGGAAACAGTTGCCAAAAGAACCAGAACCGATGGAAGTTCCGTCAACCCCAGTCACAACAACCGCCAGAGATCCATACGCCTTCCCAGGCTCTCGAGCACCGCCAACATTGCCAATACAATCAACTCCTATTTCACACACTCAAGCTTTTGGACCTTTGACAACGGATGACGCTATCGAAACATTGTTCGAAGACGTACAGTCAGAACAGTGCAAACTAACAAACCGGGTTACTGAACTCACAAGGTTTATTCAAGAACTCATACAACTGAAGTAAGTTTTCTTATTGGTAATAAGATTATCACCGGTCGATTTGGTGTACATAAAAATTACATAATCAATTGTACTTTTAGACAGAAACGACGAGAAGCAAGAGATCAACGCACAATAGTTCCACCATTGACAGGAGAACTTCACACTCACATCAGAAGAAGTCTCCTCTTTGGTGGACCAACTGCACCAACAACACCTTTTACCCCAGCCTTGACTCAACCATCCTTCTCTGCCACGCCTATTGTGGCCAATCCCCCGACCACAATGATGTCACCAATCGCCGCCTCCGCTAACATGTTCCCAGCAGCCGCGAACGGTGCCAAACGCAGGGCTGGACGACCTAAAGGTTCGGCAAATATTCCTAAAACACCAAGTGTAGATTTGACTATGCCTTTAGCTCCTTCTATTACCGAACCTCCGGTTCTACCGGTCGCTCTACCAACCATCCCAGAACAACAACCTTTTACCATGCCCAACTCAGCAGAGATGTCCATGCCACCACCAATTCAACCAGGTCTACCTAAATCTGGTCGGGGTCGGAAACCCGGATCAAAGAACAAACCGAAGGGAGCTCGTGAAGATCGTCCTGAATACGAGTTCAATTCAGATGACGAGCAAGCTTCGGAACCCATGACCTACGAGGAGAAGCGACGGCTTTCCTCTAACATTAACGACATTCCCAGCGATAAGTTGAGCAGAGTGCTTCAGATCATCGCGAAACGAGAGAGACTGGACGAGGACATCAATCCTGAGGAGGTCGAGATCGACTTTGAGACTCTCAAGCCCAAAACCTTGAGGGAATTGGAATCCTTTGTCTCTCAGATCAACCAGAAGACCAACCGACGGCCGAACGGTAGGTGGTGGGACTTGCAGGACTGTCTGTGTAGATGTTATGTGTTTTTTGTTGTGCTTATAATTGCTTGTTTTTAGCGCCTCGACCAGTCGAACAGGCTGCCAGAAAACGCGAGTTGGAGCAGAGATTGGCCGAAATGGGCGGAAACACGAAAAGTAAGCAGTTATAGCTTAGCTTTACTTATTTTTAGTCCAGTCTAACTGTGCTTGTGTTGATTTGTGTTAACTTTGACTTTCAGGAGGCATGTCAGGAGCACCCCCACGCGGCCGCCCACCAACCAGCACTACGGCCGCTGCTCGTGATTCGAGCGACTCGTCCTCGTCTTCCTCGTCGTCGTCATCTGGATCTTCGTCCTCCGATTCATCTGACTCTGAATCAGGTTAGCACTACTTTAACTTGAAAGTTTCCATTTTCACAATATTTTATACCTCTGACCTTTTTTATCACAACTTTTTTCTTATCTTATTGTACATAATTGTAAGTCCACAAAATGGTCATAATGACATATTTACTGTTCCTTAATTTGCTCTTTCTGATTTTCTTAATTTCCCATACGGTATTTAAAAAAAACTGAAAAACGCGCGTTATCAGGGGGCAGGGGAACGTTAACTGTGTTATCATGATGTATTTTTTGTACGTATGAACTGACCTGTATAGCTAATGATACCTCAAATGTTAGACATTATTTCTTGATACTCGAAAACACTCAGAATCTCAAACAACGTTGCCGGCAACAATATGATTATCTCGGGGGATTTAAAATCATTTGAAAGTAATAAATTGTTAATTCATTAATTTTGACAAGTTAAATACGTCCAAAAAATACATCATGATGACAAAAGCAAAACTAAAAAGCGTTTAGTACACAGAAATACAGCTCTCTTAATGAAACGTCTTTGTTTCGTATGTTTTAATTTGTAAAACCTCTTGATTTTAGAACATAAAGATCCACCAAAGACGTCGCCTCGAGCCAATGGAGCTAGTAATGTCAACCGACCACGACCTAATGCGGTAAGGGTTTGATCTTTACATCGTATATCATAATATACTGTCACTATTTTGAATTCGGATGACAAGTCTATAGAAAATTAACAAAATACTTCTGGAATATAGCTTAAAAGCTACCTCAATATTCTACCTATTTCAAAAAATATTATCTAATTACTATTATGTATATATATTGATTTTACCAATTGGAATTTAGGTTGCCAGCAAACCTACCAATAACAATACATTAAACGCGGCTCCGGGACAGAATGGAATGAAACCAGACGACAAACGGAACATTGTTCACAGTGGAGCTGGTCCTCTTCTGCAGAGCAGTAACCCCGTATCTCATGCAGGAATCAGTAGCTCCGTCCTCGATCAGCTACTCCCAGCTGCTGAGGCTTCTGCTGATAACGCGGGAATCTCGAAGGGAAATTACATGGATTCATTTGATACATTCAAGCGCATGAAGAAGGAAAAGGACATGACGGTAAGCTTTGGCATTCAGTTGGATGCTTTTTTTGAGAATCGTAGATCTACTCTCTCACCGGGTTCTAGCCGAATTTGCTACGTTTCTATAATACAATTAAACTAAATATTTATGCTAATAGTTATATTGGGACACCGTTTAACTGATATCATTTTTTGTTACTTTTATGAATTTAGAAACAATCGCTGGCACAAAGGGACCAAGAGAGATCTAAAAATGGTGCCGATTCAGCAACTTCTCGTCAGGACGAAATTGAACGACTTAAACGAGCAGAAAAGGTAAATACGGTTTATTTACTAAAGATCAAATATAATGTCGCATTTTTTACAATGTTCTGAACCTATGCCACATCTCAAATAACTTACCTTTTTTAAATTTGTTAAGCCTGTTACATATAAAGTAATATTCTTTAATTTTTGCGTATTTTAGGAACGCCGTCAACGGGAAGCTGCCAATGACGAAGGTATCACCTCCCAGATGGACATTATGGCCAACTTCGAGGACAACTTCTGAAGAAAGTTCACTTTATGATGTTTTTTGTTGTGTAAAGTCTTTCGCATATCGTTCCGTCATAGAACATTCGTGTAACTGTCATATTTATCAAAAATATATTAATAAAATACAGTTTTACACTTGTTTGTTTGTAGTTGACAACATAATTTAATCTTCTTGCCGTTTCCTGCTGTCTGTCCTGTCATTCGAGTTCAGGTCGGCGAATTAGACGTACCCAAACATCAATAATATGTCAAGCTCGACAATGAACTCGATTCAATTTCATCTTGTTTTCGATTAAAACCTTATACATCTTGTGATGGTGCATGTCGTATCAATAGTTTGATGCGATATGCACCATTGTTTAAAACGTCTAGTTTACATAATAGGTCATTACACACTTTAGAGAGGCCGTTCGTCTCCTTCTTGTACATTTATTAGGGCCTCTGTCTGTTTCAAGAGGCATTTACTCAGGTTTCTTTGATATTCTTTTGTTGTTTGATAATATTTTTTATACGATAAAACCGATTAATAACATTAAACACCCGTTATTGACAGTGAGACATATAAATATAACTAGAGTTCCTACTACGCCTGCTTGACGCGCTTCATGTAGCGCTTGATGATCTCCATCGGCACGGGCAGAATGATGGTGTGGTTCTGCGAGGTGGATATACGGTTCAGAGTTTGCAGATATCTCAATTGTATGGCTGCTGGCGAGTTTTTAAACCTATCGGCCGCGCATTTTAGGGCAACAGAAGCCTAAACAACATTTTTTTAGAAAAGTTCGTAATTTCTAAGACTTGCTTTCAATGGTAATCTAGGACATCAAAAAGAGCTGTTTCTTTTCAAGTCGATTGTCTTTTAAGTAGTTTAAATTTTGACGGTAATAGTAAAATAAACTTGCATTAAGTTCCCCTGCAGCTGACACGATCTTGGCATCGGCTTCTCGAGATGCTTCGGCTTCTGCAGCCAGTACCCGACAAAGTTCTCTGGGCAGTCTGATGTCCTTTACCTCTACTCGTTCTACTTTGATACCCCATGGGTCGGTTCCTAAAAATAAACATTGAAATCAGAGTTATCAAGACATTCATACCTTCATCCAACACTACTTGTGCCTGTTGAGCAATACTCTCCCTTTCACACATGATTTCACTCAACGTTCTTGTCCCCAGCACGTTCCTCAGAGCTGTTTGAGCCAACATTTTCGTACTTAAGTGAGCATCGGCAATACAGTTTATCGTTGCTACTGGGTCACTGAAATCAAAATTTTGCTTTGCATTTGAATACTTTGTTGTAAAGTACAATTCTAGATATCTTAATGTATAAACTTGGCTTTTATATTACAGTAGATATTACAAATAGCCTTACCTTGTCCTATAATACACCGCAGCATCAACAGAAACTGTCACCGAGTCTTTTGTAAGCATTTCTTGCGATGGCACGTCGTATGACATAGTACGTAGATCAATCATGTGGTGTTCATCAACACATGGTAGTATCATAACCACTCCGGGCCCCATGGTACCGTTTCCTTTTATCCTCCCCAACCGAAACACTACCATTCGTTTGTACTCGTGCACAATCTTTATACAGGCAAACAGAGAGAATGGCAGTGTACAGACGAAGACAATCCACGCCAATGTCATCATGATATAGTAATAGACGGGAGGTCCTTTTGGGATGAGCGGCTTCTTAATGACCATGTTATCCGCGGGCGCACCGTGGTTGGATGACATTCTATGGATAAACCCAGTCTGAAGATGACTTAGTTGAAATAGATGACAAAGTAAATAGTGAGTATTGTAAGCGTAAAATGATGAAACGAGACAATAACCGTTGGGTAACCAAGTGTGAAGATTTAACTTAAAATTTTAAAGCAAAACAACATGTTAACGTAAATAGTATGATGAAAGCAAAAAATATAAACAAGGTATAGAAGGTCATTGTTCGTTTATCATTACATCCAACAAGTAACAATATTTTTAAAAAACGATTAACATTGCACAGTGCAAAGCTCACATACAATAAAACAGAAGGCTCAAAAAAGGCTCTTAACTATTTTCAAAAATATTTTTTAAATCATAAGGTGCCTAATTTTTCTTCTTTTTTTCTTAGAAAATCTCTCCTTCATCTCCCTCAAAAGTTATTAACCGAACCCAGTTATTATAAAAACATCTCTTGAAACTCAAAAATAGCTCAATTAAATAAGTAACTATCATGAGAACAATAACAAATAGTGCAAGAGAAAAGTAACACCTCCAAGTAGCTGTACTTAATCTGGAAGGCGCGCCCTTTACCTGCCAAATGTGAAAAACCGATGAGAACGTGAGTGGGGAAAAGCTGGCAAACAAAACTTGGCCAATCCTTGGCCGAAACATTAAACCCTTAAACGAAACAGAGATGGCTAATGTTAGAGTAGGGCCGTTTCTTCAAGGACCCCAGAAAGTTTCCAAACAACATGAAATCAGAGCCGGAAAAGTCAGAGTGCAATTAGGTTCGTATAGACAACTATGATAACATTGCGCTTACTTACTTATGCAGCTATGGTAACACAAACAAAGGCGGTGTTGAAACACAAACAAAGAATGTCAGAAAGAGGACAGAAAACTCATTAAATTAATGTTTTCCTAATAGAAAGTACAGAGTAAGTGAATTACTTTGATATACTTAAGAGCAGTATATACTTTAAAGGCTAATGCATATATTTTACTGCAAATTCTTCAATTGTGCATCTACTGCTTAAATCAAGTAACCTATTTAAAAACTCATAAGCCTCAACACAATTTTAAATATATCAAATACTAATATGGTAATGACCTTGTCATGCTCTAATTGGTGTCACTACTCTAACACAAGCACAAATGCAAAGCTACCCCAACCAATCGCTCGCCAGCACCAACAACAACTCGTCCTGCATGTCGCATAGTAAATAAAATGTAAATTGTATATAGATTGAATTAAATATGGTACTCAAAACAATGCCAAGCTTTCCCCTAATTGTATTTTGCATTCGGAATGTATCAACAACAAAGCGAATGCCGCCACAGGCTCTATTTGCCCGAAATTGGTCTTTTACCTGAAATTGGGCCGCGCGGCCGAAAAGACTGTTTCCGGAATCATCAACGATTCATACGTCCCCGGGCTGTGATTGACAGCTAATATTCGGCTATTTAGGGAGGGTTTTAGTTAGATTTTTCTGGACTAGGACAAAAACGCAGCAAAGAACGATTTCAGTTTTAAAAAGATTTATAACTCTCCAGAACAAAAAAAAGTAAAGTAAATTTATAAAAAATATTTTTTTTTTGAATTTTAGGTTCATCTTTCAAAAACGTATAAAAAGCTACCCATATTTGTTCTGTCAAGCCCTGAAAAGTCACCTACTAACATTTTTTTACCTACAAACCTGCAATCACAATTTCTATGTACTTGTATACGTTGTCTTCCTATTTATTGCAATACTGTTCAATGAAAAAGAATTGGAACGCACTTACCAACAGTATTTCAAGAATTTAATGACAAAACCCCCACAACTTTTTTAAGAACAGCGTTCTATTTAAAATTAATGATAAAGTACCCACACATCCAGCGAATGACCACACGAGACAATAGGTGCATAATAAATGTCATTCATTTACATGAATTTGCACAATTACAAGAGACATTGCCACACAGATGGATAGTGGAATATCATTTACAAAGTAATTTACCTGACTTGAAATTTTAGCTTAAAATTCTGCAAAATATTCAAATTTTGAATTAAAATAGGATTCTTCCTAAGAAATCTGTATCCACTTTTGAATTTACCCAACCTTACGTAGATTACGGTAACTATAAACCTAAAAAAGCTTTCTACTCAAAAATTCTTAAGTCATCACTTTCACGGTTCAATTGGTCATAACCGAATCATCATCGCCACGTTAGCAGGAAACAATCAAGCAACAACAAGCATCGTCAAACATACATGACCACACCATATGTATGGCACTTAAGGGGCCGTGCCCGTTTCGGATACACGAAGAGCTTGTCGCGCTTCTTTTCAATTAACGCATCCTAAGACAGACATTGGAGTCAATGGCAATTTGGGCGTTAAGAAAAACGCGGAGAAAAAGGAACCTCATTGTGGCGCATTTGTGATGTGGATGTAGGCAACAAAAAGACGGCTGTACGAGGAAAAGCCCGCCTTTTCAGGACGCTTGACAAGACTTCTCGAGTACATATATATACATATTTATTCTTTTTTCTTTTGTTTCGACTTTTGCACATTCTCAGGCTCTCAAAAAAGTTTAAGGTAAAGGAACGGCCCGAACTGTCCCTAAAATAGCCACCCCCCTTCGTACTACACGCCGTCTTGATTTCCCTATTTGCGGCTTTGTTCTATCTTGAGTATCGGAACAATGAGATTACCGGTTCTGAAGACAGAATAAACAAATAGAGATAAAAGCTGCTTAACGTTAGAAGCCCAAAACAAAAGGATACACATATCATAGACGCTGTAGTCTAGGCCAGATACTGAAGTATCCGTCATCGTAAGTTTTCGAAGCTTCGTCGAATACTTCCGACGCTTTACCGTAACCTTTTAGAGCATTATCAAGAGTTTGTGAGGTTTTTTTAGTACTTTTCTAAAGATTTACAGTTTTTGCAGCTAAAAAGGTTACTTTTAAAACCTCAACATATGCTTATTAACGTTTCCCTTCTGTTCTCAAAACTTTATCGTGCTTCTAGACTGTAGGAACTATTGAAAACCATTAAAACAACTATAATATACTCTCTTTTGTAACTGTTTTCTTCCTATCTATAGCAAACAAAGCACTTTAAGCTACATTTTCAACGTCTCACCGTAAATTTAAGGATCTATCGTACAAATTTCACAAAAAAAATATTCATCCTTCATTCCGCAAGCTTTACTCATCATTTCTCACAACCTGAACAACAAGTTTTCGTATTTGACGGAAAACAACGTTTAACATGAAAATTGCGCTCGTTAACAACGAATTTCAAAAAGAGACTTCAAAACAAAGGTTCACAAGTTTGAATCAAAACACCTGGCCGCGGCATTAAATAACCTCCATTAACCCACTTCTTCAATATTATGTTATTGGGCATACGAAAGCTCGTAAAGGTCTGGATTATACACTTTGAATACGACTTTTTGGTCTTTTATACTTTTAGTGGTCGTTTTAGTAGTTTCAGACAAGAAGTTAGCGAAAATGATGTGCTAAACTGTCCGAAAGTCTCAAAAATCTTTGAAAAATCAAAAAAGATTTAAATATTGTACTTGATAATGTTAAACCCCATGAATTTTCAAAAAATCAAACTTATCCGCGGTTAAATACCATGTTAATAACCTACAAACCAAACTTTGTGACAAAAAACCTAAACCCACTACTCCCAAACATACTAATGGAATCGGAACGCTGAAAACGTGAATCCAAGTACCCAAAATCTGAAGCAAAATTTGACGGAATGAAGCATTTCCCTGGAGAATGTAAAATCTCTTGTTTTGGGATAAGACGGAACGTTTCCGTAAAACGCGTAAACAAAACTCAAAATATTCATTTTAAACAAAGAATATGTATAAACACCATAATTCAAGTGATATTTACTTTTACAGCGTTTCCTGTCCAAAACTTTGCCAAAACGTAAACATTATGTTGTGGTAGACAGCTTTAAAAGATCCTAAAAGAATGTATGTAACGTCGACTTTATATATATTAACATTAAAGTTAGAACATATCAATTACTGTTTTTTAGGGCATGATATTCCAGAAAATATCAAAACATAACCAAGATAATAACAAAAAACTTCAAAGTTTGTGGCTTTAGATAACAACGTCTTTATCAAAGTATTGCATGAAGTCTACTAACCAAAAAATTGCGCTTTATTACAATATTTAAAATAGCTTTACACTATACAAAAATACTGTAAAAATTTTAAAAGTATTGTAAACAAACTACCATAAAAAATCACTTTATGCCAATTCCATTTGTGGCCGAGCCAATTTGGCCTCAATTTTATTGGTCGAAGAAAAGCCAGTCCCCCCTCTCTGTAGCTCAACAATGTCTGATTCAGCCAGTTTCTTATTTGTCAACGGATCTATCATATCCTTCTTGATTATTTTCTCTACGCAGTTCCACGACACAATCTTTTGGCTGTAAAACAATATAATTTACAAAAGTGTAACCATCTTTAAAAAAGTTTTCCCTAATTTTCTGATTTACCTAACTTATAATTTACATTATATTACAGAGCATAACTCCTATGAAATTGTATAAAAAATATAACTTGCAAAAGATGCAAAACTACCTCGGTTTAATGTAGGCACAGCGACTGCTGTTTGTCAGAATGTCACCAGTCACCGGACACTTATATCTGTCCTTCATCGAGTAAATTAAATTGGTTTTAGCGGCTTCTTCATCTACTGGAGTAAATATCACCGGCATCAAATCTTTAAACTTTAAGGGCTTTCCGTTCACTGGGTTTGTCACTTTTTGAGGCTGTAAACATACGATATACGTTTTGTAAAAGGCCAGCAATATATTAGATATAACTTCAAAAAACACAAGTTTTACCTATTAATACCATATAGTTAAAGAAATTAGCCTAAAAATAAACAAAAACGCTTAACTATCATAAATTATCCTTTTAACCAAGAACGATAAACCTACAGGTTTTTCCATTTTCCCTCCCTCAGCCGTCGATTGTAATTCAGGTACCCAAAAGCTTCTCCATTCCTTTGCTTTTTCATCTGCCATATTTGACAAACTACCTTCATGATACTTGTCCTTCTTAGTGCTTGGTCCAGCGTCTTCTGTAGCTTTCCGTTTATTTCCTCCTCCATAAGCGAAAACATGAGTTGGAGTTGACTCCATGGCCACAAACCTTCGTTTCTTTTCTTCTTCAGATTCTTGATCAACCTAAACAAACAGTTAGTTACAATTTAGTATTTATAGGTAACACTTTTGATCTGGAAACATAATACAAACGACAGAACTTACTGTCTTCTTCCTATCCTCCTCCATCATCATATACTTCTCATAAGCATCGTTCCGCCTTTTGAATTCTTTCTTCTGATTGACTATGTACTCCAATATCGCCTCTTTTTCAAAAACATATCCATCTGGTGTTATCATTGGATTCCTAAACATATGAATAACTTAAAAATATACTTACTTGCATGGTTGTAGAGTTAGACAACAACAGTCGAATGGCTTGACCGAATCTGCCCCCAAACGTTCTGTCAACGTGCCATATCCAGATTGTTTTGAGTCCTTCTTTCGTTCGGAATAACTGTAGACAGCTGATGCCGTTGAATTCTTTCCGTGTCTGGTCATAGTAGAAAAAAAACTGTACCTAACTATAAATTGGATAAATGGTACGCCTTTTGTGTATCTGTATAATTATCGGGAGTTTTTCCACTATCGTTATAACGCGTTAGACTTTTTTCGCAGCGGGCCGCTGCGTCCCGCGGGTGACAAGTTATACGAAGAAACGTTTACTCTGTTTTCACGGGCAGCTTAGAAACTTTATAATATACACGGCCGTGTTTTACAGCCCGGTTTGCGGATTACCTACCGAAGTTACGAATTTAAAAAATACAGTTAAAAAATACAAGATTGTGTATGGTAGTACTGGTAACAAAAGCTAAAAAACTTAAGCTAAAGGTGACTATTAATAGTTAATTTGATTATGTTGATCATTGGTGTTTATTCCGCACCGCGATTTTTGTGATTTATCTTGGTCACATTCTGGTTTATAAAAGTAATCAGTCTACTGTTTCTGAGGCTGACTGAAATTAGATACATTAGAATATCCATAACCAGTAGCTTGTGAATTCTGCGTCAGCATTTTACAACCATATGTTTTCAGATGCATCATCTCGTTTTAACTATAAATATTTTTTGGAGTTTTCTGTTAAGAACCAAAGCAAAACTATAATACCGGATCATTACCCGGTCCCTCGTATAGAAAGTCTGGTCGAAAAGCTTACTGGTGTTATGTACTTAACCACCTTTGATTTTACAAGAGGATTTTTGCAAATTCCAGTCGACGACGAAACCTCGCAAAAGCTTGGTATAATCACCAAGAACAAAACTTATAAGGTCAATGGCGTCCCTTTCGGAACAAAAAACTCAGGCGCGTTATTTATTCGAGCACTCGCTAAAGTATTTAAACGGTTAGATGACATAATCATTGTTTATATAGACGACGTGCTCGTCTTCACAAAATCAGATAATTTTCAAATACATTTAAGCAATGTTAAGACAGTTTTCGATCGACTTCGTAAATACAATTTAATTATATCTCCTAAAAAGACGTTTTTAGGATATAAAAAACTTCAATTCTTAGGGCATACTATCTCAGAACAAGGATATTCTCCTAACATGGAAAATTTAGAACCTAGAAAAATTTTCCCCCACCGGAAAATTTAAAAGCTGTAAAACGTTTCCTATAGTCCCCGTCAATTAAAAGGGCAGCCTTCGTTCTCTGAGATGGTAACACCTAAACAAAAAATTTTTTCTATTATCGATAGACCGATGATTTTCATGCAAATTTTTAAAAAATCAAGAATTTTGTTTTTATTTTACGAGCTACAGAAATTATTCAAATTTTCAAAGCAGCAATTAAAAGGAAAGCTTTATAAATACGAAACAAATATATTATATAGTATTGCTATTTTTGACCAAAACAGACACCAATCGACCCGGAATCGAGTTGTACAAATCCTTAATAGCGTCCATGATGGCATTGATTAACTACGCTTTTTTATGTACTGGCCAGGCGGGTAGACGGCGAGGCTCATATGGGCCCAAAAAATTTTTTATGATATTCAAATCTGGACTCTTAGCTGGCCACATTGGAGGTTTGAATATTTAATCACCAAAATAGGCTTTAATGATGCTTGCACATTGAACAGAACAGTTGTCTTGTTGAAAAACAAAGTCACCATCTTAAAATTGAGCCAAACACCACGATATAATTTCGTTCTTTAGATTTTCCAAGTAACGAGCAGAAGTGTAGCGACCGTCTATGACCTTTAAGTCACACATTAGATACGATAGACAGTTACATACCTTTATAAACACGTATCCGTCAAAAGCCATGGGCCCAAAAACCATGTCGTTAACCAAACCACCTTTTTGATGGCGGAATCCAGGGGGGTGAAATGAATTTTTGAGTACATATGTCCCCATATTGTCAGTCCCGTCATCACAGAATCTTTTTTCATCATTAAAGATCCATTTCTTCAAGTTGGTAGAACTTCGTAAGTGGTTATTGGCAAACGTCATTCGCGCTTGTCGATGATTAGGGCTTAATTCCAGTAATTGTCGAGTTTTTTGATATTGCACATCACTTGTCTTCAAAAACAGTTGCACAACACTTTTGGAACGTATCAAATTCAACTCACTGTTTACCATTCCTGGGTTTACTAGATGTCCGGCAGTAATTTTGGCTGAAATGATCGTATGATTTGTCTTCCAATTCGTTCATCTATTAACTTGGGACGTGGTGGTCGTTTTCTTTACTTCCGTGGAGTTGCTTTGATCACTTTCAGTACAGTCTTAACAGAATGACCCAACCTTTCAGCCACTATGTTGCAATTGCCAATATAAATGTACAAGTCGATGATTCTTCGTTTCTGGACTTTTGATAAAATATTCACTGTCCAAAAAACTCGCGCAGTCACGTTTTACAAAGAAACAATTCATAAAGTAAACATTATATTTGAATATTTTATAGACATTCCTTTTAATTGCTGCTTTGAAAATTTGAATAATTTCTGTAGCCCGTAAAATAAAAGCAAAATTTTTGATTTTTTAAAAATTTGCATGAAAATCATCGGTCTATCGATAACAGAAAAAATTTTTTGTTTAGATGTTACCATCTCAGAGAACGAAGGCTGCCCTTTTAATTGACGGGGACTATAGGAATGACAGGTTACTTTCGTAGATTTTTTAAAAATTATGCTCATATAGCTGAGCCACTTAATAGACTAAGTTGAAAAAACACTCCTTTCGAGTTTGGGTTAGATCAAAAAAAGCCTTTCAAATCCTAAAAGACAAGCTTAATACAGAGTCAATCCTAGCTTATCCTGAGTACAAAAAGCCGTTTCATCTAACAACCGACGCGTCAGCCGCCGCGATCGGTGCAGTTCTTACGCAAGAACGAAATGGTCCTAAAGAGCCACACCAGGTAATAGGTTACTTTAGCGCGAAACTCAGCGCGTCGGAAAAGCGCAGGCCGGCAATTCAACTGATGCTTTGGTTCAGGGAAATGGTAACAGAAAACTCAAAAAAAATATTTACAATCAAACCTGATATAGCACTTACTACCTGCACTACGTAAGGACGATAGTATAAACTCAGTTACAATTGATTAAACTATGAGTGTAATTTAGAAGATAAAGTGCTTGTTAATAGTGTGGTTTAGGGAAATGGTAACAGAAAACTCCAAAAAGTATTTACAGTCAAACCTGATATGGCACTCACTACCTGCAGTACGTAAGGCACGATAGTATAAACTCAGTTACAATTGATTAAACTATGCTTCTATTTTAGAAGATAAAGTGCT